GGAGTTCGTCATGTCATGCGGTTCAGGGGTTCGTGCTTTCCTTAGCCTGTACTAATTGTCTCTCTTTTTTTTCCCTACCTCTCTGTTTTTAATGCTTGGAAAATTGTGGCTTTCTTCTATGATACAGTAAGAAATCCTTGTCAATAATACATGGTAATTTATGTCACCAGCTACCTCTATCCATATAGGTACTCCGTAAGTGTACTCCGTATACTTGCATTGCAGTATTGATAATCAGGTACCCCGGAGGTACAAAACCCTGCAAAAGACAAGTCAGATTACCCGACTGTCCATTCTGAGCAATCACTTCCGAGATAGAAAAAGGTCATTGATCTGGTTCCCTAACGGCTTTTCAATCTGAGTTCCTGAGGGGCTTAGGCTATGTATCCAATCCTTCTCTCTGCGAACTGCATCTTCGATCTCGTTCTCCAGGCTAACCCCGATCCACAGAGTCTGTAGCAGCGATCACTTTGGAACCAACAATCGGGGGTGGCACTACTTTCTGAAATAGGACCAGAGCTAAGAGCTAGGCTACGGATACTCCTGCTCCGACTAATGAGTAATGAATGGGTAATGGCCGACCCTCAAAAAAACAAGGAAAGCGCCAGCAACGATCACTCCGATCACAGAGCATTAACTTGGTAGTTGGGTCCTGATCGTTGACAAAGCTTATTATTGCCGTGCCCATTGCTGCGGTTCCATGGTTCAGCAGGGAATAGTCGATTAGCCATCTCGATGAATCAATCACCATGTACGAATCGGATTGCGCTATAGAATTCTCCGATGCCATTGGGGCGCAAATTCCCATAGCCGACCATCGGCACATCCTATATCAACATGTCAATCAATGTTATCAGACCTTGTTGGGATTCGATTCATGCTGATAGTTAGGTATCATAGTCCCGTCATCTAGTCTTGACTTTCCCGGTGATCTTTTTGACTTTCCGGCTTTCTACCTTTTGGAGGGGGGGGGGGAGACTGTGGCTCAGTTTGACAGCCGATGTCACTCTCGTTTTTGTTTTCTTCTTGGCCCTCTCATGTGGATATTTCCAGATAGCTTGAGTGGTAGCCTGGTAGGGCCAGGGAGGGGGGCCGCTATGAGAGAATCCCGACCTCCCCGATGCTGTATCATGACCTGACCTGGAGGGTTGGGATTTAGACCAGACACTGTACGCAATTGAAAAGGGTGTAGGACAGTTCATCAGCACCGGCTGCATCATGCTGACGCGCGGCCTGATTGGACAGCGCTGCCGAGACTTCCTATTTCTAAGTAGGTATGTAGTGATATATCATCATGCCGGGCGTCACCTCGCTAAGGTACCTGTCTACTCTGTCGCCGGTACCTAGACGCTTGCATGCTCCCTCGCGATCTCCTCGTCTCAGATTTTTCGATCGATCACGCTCCCGATCCATTTCACGTTGTTCAGCATTGGACAGGAGAAAGACTCCCACGGGAAAACCCTTCCAAAGGAGAGAGGGTCCGGAAAGGAGGTGGGGGGGGGAGGGGGGAAATCAGACCTGTCAATCTTCCATTTGCATTCTCGAACGGAAGCGAAGTTGACACCCGCAATTCGAGCACGGTCCCTGCAGCGAAACGTGAGTCAGGATCTCCAACATGAGGTAGGTGTTGGTGGAGCGTTTGCACTGTTTCCCTTCTTTCTACCTTTGCTTTTGGACTGCCCTGTACGCCATCGCGCTGTCGGACATGAACTATTTGAAGGTTGTGGGAACCTGGGGCTGCGCCATCGCGGCTGATCGCGCTGTAGGCGATGCGGTTGTTGTGTGTGCAATTGTGCGAGTTGAGCTTTGAGGGGCTGGGATAAGAGTGTTATTTCATCCTCGAACTGTAGGATGCCATTTGATTCTCTTGTTGGTCATGGAGAAATAATTGTATATGAGCATATGAGCATATAATTCTGTACGAAAAGTTCGGATAATAGTATGAATATGTAATTAATAATCTATGTGTATGAAGACATACGGAGTACATAAATGACCAGGTTCGTAAGTAGCTTAGTACGGAGAATGTACGGAGTAAGTAAGGATAATGCCTGTCAATATTGGTGGCGCCGACAAGCAGGTAGCTACGTCGATTGAAAGCAGCGGATTGGCCAGATTCCCGACGATCACAGCCAAAGAGGGTTAAAAGCCAAAGACAAATGATTCCAAATTCCCAAAAAGACGCTTGATGACCAGGCGCCAATCATCACCCCCACTCAACGGTTCATCTTCATGTCTGGGTAACGGTCCACGGGGAGTGGAGAGATCAGGATAGCAGCCCAGAGCCAATGGTGGTACGCTGTGGCCCAAGGGTGGACATGGCTGGCTGAGCACTGGAAGACTCCTTTTTCTTTTTTTTTTATTTTCTTTTTCTTTTTACCCTTTTCAGTAATATGGGTATGAGATATGGGGTGTTTTTGGTCGTCATCTCTCCAGCCTGCATGTGTATGCACTATCTACTATGTAGGATTCAGGAGATGAACGCTGCTCTTGATGACCAATTCTCAAGGATTCTACTCATCCCTCTTTCGGACTTGATCAACAATAGTTTTCTTTCAGGGATTGTAAGCCTGAGAGGATGGAATTCTACCAGGATGAACAATGCAAGCAAGAAAGAAGATGACCACATCGCATTACTCTCGGCTACTCCTCCTGTCCAGTCCAGTACGTACCATCATTCACATTTCGTAGGATATCCTCTCCTGCTCAAATCTGACTTCCAATTGACTTCTTGGCACGGGTCCATTCGTCCAGATGTCCATCCAGGCCGTTTCTGCCGCTCCCGTTTTCCTGTCAGGGCCTGAACTTAGAAGAGCATGGACCAACCGCCCATCGGATCTCAAGACTTGTGGATCTGGAAAAAAACGAGAAAAAAAAACCTAAGCAGACTGACTTCGCTGATGGAATCACGGCAGCAGATGATTCAAAAAAACTTTCCCCTACATGATATACAAATCGATCAATGAAACTGACGACATGACATGATCGGCCGAGAGAGTCATATCCTATCTACCCCTGACACAATCTTCTCTCCGATACTGAAATGTGGAGCACTATCGATTCAAGAGGCACACCCGCTCACTCGATCTATCATACTATTTAATCGCCTCTCTATAATTACCAAGTGTCGGAGGATTTGATTTGGGCGTCTTGCTCTCTCTCTCTCCTCTTCCCCTGAATTAGCGTGACCCACCGTCGATGCCTGGAGTTGGGTCAAGATGAAGAGTCATCACTAGTCTGGTGACTTTATACGAATGCGAGTGCGAGGATGGATCTGATCTGGACACTCAGTCCAGTCTCCCGGAACCATCGTAGCAATCAGCAAGTAGATAGCAACTAGCAGCAGGATTCACCAAAAAAAAAAAAAAAAAAGATAGTAGAATGTATGACATTGGGATCAGCAATGGAGGATCGATTTTGTTTCATCGCATCGAATGAGCAGTAATCCAGACCTACCGACCAGAAGGTCTCCCCGTTGCAATACCGATCTGGTGGAAGACTACGAATCTACGAATCTACGATGAGTAACTGTACTCCGTAGTGGCATTTTTCCCCCGCGATCTGCAAAAAGCCCAGTTACTACTGACTACTGCTCGCTAACAGAGTTCTGTCTGTCTTAATGCAGGCCTGCAATGAACATTATTTGATAGCTTGGTGAACCGGGTTCTTTCTCAAATCTTTCCTTCCTTTTTTTATTTTTTAATGTATTTTTTTTTTCTCTTCTCTGCGTTTGCTGAGTTCGGATTCGGTTATTGATAATCGGTACCCCTGTCAGATTGATCATTGATGGCTTGGTAAATTATCTATAGTTTACCTAGGTAGGTTCCCAGGTTCCCAACAGTTGCTCCGAATCCGATACAGTACGTGGGAACATACCCAAAGAGGATACTGCACTTGGACGCTCCATTCCTGTTCATTCTTTACTGCCCCACTACGCTGTGTACTGTACCTAGGTATTCTAAGAGTCAAAAGACCTGCGTTAGGTATTGTTTGGTCGATAGAGCTCTCTCTTGTAGTATCCCAGGAGAACGAATATTGCTACTTATCATCAAAGTATCCCTGGCTGATGATTATCATGAGGATAGTCGTCCGAGTCTCCCTCTTACAGCCTCCCATGTCCAAACTAAGCTTACAGGCGAGCTGTCGTACTGTAAATCTTACATACGGAGTACACGTCATGTAATGTACAGGGAAGGTGGAAAATCGAAAATCAAAAATTAAAAATAAAAAAAATAAAAATAAAAAAAATAAAAAAAAATCAAATAAAATCAAATCAAGACAGAACCCAGAAAAATCAAAATAAAATATTTTCTTTTGAAAAAATAAAAATCTATTATTCCGATAACTGTCAGCTCTCCGAGATCTTGGATCAGATCTTCTCCTATAGCGTGCTCTTCTTGTGGAGCAACACAGCAGTAGCCATTTCTTTTCCTCTGACCCGTCTCCCTGGTCAATTGTCTGGATTGTGAGAATAAATAAATCCATGGCCATCGTCGTCTCCCTTAGACGGATCTTCATTGTTCATATCATTTTGATGCTTTGACCCCCTTCTGGTATCTTCAGCTCTGCATCATCATCATCATAGCCTATATCTATACAACCTTCGGCACCGCCCATCGACCCTGAACTGTCTCTCCATCGATCAGAAACTCAAAAACATCCACCCTTCTCGTTCACCCTGTCCAAGGCTTGGTGTTCGTCATTCTCCTTCCACCGTTACTTAGCAGAAATACTCAGCCTTTTGAGTTGCGCGCTAAACGTCTGCTCCCCCACTGTAAGACCCCAACTCCTTTTCAGCCAATCTATTCCGCCCATCCAAGTATATTATTACCAGCCCAGCCCCAAGCCTTGCCGCCCCTCGTCCAAAAAACCCTCTTCTATTATACTGGTTGTCAACCCGTATACATACTTGGAGATGCCATTCCTCTGACTCTTTTTTTTTCACAGAAGAAAGAGATAAAATAAAATAACCGAGATACATACCGACTCATTTACTTGACATGGCTCCCACTCATCGTCGAGGACCCTGGGTCCCAGAGGAAGATCAGTTGCTCCTTCAACTGGTGCGCGAGCAAGGCCCCAACAACTGGGTTCGCATCTCACAGCACATGCACTATCGGTCCCCCAAACAATGCCGGGAGCGATTCCACCAGAATTTGAAGCCCTCACTGAACCGGGAGCCCATCTCCGCTGAGGAAGGTCTGATGATCGAGCGCATGGTCAACGAGATGGGCAACCGGAGCGACAACGCAGTCAAGAACTGGTGGAACGGCAGCATGAACCGGAAGAGAAGAGGCCTCTCGGTGTCGGCCGCCAGCCCCTCCCGCACTTTCCACGGCCGCGTGGAAGCACCCTATCCGCGGGCATCGATGGCCCTCAGCAGCCCTCCCAGTCGATCCGGCTACTCCATCTCCCACGACAGACCCCTCACCTCGTGGACTGATTCGCCCACTATCGAGGCCCGACGAGACTCCTCCGCTGGTTGCTCTCGGCAGCTGAGCCCCATCTTCACTCTTCCTACTCTCAACCGACCCGTTGAAACGCCCTTGACTTCCCCAACCTACTCAGACGCCTCCCGCGCCCCTTCTCTCGGCTCTCCCTCGATGGTCTCGGATCACAACTCGGTTTCCTCCGCCTCCCCACGAACCGTTGCCTCACCGCAGCTTCTGCCTCTCCTGGGCGACTTTCGCAGACAGAGCCAAGGGCTCGAGGACGTCTACGTGAACCATCCCTACGCCCGCCTGAAGGTGCTCGAACCCTTTTCCGACGCTGCCTCAAAGCCACGCTGGATTCCCGACCCTCAGCCCTGGAATCAGCCATCCACATCGCTATCGCAGAGCTGGACAACTTCAGAGCCTGTCAAGGCCGAGCCTCGTCGAGATTCGCGGATGGGCCTCGACAACTTGCTTAACTGATGATGTCTGCAACGATTGGATGACTATTCCTAATTCTCGAGGTTTCTTTTTTTTTTTTCTTTTGTCTTTTGGGCAGCGCCTCTGTATATATGAATTTCCGACCTCTTGTCTCTCGCTACATCAATTGCCGTCACTGATTTCCTTTGTCTCATGGTCTGTACAATTTTCTTTTTTCTTTTTTTTTTTCTTCGTCTTTTACTCGATGGGTTTACCTCCACGGCGGGCCACGTGGAAAATCCTCCCTACGTCTTTAACAAAAAGCATGATGGTGGTTCCTTGGAACAGTTTTGTTTTGTTTACATGTGTGATTCCCAGGGAAAAGGGACAAGGCGTGATGAGCCTCATTAATTGTTGACTGTGTTTTATGGACTTTATAATACCCCCCATTGTTGAGCGCCACCATTCTTGCTCTGCATACCAAAGGAACCAATGAATGTAATGTTTATTTTACGAGTTCAGGCTGGAATATCGGATATCAATAATTCAAAAAAAAACAAAAAAAAAAATCCAGATTAGAGATCTTGTTCGAGGGTTAGAGATTGGCCAAAACAGGACATGGAAGAATATTCCGTAACCCATTCAGAGCACCAGTGGCTGTGGCTGGCTGTCATGTCTTCCCTGTGGAATGCCAACATGCTCACGAGGACTATGCAAGGGGTGGCCACTCTTCAGACCAAGGAAATGTTCAGCTCCCCATATACGTGACGGAGGTTGTCTGTAAGTTCAGTATAGGTTAGGTAGCCTATGCAGGTGGGAGAGACTGAGTACCTAACCTATCTTGCAGACATGGTTCATGCTCATGTTCATGTTCATGTTCCTCGCATCTCTTGAACCCCGACTTGTTGGGTCTCGTATAAGAGGGTACTTTCTCACACGACAAGTCACGGTTTCTTGGTATCCGTTCCCCTTCCATGGATCTTACTTACTATCTATCTATCTATCTAAGTAGGCTTCTGTGCCTTTTCCCACCCACCCACCCATCGGGCTTGGTTTGGTTTGGTCGATCTGGAAAGGGTTCATCCTAGGACTGGACCTGGACTAGCTGGGTCAGAAGACTGCGATCACTGGACAGAAATGGATCAGTGGTTAAGCGAGTGCGCAGACGCTGGGCTTTGCTGCTCTTGTCGCCTTGTGCATGCAGGAGACTAGAACCAATGGGGAGGGGGAATTGGGTATTTTTTTTTTTGTTTTTATTTTTTTTTTATCCAACGGTCTTCTGGCGAGGGTTGGGAGTGGAAAGAGATGTGGAAGGGGATGTGGTGGGAATGGGGACGCGTTCATCAAGGCCATGGACATGGATATGGATATGGATATGGTTCAGGTTGAGCGGAGCCCTTGTTTGCTACTTCGCTTCACTGCTGCTTTGCTCCTTTTTTTTTCTCTTTTCTTTTCTCTTGCGAACAAATCGAAGCCGGATCGTGTGTGCAGCAGAGGCAGAGGCACATGTCTGTTACTCAGCCTGGCTTTGGCTTCAAGGGGACTAACTACTGTATGGATGGGCTATGGAGTATGGAGACTAACTGACCTTCCCTGTTTGATCCACGATCTCCTGGTCTGCTTCATCGGCTGTGGAGTCTACTCCATATGGCGTACAAAGTCCTGGGACTGGTGGCATTGCCACTCCAGTCAGTCAGCCACACAGCTCGTTTTGGTTTCTTCTCCTCCAGTCATCCGTCATCAGCTTCCTGTGGCAGAATGACTCGCCACCGCAGCCTGCAGCTGCAACACAGCGAGGACTGACTACTGAGCAGTCTAGCTCGCTAGGGTTTTGATCCCTGCAGGAAGATCGTTGTGGCCCCATTGTCCAATGCCCACGGCTGAGAAGGATGAAACGAGCCCCCAGCTCTACTACTAGTTGGTCGGGCCTTAACAGAGCCCAGTATAGTTATGGGGAGCAAGCCCTCCAGCCACTTTTTCAGGCGACTAGTGAAAAGGGGGAAACAAACAAACAAAAAAAAAAAAAAAAAAAAAAAAGTTTAACGCCTGTGGTATCGCCTGGATAAGTGTGGCTGCTAGGGAGATCCAGCCAGCGCCTCAACGCTACGGCATTCCTTGTCTCACTCTCAGCCCTCTTAGCTGATGGGGGAGGCCCGATTCGATCTGTAGCTGGGTTGTGATCACTGCCGGAGAGTTCTGCCACTAGTGTATCCGGTATCCAAGGGATAAACAATCAATAGAGATATGCACCTCGTCTAGCATACCCGGATCGAGAACGATGAACGCCCTGTCCTGTTTCTCCAAGAGCTTGAATCCCTCTATGTATGTATGTCGACTGCAAGATAAACGTGATCTGCGCGAATCGACCGACAGACTTTTGACGCTGGAATTTGGAATTCTTCCCAAGTAACTAGTCGTTCTCTCTAGACTGCTTACGGAGTAGTCTGATTTCGCTTCGGCGCACTGTGACGTCGATTATATATATGGCTCTGATCTATCTACAGTCTACTACAGTCTACACCCAAGAAACCATGAGATCTTCTACCATGGAAAATCGTCGGTAAATCATTGAGACGCTGGTATCCTTCTTTCAACTGCCGATTCTCTTTGAAACGGTGGTGGTGCTCGAAGAACAAAGGCCCAGAGATATAAATAACTATGACTGACCTGCATGAGAGTGTCTTGTTTTTTTGTTTTGGGGTGTTGGGTGTTTCGAAACAACCGCTGCGTAGATCACTTTATCAATTTGATTTTTTTTTTGTTTTTTCCCGAGGGAATTCCTCTCGATCCCACTTGCGGTTCTCATTTGTCACACAGATGGGGGATCGAAGCGATAAGCGAGATCGTTCTCCTCGACCTGTGTGCACTGTGCAGTACTGCGGTTAGTCGTTACTGTTGGTTAAACAGTCAACAATAGACCCCTGGATTCTGGAGCTACAGAGTGTAGAACTCAAATTCTTTCTTGGTAGATAGAATATAGATACTCGCGGCGTACATAGTCGGTAGATTCATCACCACGCAGGAGCTGACTCGTTCTGTTCCAGATTGAGAAATAACCTTGATCACCAGGTAGGCACTGTGCAGTAAGTAGACTCGATTTCGAACAACGATCTGGAGATATCCATTATTATCACTATCATCATCATCATCATCATCATCATCATCATCCTCAGCTGAGAAAACTTCTTCCCTTCTCCCTTCCCATTCTGGAAAAAGATCTCCATCTCCATCCGGCTACTAGATACAATGACCAAGTATATACTCCTTATGGCAGTCGTACCTCGTAAACCCTTAAGTAAAAATGGATCTGTACTGGGTCCATTACGGGCCGGGATCCTTTGAGTGGCCCCGATTTACTCGCAGCGTTGCACTCGTCGTATTTCTACGGAGTGCTTTCTATCGGACTATCCAGTAGCTCACGACTAGACTACCAGAACCAGGATCCATACTTTTACAGTTTATCTGGTGAGATTTCTTATGTGAAACGGCCAGGCGAGGGGGAGTCCATGGTTGTCGTGACTCGTGATCGGTTGGAGGTGGCTGTGGGGCGGTTTGACTGATGGATCTCGGATAATGAATGGAGAGGGCTTTGGGGAAAATATCAGTTTTTCTTTTTTTTGTTTTTTTTGTAACTGTGTTTCATCAACTTACACAGTACTCTGTATCCGGTAGGTTCTTACAGTCAGGAAATATCCGGTAGATGGATAGATCCAGTATCAACCCCCGACTCCGAGTCTGGTCTCTGGGCTGAATCCATTCTTCCGATCGACATGCATACTACTACATACATCAATGGCATCCAAATCTACGGATAGCTCTCCGTCCAGAGTCCCAATTATTCGATCACGATGAGACTCCAGAGACGAAGAGAGTATTCCCGGGACTTCTGATAGGTCTCTTCGCCTCACGACTATTGATTTTTTTAATATACTCCGTATGTACTCTGTATGCGGAGGCTGGAACACTGACAGGGGTACATGTCCCTGCCTCAGTACTACGTAGTTAGCGTCTGGTATATCATACCGAGTACGTCCGATGATCGCTAGTTCTGTTGACTGTGGTACAGTACGGAGTTCTCCGTATGTGTTTATTATTCCGTACTAGTGGATCATTGGTAAAGTAGCAAATAAATAAGTTCTGTCAGTGTCAAGCAGACGTCTAACTAGTAAATAATTTAATCTCGAGCGAAATGGGGTGAGGGATGATTGGGTGTTGGGCTCTTTCGGGAAGCTCGAAGATACCTTACCAGGGCTATGCTGGATGAGGTTAGTGTACCCGCCTTGCGGATCCAGCCGCGCTCGTCGACCATCCATGACCTGGGTATGGTATGGAGTATGGGGTATGGTATGGTTGGTAGGATTGTATTCATACGTCGGTACCGTACTACAAGGCCAGTTGTATCTTACTGTATCTGTATAGCTCGCAAACCAGTATCCGTATCCGGGCAATTAAGATGAGGAGGTATACTACTAGTAACGTACACCAGTTATGACACCCCAGATATGGAGTACTGTGTAGGGAAATGAATTCCAACTCAAGGCAAACAGGTCAGTCAAAAGCCAACCTCAGTACTCCGTAGTCAGTACTCCGTCATCTTCCTGTTTTCTTTGCCCTTAAGCCATCGTCCCATGATCCCCTAGTCCCCACAGGCCACAGCAGGTAATACAAAACCTAGATCCCCGCCTGCAACTATCCCCGAGTCAATCACACAAGCCTCGCTCTGGTCAGCCGGTGGTCTCTGTTCCGCCTTGCCTGGCCTGCTTGGCGGACTCCTAGTCACTCCTCCGTAGTCTATCTAGTTTCTACTGTATGTGTGAGTGTGTGTTGTGTGCTACCAGACTAACACAGACCAGCGAATAACCTTCCCTTTTTCGGGGCGCATTCAGCGAGTTCACTAGATCCAGCCACAGCCCCTTTGCTGTGCCATGCTGGTTTGGACTTGATCTACCAAGTACCAAGTGCCGACTGACAATCAACGACAACATCATCCAGGCAGGACTCCGTATTTGTCACTGTGGAGCCTATCCAAGTCCATAGATACTCAGAAAAGAGCTTGATACAGCTCCCTACGTCAAGATTTAGTGACTTGCAAGCGCCGTGGAGTGTCTATCAGATGCACACTTACACGACTAGCTGGCGAATCAAAGCAACCTCATATGCCACTACAAGTACTCCTACACAGTAGATACTAGATACTAGATACACAGTGCACAGGACCTAGTAGCATCCTTCACGGACGCCCCGAGGTCAAAGCACAAACTGCTTGCGCCCAAGGGGTTCTCCCTGTCAACCCACGTGGGTCTGTCACATACCAGCCGTTGCGACGATGGAACGACATAACTTTACTGTATGCTGTGTACCTAGGTTTTGTTACGTCTGTATTCTTTCTTTCTGTATTTGTCTGATCCTGGGTTCCCTCCCCCGACGCAATATTTCATACTTACGCTCCGTACGTACTCTGTAATCAAAGCACAGGAGAAGAATCCTGTCCAAATAATCCACACCCACCATGCTCTCTAGCTCAGCATTTCTCCTCTCTCTAGTCTCAAGTCTCAACTAACTCCCTACGCCGTAGGGAGCTAGGACTTGACTGGGGGCCCGGAACCCCCGGACTCAGCCAGCCAGCCCTCGCCCCTTCAACGGTTTTGGTTATGGCTTTGCGCCTGGACAGGGGTTCGCGATGATGGGGCATGGTCGGAGTTGCCGAATTATCCTTCCCCCCTCCCCCCTGGGTGCTTATGCTGATGGCGTGCATGGCCATGGCTACGTTTCCCGCAATTACGTCGTCCGGTGTGTGCAACTGTGCACTAGGATGTCAAGGATTGTGTCGGCATGACTTGCAGTCTGCAGCTGGCTGAATGTGCAATAGTGTCTACTGTCTACTGCCTGTCTAGACTAGTGTCTACAGTTCAATCTACTCCGTACATGTGATCCTCCGCAATCCTGGCAGCTGGCTGGCTGGAAGGATTCGTGTTGGTTGGTGATCCGCGTTGGCTATGCTGGTATTATTTATTTATTTATTTATTTTTTTCTTTTCTTTTTCTACTTTCACCCCTGGGCTGTGAATGGCGCTTGGGGTGGCGGAGATTCGGATTTCAAAGTATGGAGCTTATGGGCTCTGGGAGGGTTGGGGTCAATCTGGTAACCAGGTGTTGGCTTAGCTAGAGGCTATTCACTTTTTCATTGCTATTGCAACAGATGGATTGGTAGATGGATGGGAAGAGGGGGGGCTATGGGATAGGCCGCGACGGACTTTATACCCTGACAAAGACTGGCATCGTCTCGATAGGGCACGCGACCTCGACCTCCTGTCCTCCCTCGTGCACTTTGTCATCCCCCCAGAGTTTCCACGATGCCCCTACAGGCAGATACGCCGAGATTTTCCGCTGTCCAGCCTCGAGCACCGGCACGATGAGATACTTGGATCCAAACAGGTACTGCATTTCAATCTCCCAGGCTTTCCTGTCCTCTGGGAACTCATAGAACAGAGTCCGAATCACCGGTGTGCCTCTCTCATGCGCTTGTCTCATCAACCCCCTGGTGTAATCCCTCAGCTCCTCGCGGATGTTTATGTACTTCTTGCAAATTTCGTACACCTCCTCTCCGTACGACCAGATCTCATTGTCAGCGCCTGAAGCGGTCGGCTGGCCGGCAGGTTTGGGCTCACGGTCACCGTGGAGCCGCATTACGGGGCAGAATGTACCCCATTGAAACCATCGGGTGAAGAGCTCCCGAAATGCGGGATCATCTGGATTGCCCCCGTGGAAACCTCCAATATCTGTTGTCCACCATGGAATCCCCGCCAGCCCCATGTTGAGTCCCGCGGCGAGCTGGTTGCGGAACGAGCCCCAGGAGGAGGCAATGTCACCGCTCCAGACAAGAGCACCGTACTTCTGACTGCCAGCCCAGGCGCACCGCAGCAGGTTCACGATGTTCGTCTGCCCTTCGGCCTCCATCCCTTCGTAGAACGCCCGGGCGTATTCCTTAGGATAGATGTTGCCGATCTGCAGGTTGCTACCAGCTTGGTAGCGGTAGATGTCAAAATCGTAGATCGAGTATTCTGGCTCTGCTTCGTCGAGCCAGAATACCTTGATCCCCTTGTTGTAGTAATGCTTCTTGGCCTTCTCCCAGATATATTTCCGAGCTTCGGGGTTCGTTGCGTCAAAATGGGTGATGTCCCCGTCACACTGCATGGCCACTCGAAGGCCGCGGTCGTGCCGGATGAGGAGACCCCGTTCGAGCATTTCAGGGTAATTCTCAGACAAGTTCTCGACCGTTGGCCAGATGGAGACCATGAGTTCAACGTTCATTTCCTTCAGCTCTTTGACCATTGCGTCTGTGCACAAGCAATCACATTGTTAGTATTCCGCCGCTCCTACCAACGGGTGAGGTACTCACCTGGGTTCGGCCAGAACTCGGGGTCGAATTTCCACTCCCCCTGATGTTTCCAGTGAAAGAAGTCTACCACGATCACGTCCAAGGGAACGTTGCGTCGCTTGTACTCCCGTGCAATATTGAGCAATTGCTCCTGATTCCAATAGCGGAGCTTACATTGCCAAAACCCGAGACCATATTCCGGCATCATTGGGACATAACCGGTCACTTTGCTATATGCCTCCTCAATCTCAGCCGGAGTATCACCGGCAACAATCCAATAGTCCAGCACCTTGGTCGAATAGGCTTCGAAACTCATGGTGTTTGTTCCGAGCACCGCTCGTCCTATACCAGGGTTGTTCCACAGCAAGCCATAGCCGAGAGATGACAGAGCGAAGGGGACACTAGCCTGAGAATTACGATGTCCCAGTTCCAAGTCGGTACCCTTGAGGTTCAAGAAAGGCTGCTGATACTGACCCATACCGTAGATCCTCTCGCTAGCGTCGAGCGACTCTAATCGCATTGTGAGATGGTAGTCTCCCCCCAGAATGGGCCGTAACTCGCGCGCTTCGATCTCCAAGGCGCTGCATTTCGGGTCCATTGGATCGCGTCGATGGCGCGCGTATTCCTCGAGCAATTTCTTGCCTTGCGAGTTGTAGATTATGATCTTGCCGCGGTGGGAGACAATGGCTTTGATTTTACCGTTGGTAATGCTGGCTTCCTTGTCAGCTGGGGTTTCAACAATTGGTTTGTCCGTGCTCGGTTTCGAAGAAAGGGCCCAGTCTTCGTTGGGCATAGACGCCAGCTTGGTAGCCCGTATGCGGAAAGCATTTTCACCCCATGGCTGAATCCAAAGAATATGATCGTCGAATCTATAGACGAGCTTATCGTCTTCGGCATAGAGCATTTTGGGCGTCGTGGACGGTGGATAGCGGTTGGAAAAGCACAATCGGTGACCACTTCAATTGTTCTGGTGGATTGTTAGATCGGATAAAAGTGTTGGGGAAGCAAGTAGCTCGGGTATGGTACATTGATATAGTACGCTGAGAGATCAGCTGCGTCTTCAATCATCGGCCAAATCGGCCAGCGCATCATTCCTGATCGTTAGAACGGAGGCCCACACCGTGTGCGGTTCCAGCGGCCACAATACCCGTCATCCTCTCCTTGTTGCGAAATGGCCACAGGGGCAGGATATATGGTTGTGGTCAATCAATCTCCTCCTCGGGAAAAGTCCTGTGGAGGCGGAGGTGGAGGTGGGGGGGATAGTTTCTTGCAAACATGATAAGAGTCGGCCAGCTCATGGATGCGGAGAAGCGCCATGCTTTCATATTCAATCCAGTTGGTTGAACCTCTTCATGAGAGCAAGTGAATTTAGGCTAAATTTGCATGGGTTGCAGGGCACAGTATGAGGGGAAGCATCATCAAGCGGGGAAGATGGATTCGTAAGAGCATATGGCTTCCGTAGAAGATGCTATCATCAATGCGCCTTATTGGCATTGGCATAGGATATAAGATATGTTGCAGTATGATGCAGAGCATAGCACATCTTGCTGCGCCCTACTGTTTCGAAACTCTTCGAAGTGCTATATTGGAGCGGAGAATATGACCAGAACTTCTGGTTCTGAGACCTTAGCCGCCAACATAGATTGAGAGTGACCATGGCGTTGCTGGCAAGCTGCATGGCTGGCCAAAATCATATTTAGACAGGGCTTGGGGCTTGCCGATGTAGACTGAGCTGGAAACATATGTGAGCAAGCTGGATTCCTTTGACAATCAGTATCTGACCCGAACCGTCTCTACAGTCAATGCCAATGGCCTTTGACATTGAATCAGTAAGTCACTTATCAAACTCATCCTTGGCAGAAGATGGTGGGCTTTGAAATAAGCCTGCATTCTACTGGGTGAGTGGGACTGGAGAGCACAGAAGACAGTCGGTTCTGCGACATATTGTCCACTGAAGCCTCTTCCACGAGTCCCGTCCTCAGTTCATGGCGATGAGGACTCTTGAATATCTTCAGACAAGCACAAAACGGATTAGAACTCGCTGGATTTCGGTCGCAACTCATAGTCTTCAGTTTTCCTTCTCTCTTGCCAGGAGCAGGGCATTTCACAGTTGTTCGCAGGACACCCTGTAAGTGGTGGACACCGAGCGATATTATGACAAAAAAGATCCCTCGATAGATCAATTGCTAGAATCTCAATTCTAAGCAAGAAATGAGTGAAGAGCTATGGGCTTGTGGTTATTCTTGACCGATTCCTTGAGAATGGAGGCGTCCATCACACCTCCTTGACCACTGGGTTGACATGGGAGCGAAATCACTCTCTTGAGCATATAACTCCGTTTGTAAATCAATATTAGCTTGTTGAATCCAGTCCACTAATGATGGAAATTGCCCAAGAGAGTTGTAGATGAGAAGCAGTTGAAGCTGAAGTGAGCCGGAACTCTCAGTTTACTCCGCCCGACGCCTTTCCCATTTAGGCAGAGAGAACAACTTCGTCACCAGCCGGACTCAGAGAAGCTTCATTTCCAGTCGCACTCTCAACTAGCTTCTTTCTCTACTCGCTTATTCTGTGACTGATACGAATTACATTTCTTGATCGTATATATTGCCATATATTCCCTTTCATCCCACGGGTCTTGCCTCCTCCACTATGGAGGTCTCCAGCAGCATGCCACAGCCTGATCAGAACGGCGCTCACTCAAATGTCAACGCCATGGATGCGTCTATGGACATCGATATGGATATTGATCTTGGGCCGCTTCCAGAACCAGAGCTCATTGAGACTGTCAGTGATTCTATCCCAATTCATTCGTTGGCTTTTCCCAAAGACTGACCCCTGTTGACTTCGAAAGGAGCCAGCAATTGCAACGACTACAGCGGATGGCGCGACTGATCCATCGACGGCAGAAACACAGCCGGAGAAAGTCCATATACGAGGCGTTGACGATTTAACTACCGATAACATCAAGCAATTTGCGATTGACAACTTCCCTCTTGAGACCCCTACGCGCATCGAATGGATCGATGACACATCCGCCAATATTATTTATTCATCGCCGGAGATTGGCTTACAAGCTCTGGCGGCCTTGACTCAACCGAGCGAGGAGGAGGATACATCTGCGCTTCCGGCTTTGCGTCTGCGGACTGCCAAGGCTTTGTCCACTCACCCCGAATCTGTACTTCAGGTACGATTGGCAGTGAAGTCAGATCGCAAGAAGCCTCGCGCGTATGAAGCCAGTCGGTTCTACCTCATGCATCCCGAGCACGATCCTCGGGAGAAGCTACGCCTAGAACTCGCGGATCGACGGCGTCAAGGCGGCGGGGATTCCAGTGACGGCGACTACAGACGAAGACGGTTCGACGGCCACGAACTTCGCCGTCGAAGGGATCGTGACGCGGACGAAAATTTCGGCGCTAATATGTACGACGACGAAGGGCCAACTGCTACCACCAGTTATTCCGACGCGGATAAGCCTCGTGGGGAGCGGAGACGGAGAGGACAGCGGGAGCTCTTTCCTGAAGAAGGATCATCCGGGCGGCTTCGGAACCGAAGTGCTTCTCCAGGTCGCGACACGCTGGCTGAAAGCGGACAGTTGGACAACGAGGAACGCGATAATCGAAGACGGTTCAGGGAAAGATCGCCGAAACTTAACCGTCGCAACAAATCCATCGAGCTCTTCCCCTCTCACGCAGACAAGGGCGATTCCAGTACCCGTGAGCTGTTTCCCAATAGACCGACGTCGAGTTACATCAAGAAGGAACTCTTCCCCAGCAAAGTCAGCAATCATCGCCGGTCCGATGCGATTGACGCCGCCGACGAAACGGCCGATCTCTTCTCGCAGAGAATCTCTGTGCCTCTGGTGGACGGGGCTCGCGATCAGAGCTCGTCGCATCGCAACACGAACGTCGAATTATTCCCTGAATCAAGGGGTCGATCCGGGGTCAGTATTCGTGGGGCTGCTGGTCAGGATCAAGGTATTTCAATTCGCGGTTCGGCCAACGGCCTGTCAATCAAGGGCCGCGGCGCATCGGTTCGAGAACTCTTCCCCTCCAAGTTCAATAACAATGCTGGCAAGGAGCTGTTCTCAGACAAGATTGAGGGGCGAGGAGGTCCCCGGCGGAGGGCAGAGGACATGTTTAGTTGAGCATAATCGGATATGTTTTCGCAGATAGTGTGATCCTGGATTTTGCTCCTGAAACCTTACACAAAGGCTCAAAAGTTCCGAATCGCACGAAAAAGCAACTCCATATTCTCCTGGGGCTTTGCGTCTTATGTATCTCTCTAGAAAGTGATTTTTTTATTTTTTTTTTACCCCCTTGAAGCTGTATCAATATAACCAAAGCTATTTGTCCTTGAATTAATCAGCATCTATCCAGTCGGACTAGGCTCAGTATGGCTTGAACTTTGCCAACCAAGAGTATCGAAGTCCCTTGACCTTACAAGTCGACAAGATGACATCGACAACACAGCTAGCCAGTGTTCTTGTGGCTCGTTTTCTTCGATCGAATAATTATACAGAAACCCTTGAGGTGTTTATCCGCGAGGCGGGACTTCCGGCGAACGCGGGGCAATCCGGTGCAAATGACGATGAGAAAAATAAATGGACCATCGAGGGAGTACTCGAGGAGAAAAAAGCATTCGACGAGAGCGTAGGGTTCGAACGGTATGGCGCAAACGAGGAAAAAGATGTGTGGACTGTGCCAGGTAAGTCGATCTCATTGTTTTCAGTCCTCCGAGCTCTAAATTATATATGTTCGCTGACATCCAACAAGCGCCATCAACACCGAACATCATCCCCACACCAACTTCTACCAATCTTTTGGCATGCTCTGTGGAGCCCTGGCACATACCCAGCCAAGAGGGGAATCAGGGTGACACAGTACCTTACTTAGTTGCCACAGGTGCCGACAGACAAGTCCATCTCTTCCAGACGGACGATGGCAATGATGTCGCCAGCTCTTTGACTGACCTCTTCGACTCCCCAATCCTGTCATACGCGCCGATTCAGAACGGGGAATATGTCCTTCTGACCAACATGTCTGGCCAGCTGCTCCTTCAACGCGGCGGGAAAATCATTTCTCGCCGGAAAGACCATGCCAAGTACGCCGTGAAAGTGGTGGCATGCGAAGAGGATGACCAGCCGGGCGAATCGGGAGCACGAGGGATATGGGCTGCCACCGCCGGTTGGGACTCAAAGGTCTTTCTTTACCGGCTTCGTATCCCCAGCAGCACAGCGGACTCCGACACGCTGGAAATCAACGAGCCCGTGGCACATATAACCCTGCCCACGAACCCAGAATCGATCCTGTTCGTCCGCCACCCGGATACACAGGAACTGATCTTGCTCGTGTCACGGCGCGACTCGACATACCTCTTCTATTACCAGGTTCCGCCGCCAACCAGCACCGGCGTCTTCGGCGAGTGCCAGCTCCTCGGCAAACAGAACCTGGCGCCTCATTCGATCGCCTGGGTTGCGTTCTCGCCAGCCTGTCTCGCTCTGAATCCTCATGACCCCGGACTTCTCGCCGTGGCAACGTCAACCCTCCCCCATATGAAAGTGATCATAGTGCGTTTACTATTCCCCAAGTCCGACTCTCCTGCGACAGGGGAGACATCCGCAGAGCCTGAGACACAGGCAACACAGGCGCTGGCGGCACTTACGCTCCAGAACCGCGAGGATGCAGCCATCATGATCCAGGCGAATACGTTTGCGCCGCAGACGGCCTACTCCACCCCGCAAGTGGTTTGGCGGCCGGATGGCTCTGGGGTGTGGGTTAATGGCGATGACGGTGTGATCCGGGGGATTGAGACTAAGACGGGGAAGATTGCTACGATGCTGAAGGATGGGCATCAGGCGGGATCCAAGGTACGGACGATCTGGGCTGGTTGGGTTGAAGTACGCCGGGGCGACGTAGTCGTGAAAGAAGAATGGCTTGTCAGTGGAGGGTTTGACAAGAAACTTATTGTTTGGAAAGTGTAGACTTAGTCTAGGCTTTCTCTTAGGGAGAATTTCAAGCAAGTAAGGAAACGGCACAGTGTAGCAGGAACATTGATATTCAACACTATATAGGCTTACGGGAATGTAGCTCCTCGTCCATGCACCCTCTTGCCATGGGAAAGAAAAGAGGGTGATTGGTAGTAGAAGGGCATGGGATTTGTTCTCGGCACGTAAATAAATCCTTCAGCAATCGCGCATGGAGTAAAGACACGCAGCTGTACACACATATGCCTGAATGAGATGAGGAACAATCAAATGATTGAACCCTGCGAGGGGAAAAGAAAAGAAAACCAGAAGCACCGTGGAACCGTGTCCGGGAAAAAAAAGCAGTGCAAAGTCGACGCCCAAGTCTACCTGCTCGTAGACGGACCATGCACCAGGCAATCATCACAGATGGCCAAGTCGTGGAATCGAATCCATTTTTGTGTTATTTAACAAGCCGTCGCGCGAACACCAGCCAGGCTATTCCGACATGACGGTTTGTGTCATCGCACGTTAAACCAACTCAAATCGCTTTCCCATTTAATTTCGATGGATTAATTTATGCGACCTCCCGCTTGCCCTCCTTTCTCTCCTTCTGTAAGTTCGTTAGCCGAGGGCTGTTCCGCAGCACTGAGATTCCCAACTTGATATGCAGCTGTAATCAACGTACCAGAGCCTTCATGGTGCCGTGGAGAGCGTGTCTGTGGTTGCGGCGGAACTTGGGGTCAACACCCTTGAGGGAGGGGTAACGGTTGGTCTTAGGCTTCTTGATACTGTTGCACACAAAGAATGAAAATCAGCGACCTGTTCATCCGCTTTCAAAATGGTGGTTGGTGGATATGTTGCATGCTGATCTTGCTTCGATCATAGGGAAACCGCCGCCCGGGAGAATGTCGAATCCCAACACTGCAACGTGATCCTCCCTTCCTCAAAACAACGATATCTCGATTTCTGGGGTTTCTTGGAGATTGTACGCACCCGTTACGGTGAGCCTTCTGGCTGCGGTGGTGCTGAGACGCGTTCTTAGACTCTGTTCAAAGTGAGATGCCCGTTAGCGATTCTCGTCCCCATTTCTTCGGATTGACCGGCGACGAAATCAATCCGACAATCTCAAATATCCGGAATTTCATGTAACGTACTGGCCATCTTGACGGGTTGTGTCGCAACGAGAAAAAAGGGTTGACGATGAGTTGGCGGATCGAGGATGTCCTTGAACTGAGCAAAAGGCTAGAGACCCCCCAAAGGTTCAGGCTAGGGCTGCCGGAGGAAAGATTTGTGTGGGATTTCGCTTACTGCTCCAGCGGCTAACGTCATTGGTCCATTTGGTCCCGCGAAGAGCGGCAGCGCCAGATACCTTATGTTTACGGCAACGATGTCCTAGTTACTATATGGAGTAGAGTAGATGCTTTTTATTCTAGATATACTGAGTTTGGCTTTTGGATACTTGTGAGTATCTCAATCAACTGCCATCGATCCTAATACCGGTTGGTCCTCACAAGGAATTATCGGTATGTCGAACTGACAGCACTGGGTCCCGTGACCCGATTACTCAGCACATGCCAAAGATTGCTTGGCACGGAGATGAGAAGTATTTGATACTCTGGATGGAATGCCATTCCTCTCCTGCCCCAATGATGGAAGCGCTCACTTCGATACCAATGGATCGTTCATGTGTGATGAAGAGCTTACTACTGATAGCTCCATCATAGCGCTGTCGTATAGAGTCGTCTCACATGGCGAAAGAGGATCCCCGTGATTCGAGATCTAGGTGCTCAAATGTTACTAACTTACTTGTATTGTGATCTCATAAACCTTTAGAACCGAAGCAAACTCCTTCCATATGCTTCTTGATCCTGGCCATTCGTAATCAGGTAGAGTTAACCAAAAGAGAGTGTACTCGAAACGATCCAAGGCCGATACTTGATGGATGATATGTTCGTAGGAGTATCACTTGAGATCTGAAGAAATGGCTGGACTGCCAAGAAAGCGTTCATCTTATACTGCATCAGGGTCAAGCGATTAAACTCCTCATAAAGAGCTAGCTGGAATGCAATTGATTGACAGAAAGGTCCTTGAGGATTGACTGTTGTGTTGTTGAACGAGTTGACTTGGTACCTGGTAGCGGAACCAGAAGACAGACAATGTCTAATCACGTGACTAAAGAGCCGCTAGGGAACAACCGGCATTCGGACTTCGACCTTTGCATCTTTAACTCAGGTTCAAGAGGGATATCACCACCACCTGCTCCCATCCACCATTGCAAGATGAGCTCTCTTCGCTTCGCTCGCTCTGCCCTCCGGGCTCGTCCCTCTGCTTTCCGCGCTCCTTTCCAGCGCAGAGGCTACGCTGAGGCTGTGCCCGACAAGCTCAAGCTTTCTCTTGCCCTCCCCCATCAGGTACAATCCCGAAATCATTGACTCCCTCTATTGAGACAACAAGCGTCTCTGATCACTAACATGCGTTCATTGAATAGACTATCTTCAAGTCGACCGGCGTGTATGTCCTGAATGACCCTCCCTGATCGACGACCGAGGACCTACAAAACCGGCTTGACACCGTACTAACTATCCTGCCTATTCAGTGTCCAAGTCAACATCCCCGCCGAGTCCGGAGAGATGGGTGTTCTCGCAAACCACGTTCCCTCCATCGAGCAGCTCAAGCCTGGTCTCGTTGAGATTGTTGAGGAGGGTGGTGCCAACAAGAAGTTCTTCCGTACGTCCGATGACCCTCGCGAATATTTGCGACTATGACTCTCGACGCTTTGTTTTGCATATGCCGGCCCGATTCACATTTTTGAACAAGACTAACATATTGTGTGCTTCAGTTTCCGGTGGATTCGCCGTTGTTCAGCCCGACTCTACCCTGAGCATCAACGCCGTCGAGGCTTTCCCCCTCGAGGACTTTAGCGCCGATGTAGGTTTCAGCAAACCAAAGCGCTCAGATGCATATCGTTGACTTGAAATCTTTCCTTCCAGGCCGTCAAGTCCCAGATTGCTGAGGTTCAGAAGATCGCCAGCGGCAGTGGCAGCGAGCAGGACATTGCTGAGGCTAAGATCGAGCTTGAGGTAGGTCAACCGAGATCGCGTCTGTCAGACCATTGGTTCATTGGCTAACGTCTTAAAAGGTTCTCGAGACCCTGCAGGCTGTCCTGAAATAGATACCTGATGTACATAACCACTCGCGATTGCAGTTCTGAACTTGTAGAATTATAGCAGTTCTCCGGAACGGTCCTCCTAATGATATATGCCCGTCTAACAATCAGGACATAAGTTAGTCTCTTGAGGATATCGCGCTTTCCCAGGCTGGAAACTTAACCCATCATGTCGCCCCTACCCCGTTTAACTTGCAGTCGTATTGCTTTTCCTTTCTGAATCCTCCTCCTTGACTGACCATGAACTAGAGTCGGCCTCTTACTTGTTAGCAAACCCACAAGTTCTCTCTGAGTACCCTGCATCACATCAAAGACTCAATACCATGCAATCCTGAGATTATGGCTGACCAGATATCATCTCATCCGCGTTTGTGCCCCTCATGGGCCTCGCAATTTGCGTGGAAGGAGCATCAGCTCGGACAGATCCCGACAACTCCACTAGCATCGCCAAGCAGACTCCGATATTCGAAGGCGAAGACAGATACAGCCGATGCACCTGATGAGAATTCACCTGCACCAGGTTCATCTCATGCGAGTGAGAATGATGACATTCGAAGACGCAATTGGACGGATGCCCAAATATCCACTTCGATACAGCTCTCTGATCCGCTGACTGATGCACACACTGTCTGTGTTGGCTCTCAACTTGCCAATCCACATAATACACCAGTGTCGGATTGTGAAGAATCGAATCAAAATTCCTCTACGCTGCCCTCCGGTATAAGAGGCGGCAAATGCACTCTTTCGCCATCTAAATCTAGCAATACCTCGACTAGCTGGCCGTACGTTTCGCAGAAAGGTTATAGCATCAACGCACCCGATACCACTCGGACCGCGTGGAAGCCACCCCGGCCACCGAAGCCTTTCTTCCTAGCCGATGCTGCCTTTGTCGTTCCGGAAACTCTGGGGATTACTCGGACTTCTGCAGATATATTCCCAACGGAGCGCAAGCACGTCAAGCATCCTTTCATTAGTCCTCCATCTGATCATCAACAAACCCCTGCACTGCATCCCCTCTTTGTGGAACATAAATATCTGGAAGAGGAACCTGTTTCTGCCAAGCAGCGGAAACAGCCGGAGATCAGAGGAAGGCATTGCCCGCGTTACCATCCACGGCCTATTGTACGCCGCAGTGTTGAGACTGCGGGCCATGTCTCTTTTAATGAGGCGGATATGCCTTTTCCAGCGCCTATACCTACTATTGATAGATTGCCACTACGCCGACCAATACTTTCACAGGAGTCAAAAATGGCCTTCTTGCGGTCCCAGAGCGCTATTAATCACACCAACTTGAGAAAGACCAAAGGAGATACGGTGTTGAAGGGTTTAAAGGGTCTCTTGGAGCGTCTGGTTGGAGTAAGCTTATTTTGGCGAGATGAACGTGAGTCGACTACGGTGACTTTGTCTTTCTACCGATTCCAGGATAAAGCACAAACTGTGCCATCAAGTTCTTTGTCCTATTTGCTGCGCATGGAAGTTCTATCAATCGATTCGAGGCGTCCAACAGACGAGTTTGCTGTGGTTTCAGAGTCTTCGACAACCCAAGTTACATGTCTCTCTCAGATTCGTCTTGTTCTTCCATGCACATTTATCAATATTCTCAAGCCATTCGTCATGGGTATTCAACATCCTATCTTTACGACCATCACGTCGATCTTTATCTGTTTGTTTGCGATCCTGGTACGAGCCTTTGCGAAACTGAGCTTACGGAAGCTCGACAGACTCTGCCGACACACACTTGGTATCAAAGAGAGCGATCCGGAATGTTCTGAATGATGAACCGGTTTTTACATGGTTGAACTTACGAGGGCTTGAGTAACTTGACAGCGAAGTCTGAGGAAAACCTCACTGTGCTGCTTGGATTCTCTTGTTTCATCAGGGGAGCACGAGCTCCGTTTCTAAGTAGATGTGTTGTGTGTTTGAGCATTCAATATTGAAGACTTCAAAGCATGCTTGATCGAGGAGTAAATTCATTCTTTCTGCAGGATACATGACTCTTGAGCAAAACACAACCCCGAGCGTATGGTAGAATACCACAGTCTGAGACTGGAAGTGAGCACTCGCTCCGTCCATTGTAAGAGCCATTGATATCAACAAACGAGTAATACAGTGAAAGAAACACCGGCCGAGAGAAAAATTTCCTATACCGCAAGTGGATAGTGAAGAGAATCTAGCAGTGGGAAGGGCATAAGAGAAGCAGGGGAATATCATCAGCATCCTCAAAAACTAAACATTGTCATTCCAGGGATATAAACTTCCAGGTACATTCTTTTCCATACACGTAAGCTATCCCAAGCCATAAACCTCATTTGATCATCAAAAAAATTCCTGTGAGTATGGTCGTTCCGCGTTCGTGGGTATGAGAAGGGGTCGGGGGGGAGTAAGGGTAGAAGCAAGGCGCAGTGGAACATCAAGATAACAGAAATTCAACGCTCATATTGACCGACATAGCATTTCATCAATTTGCCAACGAAAAATAAGTAGAAACAAAGGGATCAGGGGTAGGGGGGGTATAAGGATAATAGAGTGATATTAGCATGCCAAATCGGGGGTTTTCTGTACAAGGGTGAAGCGGAGTGGGTATCCGTGGATACTCTAAGTCTTTAACAGACGCGATTTATGTAAAGTCGACACTACTTTGCTGTCGCTCTTGTCGAGCACGAGCCCTCTCCGCTCGTCTTCGCCGCCGGTTGTTCGCATAGTCTCCGCTGGCATCGGTGCCGGTAAATGTGCCAGGAGAGGTAATGCTACCCGCCCCGTACGGTAAGCTGGAGGGTGCAGGTGGTGGCCCAGGGACGTGGCTCATTGAAGGTGGTACAAACGACGCTGGCGGCACGGTCCCAGGTGGAACGCCAGAGTTGCCAGCGGCGGCGGCAGCAGCAGCAGCCTGCTGCTCTCGTTGAATTTGTTCTTGCTGTTGACGTTCCAACTCTTCCACGCGGCGCCATCGATCGTAACTTCCCTCGTTGCCCGATAAAGAACTTGCACTTCCCGCGCGTCGACGCGAATTCCGTCTTTCTCGTCGTCTTGCTTCGCGACTAGCGGCGACTTCTTCCTCGGTCAATCTCCTCAGCGTGACATGTCGACCATCGTTGTGCATCTTCACTTTCACTGACACCGGTGGGGACTCGACATTGTCGTCCCGGCGTCTGCTAGTGCTGCGGTGGCGACGATGGCTGGATGCGCCATCCATGGCTGCTCCGGCCACCAAAGCTGAGCCTGGTTCGGACAGTTCATGCCGAGATCGGGTCGGGGCTGGCAGATCTGAGACCGGTCCTGGGTGAATTGGTGGAGCAGGCGGCATATCAGAGTGTGCCCCGTCCACAGGAGGAGGAACCGAGGGTCCGACTGATATAGCAGACTCACCATGCGAAGGACCACGCGGTGGGCGTGTCATGTCCGTCGATGAGAGATCGGTAGCGGTGAAGGAATCTGCTCTTCTGTGCTTTCGGGGGTAAAAGCCATCTCCAGTGTGCCGGCGTTTGCTGTTTGCTCTGGCAATTCTCTCTTCCTCGATGTCATGACGCCGCATGTCCTCTACGCGGCGTTGCTCGTTATCTCTCTTACGACGGTTGAAGAGGCCCTTGAGAGCTGCGAACGCTCCAACTCCAAATAAGGCATTGCGCGCCTTATGAGAAGGCTCCGGCTCATGGTCCGTCATATATGTTGTGTTGTAAAGATAAGAAGACCCTGGACTTTGAGGTCTGCTCGCGGGTCCGCCCGGAGGTCTGCTCGGTGGCCGATTGAGGGGAGTCTGGTAAGTGGGCTCCGGTCGTCGTCCGTCTTCTAACCTGCTCATAGTTGCCTCAGTCATGCTATCACTTCGGGTATGCGCCCGGCTATACCGCCCCGATTCGGCGTCGCTTTCTCGGTCGCGTCTTCTGTCGAACAATCGTTTGGCGAGAAGCGCGCCTCCACCAATGGCTCCAAGTTTGAGAAATTTATTTCCCCAACCCTCGCGACGCGGTTCTGCATCGGAGTATTTATCTTCTGAATAGGATACGTGTGAGTCTTCGGGACGGTGTTTTGGGCGTGAGCGACGTCGGAAGAGCTCAGCCAGACCCGCCCCAGCTGCGCCTGCTGCAGCCATGCGGCCAAAGCTGCCATGGCGCCTATCCTCGACAGCTGATGGTCCCGAGACGTAGCTATGCCCAGCGTCGTATTCACCTGCAGCTGGGGCTCCTTCGGAGTCATACAAGTATGATAGGACGAAGAACGTTGCGAGGAGTGCGAATGCAGCGATAGAGAATAATATGAAGAGTACTTTTGGTGAGCCATAGAGTGTCAATCCCAGAGGGATTTGCACGATACCTAGAATAGCAAGGGCACGGCCCAGCCATCGGTGGATCTATGAAGCAATTAGCTAATCAAGACAAGGCTGAGAGGGACAATGGTTTTGTCTGGCTCAAACTCACGACCAATTTAAGTGGAATACGGTATCTTTTTCTCCTGCTTTCGATTCTGTGCACGAAATAACCCCAAAGGACTTGGAAAACAACGATGACGTAGATAGCAAGTCCAATTCCATGATGAGGATTTGTCAGGCTTCTCTCTGGTCCGACAGCAAACCATCCGAGGACAAACACAACAGTGCTCAGCAGCAGTGTAAGGACTTGGCACCAAACATGCAGCTTGAACGCCCAGAATGGGTTCCATCGAGAGTAGTATCGTATAAGGAGAACTGAGATTGGGACCAAGCCGAGGAATACGATTGTTGCAATGACACCATGGGCGATTATCATGGTACGATAATGGGGCATATCTCGGAACCGGTTCCCCATGCCTAATATGAATGTGAGCAAAACCTGGCCATTCCAGAATCCACGATTGAACCCACCGTTGTATTGCATAGTCTCAAAGTTCACTCCCATGAGATTTGGCAGGAGGAATGTATCGCGGCCTGAGTCCCATGTGCCGTCCCCAACATGCAGTGTATTGGAGGCATAGGTGCTGCTCCCTGGAGCCGTCAGGTCCGAATTCGACATGGCGCTCGTGTCTCCCGGAATTCCAGATAGTCAGCGCTTCAATGGTGGCCTTTGAGACGGGGAATGTTGGGCACAGCCGGAGGAGATCTATCTAGATCCCCCACTCCGAAGAATGCACCATGCGCTGGAGGAGAAAACCTAAGAAACTCGCGAGGTGATCGACCGACTCGTGGCAATTAGCTCATCCGATCTAGATAGTTCGATGGTTTGTTTGACTCCTCAAGGCGAAGCTGATGAACTATTCAGTTTTGTATGCTGCTGAGGCTGGCGGTGAAGCAAGAAACCGGAGCGGGGACTGGACAACAAGGATAGGCTGGCTAGAAGGTTTTAAGTCAGGCAAAGCAAAACAAAGGTACAATATGCAGAACAAAGAGCCTTACCGATTCAAGCTATTCAAGCTGTATTCGATCTCGATCTGGAATGAAAAGCGCCGGAAAAGAGCAGCAGATGGCTGGATGCTGGGAAAGCCGACCGTTTGAGCGCCTGATCAGCATCACAACTGTTTGCCATTTACGGTTTAGCGTGCCGGCTCATATCCCAAGCAACCAACCGCTGACTCATCAACTGCTTTGGCTGACCGCCTGCCCTTTAGGAATTCATCGCGTGGCTATCTTATCATATCACATGCCGATTGCGATATCAACAATCACCAGACCGCCGCTCGCTGGCTTTCCTTCCCTCTCTTTCATGCATCGAAGGATTTATCTTCCGTATCCTCTGTGTCAGTTATAGATTTACAGGCATCTAGTTAAGTAAGATGGCTTCTCAGCTCGAGATCTTTGTGAGAGCACTGTCTCGGTGAGTTCGAGATGTTAATCACCAGTTCATCTCTGGACGTCATACTGATAAGCACCTATACGACAGTCTTCTAGGATGGATATAGTATGTTATCTGTTCATCGGACACAAGCAAATATTGGTCAATGCTGTGGCAAGCTTGCTACCTTGGTGGATATTCGCTCGCTGACTTGATCATCAAGTATGTTTTGTTGGTCCGCATCCTTCTATCCCCAGCCGATCAGTAACTTTCGTCGGCGATCAACAATCGGGCTGGCCATTGACTTTCCCACTATCAACGTTCTGGGCTTCGTCTGCTATACAGCATACACTTCTGCGTTTCTCTATTCCCCCGTGATTCGACGCCAATATGCTGCCCGTCACCCTCAGGCGGAGGATTCTACCGTGCGCTTCAACGACTTTGCCTTTGCCGTTCATGCTGTTATCCTTAGCTCCATTGTGTATACCCAATTCTGGCCCAAGATATGGGGGTTCAAGGTTTCTCGATTCCAAACTGTTAGCAAACCAGTTGCAGGTCTTTTCTGGGGCTCCATCATGGCGATTGGTATAATTGTCTGCATTGTTCTTGCCAGGAGTCCCGATGGAGGATATGAGCCGTCAACTTGGGCGTGGATTGATGTGGTGAGTCACTCTCAGCGCGCGCTCAAGACCGGAAGGGTTGGAGGATCGGTTTCTGGCCACTCTTGATGGTTTTAACACTATGACTTAGGTTTACGCTCTTTCCTACGTGAAGTTGATCATCACCGTGGTGAAATATGTCCCTCAAGCATGGGTTAACTATAAACGCAAGTCCACACAGGGATGGAGTATTGTGCAAATCCTTCTTGATCTGACTGGTGGCGTCCTTTCTTTCCTTCAATTGATTTTGGATTCGAGTTTTCAAAGTGATTGGAGTGGTATCACTGGAAATCCTGTCAAACTCCTCTTGTCCAATGTGACTATTGTGTTCGACTTGGTCTTTGTGGTTCAGCACTATATCCTCTACCGGGACCCCGTGGAGGACAAGATTGCGCCTCGGCATCCCGACCTTATTACCCCACTCTTATCAGACCCCAGAGGTGCCAACGCCTGAGGGCGATTTTGGGGGTACCTGTACTGGGCTGGATCGACTCTCATGCTTTTTGGATTTATATATATACACACCTATCTTAAATCATGTCTCCACGTTGGAAATCATTTGCTCACCGCTGTATTTCGGAAGCCGTTCGAGCCTTACGTGTTTGCTCAAACGGCAAGCACCTATGTTTTCATGTCTTCAAAGCCAACGGCATAAGCAGACGGCTCAACAGTAGGCAGTGCATGCAAATGAGGCTTCTTTCCAACTCAGGATTCCGATCCATTGACGATTAGTGAGACGTGTTCGCCCAGTAGGGCTGAGGCTCGCAGAACCACTCACTCGGGATGCAGGAGAAGGGACCAACGACTACACCCCCTTAGAGAATATCATGCAGCTCAAGTGCCAAGTCATAGCGCGCTAGACGCTTACAGGTCAGCCGCAACTCCTTCTACAGCCACTGATGTGCGTTTCCGGGGGACCGATATGCCTCTCCATTTTTATCCCATCAATATGTTCTCTGGGATTACTCGGCGATATTTAAGACAATAGGGTTGCATTGCAAGCACTGAATGTCACCGTCACAGCGACTTATTTGTCCATTCTCTGAGTCATGGCTGGCATGTCTTATCAGGGGTCAGATGGGGATAAGTCCGGTTATTCTCTCGATCTAAAGCAAGACATACATACAGGCTTAGATCATGGATTGGCTGTACCAGAATCCCCTGTTGGGAGGCTTTTTTTGCGACGCGCAGCCTTGCTGTTGACTTGGTGCAAGGCTTCTGATGGTGAGGTGACAAGATTGTCATTTCCTTCATTTCCTTTTCCGATTAACTTGACTACTGGTCCTAGGTAAGCATGAGCCTAAGTGTCGATGCCTGGGTCATAGGTGCTCACTGCTCAGCCTGGGCTCTACGTACTACCGTACATGATGGGCGAATCAACACCGCATGGCTTTGCCATTGTGTACCGTTGTGTAACAATCAAGCAGGCCAATGGAATCTTCTACCCCCATAAGTTGCTGATTGAACAAGACATTTTGTGCCGCCAACACTCAACTAATAATAACAGGGGAAACTCAACCGGGCACCGGGTAGACCTCTTGGCCGTTAACTGGGATCTAAGACAAGCTACCATGCGTCTGTGTGGATGGCAGAGCTCGCCCACATCTCAGCCCTACCAGGTGTCCCACAATGAAACAATGATATCCCGACCCCGCGATACTGTGGCAGGTTGCGCAAAGATTGTTCGAGTCTTATTGCTGTCTATTGCCTAATGTCACCCGTTTCAGCAGCGATATTTGAAGACAAGGGAGGCTGGCATCTTGGGCCAATATTCGGATACGGGTACCATTGACTTGATGGCGGGGCCGGATGAATGATGTGCAAGCAATGCATGAGGCTACCAATTCACCACAGTAATCGCTAGTTAGCTCATTCCGGAGATAGAAGCGAGTATTTCCGCGACCCCGACTGCAGATCAAAGGAGCTACAGAACAAATGGAGATGAAGAATGGCCAGCACAAGCACCAGACCTTGATCAACTAGCTACATAGTGCGGAATATGTGCGGATATTCCGTCAAACCATAACCACTAAACCGAACTCGAACCGATGGTGGGATTTGTCTGCAGATACCGGAGAATGCTATTGGATTACTCGTGCAGTCTAACTGCATGAAGCCAAGGTTACCTAGGCCTTTTAGAGAACCCGGCGGAAGGACATATGCACCGGCCGGTGATGATTCTGACGTTTCAGCCATCATCGCAAGCCCCCAACAGTCTCAGTGCATATTGACTGGTCCATCATGCTGACCCCGGAGCGGCATGTCTGGAGTTACTGGAAAGCTGCTTCGGACCCTAGCTATTCTCACCGACTTGCTTCAAAGTACCACGCCGTTCATCGCCTAAAGAAACCGAGGTAAGCGGGAGGCTAGAATAGCCACTACAGCACGTCGATGACCAATGGCAATGGCCTGAATGAACTATTCTCCAGGGCTCAGAGCATACCCTGAAGTATAGGAATGATGAACAGCATACTGTATTGGGCAAATTTGTCAGCTCTCCGAAGCATGACATAGCCACGTCTGACGTTGAATAATATTCTTCAATATTTCCGAGTCATAATGGTCATTGCTGGATATCTTTAGAGCGAGGAAAAAGAAAACAAATCGGTCGTCATCCTGAAGGAAACAACGATAAGGATTTCCATTATTGGCACGAGATGGACACGCTGGATTGCTTCGCGACGAAGTACTTAATGACATTGCATGGACTCCGGATCGATTGGCGCATCATCCCAAAAGAGCAATTCGAACGCTTCATATCTGTTCTAATCCCACCGTCTGCTAGCACCAAGCCAAAATCAATTGGGTCGTCCGATTGTGCGGCCCGCGAGAACATGTCCTTTCCTCTCTTAGATCAACATCTCTCTATCGCCATGTCTTCCCACCATTGTGCCTATGCAGATCTGCAAGGGGCGCCCGAGACGTACGCATACCATATGGGCCGAGCCGAGATTGAGGAAGACATGGCAGCTTTCTACGCACCGGCCCATTCAACGGGGTCCTCCTACATAGACCTGGACCTGGACCCTTCCCTCCATGCAACCCACGCCTACGACAACGCCATGCTATCAGGTATAAGCAGCCCCTACCTCGCCTACGCAGACCAATGGGCCCCTCAGCCTCCTCAGCCTCATTCTCGACCCCCAACAGCATCCCCATACCAACAACCAACAACATCAACATCAACATCAACAACCTACTACACCGACTATTACACCCAAGCCCAACCCTCCCCGTCCCTCTTCCCTACCAGCCCCTCGCCCCTCCCAGACCCAATGCACTCCTCCCCCCACACGCACCCGCAACTCGACCCCCACCAACCCAAGGACCTCTCGCCTTACGGCCACCTCAACGCCGACGGCAGCTGGCGCTGCGCGTACCCGGGCTGCACCTCCCCCGCCGTGTTCCGCCGCGGCTGCGACCTCCGCAAGCACTTCAACCGCCACCGCAAGCACCTCTTCTGCCGGCACGAGGGCTGCCCGCAGGCCATCGCCGGCGGGTTCTCGAGCAAGAAGGACCGCGCCCGCCACGAGGCGAAGCATAACCCCGGCGTGGAGTGTGAGTGGCCCGATTGCGGGCGCGTGTTTAGCCGCGTGGACAATATGAAGGATCATGTGAGAAGGATTCATCGGAAGGGTGGGGGGTGTTGACTAAATATGGATATGGATATGGATGTGTATGTCTATGTGTATATGTATTCTGGTGTTGGTGCGAGTTCTTGTTAGGATGGAAAGGGAGGGCTGTGGGCTCGGAGATTGATAGAGTTGGGGCTTGGTATGGTTTTGGGCATAGCGATGCGCGCTGGGATTTGGTTGCATGGTTTGCTAAAGTAGCGTCTTGTGATACCTGTTTCTGTATTTATATGCGTTGATTGTTCTTTGAGTCTGTTGCTCATGGCGCAAGCGGGTTAGTTATCTTATCGTCACGTCAACCCAACTGATCCAACTGATATATGTATGACTGTGTGCTTGAACTGAACACTCCATTCCTCAGACGCCATAAGGTATGTATAAGCAGTAAGTGTAACGAGGCTAAGATGCAGCTTTACACAAAACAAGAAACAAAACTGATTTCAGAGAGCCAAAGGGAAAACAGAAACATGGAACATGAAACACCGACGCCACTCGTACACCACGCTGTACCCCATGCTGAGACGAGAGCAATATATGCTAATACAAAGCGAATGGCAGCATACCGTACAACGCATGAAGAGAACAGGACAAAAGAAGAAAACGACGAATCATGATTCTAAGCATCTGGTATCATGTGGGAATAGCAGGAACACGAGGAAGATAAGAAAATTCGTCAGCGCATATGCAGGTGACAAGAGAGGGCGGTTTTCGGGGTAAGGTTGTCCGCGTTCGTCCGCGACGACCGTGAGGAGCCGTCGTGCGCGAGGGTGTAAGGATGTGTTGTGTCGACATGGCCGTATATGAGGATCTGATCTCGATGCCGTGAAAAATCCGCTAATGCGCGGTCGTGCGTCGTCGTCGGCCTCGCGTGCTGCCCTCTGGTCTCAAGGCGAGGACTCGTCTGAGCTCTGGATCGTCTTTGCTTTTGTCCACATGGTGGACTCGCACATGTCTGGTTTTTGTTTGTTAGACTTGATCTGAGGTAGAGTGAAGAGTACACATGGAGAACCTTACCTTTGGAGGTTATCAGGTCGCGGATATTTGTGCTGCTGGTCCGGACAAAACGGACATACGTATCCCGGGGAATTATGCACGAGGCCGTGTCTGATCATCTCGTTCTTACGCTTGAATCCCTTACCACCCACTCCGCGCGGACATCCTTCGATCGGACAAAAATGGGGCCGGTCTTGCGAATGAACATTGGCATGAGAACTGCAATAGAAGTGAGCCTAGAACTTCGAGAGGGGCCGTCCGCCGTCATATCAACCTACTTGAGCAAGTATTGCGTTTGGAACGGCGCAGCGGTACAGCCAGGATGATGACATTTGAACGTGCCTGGAGGAACAGGCGCTGTGGACGGTGGCGCCGGGTTGAATAGTGCCCGATCGCTGGATGGGGTCTGATCGGTTGGGGTCGGATAGCTGGTCGCTGGACTTTTGACCGCAGCCGGAGACGGTTCGTAGTTCGGAGTCGTAAGGTAGGTGATATCGGATCGGCTTTGCCGCCAATGGGGCTGTTGCTGCGATGCGGGAGAAGAAACGGCCGACATGCCCTGAGAACTGGCCGGGGACAAGTGGGAATAGGGACTGGGAGGCACCTGCGCCGGCACAAATTGCCCCCCGCGCTGGTGATCCCAAGCTGCATCGCTGCGTGGGATGGATGGTGAGGCGGCCGAGACGGGCGGAAGGGGGTAAGGAGATCGGCCAAAATGATCCTTCGGCGGCCCAGCGAAATCACCCAAGGCGGTCTGGATCGATGGCAGGCTGGGTTGCTGATGATTCTCCGGCGATTTCGCAACGGCCGATGGAGGCGATGTTTGGAGTGCCGGAAGTATGTCCTGCACCGGTACCTCCGAAGGCGGCAGTGCGAACTTTTTCAAAGGTGAAACCTCTGGAGATCGGCGCTCGACGCTAAACTGGTCTGGTTCGAGAAGAAGAGAAGTCCCGGGAAGGGGTTCTTCGATTTTGATGCTAACAGGCTCGTTCTGTAATGCGGGCGGCCCCAGAGAATTCCTGCTTGCCTGTGGAGATGACGGAGGCTTTGGGACTGGCAGAGGGTTCAAGAGATCAGGTGATTCGGGGGGTAATGCTGTGGACTCCGATCCGAGGAGTTCCAAGGCCTTGACCGCCACTGACGATACATGCTCCTGTGCTTTAGCCTCACCATCCCGTGGAGGTTCAATCGTCGTTCTCTGTCCATTGGGCTCATCGTCAATCCAGGGGCTCAAAGAATGCGAATGCTCTATTTCACGACGGGCAATTTCAGGGCGATTTGGGTCTAGTTGAGCAATCAGTACCGCATTGCCCTCAGCTATCCCGGACTTGGATGTCGGCAAAGGCTTACGGGGAAGGTCCGAAGACGTCCCCTCGGGGCCAGGATATTTATCAGGAGCGTCGTCCTTGGGCGGCGAGTCCTGGTTCACAAATGGAGGCAAGGACTCGTCGCGCTTGTAGTTGGGCTGCTGCACCTCCAGCCCCGGAGTAAGCCGACTGTCATCTGGTTCGTATGCGTCGGTCATGGAGGCGGGGGTTTGGGGGGCATCAGGTAGGCCCCCGATTTAGTTTCTCTCCCTTTTCTTTTGTTCTTCTTCTTCTTCTTCTTTTTCTCTCTCTTCCTTTCCTTTCCTTGCTTGAGAATTTGGTCTCTTCGTTCTCGCTTCGCAGACGTCAAATGGGGATGAAACCAATTTCAAGTTCAGAAACCCGCGATTGAGAAGATAGTCGAAGATTGAACAAGGGCACGTAAGACAGCGGTGCGGTTCTTCAAGGGCCAATACCTGTAGATATGATCAGTACATGTCTAAGCTAAAAAAAAAAAAATCTCGCGGATATGAATGCGAAACATCTGATCGTAACAGGTAGACCGCTGATTGGATGGCTGATTATACGCCGGAGGCAGAACACTGAGCTGCTTAAGAAGCGCTCAAACATTCACCGTATTCCAGTGGGATAACGACGGGATAGGATCGCAGTGGTCCGGAGATCCTTTTTACCTGGGCAATTGGTTGGCCACGGACCAAAGAGAGGCAGCGTGACATGCAATGCGCCGCAGATCGTTGATGGAGGGCTCCGATTGAAGGTCGCAATTCCATGTTGTTCGGAGGTTTGATAGGAAAAGACATTGATATTGAAATCAGCTTACCTGTTACACCCACGATAAAGCCTGCGAGTTACTGGTCGGGACTCTTGGAGTCAAAAAAACTTCGTTGAGAACCCAATCTGGCGCAAGAGCCAGAGCACCTGCAGTGAGGCTCTCACAAGGACCGAATGGCACGTCACGGGCACGGCTGGCAATGATGTACCCGATGCATGAGAAGGCTGGTCGCGGCCAGGCTAAAACAGAAACCAACCGAATGGACGAATGAGAAGCAAAGGATAATAATGCTGACGGGTTGAAGTTGATTCGGTTTGACGAGGTGCGACGTGGTTAGAGGGGGAGAGAAAGAGAGAGAGAGAGAAGATGATAGTCCCCAAAATCCCAAGTCTGGGAAAAAAAAAAAAAAATGAAATAAATTAAAAGAAAAATGGTCCAGAATTGGGGAAGAAGCGGAGTAACAGTTGTTGATAATAATAACAACAACAACAAAAACGACAAGGACAAGGATAACCAGGGTGCCACTATAACGGCTGTGGACTGGTGGACATGTGGGAGTGGTGGTGACGACGCTGCAGTAGTCGGGTTTGTCGCAATAAGACTGGCGGCGGTGGATATAGGAGTGACCATCAAAATATATCGAGGAGGAGGAGCCGATGGAGAAATCGTCCAGAAGGGCGCGGGTTAGAGAGAAAAATTGAATCAATATTGATCAAAGAGGAAAAAGAAGAGGAAGGATAATAATAATGATGATAATAATGAACCGGACTATGGTCTATGGCTTCACCACGATGAGGCTACCTTTTAGTTAGTTAGTTCGGGCGGGAAGAGGAACGTTGGCTTGGCAGGCAGGATCGAGGATGAAATGGGAGAGACAACAGAAGGCGATCAAGCGGTCAGAGATGATTTGATGGCCAGAACGGGGGAGATTGATTTGCGTCGTGGATGGGACCAGAGATGATTATGGTGCTGATGATGCCGATGGAGGAGGAGGAGGAAGAGGAGGAGGAAGAAAGAAAGAGACTGGATGGCTCGATAGAATAAGGAGGAGAGAGAAGAGTGAGGCAGATTCCAGTGTTTCAGCCTCGACCATATTATTGGGGAAGAAAAGAGATCCTCTTCGTGTCGGATAGGTAGACTGATAGAGAGAACGGTGTATGTGTATAATGGGTGTCAAAGTCCAACTGTCAAGTCAAGTAGGGGACTAGGGGACTAGGGGACTAGGGGACTAGCAGGAGGAGACGGAGGAGAAGAGAGGATGTGATGATCATCCTGGAGAGAAGAGGAATGGTGGCATAGAAAAGAGGAAAGGAAGAAAAAAAAAAAAAAAACGAGACTTGAAGTGTCCAGACGCGCCTCAAACAGGCAAAAACAAAGTGGGGTGTTGAGAGAGGTAGAAGGGATACAGATTAGTCTACAGAGTACAGACATGACTGAGATACTACTAACTAGTAACTACAGGACAGGATTAATTCTTATTATCTTGCCAGCATTCAGCAATAATAATAATAATAATCAGCAGAACTAAAGTAGTCAAGGTCCCCTAACTCAAGTAATCTAATCCAGCCCGGGATAAGACAATTCTCCTCCTCTGTGACGGGGGACTGGTCTGAGATTTCACCCCAGAAATGAGGAACGATAGATTCTACAGTCTATGGCCTCACTACTTTTCTAGTAATAGATAAAATGAGAGTAAAAGTTGGTCTCCTCATGATCGAAAGAAAGAGGCTGCTGCTGCTATCTCCAAAGTACGCCTTTCTCCAGCCCGTAGTCCACATTCCACACAGTCCACGAGCCTCTTCCGGTCCAGCCGCATTATCCAACCAAACAATCTCCACGTTCGGGCCATTTTGAGGCTCTCTGCAAGATTCACCGACGGTGATTGGTCCGCTGACGAGGGCAAAGAAAGGAGGCTGAAGCTGCTCATCTGCACCGAACCGACGTAGAAACTTTGATGATACAAGAGGCGACTTTTCTGCTCGGATCTACCCTAGTCTTGTGATGTATTTTTTAGCTAGCTAGAGGGGGGGGGGAGGGGATTTTACTGAGTGATCTGACTGATGAGGACAACCATCTCTGATCTTTCCCCTCATCGGTTCTGGTACATGACCCAAAGGATTCTAGGGTGAAGTCTTGTTTATGCGGATGTCTGATGTTGGGTACCTAAGGCGACAAGGCTGTCACAGGCCACCCATTTTATTTATTTTCTTTCTTTCTTTCCCTTGCTGTCTGTCTGCTGACGTTGAATCTCTGACCGCATATTCCGTTTTTTTTTTTTGTTTTTCTGCATGGTTTGATTTCAACTCAAGATGGTGGATTCAAGACTGTCCTGATTCTTGACCCTTCAAACTCCAGTCTTTACACAAAGGGTGTGGAATAGAGTTCCGGTTGAGAGAGATGAGGTACTACTGAGGTCCGGAGAGGAGAGGACATATCCTACGGAAGAACGAGTAGATTGGGGACTGGTCAAGGACTCAAGAAAAGTTCTACATTCGAGGCTGGAAAACTGAAAAAGTCCCCGACCTAGACTAATTAATGGCAATCGGCCATGAGCCCATCAACGAATAGCCGGTTGATGTTTCCGTCAAGACCTGTCTGTCAGGATACGAGGTTTTTTTTCTTCCAAACTGGGAGCGAAATTATTATCAAACATAAGATCCGTGATCGTAATTCAAGCATTTCCCAATTTAACGAATTAACTGTGTCTCGATAGATCTAGATACCTAGTACTACTGTACTAGTATCTAGGTCTTAGGTAGATACAGTAGAGCTGCCAGAGAGTCAGAGAGTCAGCATGCATGATGACTGCCAGAGTGTGACGGGACCAGGGTATTTCCGGAGTCCGACACTTGATCGACAGCTGTTCTTCTGCAGAATGGTTGCGGGCAGGTGATTGGGGATTGTCCAATTTCCCCTCCCGTGTGCTCCACTACCTACACAGTATAGGGAAACCGGGAAATAATATGTCTACTAGATACCCAGTACCCAGGAATTCTTAGGTAGGTACCTAGTCCCCTACTAGTACGGAGTAGGTAGGACCTAGGACCGGGACTGAGCCTAGTAGGGGGGTCAGTGCCTCAGGCTCTTCTCGATGGACAACAAGATAATCACATCACTAATCACCCTCCTCCAGGCAGAGAGATAATAATAATAATTATTATTATTATTATTATACTACATAGTACGGAGTAATACTAATACTAATAACAATTTCTTCCGAAACCCTCATTGTCATCCCCCATGGAGAGTCATGGATCTCCATCGATAATCCGCGGATGTTACCCTCGACAACCCCCGGAGACATACATCAACATGCATCTCTAGACACTTCTTCAATTTCGGCTTGAAAAAAAGGCTTCATTTCTCAACCCTAGTCCCTAGTCCCTAGTCCCTGCTCCAAATGCAACGATGTACACAGTACTTCCAGATCATCCTCTCAGCCTCGCGTTCTTCCATCACCGCGCATGATTCGTCACTCATCCCCCTCTTGACAGTTGACACATCTATCAGAATGAGGCTGTCCGGATCGAACAGAACAGCTTTCTTTTGCATTTTCAACAGGTAGCAGACGAGCAGTAGTAGAAGATACGAGTAGACACCTCATAATCCCCGCAGCCGCAGGCCTCCGTGCTTAGTCATGTGACTCCGGTCTCTATCATCCCACACACGCTATGAATGAATCCAGTCTCAAGCGGCCCGCCCCGAATCCACCCGCCGCGCTCATGAAATTAGGTATCGATATTCGATTCGTATCAGAAATGGATATGATAATATAATTATGATTATGATCAGGCTCCATCCTTCACTATAGTCAGTTATAATAAAAATCATTAAGGCGTACTGCAGCTCAACCAAAGCCCCCTTCATCAGACCATAGCTTACACAGACACCGAACACAAGACAGCCCAACGCAAAACAAACAAAAGCATTGTTTTGGCCCCAGTGTCACGAAGTGCAACAATCAATCCCAATCCCATTTCTCTTTCTCAACCGCAATCATATAGGCACTAAGCCCTAGACAGGGTATGGGTCCAGTCTAGTCGGTTCTTTCAGTCATCGCGACGATAACGCTCGCTTCAAATGATCATATTCATGTCTAGGACTCTAGGTAGGCTGGATTGAAATTCCCCACCCGAAAGACCAGTCGGTCACTGGTCACACAATCGGGGGCAAAGGGCAAACAACGACTATGGAGCCGCACCCAATTACCTTTATTGCCCCGGGGGTGGATCGTTGGCCGTTGCGTTGCGGTGAGGTGCGTGGCAGATTGAGTGGTGAGATTTTTTCTTTTCTTTTCTTTTCTTTTCTTTCTTTTCCTCTTTTTTTTTTGGGTTGGCTTCGGGGTTAGTACATGGTGTTGTATATTTGTTTTGGGTTGGGGTGAAGGGGGGATGGAAAGATCTTTTTTCTTTCTTTGTTTGCTTCAAGAATAGATGATTCCGAAAAGATCATATCACTGCCGGAAGATTATCTAACTAACTAGCCTAGGGGTCCTTTTACCCATTATAGCTTCCCCCTCTGGCGCACTTGCACCTGCTCCTGGACCTTCTTGACCCGTTCCCACGCCTCCAGCGCAAACGGCTTCGTCTTCCTCGCATACTCCTGCGCCCGCGCACTGCTGGCCTGCCGTAGCGCATACCGCGCCGCGATCCCCTGCATGATCACTGAGCTCCTCCACGAGAAGAACGCATCCCCCCACAGGATATCCGGCGTGGGATCCCACCCGGCCACCTCGGCGTACCATCGCAGACAGTCCGCGCGCCTCGGCAGGCCCGGTGTCGCGCCGGGCTGGAAGTCCGCCGTCTTGTGGTCCGTTCCGTCGAGGAAGTACGGGCTGGTGAGGTTGCAGAAGTCCGACAGCGGATGCCCGACCGTCGCCATCTCCCAGTCTAGGATGCCGATCACCCGCGGCTCCGTCTTGTGGAAGATCATGTTGTCAATCTTGTAGTCGCCGTGCACCAGCGTGCCCCGGTCCTCCGGCTGCGTCGCCTTGGTCGAGAAGAACCGCACCATATCCATAAAGTGCGGCAGCTCGCCCACCGGCTCGTGTGTCTCTACGTCCACGGCCTTCGATTGCGCGTTCGACACCGCCGTGAACGTCGCGATCTGCCGGTCGTAGTAGCCCGCCGGCTTGCCGAAGCGTTCTAGCCCGACCGACTTGGGGATGACCCGGTGGAACTTGGCGAGCGTGCGCACGGCATCGCGCCATCTGCGCAATACGTCAGCAGTCTAGCCTAGTTTAGTGGCAGTTGTAGGATGGGAGGCAATTTCATACAAGGCTGTGCGCTCCTCGGCGCTGACGCCCGGGATGGCGGGATCCGTGAACATTCGCCCATCCAGGAACTCCATGATGTAGAACGGGGTGCCGATCACGCTGCTGTCCTCGCACAGGCAGTATGCCTTGGGCACGGGGACGTCAGTCTGCTCCAGCGCATGGATGATCTTGTATTCTCGTTCGACCTGGTGCGCGGTCTTCGACAGGAGCTTGCCTGGGGGTTTCTTGCGCAGCACGAATTGGTGTTTGTCGGCGCCGGTGATAAGGTAGGTTGGGTTGGATTGTCCGAAGCCGAACTGTGAGTTACCAGCTATTCAGCTTAAGTCGAATTAAAATGGGATCCATGCCAGAACTCACCTGTTTCAGATCAATCGGGGTCTTGATGATGGGTAAGTTCTGGTTCAGATATCGCTCCAGCGACGGGATGTCGATAGGCTGGCGTATAGCTCCAGCCATGGCGCGCCGAGTTGGTCTCTCAACAATTCAACTTGAAGGATTTATCCGCCTGCGAAATACTGGGTTTGAGGATATGTCAGTAAATTAAGTAGAATCTTCCCCGGAATAATAAGGCACAGACATCCCCAGCTCTCCAACGGCAAACGGACCGAGGTTCATTCAACACGCCCACTGTCTCGCCCGAGCTTAAACCCTTGCGGGGAGTTCCTCAGTCCTCGGTTCTCCATAGGGCGCGACACCCGATTCCGCAGGCACAAACAACAGCCAACCAAAGCAAACCCGCCAAGCCAATTAAACGCGGTGCGCGTCCAACCCTCGTCTTCACCGCCAGACGCGTCTCCCAAAGCCAACAGACCAAAACCCGATCGCTATGCTCCATACTCCGTACACCACAACCATCCATCCCACTTCAACCTTCTACTCTGCCCTCCATAACCTCTCGTCAAACCCCCAATCCAAACATCAAATGACCAAAGAATCAACACCATCCCGTGAACAACCCACAGCTCCCGCCCACCAACCCCCCTCCCTCCCCGCCTCACCTCTCGCCAAACGCACAAAACCCAACACCACCACGATGACAACCAGCACACCAACCCCCGTCACCTCCATCTCACAGCCCCTCCCCCCGCTCCTCGTCAAGAAACTCATCGACACCGCCAGCGCGCCCACCCGTGGCTCCGCATTCGCCGCCGGCTACGACCTCTACAGCGCAAAGGAGACCGTCGTCCCGGCCAAGGGCAAGGCGCTGGTCGACACGGGCATTGCCATTGCCGTGCCTGAGGGAACATGTACGCTTTCCCCCCTCCCCCCTTCTCATTATCTCCTAGTGAGAAAAAAACCCCTCCCCCATAGACTAATCCAGATCACGGTGGACAGACGGTCGGGTTGCGCCGCGCAGCGGCCTCGCCTCGAAGCACTTTATCGATACGGGCGCGGGCGTGATCGATGCGGACTACCGCGGGGAAGTCAAGGTGCTGCTGTTCAATTTCTCGGATGTGGATTTCACAGTGAAGGTTGGGGAGCGCGTTGCGCAGCTTGTGTTGGAGAGGGTGAGTGTTTGGTCCTCCTTGTTCTTTGTTCTTGACTGGTTTTCTTTCTTTGGTATGGCTGGGGTTTCAAAGTGATGGGGCTGACTGGGTTTGTTTTGTGCTTTGTAGATCTATACGCCTGAGGTTATGGTTGTGGAGGAGTTGGAGGAGAGTGTGCGTGGTGCGGGTGGGTTTGGAAGCACGGGTGTTTGAGTTGGGATGCTTGCGGATGGGATGATCCGGATACAGCGTTTTTATTATATAGGATTTTTTTGATGAATACTAGAATGATTTCCCCCTGATGCATTGGGATTGGTTGTCTACCTGAGTACTCCAGAGGTTGGTTCATGATATGTACGAGTCATGGAATTCCAGGGTCTATCGTGATCTATCAGACGTCTACAGTCCCCAACAAGAGCTATTGCAGCCGCGCCGGCAAATCAGCCTTATCCCATTCCTGCGCCTGGAACTCGATCACCGGATCGCGCAGGTACTGGACGTTGCGCACCACCCGCACCTCGGCCGCTTTCGTCCGCCGCAGGTACTCGCGCTTCTCCTTCTCCTCGCCACTCAGCCCCGCCGCACTCTCGTCCTCGATGGCAGCAGCGCGCAGCTCCGCATCCCGTGCCTCCAGCGTCTTCTCCAGCACGCTGTGCATGCTCGCCAGCACCTTGACAGTGGCCTTGGCGAGGGGCAGTTCCGTGGCCGGGACGTCGTCCGGCGAGACCCACGACTTGGTGCTGCGGAGGCTAGGCCCCGCCGCGAAGACTGCCTCTCGGAGCCGGGCGACTGTCAGCGCAGCGAACATGTCGCCGGTGCCGCTGAAGAAGCAGTCCAGGGCGGGGACGTCGACGCGGAAGAGGCGTGGCGAGCCGTCTGTTTTGGTGGTGGATCCGATGACGGTTAGGCTGTTTGGTGGGGTTGCTGGGGTTGAGGAGGACCGGGAGAGTTTGGAGAGCTGGACGGAGGTGATGATGACGTGGGGGACGGAATAGGTGGCGTGGATGACGGTGATGGCTTCTGCGAGGGTGCTGAGCGAGGTGATTTTGATTCCTGAGAGGACTCTAGCGTGGGAGGGGGTTCGGCGTTAACCATAAGAGTTCACAGCACAACTGGAAGAAAACGCAGATCTCCTTACTCGGCTTCAAATTGATTGGGAAGAATTAGATCAGCGTGGTGGATGATCTTCTTGTAGGCAGGCACTACATCGTCGTTGACGTACAATCGGCCCTGGTCGCCCATGACGGGATCCAAGACTTCGACAGTCAGCTGTTGATAGGGAAATTGGGGCAAGGAGAACTGCACATACTCCAGAAGAAGGAGCCAGGCTTGGCTTCGGCCTTGCGCTGCAGATCTAGACCAATGGCACCTACTGCCTCTACAGCAGCGGCGCTGGGCGCATAGCCAGACAACATCACGTCAAAGTCCGTGAGAAGACTCTGAGTGAGACCTTGGTACAGGTCGCTGATTTCTTCAGCGGTTGACCTTGTGCCTTTGAACTGTCTGTACCCAGTATGATTGCCTGTCGATACCAGTCAGTTCGGGCCCACAACGGTGGGCAGGAGGACAATGTCAGCATACTGAAGTGAACTGTGTTCAGGGCGGCAACGTCACAGCCCAGCGACTGCATGACCAGCGTCGCCATCTTATTACCGACATATCTGATTCGTTTCCCCCTGGGTTAGCTGAGTCTGACGAGATATGGTTGAAAGGCTTGCATTGTGGCATTGTAACTCCAATAAGCAAGATACCAGTGACACAGCAGAGCACGTACCCATAGACAACCTACTCTCCGTCAGTACTGCCATCATGACTATGACGATTGTCAATCAATCAAAAGTTGACCTCAAGGGACAAGCAACGGATACTTACATGGCTGGCGATGGCGAGCACCCGAGTCTCGGGTACCGAAAGATCAGAGGACATGGTGGGGGTGGAATGTAATTATTGGACTTCGATCTTAAGTGAACGATTAGGGATGGTCGAGATATAGGATTGATGATGCTAATCACTCCATGCACTCAAGGTGACGATGATGATGATGATAATAGGACCTAACAATAACCCGCGACGTCTTGATATCCCATCAGCCTCAATGAAACATACTCTGTACAGATTACTCTGGATGGGGAACCGATGGAGGGGAATTTTCCCGCGCCCTGATTGGTCCTTCGGTATCTGACCTCCGATTTGTGTACTCACAGGTATCTCTGCTATGAATGGCTGTGAGGAGGTACCGCCAAGTACCTCCAACCATGGTCGTCGCCTGAGATTGACGAACTCCGTGCTGACTAACCACTACACCCCTCTCAGGGGATTCAACAACGCATCTGCTCTTCCACCCTCTTTGGATTCAGAATCATCTCAACAACAAAGACGGATCATCTCCAATGTAAACTGGGTCATATCCAGAGCATGCTACTGGTCTCCACAAGATCAAAGAACCTCAACGGAACGCCTTTTTCAGGGTCTGGAGTGTGGTCAGTGCAACAGACCCAACAGTCAAGACCACGATCAGCCTGCAGTTCGCAGCTCCACCAGATTGCCAGACTGTCTTACTCCTAGTCCCAGACTGTCAGACTAACGATCTGATGTTCTACATGCGGCCAGACCGTCGTTTGGATGCTGCTAATTTTGTCTCGTTCGGGTCATATCATTCGGATTTCGGAACTTTCTCTATTCTACTACTGGTCCCTGGGCCTGAGTAGTACCGACGCCCCCAGAGGCCACAGCCATGGCCTGGCTGGTAGTACGTGCCACCAAGCCTGCTAGACGGAATAGTCCAAAGTCAAAGCAAACAGTTACACGAACTTCTTGAAGTTTTTCTTCTCTCTTTCTCTCTTCCTTGCGTTCTGGTCTGATAGGGACGCCTCCTGAACTGCTTCTTTCTTCTTCACCCTCTTACCCATCAGAGGAGGCTGGATCATGATTGTCTTCTGTTCCCCCCAGGGGCAGTCATAACCTTCCTTGTTCTACATTACCTTCTTTCTGATGATTCTGATAATTTCCAGCGGATAGTCACTCGTTCCTATCCTCGCTTGCATTACTTAGATGATATAGCCAGACTGAGGACGCCGTCCCTCTGCTTACGCTCTCTCCGTATTAACTCTTTTCAAAAGCCCTCGTTGGCAACGTCATTCATTTACTTCTCCGCCGTTATGAAACTCTTCATACAATCTAATCTCCCCGGTTGGGGCAGGATTCAATGTTTGCAGCGGTCTACAACTGTCAACCGGCGGTGTCGGCAACCAGCCAAGGCCATTCCGACCGCTCGATATGTGATACTCATCGCCCTCCTGATGGCCCTGATCATGTCTCCCCTGGTCTCTGCATTTGTGATTCCTGATGTCGCCCCACCACCCACTTATGGGATGCTCCTCCCGCGAACCGATGCTATTCGAGCCCCAGAGATCGCCGCCGCCGATCGTCTAGACGCATCGTATTCTGATACATTGCCATTTAATGGCCGTGCGCAAGAGGAACGATTCCGATACGACCGCTCATGGGTCCTCGAAAACAAGCCCAGCGACGAGACATCCAAACGTCCCATCCTCGTCGCCCCAGATGAGGACAATGGCGATGCCAGCAACGCATTGTCGCTGCCGCTGGTCGCACGATCAGGCACTACAAGCAACGACTCGCTCCCCACAGCGTTCGACACCAACCTCTCCACCAACTTCACCACCCAGAGCTGTCCCAAGTTCTTCAACGAGTTCCTCTCCGACTCCACCGTCACCAAGTGCCACGCCATCTCCCTGCTCCTCCACGACTCCACCTCCTTCTTTCACACCCTCACCTCCGCCGCCGCAACCTCGCACGTCCTCGACCTCGCCTGCGCCGCCTCCGTTGACCAATGCAAAGACACCATGGCGCGCCTCGCCACCCGCCTCACCACAGACGACGCCTGCGGCAAGGACTACAAGCTCGGCAACCCGCTCGTCACAGACGCCTACACCGCCATGGTCACCTACGAACCCGTCTACCGCGCCACATGCCTCAAGAACCCCACAACAAAGGACTACTGCTTCGTCGACGCTGCAACCAACACCTCCAGCCCGCAGAACCTCGACGCCTACTCCCTCCCCGCAGGCTTCGCGCTCGGATCCCCCTATCCCACCTGCAACCCCTGCCTGCAGGCTTCCATGGACATCTTCAGCCGCTGGGCCCAGGTCGACGGCCAGCCCCTCAACAGGGCTTACCTCCCCGCCGCCCAGACCCTGAACCGCCGCTGCGGCACCAATTTCGCCAATGTCAACATCACCGTCGGCAGTCAAAATTCTGCTGCATCGGTGATTGGCTGGGCGCCCGCTGATGCGCGGTTCCTGGGATCGGTGCTGGCCGTGAGCTTTGCTGCGTCGCTGCTGGGGCTTTTCTGACCTTGTCTTGAGATCCTGGATTCTCCAGCTGATTGTTGTTGTTGTTGTCGTTTTTCTTCTTCTTTTCTTCTTGAATGCGCCGTCTTCGCCGGTTGTATTTTGCGTCTTGCTCTGGGCTAGGGTCACGGATATATGGGTCACGACAGCGGATTTCTCTGGCTTTTTTCTTTCCCCCCCCCTTCCCTTCTTGTTCCACCTATTTTTGTTTCTTTTTAATCTACCCTTTCTTGTCCATAGTATTTGATTTTAATTTTAATCACTTCCACACCTTGATGCCCGTTCTCTTAATGCAGGTACTGCAAGCAGAAAATACATTCTATTACACAAGGTATCCGACTATAATGACCGACATGTCAACCCGACCATACCGCCATGACACGCACACACACGAACACGAACATGAACACGACTCCGAGTAGACAAGAAAAAGAGAAAAGAAAGAAAGAAAGAAAGAAAGAAAGAAAGAAAGAAAGAAAGAAACCAAGACAAGAATATCCAAGAATGGCATGGTGTATTTACTGTCGTTACATTGAACATTGACATTGACGGTGGTATCATGGTTATGTAAAACAAGAAAAGAAAAAAAAAAAAAAAACAAACAAACAAGGGGGAGGGGGGGAAGATTAGAGGCAAACGCTCGCCCCGGCAAAACAACAACAACAACAACAAGAACAAGAACAAAAAAGAGAAGGGGGAAAAGAAATCGGGGAAGAAAACTGCGCAACAACGCAAGGAGGCTAACTTCGTCTCGAGGCTGGCAGCCCTGCCGCTGCCCCCGTCGCCACCCCGACGAGAGACAGAGGGATCCCGGAGCTTGAACTTGGTTTTGACGCCGACGCGGACGCGGAGCCTGAGCCCGAGGCGGCGGCGGAGCCATGCACGGCATCGCGCTCGCGTCGGACGCGGAAGTACGCCAGTTTGGTGAAGCGGCCGAGCTGGGCCCAGAAGTGGCGGCCGGCGGGGTGCGCGGCGAGGCGGTCGAGGAGGTCTGCGGTGGCTTCGCGGACGGTCTGGTCAGGGTGGAACAGGCCCATGCTGATGTAGAAGAGGCCGGCCTGGCTCTCCGGGGTGACGGTCAGGAGCTGGCAGATGCCGGCGTAGTCCTTGACGGCGTGGGCGAGGGCGAGGTAGATGGCGCCGGCGTCGGGGTGCGAGAGGCGCAGGGTGCGCAGGCGGTCGTGGTGGTGGTGCAGGTCGGGTTTCTGGATCGGGCGGGCGGGGAAGTACATGGCTGCGATGTCTTGGATGAAGGAGTAGTACGAGCGCGTGGTGCGCCAGCCTTCAATACGAGAGACCGAGGCGACTAACTCGCGCTGTTTGGCCGCCTCGTCGGGCCAGATGTAGCCGTGGCCGCGGAGGGTCGTGGGATCGAGAGGGTCGGCTTGCACACCGCTTGGACTCTCCGGGGATAGTTCCTCGTTGGGGCCGATGATGTATAGATTCGAGGCCCCGTACACGGTTTCTTCGAACGCGGCGGCAACACGCGTGAATTTGGTGATGTATGCGCGCCACTTGGCGCGGATCGCATTCTCTCCGTACCGATTCGTGATGCTGCGCTGGACGTCTTCCATGAACGCATTATCGCCCGTGGGGTCCGGATGGGGGACGGGCGCGTGGTTCGCAAGAAACGAACTCTGTTGGAAATACAACAGGCCCTCCGTCACGGGAGCGGGCTCGATACGGCTGCTGATTTTCATCCGGCCGGTGGGTAGGTCGCAGAGGAGGTCCCACCACTCGGGATGGTTCGCAAAGGTGGGATTCGTCACGCCCGCGATAAAGCCAGGCACTTTGAGAAGATCATCAATCTTGGTCAAGTCGGTGTAGGGAAAGGCATGTCTCGTGAAACCGCGCAGGATTCCACCGGATGCCAGAGCGCAGGCGGCCAAGACCGCCTCGGCCACTTCTCCCGAGGGACGGTTGTGGCCGAGGAATATCACCCGCTTCTGAGTGAGCATGGCATTGACAAGAACGATGATCGGATGTGTATAGGACCCATTGGTGGTCAGGTGAGGGTGAAGCGGAAAAGGCTGGGGTGTAGCCGCATGGACAGAGGCAAACGTCTGGATGAGCTTGATGAGCGAGAAGTCCCCCACGATTTCCGGCCAGATCACCGTCGGCACTTTGACCGGGATCGGGATATCGTTGTACACCACTCGCGATTCGAACTCGTGGGTGTCGCGGGGAAGCACACATCGCGAGGCGGCTTTCCTGGGCGACGATGGGCTCTCATCCCCAGCGGGTTCATCGTCCACCGCCACTCGCTGCTGGATCATCTGTTCAAACTTCTCGATGAACATATCCTTGACGTTGGTGGCCTGCAGTATCTGTCTTTCCAACAGCGAGAGCTTGGGCATCAGGGACAGGTCCATCTCATTGACGGCATTGTAGAGGGTAGCAAGCGTTTCGGGATAGGGCGATTTGAAGTAATCCTCCAGCGCCAGTAACAGCAGGGGCTGTGCGACTCAAAAGGTTAGTGTATCTCAATGGCTTTCAGTTGAAGGATGAGTGCATACCTTGTAGATATGAAGAAATGAATGGCGCGTACAGATTGCCATGGCCTTGACGACCGCCCCTCTGCCGGTTGATCTTAGCTGCGCCCTGACATGAGTTTGAAGGGAGAAGAGGGAGAGAAAAAAAAAAACATACCGTCTGACTGTGTTGTCTTGCTTCGTATTGACCAGATTCAGCACATACATCAACGGTGGCCCCTCGCCACCGTCGTCCTCGTCCTCGTCACTGCTCTCTTCCGTCAGAGCATCCGTATCCTCCTCTTGGCTATCATCACCGGCATCGTGGTCGGCGGGCGCCCGTTTCCGCCGTTTCTTCTTCGTAGCCGCCGAGCCATCCTCATCCTCCTCTGTACTGGTATCCTTGTGCAGAAAGAAGATCGTCCAGTCCTGGCTCCGCACATGTGTTTGGTCGGGGAGCATCAGCTCCGCCAGCATGCTCTCGTCTCCGCTGATGGCGGCGGGATACTGATGCTCCATGATCGGGCCACGATCAATGTGGAAGGACGCAACGAGGATGTACTCGACATGACGCTCCGGCGAGTCCAGCGGATATTGCGACCTGCATCGTCGGGGTTTTGAGGCACGAGGAAGGGCGGCGACATTATGATCTCCGGAACGACGACGCACGGATCGGGAGCTGCTGGGGGATCGATTCTTAAGGACCGAAGGGGAGGGAGATAATTGGGGCAAGCCATTGGACTTGGAAGAAGCACTGGAAGCTGAAGGGAATGTGTGTGGTGCGGTATCATCAGACGGTCGGAAGGGAAGAGTCGTGGTCATCTTTTATTTCTTGTAGTGGGGGGAGGGATAAGAGAGATAGATAATGGAGGGATTTGAGGACTGCTGCTCGCAGAGAATCAATGATAGAATTCACCACATGGTTTATTGCTTCTTTTCTTTTCTTTTGTTTCTTCTGCTCTTTTTTTTTTTTTTTTTTTTCTTCCCTCACATCAATGGATGAGGATAGACAATCCCCAGGGTGTCGTTTGCCATAGTCAGTTAGTGATCCGAGGCTTAGTTTGATCGACCAAACGGCCATTCAGGGGTTGACTAAAAGAAAGGAGAAAGAGATGAGCGAGAGAGAGAGAGAGAGGCTTCATCACGGTTATATCTCTTCTCTCAGTTATTCATTAATATTTTACCACAAATTCAACTACACATGGAGATGGTTCCTCCTATTATTATTTTCACACAAAGAAGATGAACACACATACATTGCTCCACAGCGGGGAATATTCATCAATTCTCATCGTGAGAGCCAGAAAGTTGGCTGGAGTGAAGCACACAGCAGGAGGTCGCAATAATACTCCGTGTGGCCCTTGCATGATAGGAAATTATTCTAAAACCACCTCCCACCCCCAGAGTAACTATCCATCTGCAATAGATAGTGGCAGGATACACTTCCTCCAGAGTACATGCAGTGAGTCTCACTCAGTCAAGAGTCAAGAGTCAAGAGTCAAGAGTCAAGACCTCTAGGGTAAATCCACCGAGTCCCCCCTTCTTCGACAAAAGTACGGCAAACTGTGGAGGCGTGTTTTACTGCTCAACCACTCCAGTCGAAGAAGTGGTTGTTTGCAATTTTTCCTTTGTTCCCTGACTCGTGGCCTGTTGCGGCTTCAACCAATATTCGAAGCTGAGAGAGGATCTCGTTTGCATCAAGTGTGAAAGGGTGGAATTGACTGGTCGATTGTCCAGGTGTTTACGAGATGGAAGCGAGACTGGTTGAAACTCTGTAGAGTGTAGATAGTCGGTAACCTTATTGATAGATTTGCGCTTCGCAGAAGCAGCATCGCTTCTGCCTAACGGCAATCTAAGTAAGTGAGTGCTGGTGGACTAGATCAGGATTCAGAATCCCACGTTCACTACTCTCAAACTGATTGTGGCTCTCTGTGTGGAATATGAAACCATGCCAAGGCCATCGTTCTCAGGGTACCAGGCCATGAATTCCGGCAGAGGGAAATAATGCATCTACTACGTCTGCATGATCCTGGTGGTAACATATCCCCGTCAGATGGACAATTGATGAGACGAGAGGGAAATAATACCCCGAGGAATTCTATGAAGCACAACTGCACAAGACAGCGGCGGATGAAGAAGGTCAAGAATCCCTGCAGATCCAGCACGTGCCCAAAGAGACACCGGGCCGACTCTCCGCCGAGCTGTTGTTTTGTTTGTTTGTTTGTCTGCAGATACAATCATACACAGTCCAGCAGAGGAGAGAGAGAGAGAAGAAGCAAGAGGAGCGAGAGGAGCAACGGAGAGCGCAGATACACCACCAACATTCTCCCTAGCACGGTGATACCGCTCCTAATCAACCTTGCTGGAAGTTTTCCTGAAAATTCTAAGCTCCAAGTATACTGGAAGACTCTCTGCTGAGCATTCCTGTAGGAAAGATCATTGCATCATGGTGTGTGTTGCTGTACTCCCCCGCAGCCAGTTGACAACAGCGTCATCAAGCTCACAACAACCAAAATCAAGGTCTCAAATTCGCCCTTTCGACCATCTCCCCTCTCCTTCGGTTCTCCTCGAGCTTCGCCGTTTCGTCGACCTTCGACACCCAATTCCCCCCCCACGCTCCGTCAAACCACCCCCGGCAGCTCCCCGAGCCGAGGATATACCCCCGTCCAGTCCCCCAGCAAACTGAATCAGACCTATACAGTTGCCGAGGATGACGACGCTTCGCTGAAGAACCATGATCCCATCCCGCAGCCTAGATTCACAAGGGAAGTACCACCGTCGCCTACCAAGGGCGCGAATTCCCCGGACTCATCTTCAATCATGGAAGCCAAGACCGCCAGCTTGATGGCGGCTTCGAGCGACGCCGCAGCCCAGTTGACGCCTGTACAGCTGAGAGAGATCAGAGAGGCATTTCAGGTCTTGGACAGAGACAACGACGGTTCTGTGGACAAGGATGACGTCGCCGATGTCCTTATCAACATCGGTTCGTCAACAGCCCTCTCCGGGCGAATATTGGCCGGCCATTCCTCCCAGCTGACTTCAATGATTTATGATAGGCCAGGATGCCTCTATCATTTCCCAGTTCTTCCCTCCCGGTGCCTCTCAAACGATCAACTTCCCTACCTTTCTCAACATCCTATCGAGTCTCCTCGCCCCTCTGTCCGCTCGTCAGGAGTTGACTAATGCTTTGGCTGCCTTTGACGACGATGATAGCGGTCAGATCGACGTTGCGGAGCTCCGCGACGCCCTCATGCACACAGCAGCGGACGATGGACTGTCTCCGCTGACGGAAAGAGATATCAATGAGGTACTAAATGGGTTTACCGGGCGCAGAGTGTTCGGTGGGAAGGGCGGGAAGCTTCCAGGAGGAGGAAAGAGAGGAGAGGTGTTTCGCTATCAAGAATTTGTGGATAACGCTTTAGGAGGGCCGACTGGTGGGCGGCGGGATCCTGATGCCCCCCGATGAGGGGATAGGTGCCGTTTCATGAACTTCAGCCGCTATTCTTTCTGGTTCTCACCGGCGTTTTCGGATAATGGAGGCAAGCAGACTGTTGTTTTGACATCTTAATGTATACAACCCCATGGCTCTGGAAGCTGTGGCACGATTTTCCCTCGGTCGACAGTACCTAGATAGTTTCCAAATCGAATCAAAATCAATCACGACCCGGTCTTCTTGTAGATAGGCCGCAAAGCTCATCTACAACAAATGACGTCTCGCGTTGGCGGGTCGACGGTGGTGGTTGATCACTGAGTCGTCCACCATCACTCCATTTAGGCTTCACCATACGAAACATCACCAATGACTCTGATCTCAGTCTCACAGCCAGAGTCTTGATCACTGAGATAGTTCGCCGTAGAGGAATAACCTCTTCAGACTCAACTATTAATAACCATAGCAACTGCCACTAAACCCGTGGCGCGTCGCGTGTCCCCGCATTCCTTGATCGAGAAAAAGCCCGCCATTGTAAAGATTGGTTGCTGATCGCCCGAACCTGCAGAATAATATCACTATTCAGTATTCACTAGTCATACTACCTGCTAGTCTCTACGGAGTAGTACTACTAACTAACTAACTAGCTAGCTAACTACTACTATCGCTGTCTCAGTTGTCTCACCAAGATCTCTTATCCTCGAAGCTCAACCACGATCCTTCCTCCCCAAGCGCTACTCTCTGTGCATGCCTGTCCCTCGCGCTTCTTTCTCAGCTGCTGTTTCTCTTCACAGGAAGATGGTCACTTCTTGTGACTGCTTCAGCAGAGATCAGTTGCGCTGGTAAAAGAAAAAAGACAAGAGAGATAAGAAAAAGGAAGATAACAAAAAAGCTGGAGAGGGAAAAAAAAATCCAAACAAAAAAATGGCCCAGGGGCATAATATTCCCAGATTCCCAGCCATGTCCCAGCCCACACAGGCCCAGCTGGACCTAGCCGCCCTGGCAGGCTCTCCATCGCCCCGGACGATGCGGACGCTACGGAAGATACAATCGCATCAGATCCTCTCGTCTTCTCTGCTCGGCGGCCAGACATCACTTCCTTCCACAGCACGAACGTCCGCCAACACCGAGGAGCTGTCGCAACAGGCACAGCTGGAATCGCCCGTTCGGCTACGCACACACCGTCGGGCCAGATCGAATAGCGATGCTGGTTCCGGCGAGCGACCCATTTTACAGACGCAGAAACGGCCGGGGAGGAAGACGGGGTCCGGATTCGGGGTTAAGCGATCGGTTCTGGAGACTTTGCTGCGGGATGGACCGCAGAACGGCGATGTCCTCGAGGGACTGCAGGAACTGAGATACCTTGTTTTGTCCACAAGGGTGGAAGCTGATGGAGACGGCATGGTATGTGGACTGCATCGTTTGGTTGATGCGCGCCGGCTGACCCTTCTCTCTCGCCTCAACAGTCGACATACCGCATTTATTTATGGCTCACGCTGCTCGATATCCCTCCCGTACCAACCGACGAATACCTCTCCCTCATCCACCGCGGCCGATCCCCCGCGTATACTAAAATCCGCAATGACACATTCCGCACCCTGGCGACCGACCCCCTATTCAAGCGCCGCGTCACCGAGGCCAGTCTGATCCGACTCCTCAACGCCGTCGCATGGAAGATCCACGACGCAAAGACCAAGAAACGACCCAAATCACGACCTTCATCCTCCCGCCGACGCGAGATGGAACTCCTGATCAATACCCCACCGAGCATCGCCGAGGAGGAGCCGACGGACGAGAATGGCGTCTCGAAGACCCCCAGTAGCAGCAGCGACGACCCGATCAGCACCGACTCGGCCATCTACGTGCAGGGCATGAACGTGCTCTGCGCCCCCTTCCTCTACGCGGCCCGCAGCGAGGTCGAGGCCTATGCGCTCTTCCACTACTTCATCACCCGCGAATGCCCCGGCTACATCCGCGGCGCCATGGACGGCGTCCACCGCGGCCTGCGGCTCGTCGATCGCTGCCTGGAGATCGTCGAGCCCAAGCTCGCCGCCTATCTCTTCTCCAAGGGCATGCCGGCCGAGCTGTACGCGTTTCCGTCCGTGCTCACCCTGTGCGCGTGCACCCCGCCGCTCCCCGAGGTGCTACACCTGTGGGACTTTCTGTTTGCGTATGGTCCGCATTTGAATATCCTGTGTATCGTGGCGCAGCTGATTCGGATGAGAGATACCATCCTCGAGAGTCCAAGGTATGCGTAACTTCCTAGTGTTTCCCCGCGCGATATCCTCTCCTCGGTATATGTGCATGAGCAGGAGGCTCGATCGGTCACATACCCACCTCCTATCCCATCCATCATATCTATCATATCAAAAACCAAACAACAAAAAACTGACCCATCTCAAAACAACCCCACAGTCCCAACAAAATCCTCCGGTCCTTCCCCCCGCTCGACGCCAAAGAAATCATCGCCCTGACCGTCCTGATCGTCCGCAAGATCCCTGAATCCCTCTACGCCGAGCTGGTCGATCATGCCAAATAAGCACATCGCATGCGTCGGCGCTTTCCCCGTGTATACTAACATTACCCAAGGTAACCATGTACTATCTATCTATCTATCTATCGATCGATCGATCAAGGTGCTCCGTTCCCCACGAGAGTATCTTTGTTCTGTTTGTGTTGACTCATTGACTGTTATGTCTGTATGAAACGGCGTCTTCTGTTTTATCTTTTTTTTTTCCCTCCCTTTTTTTTTCTGTTTGGCTACCTGTCTGTTTTGCTTGTTTTTGACCTTCACCATGTTCCTTCCCCCCCCCCTATGCATTGAACGACCCCCTGTAATATCGACTGAATGAGATAACGAGGAAATGGACGCGAACACGAGAGCCGAAAGGAGAAATGTTGGCCATGATGGGATGGATGGATGCATATGCTTACAATACCTAGTGAGATCAGAATGATTGATGAATGATGACTTGATCCGTTTTGTGTGAATAGAGAAGAAGAAAAAAAAAAAGAAAAAAGCCATGCATTCTATATACGGCTACGCACTCGCAATGAAGACTGAGACAACTAGAAGGGGGGGGGGGGAAGGGATGGCAAATGATGCTTTTTAAAATGCAAGGATAGGGCAAGCCGCGACACAACACGACACGACATGCAAAAAGAAAAAAAAAATAGATGAAAAAAAAGACCAAGCAGGAAGTCAGTATACATACAATCAACACCAGATGCAAGGAAGTAGTGTCCGTCGAGAATGAGGCAAAAAAAAAAAAAAAAAAAAAAAAAGCACAGGGCCAAGTTCTCAACCTATCCAATTTCCCGCTCACGTCGCCAACGCCGTCTTACTCCCCCTCCCAGATCCATTCACCACCAACGGCTGACACCTCTCCACCGTCCTCGGCCGCGCAGCCATCTCCCTCGCCTGCGTGGGCGCGAGCACGGGCACGGGCACAGACACAGGAACCGCCATCATCTTCCTCTCGGGCCGAACGGGCATCACATTCCAATTCCCATTCAGGGGCCTGGGGCCCTGCATCCCCGCATCCCTGGCGGCGGCCGGATCACGCACGGGCCCGCCGGGGACGGCGCCGGCGGCAGTGGCTGCGGCTGCGGCTGCGGCAACGTGGTTGGCGCTGCGGTCGATCTTGATGCGGATTTTCCCGCCGAGGAAGAAGGCCGCGTTGTAGAGGGCGACGGCGCGCTTGGCCTCCTCTGCGGTGCGGAAGGTGACGCGCGCGAAGCCCTTGCAGCGCCCTGTGTCTGGGCTCAGGGGCATCTCGCACTGTTCAATTGTGCCGGCGTCTTGGAGAAAGAGGGTGAGGTCTTTGCTGGTGGCGGTGGGATTGAGGTTCTGGACGAAGATGGTGCGCTTTGGCGTGAAGCGTGGGTAGGCTAGGCCGGGTGGGGGGTTGTGGGAGGGTTTGGGGGGGAGGTTGTTTCTTCTTCTGGTTGTATTATTGTTGCTGTTGCTGTTGCTGGTGGTGCTGCTGTTGCTACTGGTGGTGCTGGGGTTCGGGCGGACGGGGGCGAAAGAGGCTTCGTGGTGATGGAGAGGTGGGAGAGGGTAGGTGGGGAGCATGGCAAAGGCGAGAGAGTCGCAGAAGGAGTGTCGGAGCGCGGGTGAGTGTGGCAGGGTCGGAAGCTGCTCTGTGAAGATGGGGAGGTAAGGTTGGTGGTGATAGTGAGGTGGCGGAGGGGGTATCATTGGGCTCAGCACCGGGCCATACTCTGGACCCTGGTAGACCGGAGCTGTGGCAACGAGCGGGCTACTGCTTTCATTAGTCTCAAGGCCTGATTCTGCGGTATAGGGTATAGGGAGCTGCCTACTCTGGAGAGATGGGGGAGGGTGGCATGGCCAGGTTCTGCGTGACTCGCGGCGGCGTCGAGTAACCAGCCACGTAGGTGGGTGGGATCACATAGCTTGGGCTCTTTGTCGGTCCAGCAACAGGTCTGGTCGGGGAATCGGTGCGAGCCAGTGTGACGACCAGGCTCTGGCCATCCCACCCATTGGTGGACAGTCTATCTGATCATGGAGTCAGCACCAGCGAAGCTATCCCGATGGGTCTGGCAGGGATGTATCACGCACGGTATGTACGCCATGCCTCATCCTCGTTCTTGACAATGATCTGACCCAGCCCGGTGGGAAACCCGTGCTGGTCGTCGTATACAACCGCCTGCCGAATGTGCAAAGCCGTCTGGCGCACCATGTCCTTGAGCTCCTGCCAGCGGCAATGGGCCGGAATCTGTCCTCTCAGTAAGAAAAGGCAACCCAGGCTTGATGATGGAAATGATCAATGCTTACCCCCTGAAGGAACAGGACGAACTCTTCATCCGACGATCGAGCTTTTGCTCGTCCTCTGTCGCGGGAAGGCATGTTGGCGGTTGAAGAATTCGGGGAGGTGACAGATATCCCGCCACAAACGGCTGTGCGTCGCTTGATATATATCCTTGTCTAGAACAAATCCAGGCTATTCAGGTCAAAAGAGGACCCTTGAGACCCAAAAATATGTCACACGGGCAACAAGGGGATCAAGTCGATTGGATGACTGCCCGAAACGGCAACAGTCTAGAGCCGTTTGGAATAGAGTCAGCATGAATGTTTGATGCCGAACTCGATGGACAGTGGTCACGTTTCAAGAGAATCGGTTCGACAAGCACCATTCGTACCTAAGAAGAACCTGAAGGACTTGCTTCACTTTCACAGCACACAGGTGGCGAAATTCGACCTGATAGCTACCTGATCGTAGAGAACGAAGACGAATGAGATTTGGACCAGGAGCAAGGACGAATCAAGCCAGCTCTTTATGACAATGCCAGACAGAGATGGTGAGGAAGAAGGAGAAGAAGATAGGAGAAAAGAATAGAAAGCAGCAGGCAGTCCAGAAATGTTTTTGTATACACCTTACGAGTGCCTTCGAGTCGGGAAAATGCGATCTGATATTCACTCTTGGACAGACGAAGACGACAGTGGAAGAAGATACACGGACGCCGGCCACAATAGCCACAGATAACGTCGCTTAACGAGGTAAATTCGTTGAGTAGATTAGTAGAATGGATGGGTTTGATGTCCGACAATGGGATGTATCAATATGTAGACTGTTTCGAATGGGTTCCCGCTCTGCAAGTTAGCATTGGTGGAGCAACGAAAGGGCGTTCAGTTCCAGTGACTGGGAAATCGTAACGAGAGCAGTGATAGATACCTGGTAAGGACGGTATGAAGTAGGTATTCGAATCTGGATAGATGACATGCATTGATCAACTATGATGGATCAAATCGAAGACGGAGAGAAGGGTTATAGAAAAGAGAAGTTGGAATGGAAAAAAAAAATAAAATAAAATAAAATAAACGGGTCGATTCTTCTTCTGTCACCCTCTGGACGCTTCTGTCCTATCTTATGGGATCTGTCTAAGGTGATCCTCAGCTCTCTTACATGGTCGATAAATGAAGATGATCGAGTCGTCTGTCATAAGAGAGACAGAGGAATACTCATCAGTATGTATCTTGGCATCTTTGAGGTTACACCGCCAGATCTCGAGTAAAAAAAGAAAAGCAGTGGTGAATTGGTGAATGAAGCGAGAGAAGTACAGGGCGGGGGTCAGTTCGCCTGCATCTCCAGCGATGAAGTTGATAAACTTCATGGATTCGTGCTTCTTTCCCTTCCAACTTGCCTTTTGATCAATTTTTTCTTCAGACGCTCTAGGTATCCAAAAATAATAATAATAATAATAATAACAATAATAATATAATGATTCAAACAAGGCAAACCATATGAAACAGAATATAGAAGATCATATTGAACCTCTCACGCGATGGACTGTTTTGGGTCATTCGAATCGGATGCTGTTGTTCTCTCTCTATCATCCATCTATCCAAATATAGATTTTAAATGACCTACCCACACACACACACTACGAATCATACATACGCCTACAGTGATCATTCTGCAACAAAGCATCAAATCACCCTTTGCAATGACAAGAAATCCAAGTGCAGGAACAGACAAGACATCGAGCCATCAACCGCCGACACTGACACTGACACTGACACACACTGACATTGACACTGACTCCCATCCTCTAGATCCCACCTAGAATCATCCTTGGGAGTCCCCGTCGTGCATATGAGGTATCAATCACCACGTCGCCACAGAGTCACCGCTTCGCCGGTCCAGATCCCTCTCTCCTCATTTGTCAGAATTGACAGGGGAAGAATGTCGCACGGCAAACCAGACAATGGCAATGGTCGCCTTGCTTGCAGGTCGAGGGCTGAATGAAGGCTGTACGGATACCTGGGTCTGAGAGAGCGCCGAAGCAGGGTATCCCAGTTGACCACGTTGTTACGAGGAATACTGTGCTCAGTCGTAGTGTATCTACGAAGTCAGTCAATACCGTATGTGCAATTGTGCATCAGATCTTTGAGGCTGTTCAAGGCTCAGCTGAAGATGTGTCACTTGACTTGTCAGGGAGATCAAATTCTGGATCCTGGACGGCTCGAAGCTATTCTTCTAATCAGAGGCATGGAGCGAATAGCAGCTGGATCAATCAAATCTACGTCTGCACTTGATCTTTTTTTTTTTTTGTAGCAAGTGACATGGAGTCGCGCTGTTGGCTGGAGAAACAGAGAGAGAAGTAGTGCAGTGAAGACATCTTCCTATCCACAAACAAGAGACGATGTATGATAAGCAAATGCTCTGACTGTGCAGGGTGCACAACTGACAACCAGCCATTCCTCGAGATCCTTGTTGATACGCCGTTGTCATCTTCTTCTGAAACCAAAAGAGGAGAGAATATCTAATATATGAGTGGCTGAAAGATTGATCACTCCGGATCTCCCAATCTTGGGTGCTTCACATCAATAGCCTCATGCAGATCGATCAATAGACGCCTCCGTGGTGCTAAGCGAATCTTCTACTGGATAATCTGCAATTTCAGCCACCAAGGCTCCACCTCCCTTCAAGATTGGGTGTGCAGATCATGTCCTCGATTTGCGACTTTTTGAGTTCTGACTTTGAAGCTGATGGGTTTGCAAGGCGAATGGGGGTTTTAACATATATCTGATAGGGGCACGGCGATGTCGCCGTCAATCATCGGGATGACCTTGAGTACTCAGGCTGATCATCGTGAAGATGAGCTTGAGCTTGTTAACCTATTTTGGAGTGTGAAGCTTGGAAATACTTGAATGTTGTACTCTTCAATTGTTTTCCTGGCAATTTGAGATCGCCACAAACCGTGCCGTCCGCCCCAATCTAAATCCTCACCTAGGAGCCACCCCTGTAGGACTCAAAAAAAAGTGCACTTTTCAGATCCTCCTGTCCTCCCGTCAAAGATCACAAGAACATCAGGTGGATTCACTCGACCAGTGCTCCCCTGAGGATCTAACACTTCCTGCCGCTAGATCTCTTCAAGGGAGAGAAATACCCCTGAAGTCAATCACCCTGGCGGAACAAAACATCGGTCATGGTCAATGGGGGGGGGGGGGGTGGGCAAACAGAATGGTCAAGACGGAATCCCACCCACTGAGCTCACCGACAGCATCAATCTGCAACCCATTGCTCCTGCAGCGCTGAGATGAGATAAACATGGCAACGGGCGGTCCTCTCGACATCGGGGAGAAACGGTTACTGTGATCTGCGCCCTTTCATCGAAAGTAGTTCTGATGCTTCCCTGCCAATCTCTCGCACGCGGTCTTCCGTCTGCGCGAGCACAAAACACGCTTCCAGTCTTCTGTTCAAAACTGTCATGATGAAGGCCAATCTCGAATGTTGACAGCCATGTCCTGGTGAAAACAGCCCTCGCCCCCGCCCCCCACCACACTATGCATCCAATTTAAACATCTTCTCGGAGCCCTCCTCCCACACCTCCTTGCCGTCTTCGTTCTCACCAGCAAGTAGCCACACAATCGGCCTCAATACCGGTAACACTCGCGTGTCTATGCCCCTATGTATCCAGGAGCATCCTGGAGCGCGTAGACGGCAATGCGCAGCGTCTTCCGCCAGGAGTAGAGATGTTCGTTAGCCCCGATGTTTGATTCCAGGCTATCTTCGCTTCAAAAATCCCAGACTTGCGTCCAACTCTAAGTCAAAGCAGTCGATAGAGACCAGATTCATCCAGCGCGATAGACCTCCAGTCCTTTTTATTGCATGAGCAGGTCGAGAAACACGGAGTAGATATGAAGACAGATATCTCCTATCAGAACCCAATGCACGGCGTGACAGGACTGCACGGCAGAGCCGTGGATCGCATCATGCCCACCCACACCCACTCTACCAACCTACGTAGTATGTACAGGGTCAGGGGTCCTCATCATAATCGAATCGAAAATCGAGACCGAAACCGAAACCGAAACCGAAACTCCACGCCGCTGAAATGAAACAAAACAAAACAAAACAAAACAAAAAAGTCCTTTGCCGCGAAGCCCATCGCATCTCAGGTCCCTGACCCCCCCTTCCCAACCTTGCCAAGTAGTCAAGCCAGACAGCCAGGGGATAGATAGGTTAGATAGATAGCGAAAAATCAAGATGCTTTTCCTTAATCTCCAGAGTTTCAAAATCCCAAGACCCACTGTGGCAGTGGCAGTGGCAGTGGCAGTGGTAGTTGCATACCCCAATTCTCTCTAATCCCCCGCCTGACGATCAGCAATCGGCAATCAGCACAAATCGCGCGATTGCAAGCCGCGACGATCCTCAGCACGCCTGTACGACATAAAGGGGGCCCGGGGGGAGGAGGAGGAGGAGGAGGAGGAGGAGGGTGTGTATCACACGATAGTGAGCAAACCGAAGCCCTCGATCAATTATCGAGATGACATTCTTCAGGGCCTGCGGGTAGATAGTCCATCTATCTATCTATCTATCTATCTGGCTAGCTGGCTAGCTGACGATGACTAGGCTATGGCTATGGCTATGGGTATGGCTGGCTGGCTGGCACGAGCCGTGTTACTTATCTCGGATAACGTGACCGCGAGTGTGAGTATGCATTCCGCAAGGGGGGAGGGGGAGGGGGTGGCAAGTATGTACTCTGTACTCTGTCGACTGGGGGAAAAATACTCGGAATGGAGGGGTTTATGTCGTTGTCGGTGTCGGTGTTGTTATCTACCGGGGTTACGGTTACCCGGTTACCAAAACTAGTAGGTAAGGTTAAGCCAAGCTATATAGCATGCGTGCCCCTTGGAGTCGGAGTCGGAGTCAGAGTCGGAGGTGGGATGTACGCTTGCGACATTTGTGGGAATACAGACGGGCTGGTTTCCTAAGAACTATCTTTCTGCATTCTACGGAGTATAGGTACCTAGTCTGCTCATTTGACGATTCAGTGATAGACAGGGGAACGGGTGGGGAGGGTGGTGGAGCGGGATGGATCATATCATGTATCATATCGTGTATCAGACTGTGAAGAACCATTCACCATTAGGAGTGAACCCCCGTGAGCTCGAGATGCAGAAGGTGCAAGGTGAGGGGTAGAGTACTCCATACTAGTCTATACTGATCACCTGATTCACAAAATGTGTGCACTATGGACTGTGGCACAGACAGACACTGGAAGATCGTGATCAAGGGGGGCACCCGTTCGAGGGCTCGAGCTTGGGTTGATCTGAGGATGAACTATGAAGAAGGCAGGGGGTGGATAGGCTGGAGGTAGATACGGGATTATGGATATGGCTGCGGAAGCGCACATGGGTGCGGATTGCGGAATGGCTTGGGGCAGGGGAGGTGATTGGTGCTGACTGCTGATCGCTGTGCGGAAGGGGGAGGATTGGCGTTGCGATGGGCACGTCCGCGGCCCAGAGGATGTCTGCTATGATGCTATCTATATTCTATCGAGCCGCTGGGGGTGCTGAAATTAGGATATGGAATGGAATGTGGGGGTGGTTAGTAGCTAGTCAGCTAGACAACTAGGCAGCATGATACTTTGTCTTTCTCAGTTTATGCGTATTAGGTTTACTGCATAAGAGACAGATCGTGATGATCATATAGTGTGTATTGATGGCCAAGACAGCCTCTAGCTGAATAATGAAACATAGTGTAGCTGGTAACATGAAGAAGCCTTCTGGGTATTGTGGATGATGGAAAACAGGTCGCTAAAAGCTAGAGTGAGAATGCCATGAAAACTCCGCTAACTCATACATGAATAAACAAAGGAATGTTGATGTTGATGCAAAGGGTATAGTTTGTGGCGCCGGCGAGTTGGTGGAAATATTCCTCTCTTGTTCTTCAAGATCCTCACTGCCAACTGCGAGGTCATGGAGTGTCGACCATAAGCTCGCTGGCCAACAACCGGTGGTGCCAAGTAGCATAGTCAGACATAATGTGTAGTGAGTGTCGTAGGGCAACCGTTCTGAGCTTTCCCGATCAAAGCACAGAAGTCTGCCGCAAGAGCCCATGCAATAGGGGGGTTGGACACTGTTGTACTGAATCATCCCGGCTGACGGATCTCGCGCCCGCTCACTTGGAGCGTGGACCGTCGAGTCATGGTAGTATGGTGGTGGTGAGGTGTGTGTAAAGTCCAATGGTCAAAGGCGGCTGATCTGAGCGAACAACGAACAGAGAAGTATCACAGGGCTATGCCAGAACCCATCGTATCGCGCAGGGAGCACTGCTCGAGGTAGACGACCAAGAATGCATGTTCGAAAGGACGAGTATCCCGTTTCTTTCTTTTCTTTCGTACAGTCGTGATATACTTTCCGCTCCAAATGTCCTCCATTTTGTGTTGTTGTTTGATCCGAAACGAAGCTGTTCAGCGGATGAACCCGACCATGGATGCACAGCGGCTACAGTAGTAAGAGTTCATGCCGAACCGAACAACGCCGGGGGAGGATTCATTCTCGAGACTCATGGAGCGCTGGCAGCGAGAGCAGCGGACGATGTCGAAATTCATCGAGGCAGGTCCCGTTTCGGCGGATGAGGGTGAGACAGGTTTGGTGCTGCCGGAGGGTTGATGTTGAACCTGGACGGATGGGGAGCTCATTTTCACTCTTATACGGTCGAGAGGAGGAGAGAGCAAAGTAGAGCGGGTGGCGATAACAGACGGCAGTTGGTTGAGATATCTGGGATATGCGACCGACAAATCACAAACACCAGAAGGCCTAGATTTGAGATCTGAGACTTTTGGGAAGAGTGGAAGAAAACAGGGAATCCGAGACAATGCGAGGCGGAGAGATTAAGTTGTAGGTACGGAGTAGTGGAGTATTGGATGGATGGATAGATGTATGTATTGGATAAGCTTCGGGTTAAAGCAGGGTTTGCAGAAGGAATTCACTGAAAGATGAGGAGGCAGAGTGGGATGGTTTTTGTTGTAGGTGGGGGGGGAAATCAAGATAGAATTTCAGTGAATCCTTAAGCAACCCGAATGCTGTTTGGCAAATGTTGTTGAAAGAAGAAGAGTGAGGAGAGAGAGACAGAGAGAGGGATGGGAGAGGGAAAAGGGAGAAGTTGATTGTTCTGATGGGGAAGAGGTAGAAATACAAGTAAGTTAGTAGTAGTCGTCAAGACTCAAGAGGGCGCCAGGAGACTGGAGGGGAGGATAGTGGAAGTTATCTCCAGGCAGGTACTTAACTTAACTATATGTAGATAAATTGTGAGTAGAGAGTTCCACCGATCCAGCGCCAAGGGTTGCCCGTTGTTGGTGTTGTTCTTGTTGACTGTGATTCAAGGGTCAGATTGATCCACTCTTGGGCCTTTTTTTTTTATTTTTTTTTGGTATTTTTTCTTTTTCTTCTTCTTCTTCTTCTTCAAAACAACTAGTCTCTTTGACTAGCTAGAAACTAGGACAAAAGACAAAAAGAAATAGACTGGATGGTCTATCAAACAGAAGAATAATGCAAGTGTAGTGCAATCGAGTCAATAATAATAATAATAATAATAAGGCGAGGTAAGATGGAATGTGGATATGTTTCAGGCTGCTGTCATCCAAAATTCCATCGATCTGGAAGATGAACGTCCGATTGCTGACGATTTTATCCCTGGGATCGGAGGGGAAAAAAAAGGAAAAGATAGTGAACTAGAGAAAGAGTTATGCAGAAATGACGACGGTGATGATGTAGAGGGATCGCGTCAAGAGAGACTTAGGTACTAACTACTAATAAGATAGTGTTGCGCAGTTGACAGGGTATGCTGGAGGTACGGAGTACATAGTAGGGAATCCTAGAAAGCTTAGAGGGCCAACTAGCATATTATCATGAATTGATGACGAGACTCCTCTATGACCCAAAAAGCACACAATAACATTGACAGGTGCCTATCATGAGATGCCCTGAAACCCTGTCTAGTCACTACGAGTGGTGTCGCAGAACATGCCAGACGATTCACTGACTGGCTGCCACCCCCCCGAGTAACAAGAAATCGGACCAACCCGTCCGTAGTCAGTACCACCGAGGTAATCAGTCCTGGATTCTGGGGGCTCCCCCCTGCAACGGTTCACCCGCTAAATCTCACGATACGAAGCTCAAGTCACGCCATGGTCCAATCATAATGGTTTTTACAACCAAGGGTTGTGTCGTCATGACCAAGTTCACACTTGGATAGAGTCAACTTAGTCTACGGATACGTCTTCTTTAATCATCTATCCCCGTCAGCCACTTATTCAAGAGAATCTCAGTTCAAGCCACTAGAGAGGCCGGCAACCCTGCTAGTAAGGTAGTAGGTAGACACTAGACAGCAGCACGAGAAAGCTACTCGTCCTTAAGCATTTAGACTAGTCTGTCGACCTGAGAGTATATGCCTATATGGGTTATGCGTGACACTTGTAAATTTGTAATTTACACATGAAACAAACGGAAGAAACCCCCTAGTCTACATAGCAGGTTACTCTGGATCATTCGATTGGGGGGGGGGAGGAGTGATTTCAAAAGTCAAGAGTTAGACCCAAGAGTTGATGAAAGATATCGACTAGGTTCTCTCCATAGTTCAAGGAAATTGGCGGGACATGTGGCTTGACTGATCTCGTAACTGGCTGGCCGAGAGCCCGGCGAGTCGTTGACACTGACAGTTCATGCTAATGAAAGCTGGACGCCGAATGTTCCATGGTACAATCATTATGTGATCCTCCGCTAGTGCGGTGTGGGTTGGAAATATTTTTTCCTAAATGTAAGGCCGAAGTGTAGGGAGGTTCCATATCCTGAATTGAGTGGTTGTAACTATAGAGTCTGGGAGTATCTGTGTTGGATAATAGACATTCATTTGTATGGGGTAGAAGAAACCAACCCCGGTTGCTCCGTAACTACAGTATGTGAGAACAAAAATTGGGATGAACTGCAGCTGTACGGAGGTCTACTATGTATTTACTACTTAGGTAGCTACTTACAGTTTACTACGTCTACAGTCTTCAATCAACGTCCCCACTCCCAACTCCCAATCCACTCCCCGGCGTTTCAGAATTGCAGTCCGACTCGACCGGAGCTGGGCCACCAACACTTGGCTGGTTGAACAACCATCAAATCATATGAGTTCAGGGCTGACAGTGGCAAATCTCAATCAAAACAGATCCAGTAGTTACTAGATAGTTCAATTTCTCGTTCTTGAGGCATTGTCTATCTATAAACTAGTCTATCTATGGTCTATCAAACTATCGCACTGTCGCACTCGTACATTGTGATTCTCCATTTACTGAAAAGGCAGAACCCGGGGTTTGGGCCCGTTTATGGAGTACCACTATGGACCCTGGCCTTACTCAATTCAGGAAGAGCTCTGTTCTCCGGAGTACTTTTGCCAGTTTGCCTCATTCCCACTGAAGCCTGAGGCAGTAGGCACTGGACTAGTGCCTAGTAGGCTAGTGGACGCCTGCAGGTCTGACTCTGATCATTATATCAGTTAAGCGACTTAGAGTTAGAAATGCGACGGTTGTGAGACTAGTTCAATAGCAGATAGGGATCGTGCTCGAACTATTCTACTAGATGCTCAAGGTCACATTACTATTCTTTCTGACTAGGGGCTGAGAGACAAGGCAAACAAGGCTATCGTGGTGATCATTATGTGGAGGAAAGGATGCTGAGATTGATGAAGACTCAAGACTCAAGAGAGCAGAGGGATAGTGATAAGCTATAGGAGATTCCCAAGTCAACTGTATAAGGGTTTGCTCATTCAGTGTCAGCATCTCTCACCGTTAACGTTAAGTCTGATTCCAGTGTCCACAGGCAGAAGCACCCTGTCCCGGCTGCATGGAACTGTGCCGATGTCTCCGTGCTGAACCCACATACTGCTCGTCTCCCCAGAGTCAACAAAGTCAGCATAACGAGACCATGAACAGCTGTCCATTTACCATTATCCCGTCTGATATGGAAAAATCCGCAATGAAAAAATAACGACAAATCTCACAGAGGCGGGACGATGCCATCCAGCTCACGAACCATCGAGGCGCCAAATGACTTAAAACTCCCCATTGAGCCTGTGTATAGTGTATACGCAATTCTCCCACGCAACCTTTTTATTATTATTATTTTTTTTTTCCGCAAGGGTGCATGAGACCAACTTCCCGTCCTGCATCTACGCCCGCCGCTAGATAGACGCCACGAGGGGGATTTTGTGATGTCGCTCCACGCTCGCTTGCCAAATTCAAAAATGGCTAAAAGGGCCATAGCTAGACTATTCTTAGCCTACAGAACGGAGTCACTTACGGGCACAAGTGCTCCGTTCCAACCGGGGGGGTGAAATTCCAGAGAGAAGCAATATTTTTTTTTTCTTTCTCCACAGTGACTAGCAAAATATAGGATGCAATGGACGCAGTGAAGGCAGCAGTTTGGCTGCAGATGGTGCTGCAAGATGTTGTCATGGTATGCACATTGCACACCTTGAGAGGTGCAAAATGGCAGCGATGCAGGAGGACGAAAAAGTACTCCGTAAGTGGACATTGTTGTTGATGTCGATGTCAGTGGATAGGTGGTCTTAAAGGGGGGGATGACAACCAATAGTTCAGGGCAATCTGCTGTGACCAGAACAGATCAGCACTGGGGGGGGGAACAGTTCTTCTTCGGGATTATTATTATTCTCGGTGGAGTCTCCAGCGCTGAAGAGTAAAGACTACCTAGATAGAGAGTCTGTCTGAGTCTGCAGTGAACAAGAGTCGGGGTGTTCCGCGTGTTAAAACTGGGAAATTTCTTGATTTTGGAGGGTGCGATGCTGCGGTGACATCATCGCACATGGATCGAAATTACATTGCATTCACTATTGGCACTGTCAGTTTGGCAGACTCGTCATCTGCCCGCGGTCAGAGATTAACCGGTCCTCCTACTGAGAGATGTTAAGCTCAAATTCAGAGTAGTGCTGAAAGTAGGAAAAAAAAGAGGGAACAGAAAGAGAAGAAAGAGGCGAGGGAAAGGGCAGGAAAAGGAACTCTATATATACGATTTTTACTGCTCTACTTTTAATTGATATCAGCTCAGATCGGATGAAGGGTCAAGTCAATGCTCGTGGATGGTGGTGGTTTCCCCTGGAATCATGACGACGTCATGGAAGCTGTCCGAAGAAGTCAATACTCTGGAGTAGTAGTAGTAGTAGTAGTAGTAGTAGTAGTAGTAGTAGTAGTTTACTAGCTAGAAAGAATACTAACAGTAGGTAGTAGATAGTGGTGGTAGGTAGGTAGGAGATACCCAGAGTCAATTACTCAATATCGGTGGATTCTTCCCCTTCGACTAACTATTATTCCCATTTACAACAACAACAACAACAACTACTACTACTACTACTACTACTACTAATTACTACTATTACAACGAGCGGTTTGAAGCTCATTCCGACCACCTAGTAACTAACCCGATCTCCAAGGGGGAAAGAAGAATCTGACTGCACGCCATCCCCCTCGATACTACTAATCAGTCTTCGGTGGAAATTGACACGGAGGCCCTGCCCCGCTATTATTGTTGTACGTAGTACACACTACACACAGCACTTACCCCGCCAAGTCGCAGTGCGCAACTTGACCGATTTTCCGCCAGCGACCATTCCTTTCCCTTCTCTCACCAAGTATCACAAAGTACATCTCCTTTCGGGCGGCTGCAACGTATCCTTGATCCTACGAACCGTTTACGCACTTTGTCCCTAGCGAAGCTTTTACCAACCATGACCGGCCCCTCGCCCAATCTCTACAGCTACCCGAACACTGGCGCTTTGGCCCAGCAGCTGAGGGCCTATGTGCTCCGGTGTCAGAACTCCGCTCTAGAACGTCATGATACTTTTCGGGTTGCGATCTCCGGTGGCTCGCTCCCTGCTGTTCTTGCCGAGGGTCTTCTAGCCCTCGGGAACGGGTCGCCAGAAGACACCCCCCAGTTCTCCAAGTGGGACATTTTCTTCGCGGACGAGCGCGCTGTCCCTCTCGACCACGAAGACAGCAACTATCGTTTGCTCCAGGATGAGCTGATCAACAAGATCCCCGCCGAACAGGGCGCCCCCAAGGTGCATCCCATCGATGCCGACCATGTCAACGACGATGACCCGCAGGAGCTGGCGGATCTGTACCAGGAGGAGCTGATGCGCTCGTTTGCTGCCAAGGACAGTGTGAAGCTGCCCGTCTTCGATCTCATTCTGCTCGGCTGTGGTCCCGACGGCCACACCTGCAGTCTGTTCCCCGGACACGAACTGTTGCGCGAGAAGGATGCCTGGGTGGCTGCCGAGGCCAACTCGCCCAAGCTCCCACCAAAGCGCATCACTCTGACCCTGCCTGTTGTCACGCACGCCGTCCACATCGCGTTCGTCGCCACTGGTGCCGGCAAGAAGGAGATCCTGAAGCAGATTTTCGACGCGGAGGAGGGACGGGACCTCCCCTCGGCGCTTGTCAACCAGGGCGCTGGGGACAAGGTGAGCTGGTTCACCGACCATGCGGCTATTGAGGGAGTGTCGTTCCCCAAACGCGGAAGCTTGTAAGCAGTGGGAAAGTTGTCTGTCCAGGCGGGACGATTATCTATCACCATCACCGGTCTTTTGAGCTTTCCTCTCTTGGCGTTACAACCTAGACCTGGGAATACGGAGACATCGACTTGAAGGATTAGGTTTATCCTTACTAGATATCTCCTATATCCAATTGTGTGGAGTGGTTGGTTTGACCTGGAACTCGGATTGTCGAAAAGTTGGGCCGAAAAAAGAGAGTCGGCAGAGAGTGGTCTAGAGGCTCAGAGGCCATGCTCCTACGACTTGTACACACAATCAGATAATAATGAAGAAATGACGGATTAATTTTTACCAATATCAGTAGTACCCAAATGCTGTTGTAGTTTCAACTGAAACTATCTACATAACATTAGTTGCTGACTTGGACGATCACGATGATCACCGCCAAGCCGTACGTAGCTAGCTGTGTTTGGTGTTGATCTATCTCCTCCGTACACTCCGCACGACGAGCTCCAATCCTCCACAAACAGCACGTCATCAACATAACCACCAGCCCGAATTATCCCTCGTCTCATCTCTCATCCCGCTCGAGCACCTCGCTCTCACTCCCCCCCCCCTCCAAATCCACCCCGACCGAGGCACAAGACAACACACAACACACAGCATAGCCAACAATGCCCATCCCAACCCGCTCCCTCTCCCTCCGCGAACCAAGTAAACAGGTAAAGTCTGGTCGCTCCCCTTCCCCTTACCCATCCCCATCCTCCTAGTCACATACACCTTGGAAAAGAAAAAAGATAGGGCCCTAACCCCCCATCCAAGCCCAGCAGATACACAACCACAGCCACAACCACAGTCACAGGACCAGGACGCATACCCAAACCCGCCAACGCCGACGCCAACGCCGACTACATCCCTCCCCCGGCCGCGCAGGACGCCTCGAATCGCCGGAAAAGTCTCCTCCCGCAGCGGAGTCTCGGGCGCGAATATGACGCGCCCCGGTTGAGGCCGCCGCAACAGCAACAGCAACAGCAGGAGAACCGGCGCCGGGAGGCAGGGGTGCCGGTTAAGGAATTGCAGCCCCAGCCGCAGAAGGCTCTGGTGGAAAAAGGGTTGGTGGAAAATACGACGAGGCGGCGGAGTTTGATGATGAGGCCCGGACCGGGCCTGAGGCTGACGCCGAGTCCGTTAAAGATGGGTAGTACGAGCACTACGGTTGGAAGTACGGCGACGACTACAAGTACGGCGGGTGTAGGCACAGACACAGCAACGAGAAAACCCCCCGTCCCCACGACGCCCAAGAGCGCGACCTTCGCGCCGCGCTCTGCATCCCCGCGGAAGCGGGATCTCGCGCCCGCGTCGCCGAGGAAGGTCGCGGCGGATACCTCGATGCCGCCGCCGCCGCGGCCGAATCGGTCGGCGTCGCTGAGGCAGCCGTTGGTGGCTGGGTCGGGGACGGGGACCGGGATAGTGGGGGTGAAGGGCCATGTGCGGCACCGGAGCCAGGTGATTGCGCTGTCGACGGGCCAGACGAGGCGGAGTGAGTCGCAGTCGTCTGGGTCGGTAACTGGGTCGACGGCGACGGCGACGGGTAGTCGAGGGACGCAGTTTACGACGTACCAGCAGCAGTTTTCGCCGAAGAAGGTGGGGAAGCCGTCTTCGGGTACGGGGATGGGGACGCCGGCAGAAGAAAGTGCTTTGCTACCCGCGACGTGGCCGGAGATTGCGACGCTGCAGACGGAGCTTCTACAGTTGAGTTTATTGCACTCGACTTCGGTGCAGCGGACGGTGCAGGCGGAGGCCGAGTCGCAGGCACAGCTACGGGCTACGTATGGGGCGGTCGCGAAACGGTATCGCGCGATGGTGGGCCAGGAGAAGAACAGCCAGCGGATGCTGAATGGGCTGGCGCTGGATCAGTGGCTGGCGTATGCAAAGGAGCACAACGGTCGCCAGGGGTTCGCTGCGCAGATCCAGGTGTTTTCGCAGGTGGTGCAGGAGGTCTGCGATCTGACGGATGCCCGGGACGGGCGTTATACACGGCTTGTACAGGCGTTTGAGGACTGGTATGATAAATCTCAGGCGATCGAAAGCATGCGGCTACACTGTCAGCCGGGGGATTCGAGCCATCTGGTGTTCATTGATCCGCTGGGTCCCGCGTGGAAGGACGAGGTCTATGCGATGATGATGAAGCTGGAACAATGCGCGCGGCAGCTGCAGAGCCTGGACATCCTGGGGTACGCAGAGCTAGCAGCTACGACGATGGGCGAGTCTGCGCTGCTCCGGGCGGCCCGGGGACTGGACGACATGCTCACCTCGATGGTGGAGGAGCTCCGGACGATACGTAGGATGGAGACGGCGGTCGTAAAGTCGGAGAGGCAGTGGGTTAGTCAGCTCACGGGGGAGTTGACGGCCACCCACACCCACACCCACACCCATGCACGCGAGGCGAGGGGCCCGCGGGCTGGAATGTGGAGAACTGCGCTGTTCGGCTGTTGAGGTCATAGACGCAAGTGGTGAACCATTGATTCTGGATGGATCGTACTATGTTCTGAGGATCTTCTACCGTGGTCGAACTTGTACCCTGCCGAGGGGTGATTGCTGCAATCTGCAGTCGTTGAATCTTCCGACACACAGTCGATAGGAAGAGGGGAAACAAAAAGCACGAAATTTCGACGCTAGCCAGCACATCATCCACCAGAAAGGGAGAACCCGGGAGAGAAAGGGGGGTTTGGGAGGGAAGTGCGAAGTGCCAATCGTCTAATGGCAAACCAGCGCGATACATCAGACTCCAGACTGATGGAGATGTCTATCTATCGGATTTCGAGCAGGGCGACCGGTAGGAATCATGCAGGGAATCAGAGTTTCACAAATGACACTTTTTTTTTCTCTCCCTCTCTCTCTCTCTATCTAAAGGAGCAAGTGTCATTGACCAGGGACGAGGCACACGCATATCAGGATCCGGCCATGATTTGATCCCACCTGGCCTGGCGCATTCTTTGGGAGGATGCTGATGGGGATGAGAGTCTGATCCTGTCCCCCCATAGTGATCCTCCCTTTTTTCCCCCTTCACAGCTTTTTCTTTTATCTCTTATTCGTTTCTTTTATTTTTATTTTTTTTATCTGGGTGATTTTCTCTTGCCAATGGTCTAGATGGCAAAGTAAATCCTGCTCGGTTGCAACGAGCCGCGGGTTGATATTTGGACGGGCTGTGCTGTGCCTTGGTTTGAACGAAAGCACACTCTGTCTTCGACACAATTCCGGTCGATCATTGACCTTACTTGGACTTGGGGACTCCATGCAGGTTTCTGACCTGGACTTCTGGAACAGCAGTCGAGTCAGGAGTCAGGACTTGTCGATATGACACCAGCCCACGAACCAGCATCCTCGGTATGTTCCTTTTTTTTCTTTTCTTTTCTTTTCTTTTCTTTTTATTGTGTCTCAACTGCGGAGTCTCAACTGCGGAGTCCCAAGACCTCTTTTCCCATCCATCCTTTTCGATTCAGAAATGGCGAAATCCGGATTTTAATCCTGCGAGATGGAAGGTTGATGAAATGATGAGCGGAGGATGACTGAGCTGACTTCATGTTTGCCACGATAGTCAAGTCAAGTCAAATCAAATCATCGGTTGAGTATGGTTCTTGGGGAGGCATGAGAACAAGAACAAGGACAAGAGATGAGATGTGTGGTGGGGATGAGTACATAGATACAAATGGAGAGTTCTTCTTCTGCTACTAATAATTGCAGAATAACGTAGACTACTATCCGTAGACTCTAGACTACTCAGACTACTACTACTACTAGTCTAGATGTTGGCCAAACTGTTAAAACTGACAGGTGAGAGACTGCGTGACTGACTAAGCGCAGCAGTGCCGTCATTGATCATCGGCTCCGACTCGGATGTCACATTGAAGAAGTAAGTAGAAGTCTTATTGAAGATGAGAATGAGAGGATGAGAATGAAGAGGAAGATCAGCTGAAGCAAAGCAGACAATCTTCATCAATTATTATCATGATCATCCAAGCACGATGCAATAATATACACCAGCTAACCTAAGTATAGTACCTAGTAGTAAGTAGTAAGTGCGCCTAACCAACCGGGGTCTGGACGCAAGCAAGCAAGCAGAACTAATGCTGTCTCTCTCTCTCTCTCTCTCTCTCTCTTTTTCCTCAGTCTTCTCTCGATGAACCACGATCTATGAGTTCTGGACCCAGGTCTGCGAGGGGATTGATTTGATGGATCTGGCTTGGTCCATAAGGTTGTCAGTCCCCTCTTTGCATCGTCCTCTATCTCTCTTCTTTCTTCTCTTCTTTTCTACCTCTCTTTTCTCCTCTCTTCTCTTCTTTCCCTCTCCTCCGCTTCACCACCGGCACCATCACTATCACCCCATCTCGCTCTTGGATCGATCGATCAGCGGTACCTGGGGGTAAGCTCCATCTGATCTTGCCTCTTGCTTTCTCTTGAACTATTCCCCCCCCCCAGATTGTTCTTTGTTCTTGGCTTCCTCCACTCTCTCTCTCTCTCTCTCTCATTTTCTTCGGCTCCGACTTAGTGTTTCTTGTTCTTGTATCGCTGTCTCTTCACCTGCTTGGTGTTCCTGGCCCCTGGAGGCTCTGAACTGACGTCACTGTTCAGCACCCAACACAAAAAAAAAAAAGAGAGAGAGAAAAAAAAGCGACCCCCAAAAAGAATCCGCCAACACGGCACGAAAGTTCTTCGCTGGGGTATAAAATCCTAAGGGTAAAAAAAAAAAAAAAAAAAAAGGAGAAAAAAAAGCCATGATCCGAACACCGGGAGATTGATTGCATTCCCACTCCCATTCCCTCCCCTCCCTCGTCCGCCTCTTCCTAGACAGCAAAAAAAAAAAAAAAAAAAAACACTGAACTAAGAGCTTCTGATCAACACCCCCCCCGTCCCTCCCCCGTCCCTCCCTCTCGGTTGTCATGAAGAACTCGTTGTATGATCGTATCTGGCGTCGGGAGTCGGGTGATGCGTCGCACTCGGCTAGTATTCGTGGCGTCTATGGTTCTAAGGAATGGGTGGATGATCTGGACATTGTCAATGAGCTCGGGGGCCACACGGGCTGTGTCAATGCGCTATGGTAGGTTTGCTTCTATCCTCATGCAAGGTCATTGTCGCGAGTTCCCTTTTTTTTTTCGCTGATTAGTCTCGGCGCCGTAGTTGGTCGCGGTCTGGTCAGCTGCTGGCCTCGGGTTCCGACGATTTACATCTCAACATCTATTCCTACCAGCCGGAGTCTTCTTCCGCACCCTTTGCGCTCAACACCACCGTCTATACCGGCCACAAGGCGAATATTTTCTCCGTCAAGTTTATGCCGCACTCCAATGACCGCACGCTGGTGACCTGCGCCGGCGACTCGCAGGTGCGCGTCTTCGACATCGAGCATTCTGCCAGGAGTAATGTCGCCGCCACGTCCGCCTTCTCGGCCTCGTCCCGGAGTCGGCGCTTCAACAACTTCTTCAGCAATGCGCGCTATCTGAATGAGACCAACACCAACGCCCGAGTGTACCGAAGCCATGCGGACCGCGTCAAGCGCATCGTCACCGAGTCGTCGCCCTACCTTTTTCTCACCTGCTCCGAGGATGGCGAGGTGCGCCAGTGGGATTTGCGCCAGCCATCGTCCGCCTATCCGCAGCCGCGTGGAGGACAGGGCTTCATGGCGTACCGGCCGGGATTGGAGCACGACGATTCGAATGTCCCGCCGCCGCTGATCTCGTACAAACGGTGTTGTCTCGACCTCAACACCATCTCCTGCTCGCCAAGTCAACCGCACTACATCGCGCTGGGCGGCGCGCATCTGCACTGCTTCCTGCATGACAGGCGCATGCTCGGGCGGGATCTGCTCGCCGAAAAGGGTCAGCCCGGGAGCTACCCCGATCTCGGGAACCAGCACCAACAGGAGCTGATGGGACAGGCCACGCGATGTGTCCGGAGATTTGCTCCCAGTGGCAAGAGACGAATGCACCCGCAGGACAATGGCCATATCACCGCCTGTAAGATCAGCGACGCCAATCCGAACGAGATGGTCGCCAGCTGGTCGGGAGATCACATCTACAGTTTTGATCTGATTCGAAGCCCCGATGCCCTCGATGCAGCAGCCTCAACCGGTGACAAATCCGCGCAGGGAAGTCCTGGTTCGCGGAAGCGCCGCGGTTCCAAGAACAGGAAGCGCAAGCGAACAAAGGGGGCGTCGCTGTCCTCCCAGTCCAGTGGCCACCGACATTCCTCCCGGCGCCGCTCCGCGGGAAACAACGGCGACAGCGAGCTGGCGTTCAGAGTGCGCTATGGTAATGGCGAGATGGAGGATCTTCCGTTTCCTTCGCTGTCCGAGACCGTGTCCGATGCCCCGCCGCAGAGCGTTCTGGAACAGGCGCATTATTCCGTACTCAACGAGGCGCAGCGACTTAGCATGCGGATCGCCAAAGGACTGGTCAAACTGCGCAAGGCCCTCTTCTCCTTGGAAGTGTCAGTGCGCGAAGCCACCGAGTCTTCGGCCGACTCGGGTTTGACCCCGTACACGGAATCTTTCTCGACTGCACTAACCCATGCAGCGGAGTACTTGCCCCAGATGAGCGAGATCATGCGGACATGGAGATACCCTCTGGATCCGAGCCCAGAAACTGTGGACTTCCAACAGTCCCTGCGGTGGAACCGCGAAACCGCCTGGCGGTTCGTGCAGGCCGCTGGGACGGTGGCCCGGTTCTTAGGAGGTGAGATCCGAAGCTCTTCCGAGGATGAGACTGCGCCAATGAACCTCTTCCGGCAGATTGTCCCCGCGCCCGGCGAGAGCAATGTAATTGGAACAAAAGAGCAGTTTGGATACGACTTCGTCAAAGCCATTTTGCTGTTCTTTGAAGGGGGGAGGGGCGCAGTATTGGCCGGTTTCAAGACCAACGCTTTCCAGCGCCGCAATTCGCCGCGGTGTCCGATCCCCGAAGCAGCCGACGACAGCGCCATTGAGTCAGTCCTGATCCCCTACCTCCAGAGTCTGGCGGGCGACTTCCCTGTGGTGAACGTGGACGCCTCGCGATTCGAACATGACAGTTCCCGCGTCTTGTTTCAGACACAGCACGCCGCCGTTGTCGCCTTTGCAAACGCTTTGAGGTTGCCCCTTGAGGACTTGGGCGATGCCGCAGCCAGAGTCAACGGTCACAACGGGCCGGACACTGCTCATGTGCAGGCCCTGGACCGCGCTTCGTCCATGCGATTCTGGGTCCTGAAGGTCGCAAGAGGCGTTTTAATGGAGACCGGCACTGGGGTCAATTATGCTTTTGTGAATCGGGCCTTTGGTGGCTTGCGCACCGAGATCGCAGATGGGTCGGACAGCGAGCTTGGGCAGGAGAGATTACAGGACGAGGTGGACGGCAGTGTTGACGAAGAGTCGGTGCAGGATGTCCGCCTGGTGGTGCCTGGCTCCTCGGTGAACGGCAATCATGGACGACCCGGGAATGGCAGAAGGTCTGGGCTGGGGGCAGCTTCAACGAACGGAGGGACCGAGGCCAGCGACGATAGCTTTCTTGACCGCCAAAGTACAGATATGGGTAGCAACGACGAACCTGACGAGTCCGCAGAAGACGAAGACGAAGACGAAGAGGATGACGACGACTCGGACATGGATCTGGGAGGGCTATCCGATGTCGATGACGACGAGGATGAGGATGAGGCCGAGGAGCGACTAATCAACCGATACGGATTCCGGCGGACGCGCAGAGAGGATGTGGAGCTCGACGTGCCTTGTTCCTCGCATTCTCGAGTATACCGGGGCCATTGCAACATCAAAACCGTCAAAGATGTCAATTACTTTGGGCTTAACGATGAATACGTGATGAGCGGCAGTGACTCGGGCCACATCTTCATCTGGGATCGCAAAACAACCGATCTTGTCAATATACTCGAGGCGGATAGCGACGTTGTCAACGTTGTGCAGGGTATGCTTTTCTTGCGCAAAATCTGCCATTTTATCTATGGCATGATATGACATGGGACTCACTCTTACTGCAGGACATCCATATGAGCCCACCATTGCCGCCTCTGGGATAGATAACACCATCAAGATCTTCTCGCCTGACCGCTATTCGCAGGAGAATGCTCGCCGCGGCATTAATATCCTGGACCCCGACAACCCGGCAAACACGCTCGGTTCGAACGTCGCTGGCATCGGCGGGTTGAAGAGCCGCAAGCGGATCCATGACAGTTATCGGATCATGAGCCAAAACGACGTCGATCGCCAAGGGGGCATGAGCGAGGCGCACATTACTGTAAGTGGTGTTCCCCCCCCCCCCCCCTCCCTCTTAATCTCATTCAAAGATCCTCAGCAGTGTCTAATATCATCCCTTGCAGAGGAGTATGCTAGCCCAGCTTGCTGCAACCTTGCGACAGCGACAAACCCACGGCGGCGAAGGAGTGGTAGACGGCGCAGGCGAGGGCGCGACCATCGTCCTAGACGAGAATTGCAGTGTAAGTTTCTGATCAATTCCAGCGATCGCGGCTTTTACCGCCTTACTAACCATCTTTCTTTCCCCCCCCCACAGGTGATGTGAGCCGGGATCCGCGGGGCGTCGGCGGAATCATAAAAGTGCGGCGTCGGAAGGCGATATGGAGCTTGGGTATGGTATGGGACGTTATCTTCCTTCCATTCTTCGGTGTCATTATTATTATTATTATCATGGAACTCAAGTTGCCAAACGTCGGAATATATATCGATCGGTGAGGAAAGTTTCCCGTCCTGGTGCGGTGTATGTAGCCTAGCTGGGTTAATTGGTAGTGTGACTGCAACATACTGAGACCATCGCACGGTCGGAATTGTTATATCTGACTGGAGACTGGAAGAACATCATAAATCCTCCCGTAAGGTCCATCAAGGAAAGTGAAGCGATGTAATTGCACTTGATCGAGAGTCAATCATCACTCAAATCATTCATTCCTGATAATTTTTGCTGAACAGTGTTATCGCCACGTGATGATAGGCGTGCTACCCCGCGTTTCCTTTTCCTTTTTTTTTTTTTTTTTTATCTGAAGCCTCAAGTCAGTCTCAAGTCAACGTTCTACAAGGAGTCCGGAAGGTCGAATCATGCATTGATCCCGAATATAACCATCGCAAGTCCATCCGTCCATATACCGTCCACCAATCCGGTACCTGCGCCATACCCCTCACCCTCCTTCAGTAGTAATAACCAACACCGAAATTCCCCTCACAGCTCTCACCCTCCTACCCAGCGAAGTCATACGGCGATACCACCACCACCATGGACCACGCCCTCCTCCAAGACCGCGCCTCCACAACCACAACCCTCCACTCCGACCCGCACAACCCACACCTCTACCTCGCGCGCGGCCGCATCCACGCCCGTCTCGGCTTCCCCGATCTCGCGTCCGCGGACGCCTACCGCGCGCTCTCGCTGCTCGAGGCCGTGGTTGAGCCGGAGGGGTGCGAGTTTCATGCGCGGAGACGGATTGCCGAGGTCGAGGCTGAGGCTAATACCTCTGCAGATGCAGACGCCGACAACGATGATGAAGATGAAGATGAAGATGAAGATGAAGATGAAGGACAGTTCGAGGCGCTGACGCAGGACGAGTACGATGCGCTGATCGGCCCGGTGTACGAGCTGCTGGTGTGCAGTCTGGTGCGCTGCGGCTGCTACCGCGACGCGTATGAGTTCTGTGTGCGCGGGCTGGCGGTGCTGGGCGATGTGGGTGGCGGATCCGCGGAGGAGGCGGTGCGTGGGTTGAAGGGGTTGCTGGCGGGGATTGTGAGGGTTTATGTGGCGAAGCGGGGAGATACAAATGGTGGTGTGAATGGGGATGTGGATGTGGACGTGGATCCGAGTGTGCTGAATGCGCAGGGCTTTGCGAGGCGTGTGCTGTACCCGTGGAACACGCACGAGCCGGACCGCAAGGCGCCCGAGACGCTGGCGTTGCTGAATGAGAGGTTGAAGGAGGTGGCGCCGAAGTGCGAGGTGCGGGCTGTTGCGCTGCCGGCGCTGCATGGGACGGCCACGAGCACGACGGAGGCGGTTGCGGCTGCTGCGGAGGCAGAGGCAGACGCAGACGCAGAAGTCTCCGTGCAGCTCGGCCTCTTCGCCAAAGAGGACATCGCCCCCGGGGAAATCCTCCTCCGCGAATCCTCGCTCCTCACGGCCACGAACCGCCTGCACGATGACCTCTGCGACGCCTGCAACGCGCCCCTGCCGGACCTCTCGGCCGCCGCGCCCCCCGTCGCCTGCGCCGGCTGCGACGACACCATCTTCTGCAGCCAGCAGTGCCACGACCACGCGCAAGCTGTCTACCACGGCGCCGTGTGCGGCCTCATGGAGAACCTCGAGTCCATCGGCAAGGACATCCCCGACCCCAAGGATAAAGCAGACTATCTGTATCTCCTGCTCCTGGGCCGCGCGCTCGCCATGGCCGCAACGCAGGACGTGCACCCGCTCGAGCTCCCCGAGATCAAGTACATCTGGGGCGACTTCCACGACCTTGACCTCAACACCTCCCCCAACCCGGACACTGATCCCACCAACACCAGCACCAACACCAGCACCGCTGCCACTGCCGCCGCCGTAGCAACCCTCCCCTTCTCCTTCCAACTAAACATCCTCCAGCCCATGCGCCTCCTTGAGGAAATGGAGATCGACCCCTACGCGCACCTCGCCCGCTACGACACCTGGGTGCTGAACACCCTGTACGCGAAATTCCGCGGCACCGCGTCCGGCCGCCTGTCCACCTGGGACGGCGGGCCGGAGCTCTGCGCCGTGCATCCGCTATGGTGTCTGGCGAACCACTCGTGCGACCCCAATGTGCGCTGGGAATGGGGCGGGGAGATCACGTTCCGGGCGCGGACGGTGGACGAGCGGGCGGTTTGGAAGGGTGGCGAGTCGGCGCCGGCGGGGAAGAGAAAGGGGGCGGGGATTAAGGCGGACGAGGAGATTTTGAATCATTATTGTGATATTGGGCTGAGTGTGAAGGAGCGGAGGGAGTGGGCGCGGGGCGCGCTGGGGGGGCTGTGTCAGTGTGAGAGGTGTGTTTGGGAGGCGGCGAGGGAGGGTTAGTGATGGGATATAGATGATGGTACATAGAGAGAGAGAGAGAGAGGGAGTTGGTGGCTGTGATGTTCTCAGCGTGGACCAAGGATAGATACCCTATAGATGAATAGTTTGTCATGTTCGCATGCTTACTATTATAAAAGCGTACGCGTAAATTCAGATGGATGGTAAGAAACTGGTATTTGCCCATTTCTCCACGAAATTGAAAACCACGGAATATAGATACACCTTTACAACCGTTGGACCATCCTATGACCATATCGAAGAAAACAGATTACCAACTTATTGCCCATCTCTAATAGCAGGCCTGCCTTCGCCTCATAGGTAATCGGAGGCACGACCCCGACGGGGTGGAGTCCGGGATGGAGATCTGCGCTTATTGTATCCGCGAGCAGGAGGTGGAGATGCTGAGACTGAGCTCGAGTTTCTCCTCCTTCGAGCAGGTCGAGGGCTCGGGGAGCGCGATATGGAATCGTCACGGGGACGACGGCCGGGAGGCGGACGTCGAGGAGGAGAGCGAGATGCTGAGATACCCCTTTCAACGCGTCGACGAGGAGGCGAAAGAGACTGCGAGGAGTAGCGTTTGCCACGTGCGCCTTTTGCCTGCGTCCGAGGAGGTGGAGTGACCGAGCGAGAGGGGGATCTGGAGTAACTACGGTCTCTGCGGCTGTGCGAGCCGCGTCTGCGCGGCGGTGTGACGGAGCGGGAAGGGGAACGTGAATCGGACGATTTATCACGTACCCTTCGAGGAGGGGTGCGAGAAACCGACGATCTGCGACGACCTGGAGGCGAGCGTGACCGACTATACGAAATCGAGCGGCGTCGAGACTTCGAGACCGGGGATCTCGACCAAGAACTGTAGCTGGGGGTATAGCTCCTTCCGCGCGACGATCCCGACACTGATCTCGAGTAAGATCTGCCTCGACTGACAGATCGAGCACGGCCACGGCTCCGCGAAGGGGATCGTGAGTATGATCGCGAGCGCGAGCCGGTGCATGTGGAGCACGTAGAATGGGAACTGACAGACTCCGAGTCGGACTCTGCAGCGCGCGCAGGCAATGCAGGAACGGTAGGTTTTGGAAGATTCTGTAAATGCTCCCGCATGTCTTCGGTCAGAACACCAAACCCAATACTTGTGAAGTAATTGATCGAGAAGCGGGTATGCCGCGGGTTGTCCAAGGGGAAGAGACCCTCGAAGCTGGGGCGCAGAATCTCGTCCCTCATGCGCTCCTTCAACTTGGGTAGGCCAAGGTGCTCTCCTAGATCCTGGAATAGAATCTTGATGAAAATACGACTGCTCGATGTCGTTTCATCCTCATTCAGGTGGACAATGGACAAGACATGCCAGCCGATGGCGTCTGTGCTCAGCATATGGCCGAAGAAACGCGCGATATTACGTAGACGATTGGTCTCAAACCGATGGATGGTGTCGTAATATTTGGCAAATGCTGCTTCAAAGAGATCGGACCACATACGGTTGATCTTCGCGAACCGTTCACCAATCAATCCATAGAACTTCGAGTATGTTCGCTCCTGGGAACAGCACTCAATGATCATGGAAGGAAGCTCTGGCTCCAGGCCAGGCGGCAATGAGATCTTCATGAGTTTGTGGCAACATTCTTCAAAGTCGATGCTAGACATGATTGTCAAGTAGATGGTTCGCCGGAGGTTGACGAGATCTGTGTTGCTTTGATCCTTGATCTCCATCTGGCGTTCTTCAGCCTCCTCCTCGTCCGAGCTCTCATCTGTCTCATCCTCGTCCTCTTCATCATCACTACCCTCCCCGAGGATTTCGGCCTTGAGCTTCTTGTAGGCCTCTTCGTGTTCCTCCCACTGAGGATCGAACTTGAAGACGTTGAGCCCGTCCTGCGTTTCAATCTCATCATCCAGGCCGATGCGGTGAGTAATCTGATCCTCTTCCTCGACCAGATCAAGCTCCTCCTTGACAGCTGGATTATCCTTGTACCTGTCCTTACGCACTTGGAACAGAACTTCGATCATATATTGTACTCGTTTGTCGATATCGGCTTCGTGAAGGATGTTCCTGAATTGATCAAATACCGCCAAAGCGATAGGACCACTCATTTCCTCCAAATGCTGGCCAACCTCTCTTGTCAGACCGACCGCGATTTCAACACTGTCATCGGTAGGCTTGTGGAGCAGGAGGAGAAGGATCTGAGCGGCAAGCATTTCGTGGGCAACTTGCTGGTTGCACAAATGCGCGATGAAGGTAGTAGACGAGATACAGACGGCTTTGTCGTTTCGCTTGAACGCTTTCCGAAACTGAACAATCAGGCGGTTAAGAAGCAGTTCTCCGACCTGCGGTAACTTTGTGTTGACAATGGCTGCCATTGCAGCGTAGATCGGAGTAAATGGCAAACTCGCCGCTTGCGCTTTCATAATGCTTCTGCAGAACAGACCTCGTCCGCGAACCAAATTCTCCCCAAAGAGCTCGGGCACGATGAACTTGATGTTGGACACGTTGACCTTGTTGATGAGACCGTTGATGGACTTTTTCAAAGCTTCCCAAGCCATGCGCTGGTATTCCTTGCTGGTCTTATCCGTGATCTGCGCCTGGAGAGCGCGCAGCCGGGCAGGCGGAATGTATGTACCTCCAGAGCGCATGTTCAAAAGCTTTTCATATTCAGCTTTGGCTGCAGCTTGCTTCTCCTCCTCCGTCATCGGTTTCCGCGCAGCTTCCTGCTTCTCATGCTGACGTAGACGCTCCGCGAGCTGGCGTTCTCGTTCAACCGCGCGCTCCGGGTCGATACGCGGCGCACCCTCATCCTCCTTCAGCGAGTCGCCGGGTGGCGAGCGACGACGATTAGGGGAAGGGGAACGAGATGGAGGAGAGCGTTTTCGTGATGCTGAAGGCTGTGGAGAGTACGAGATGCCTGGAGGAGGTGTAGGCACGCGAACAGCGGACTGCAACACAGCAGAGTCCGTCATCACTGCGATGTGGCTGAAACTACCCCGGAGTTTCTAGAATTGATCATCAACTCGAGAGTTGAGATACAATTTGGTGTTCCAACAAAGTCCCTTCAGCCAGACGTGAGGCGGCGAAGGGAGGAAAGTCTTAGCGTCGATTATCATCACGTGATGGAAAAGGAGCCAAGCTGGCCTGGACTGTGTTTGGCAAAGAGAAGTACTATCAAACACGCATTCGAGTTTCGAGTGTACACGTCTTCCGCGCCGTAGGGGAAAGCTCAGTTTGAATATTCATAATGGTGAGTCTCAATTAATACTGAACTACCGCTCTTTCACTAACATGCTTTGGTGCAGCTGGGTCAGCTCGTGGGATCCGCCATGCTCCTGGTCGCTACTGCGATCTTCCTCTACTATACGGCTTGGACTCTTCTCATGGTATTTATTTATGCTACTTCACAGGCGACTCAAGCAGGTTACTAACACTCCGATAGCCGTTCGTGGACACCGGACATCCTCTCCATGCTCTATTCCCTCCCCGCGTGTGGGCGATCCGCATTCCTGTTATCCTGACTCTACTGGGCTCGGCCGTGGTTGGTACATTTATTGGCATCGTGATGATCAACAGCAACAGGAAGAAGGCTGCCAAAGCTGCAGCGGCGAAGAAGAAGACTTGAGTTGCGCCACGGTATACCCCGGGAGATAAACAAGCAAGGTTTTGCCGAGGTCGTGCAAGGAGGCCATCCTTTACTTTCTGATATAAACCTGTACCAATATTAATCCATATTATTGACCGCTCTGGCGCAGCTGTAAAGATATCTTGTTTTCTCATGATGAGGTGAAACATGTGGAAGCGTGTCGATGACGACCCAAAAGGTCACTCGACAAGAGCTGAACAAGTCTATGGTACGAAGTCTCACGAGAAGAGGAACCGTCCAAGAGGCGACTATCCAGAATGACTAGAATGACGGCCATCATCAGTTCGATCTGACCGTCAGCGTCATACTTCGGTGGTCTCTTGACTGCTCACCAATGACAACCTGGGGCCTTACAGACGATGGCCATGTTGCAGTGGTTGACCCCGTGACAAAGTCGACCATGCACAGCTGATACTTGGCTGATAAATTAAGGATAATGAGTCAAGTACAGGGCAGCCCGCGCCTGGAGGACCGTGGAAACCTGGAATGCGCGATCCAAGTTTCAATGTACAGTAAGGACTAGTCGTTGATGATGACCGTGACCTGTCCATGTCCCGATGGAGCAACCTTGGACAAATCACGTGGTGCCTGCTGACCCCGTGTTTGAAACTCTCCAAAAGGCGCGTTGTTGTTTGCACTGTTTGGCCTACCCCTCATGCGGGATGGGGCTGGTAATTCTGTTACATTCATGCATACATACAGTACCTGGCTTTATGCAGTCTTTGCTATAATAGTGTATCAGAAATGATCTGTTATCTTGCAGTAGCTTCAAAGGAATCGCTATTGCATAGGCATACACATTCTTACCTGTCTATTATTCTCTGAATCCTGCAAAGAGTGTTGAGCTGCCGCCTAGAGCTGGCCAATGAACTGGGTATTAGGTATAACCGCCCTGGCACTATGTACTACGGAGTAAGTCAGAGTACCTAGTGATTGATGATAGCTGATAGGAGATAAGTAAACTTTGGTTTAGTTACGTATGGGACAGTCAGCCTACCATACTCCATACTGAGAGATGTCATCCATGCTCCTGACCTGAATGAAGTCCCCCCTCCCCCTCTCCTGCATAGCCCTCATTCCTTCTCTCTCTCCCTCTCCCTCTCTTTCGAACAACTATCTCGATCTTATTCTTGACACTGTGTTTTGGACCTGACATACGAACTTTCTGCTTGGAATACCTTGGATTACATCTCTGGTCCGGACGTCTTGGATGTACAATACGACATTTGGCATCCGAGTCACGCTGATCCCGCCTCTAAGCGTAGTATCTGAAGCAGCTCGTCGCGATATTACCCACTCGAGTGGGAAGTGAAATAACTGAACCAAATCATCCTCTTTTTAAATCATCAGGGTTTGAACCAACAGCCGATTTGTATGCTACGATAAGCCCTTCAGTCTGTCTTGACCTTTTGTGACTTATTCTGACCAGTGTATTGTTCATGCTATCAGGATCTACACTTCCCCCCTGAAGAGATCCCAACCTTCACGATCATCCTCATCGGTTGAATTGTCCGTTCTCAGACCTCACCAAAGGTCCTGAGAGCGGTTCTCTTCGCTGAAACTTCCATTGCCTCTGTGAGGCACTCTTCCAGTTGAATGCCCCCGGCAGCCTCCGACGACTTCTTCCGTCAGCAGAACCGGGCCTCAGGCGATCAAAGCCCCTACCCGCAGGACTTCATTCAGCCAAGTCAAGAGAATAATGATAGCGGAGGAAAAACGAAGAAAAAAGGTAAAAAGGGAAAGGATAAAGCCGCCAAAGCGCTGTCAAAGTCACCGCCCGAAGACCTGTAAGGATTACTCGAACTATTTCCTGCTGGGGTTTATACAATCCGTTGGATTTTGACTGACTGTGTGTCTTCTTGATTGAGCAGGCTAGCAGCTTCTCCCCCCCTGCAGGCTGAATCTTCTCCATATTCGGGTCATCCTCTGGTTCCTACCAGCAATCAGATCCTATCGCCTGTGTTGAACGCACTCGAGTCTCTAACGGATACCACAGACCATGACCTTGCCATCCGTACAGATACTTGGGCCAAATCAATTCCCTTCGGGAAGAGTCCCCCGAATGATATCGTTCCCGGAGAACTCCCTGGCGGATCTCCTCTCAGCTTTCCCACCCCCTCAGACAAAGGCGGCTTTAGTCAACCATCCTCCAGCTCTCCTCCTCCACGAAGGAGACCTTTGAGCTACGGGAATGGATATCTGAGCAGCAATCTTGCCAGTGGGCAATCCGCAGACAGACAGAAGACTCACTCTTTAAGCGCTCCGTACGACAACCAGATACCCCTACCTCATTTGCCGCAACCTCATTTCTATGGAGCACCAGATATCGACATTCCTCTCTTTCCAGGCTCAAACCGAGCACCGGGAGAAGAAAGCTACTCATTCTGTGGTTTCGATACCATCTCCGGCCCGTTGTTCAAGTCCTCCAGGATGGGGGCCACCGTCTTGCTTGTGGGCAGCGATGGGGTTCTGGAAGTCCTCGCCATCGAAGACCGGAAGTCTCGCCTTGTGGGAGAGCTTAGCGGCCTCAAAGGCCGAGTGATAGATGCAAAGATAGTAAATTGTATCTCAGCGGATGACCCTTATACAGGATCTCGACCACACATCGCCGTCATAATTCACGGACCATGCGCACCTAGTGAAGAAGAGGGGCGTACGTCTTCTACAGCATCAGAAACGAATGAAGTTCCTCCCAGCCACGCTGGAAGGCGGTCGTCAATTGGAAGGCGGCCAAATGAGGCGAAATTGTTCCAAACGAGGACGGAGGTATACTCACTCAGAAGCGGAGAACAGGTTGCAACTCTCTTCGCTACGAGACCGGCACCGTGTTTCGAAAATATCCCCGGATTGCCTGCTGTGGCCCCATCTCCGTCTGGCAATCTGAAATTGTATGTCAGCGGAAGTCATATTGTGTTGGCCTCCGGGATCAGCGGCGAGGTTTTCATATATGGATTGAACCATTTCTCGCCATCCTGCGGGTATCAGTGCATGGGTAAAACCTGGACGAGCATACAAACTAGAGAAGCTCGGCGATACTCAACGTCTTCGAGCTCAACCGATCCGGATGCTTCTCGAAATGATTCTCCAAATGGATCAGCCAATTCAGATACTCCAATCCTTGCACTCAAGGGCAGATGGCTAGCGATAGTCCCACCGTCTTCGACTTATAGACCCTCAATACGTGGGACTGTACCGGCTTCCTTGATCCAAGGCAAGGTCTTTGGGCTTGAGACGCGTAGCCCTCCGGGTAAGCCGGCAGTGACCTCTGCTACAGATGTTGGTGAAGGCGAAAGCCTTTTCGACAAAGTTGCCCGCGGAGTCACGCAAGAACTTGTCCGAGGTGCACGCTGGATGGGGGACCAAGGACTCCAAGCATGGAACAACTATTGGAACAAAGACCAGGCTCAGAATATGTCTAATCGCCGGTCACCGAACCTGATGGACCTCCCACCGCAGGGATACGGTATCTTTCCCCCGACTCATGCCCAGGAAACTCAACTCACATCTCCTTCCGAGCCCGATATTGTCTCGGTACTGGATCTGAGAAAGCTGGAAGACGGGAGTGAGACCAAGAGTGTCATGCTTAACCCACTTGCCACCTTCCAGGTCCCCAATGGGTGTAGCTTCCTGTCATTCTCTCCAAATGGTCTAGTGCTGCTCACCGCGAGCAAGAAGGGTGATGTGCAGTACGTCTGGGACTTGATGCAAGCTCGGTACTGTCGAGCAGGATCTTTTCTAGCAGAGAATTCCACAGTGCCTTCTGCGAACGTGCGACAGATTGCGCGTTTCGCGCGCCTTACCACGTCGTTTATTGTTGATGTAATCTGGTTTCCTCCATCCGGTGACCGCCTGGCAGTGGTCACACGCAAAGGCACTGTACACGTCTTCGATCTTCCCCGCAGTGCTTTCCAATGGCCACCGTTCCGTCGAGCTCATCCTCCGCCTAGCAAGGCCCAATCTAGCGCTTCGCCAGTGGGTGAAACCACGGACAAAGCGGGCGCCACGAATCCTCTCTCTGCGGCATTCAAGCTTGTGGGGGGTAAGACCCAGCCTATTCTGGCTGCTGTCAGAGGCCGTGCTCCGTCGGCCACTTCTGCGTTTCCAGCTGTTAGCGCATTTGCAATTCCGTCTGCGGCTGGCGTTCGAGGTGGTAAGGTTGTCGCTGCTGGTCTCAGTAAGTCGATGGGTGCAGCAACTGGGACAGTCAATACTCTTCGCCATGCAGGTGAGAATCGGCTGCATCTCTCTGGCCTTGCGCGTGACCCTGCCGCATCTCGAGTTGTGTGGATCTCGAATAAAGGGCAGCCTTTCTTGGGACTGGTGGACAACGGGTTCTTCCGGCTGTATCGGATTAAGAGATCGTTATCTGCTCACAAGGGCCGTCAATGGCAGTCGGTTGTTGGAAGCAAAGAAATTGAATATAAATTACCCGCGAATTTGCAGACTTCGTGTGGCCCTTTGCCGGTTGGGGCCTTTAGCCAGGAATCTAATGTTTCTGCCGTCTTGACTCTGCCCTCGTCAAACCTGAGACCTTCCACAACGTCGAAGGTTGCCAACCAGCCGCTGTCTCAAGCCGAAATTGAGACGAACGCACCATATCAGCCTTTCCATACCGATCATCGAGTCAATCTTTTCGTTCACTCGAACGAGAACGAGCTGAATGACCCGTTGTCAAGCTCAAGTGGACAGTGGATCTTTGGAGACAGCTTTTCACTGTCGAAGCTTCATGTGCGACCATTCAGCGCCGGTGGCGGCGAGGATGATAGCGATGTGGTACATGAGCAACACGACAGCTTCGGCGACGAGATGGAGAATCTCATCAGTCTGGGCAACAGCACAGGGAACGTTGGCGAGGTTCTTATTACCACTCGCAGGAAGAAAAAGCATTCTTCAGCGTTCTCCGCGGCTCCTGATGGCTTTTTTGAAGACGATTGCGAGGTGTTGGACTTTGCCAGAGACAGAGTCTGAGATGCAACACTGCCCATTTGACCTGCTCCCATCTTGGAATATTTCAGAAACGGACAATTAACATAATTCTAGACATTGATTTTTGGTTTCAGGCGTTGGTTCCCGGATTTTTCTTCCCATGCTCATTATATTGAAATTTATACACTGTACTCGACCGCATGGGGTCGCTTTGCAGTATCAGGGCCACTGGAGTTTGTTACAAGGTGGATTCTTCTTCTTGGGTTGAATTTTGAAGTCTGATCAGATCAACATCCATCGCACGGTGGTCTTCCTCAGAGTTTGGTTTTGGTTTTTGTGATTTTTCTGTACGCCAGATCTCGCTACTACTACTACTACATATTACATACCCCAACCCTGTACGGAGAATTAGATAGAACAGATTCCGCAGTTGGAGAAATGGATTGCTTTTGGGGCAAGGAAGCGCCTGAGAGTATTGGATAATCATTCTAGAGTCCCCTTTGCTATTTCCATTTCCTCCTCCCACCACTTTCGAAACTCCACGAGCCGCTGGGTGCGCACCCGAGCCATCTCCCTCCCCGTCTGCGTCTTCATCATCCCCTCCAACCGCTCCAACTTCTCCCCAAAGTGCTGGATCGCATTATCCATCTCCCACTGACCCCCTGGCCCGACCATCTTCTTCCCCTGCGCCCCCAGAAACGTAAAGCAGCGCCCGATCCCCACCGCCCCCAGCGCATCCAACCGGTCCGCATCCTGCACAATCGCCAGCTCCACAACCCCCTCCTCCTCAATCAACCGGCGCACCCGCTCCGGGTCCGCGGCCTCCTTCGTATACGACACATGCGTCACGATGGTCTGCACCTTCGCCGCCAGATCCGCATCCGCCCCGTGCGCCAGCAGCGCCTCCTGCACCATCCGCGCGGGATCGATCGCGGCGGTGCCTGCGCCGGCACCTTCCGCCGACGCGGCCGCCACCTGCGTGAGATACTTCCGGTCCCCGATGTCGTGTAGTAGGGCGGCGAGCGAGACGAGCGTCGCGTCGTAGGGTGTGGATGGGTGCAGGGCTTGTTCGGCGGCGAGGATTGTGCGGGCCAGCGCGACGACGCGGTGGACGTGTGCTGGGTTGTGGGAGGGATCGTGGGCGGACATGCAGGAGGTCACGAAGGTGGCCATGGAGGTGAAGAGGGATTGAACGTGGGGTGGGGGTTGGTGTTGGGGGGGCATTTTGGGAGAGGGTGTTGTTGGAGTGGGTTGGTAGGTTTGGATGGGGTTGATTGAGGGGGTATGCTGTTTTCTGAGGGTGTATGAGTGATTGGGTTTATTCGGTTGAACTGGGATAGATAGTATGGTACTGATGAAGCTGACGATGTAACTATTTGCGTAGTTTAGATGCCGTGTCAGTCAGACGCGATGTGATGCGGGGAAGTGGCGGGCGGAGCGGACGAGCCAGGATGGATCTATGATCTCCACCATAGTGATAAGTGAGCAGCAAGTCAACCAGACAGCAACACTGTCGAGTGATTGACATGGCAATGTCGATCAGCTCTTCTACGTCAGCTAATCATACTCTAGCAAGAAAAAAAACACAAAAGAAGACAAATTTATCCGAAGAGAAAAACGCAAATTGGTATTAGAAACTCAAAAGGCAGCTAGCCCACGGCTGAGCACCATACAATCAAATATCATCACAGAAGAAGGGAAAATGCACACAGCATATTAAGTAAGAGGAGGCAACCGTGACCATCCTATTATTACTTCGACGAAGAGGGAAAACTCCCGCCGTCTCAGAAACCGAACCCAATCCCTATTAACTCCCGTCGCAAGTTTCGTTACGCGTTGGGATTTGCTCCGTCTACAGTGCCCACGCGGCGAGAACGAAGCCAAAGAGACCGGCGGCCGAGACGCCCAGCTGTAGCTGGCTGATGGGAGCAGCGTTGGCGGTCGAGCTGGCGGAAGAGCCGCTGCGGGTACCGCTGCTAGAAGAGCCAGAGGTCTTGGAGGAGTCGGAGCCTGTATGTCTCAGTTAGTGTACCATGAAGCGATACATCTGGCGTTGAGGGAATAGCCTACCAGACGAGCCGGTCTCCTTGCTGCTGCCAGCAGAGTCACTGTTGGTGGCAGTCGCGTCCTTGGAGCCGGAGCCAGTGGCGCTGGAACCGCCCAGGGTGGCAGTCGCAGGGAAGAAGTGGCTGCTGTAGCAGCTGCTCTGGCACGCAGCATACTTGTCGGTGTCACTAGGGGAACCAGAGCCCTGGGGGCAGGCAGCAACACAGCTGACAGTGTCGTTGGCCTGCTGGTCGCTGGGGCAGGGGACTTTGTAGCATCCAGCACGGCAGCAAACGTCATCAGCGTTGCCTATGGTTGTCACATTGGTAAGTATTGATCCCTAATAATAAGCGGATGCATGCAAAGACGAGGGACACAAACATTTGGCTGCGCACGAAGCCTCGGGCGACAGAGTAGCGGTAGCCGTAGCTGTGGAAGTGGTCGTGGTGGACTGGGCAGTAGCCAGGACCAGAAGGGAGGAAACGGCGAGAACACTGTTGAACTTCATTTTGGCAGGCTGGAACTGAACTAATTCAGAAGCGACAGACGTGAGGATTACTAAAGAAACGAGCTGAAGTAAAGGAGGATCGTTGCGAGAAACGAGAGACTGGTGGATGAAGACAGGGACGAAGAAGGAAGAGAGAGAGAGAGAGAGAAAGAAGAGAAAGAGAAAGAAAAGCAGCTGGGGGAAATGGTGTGAAGTAAATAGAGCAGAATCAAGGAAGCGATCGATATTACCCTCAGGCAAGAATAATAACAAAAATAATAAATAAATAATAGTAAATAAATACATCAAAGTATAATAAACCGCAACGAATCATAACGATGGCCCCAGTCACTCAAGCGAGGATCGAATTGTCGTTGCGCCTTTTTCATTAGCCGGGTTTCACTGTTGCAAAAGTGCCATGATTTTTGGGCGTATCCAAAGACTTTATCCATAGCACAGGCACAGCATAGCATCGTGGGAAGACCCAATCTGCCGACCTATCTACTTTCTACGAGATAAGTACAGTTTCATTATGGTCTTGCGAGAAGATAGAGAGTGATGAGCAGCAGGGAAGCAAGCAGAACCCTCTCGTGAAGTCGTCTACACTGTAGGGAGAGGCAACTGAGGAAAACGAGCGCCACCAGTTGCTATTCTTGAAGCAAGCCACCTGAGGTTGAGTTGGCTGACACAGTGACACTGATAGACACTCAGACAGACACAGGCAACCATGATGGATCACCACGATAAAAAACCAACCTCGGTGGAAGACCAACATTCTGTGTAACTGTCTTCGTCCAGTTAGTTTGGAGGCGACCCTTGCCTATCCGTACTCTCTTGGATAACGAGAGACGAAGGAAACCAGAGACATCCAGATCGGTCATAAAAGTCAGAACAACTTAGTGAAGATTGTGGATAGTGGTGGAAGGCAAAAGTGGATGCCGATAAATCTGGGGTCGGAATTCAAAGCGCAGAAATCTCAGGCAAAAACTGCCAAAAATAACTAAAAATATAGTCTAGTTCAGGTATCAGCGGGCGCGGACCAGGTTTCATTGGACCTCTTAAAAGCCTGTGCAACTGTGATCTCTCATCCTGTGTGGAAATGAGGCTGTGGCTCTGAAACAACAATAACGGGTCCGTCAAGGAGGCACTCCTGCAAAGCTTCATGGTGACAGCAACACACTCCTGCAATGTAGTGCCTATGGGACCACCAAGCAACATCTAGATATCTCGAATCTTCTGCGTTGAGTCAAGCATACTGTAATGATCGTATGTTCCAAGTGGAGCTGCTAAAATGGTCTCCGTCTCTTCTCTCGTCAGCGAGAAGCGAAAAGGAACGTGCGCCGCCACTGATTCACTTAAGAGTTAAGACCAGGAGTTGGAGACTTGGAGACTTGGAGACTGGAGTAGTCAGTAGATAACTCCATATGAAGCAAACAGAACAAATATCAATTAGAGGCACGTGATGTCGCGATACCGCGTCACGTCTGTAGGGCTTCACATAACAATAATAAGCCAGCTTGGAGTATTGGATAGTCCCGGGTTGTTTTATGGATAAACAGAGACCACGACATGTCCGATTCTGACAATGGTTCCGCCGACTCTTTTGACGACGAAATTGATGACTTTGTTGTTACAACGCCCAGGGTGAACGCTCGTCCAGCAAAGCGCCGGCGCTTGGATGCTGGCGACTCGGAAGGCAAGCTATGATAAGAACATCGTCACCAGAAGACTCGAATCTGACTCTGTGAATGCATTAGGATCTGATAGTTTTATTGACCGAGACGAAGAAGATGAATTGCCTTCCCCCGACCATGCGTTATTTGAGGGAATCGACTTCGAAAATGTCGAAAAGACCTCTAGGTACAAGGTCTTCGTTCCAAAGCATAGTAATTACCAGGAGAATATTTTTGTCACACAGTTGACCCAACCCCCATCGCCACCTGAAATGATCCGAGGGCCCAGATGGAAGAAACCCGATCCTGAACCTCCTACTCCCAAGCCTCCAGCAACCATGACTATACCAGCGAGTCGCGCAGACCAGTACCGTGATGACGAGAAAGAGATAGAGGCTGCAATCGCAGCATCGCTGCGCTCGTTCGAAGAGGAGAATTGCGGACCTACATCCGCAATGGTGGACAAAAGTTCGGCAACAAGAACTGCCGCAGTACCCTCGAATGCGCAGAAACAGCATGTCGCAGACGTGCCATTCGATGTGGATGACATACCGGATGATGCTTTTGATTCCGACCTTTCGCTTTCACCACCCAGATCCAACTCTCAAGCAGCACTAAGGGGCCCAGTACAATCGCAATTCAGTACCAACCGCCCATTGGGCTTACGTCAATCCACATTATTTGGTATGACTGCGCGTGCCTCGGAAGCTTCTATTCCAAGGGGTGAGCAGGTCTTCTCTCCACCGGACAAGAATGAAGCTCCAACACACCACAAACTCGACGAGGAGGCTTTAAATACCTGGATCTACCCAACCAACCTGGGGAAGACGAGAGACTATCAGTTCAACATTACTCAACGAGGTCTATTCCATAACCTGCTAGTCGCACTACCGACTGGCTTGGGAAAGACCTTCATTGCAGCGACTATCATGCTAAACTGGTATCGGTGGACTAAGAGCTCCCAGATTATCTTCGTAGCGCCAACCAAACCTCTGGTTTCTCAACAGATCTCTGCATGCTTCGGGATCGCCGGTATCCCCCGATCCCAAACAACGATGCTCACGGGCGAAGCCGCGCCAGGCATCCGCGCGGAGGAATGGAAGGCCAAGCGTGTCTTCTTCATGACTCCTCAAACCCTGATTAATGATCTCAAATCTGGGATAGCTGATCCCAAGCGAATCGTCCTGCTGGTGGTGGACGAAGCGCACCGTGCCACCGGTGGTTATGCATATGTGGAAGTCGTGAAATTTATCAAGAGATACAACAAGAGCTTTCGGGTTCTCGCGCTTACCGCAACGCCCGGCTCAACCGTGGAGTCAGTACAAGCTGTCATCGACGGGCTGGATATCGCCAAGGTTGAGATACGCACTGAGCAGTCGCTCGACATCCGTGAATACGTTCATGCTCGAAACACCGACGTACAGACATTTCAAAATTCCGATGAAATGGTATTGTGCATGGACTTGTTCTCTCGTACATTACAGCCTCTTGTCGACCAGCTTTGCAGTCTTAATGCTTATTGGGGGAAAGATCCTATGGCGCTTACCCCATTTGGTCTCACCAAAGCCCGGCAGCAATGGATGCTCTCTGACGCGGGCAGAAATGCAAATTATGGGTTGAAGGGAAAGGTGAACGCGATCTTCACCGTCCTTGCAAGTCTCGCGCACGCTATCGATCTCCTCAAGTACCACGGCATCACTCCCTTCTACCGGCATCTCGTGCATTTCCGGTCCAACACTGACGGGCAAAAAGGAGGAAAGTATCAACGCCAGATTGTTCAAGACGAAAGCTTCAAGAAGCTCATGAACCATCTTCAGCCCTGGACCAAAAATCCAGAATTCATTGGTCATCCCAAGTTGGAATACCTGAAACAGGTTGTCCTGAATCACTTCATGGATGCTGGCGAAGGCTCGGGCGCGGATGGGAACCACACTCGATCGGCAACACGCATCATGGTCTTCGCACATTTTCGTGACAGTGCCGAAGAAATAGTCAGAGTTCTAAAACGTTATGAACCCTTGATTCGACCCCACGTCTTCGTGGGCCAGAGTAGCGCGAAGGGTTCAGAGGGAATGGATCAAAAAACACAATTGAGCATCGTGCAGAAGTTCAAGAAAGGGGACTACAACACAATCGTCGCAACATCAATTGGTGAAGAAGGCCTTGACATCGGTGAGGTGGATCTCATTGTCTGTTACGATTCTTCGGCGTCTCCAATTCGAATGCTTCAGCGCATGGGTCGTACGGGCCGTAAAAGGGCGGGTAACATAGTCCTACTTCTGATGCAGGGCAAAGAAGAGGAGTCTTATATCAGGGCCAAGGACAACTACGAAAAAATGCAAGAAATGATTGCCAGCGGGACCCGATTCGCCTTCCACGACGATACTTCTCCTCGCATCTTGCCTCCAGGGATTCGGCCTACGGCTGATAAAAAGCAAATCGATATTCCGGTAGAGAACACACAGGCGGACTTGCCGGAGCCAAAAAGGCGAGCGCGGCCCCCCAAAAGACCTCCAAAGAAGTTCCACATGCCCGACGATGTCGAAACTGGCTTTTCCAAAGCGTCGAGTCTCACAGGGAACAAAGGGGCGAAGAAGACAGACAAACAAACTACTATCCGTAAACCGACCCCTGAACCTGTTGCGATCCCTGCTCTGGAAGAGGTCCTTCTGACTCCAAGCCAGCAGAATGATCTCGAGCGCCGCTACTGTCATATCGGAGGCACGAGTCCACAGTTCATCCGTAACCCCCGTGTTGACGCCTATCCTCGCCTACAGTCTGTTCCAAGACCTACCAGAGCTGTTAAGCATGGGGCCCTCACCAGCCGCATGATCGGAACCCTACAGAAAATGCATCAGGTGGGCGCTGACTGTGAAAGCCGCTACAAGGATATTTTGGCTTTGGAGTCAAGCAAGCGGCCGGAGGACTCAGTGCTCGTCCAGGAATCTGCTCGCCCTAGGCAGAATAAGAAACTATCCGTAGGCGTATCTCGACCCTCGAAAGCACAGCCTCCTCAAACACAATCCACTCTCGCACCGATTCGTGAGGGTCTCGTTGATGATGGCATCTTGGAACCAACGGTTCCCAACGAGCTGGCATCCCTGCTGGGACATCAGAACCCCAAACCATTCTACTCATCGCAAATAAGTCAAGACGATCTTGAATCGGACTTTGATCTCCCCGATTTCGACACACTTATCAATCGCAATGCAGAGCGTACCACTCCTCGCAAACGGAATAGGTTCGTTCTTGGTGATGACAGCGATGAATGATTTGGGCTGGCACGACTGTACACAATTTTAGCTGTTCTGGAAATAACACTTTTGGGAAGTAGGAGATAGTTTTTTAGATGTATACCCCGATACCCTCACTTGGAATAGAACATCATTCTGATTGTTGTCCTTCCCAAATGCACAAGAGCAATGGCGAGCTGTAGGGTAGAGTTGCCATGTTTCTGGGCCGGTGGTAATTGCCACATCCGAGTTACTCCGCGCACGCAGCTCAAGCGGGCCAACTTGGAGATCCAGCGTCACAACAGTCGAGCTATACAACTCCCAAGAACCTCACAAACATCATTCAATCATGGCCGACATCCAGTTCGATAGTGCGCTGTATGTATTGAGATCCTACTCACCAGTGCCTCATCATCAAATGACCCCCGTCCCTATTCCACTCCCCCTTTGGAACAGCCAAAGCATAACCCCGCTCGGAGACCAACAGTCGAAGCTGACCATAACAATCGCCCTCTAGCGACCTCCTTCGACGCCTCAACCCCCGCGATACAAAAGAGAACCTGCAAGCCATTACAAAGATCGTTCCAGACCTCACCGAGGACCTTCTTTCCTCCGTCGACCAGCCTCTCGAGATCCGCCGGTGCTCAAAGACAAAGCGCGACTACCTGCTCTGCGACTACAACCGCGACGGGGATAGCTACCGGTCGCCATGGAGCAATGAATTTGATCCGCCCCTGGAGGACGGGACTGTTCCGAGTGAGCGTGTGAGGAAGCTCGAGGTTGCTGCTAACGAGGCTTTCGATGTCTACCGCGAGCTGTACTACGAGGGCGGGGTGGGAAGCGTGTACTTCTGGGATCTGGATGATGGGTTTGCGGGTGTGATTCTGTTGAAGAAGGGTAGGTTTGGGGACTTTGATTATTTGCCGGAGGAAGGAGTTGGTTTTTGCTGACATCTTGGTGGGCAGGAGTTACACCCGGGGCGAAGAGCTCAGGGGAATGGGACAGCATCCATGTCTTTGAGGCCACCGACCGGGCGCGCATGTCACACTACAAGCTCACGAGCACGGTTATCCTGCACCTGGCGAACGAGAACGAGGCCCTCGGCGAGATGGACCTGAGTGGTAACATGACCCGACAGATGGAGGTGGATTTGCCCGTGGAGTCGGATGCGAGCCATGTCGCCAACGTGGGTAGACTCGTTGAGGATATGGAGTTGAAGATGCGGAACCTGCTGCGTATGTTGCCCCTACGTAGATGCACTGGAAAAAAAAAAAAAAAAAAAACTCACTCTATTCCATATGCTAACGGGGCGTGGTGCAGAGGAGGTCTACTTTGGAAAAGCCAAGGATGTCGTCGGTGAACTTCGCAGTAAGCTTTCCTTGAAATCGGATATATGGATGATTTCTTTTTCTAACGAGAGATCCAGGCCTCGCACCGCTGTCGGAAACCAACAAGGAGAAGGCTGCGCATCTGGAAATGATTCGGTCTATGCAGCGGTAATATGCTAGGCAGCCGTTGCTTTTGTTCTGCTCAAGTAGCATCTGTACATGTCATTTTTTCTTTGGCCTGCCTGGTTCTAGTTCGATTTCGCATTCCGCCATAGCCTTCACCGCAATCTGTCAAGCTCGATGGTTCTCGTTCTGTGAAGGGCTGCGTTTTCAGTAGATAGCGTCAGTTCTACCTAAGATTATTTTCAGCTGCATTCATTCTCAATGTTCATATTATGGATGAATGTGCTTCAACTCGAATACATTGGGTATCATAAAAACACTACTATCCTAAAAAGGGACTCATTACTCCTGGGTCCCTTCCCTTCAGAAAAGCATTGAGGCAGCGAAAGATGGACAAAAGGACTTGCAGCCGGTTGCACATGTAGCCTTAAAAACAGGCGATAACCACCCCCTCAGCATCAGGATTCAATCGACCTCCATCTTCTCCTGACCATCCTCCATCTTCACGTCAACAGTCGAGGTTTTGCCAACCTGCTCGACAAATCCCCTAGCTGCGGCCCACAGCTCAGCCTCCTTGTCTTTCCCTACGGTATCCTTCCTGCTGTTAAGCCAGCTGACATCCAGCGGGTTCGATGCACCTGTGGCTGCCGCGCTGCCCGCACCGGCTAGATCGCCCGCTCTAGAAGTCGACTCTGGGGCAAGGATGTTGGCTTCTTCGAGCGCGTACACTTGACGGCGCAGTCTGACATCGATAGAAGAGAGGAGCGCAAAGTATTGCGACGTAGCTTCTCGGAACCGCGCTTTATGCGACTCAAGTGAGCTGTCGGTGGATGAGGTATCGGTCGATCTAGCGTTGGTCAGGGCTTGGACTGCGAGGCCGGCGGAGTGGATCAGTCTTGCCACATCCTTGGGGATGGGTTAGCATTTCACTGTAAGCTGGTGATCATGGAAGTTCTGGGGGATGTTGCGTGTTCTGAATGTGTTGGAGTGAACGCTTTGCGGAGGTACACTCTTACCTTGTCCACTTCGTTAAGTTGTCGGATGCGATCCGCTGAGGTGAATACTTGGTCAGATTGTCCGGAGTTCCCGCTCTCAGCCATCTCTGTGATCTTGCTAGACTCGCACTAGAAACTTTATCTCAATGCCAGGTCAACGGAAAGTAAGGTCAAAGTAACCCGCAGATGGAGGAATAGCTGTTTATCACGTGCTATGATGCTGCAAGTTGACAGTTCGCTTACCTAAGTCAGATTACTTGCGCTAGTTCAAATCCAGACTAGTCCAATATCAGAAACGTGACATCGCAAGCCTCCCATTTTATTGAATCCGCCTATCACTTTCCCTTCTTCTCTTTCAAACAACATCGCTGCCTTTGGCTTTGACGAAGGAGCGTCCGTCTGTATCTGGACACACAGCGCTATGTCTGCGCCAGGCGGGGCCCCGAGCCCTGCACCTCGAAGTGCAAGTATCGGCCCCGGCGGTGGTGGAATGTCTATGCCTCCCCAGCAGCCGATGGGTGCTACTACCCCAGTCGGCACGCCGACACCAGGGCCACCACCTCCACCACCGAGTGGTGCGATGTCGCAACAGAATCTGAATCAAATAGTAAGTCTTGGTTGTTCTGTTTAACCCTGTGCTGTGCGCGCAACCATCCTTTCTTGCGCTGGGATCCTCGCCTTTGGAGCTGGAACACGAGTATTGCGATGTTGGTCTGAGGTTGGGGATCTATATGTTCCTGCTGTGCGACCATGGCTGCACTTGAGGCTCTGTGTAGAAGTGAGCCCAGGTAGTTGGCCATGAGATCTCCTTCCGAAGGTGTCCGTTTTGGAACTTTCCGTCTTTTGATCAGGAGTGCAAACATGCTGCGCTATGGTTGTTTGCGCCAGATATCTGGCCTTTCACTGGATACGACGCTTTTGAGCGCTTGTTATGAACTTTGTCTACTCGCTCAGGTTGTTCAGAGACGAAGAACTATTCTGCTTGCCTCTCAATGTTTCGGGCCTTTCTTGAAAGACGACATGCACCGATCCCAGCTTTGTCAGTTGCTAACTTTTTACCCTCAGGTCATTGATTATTTGGCCAAGAAAGGCTACAGCCGAACTGAAGCCATGCTGCGCATGGAATCGGCTAATCAAGAAATCGATGGCCGACCTTTGCCTCCTCTGGGCGAGGATGCGCGGCCCAAGTACAGGCTTGGGTTCGGTTAGTAAAATTTGGCATCATTACAGCTGGGCGCATACTAATCTGAACACGCATTAGACTTGCTCAAAGTTTGGGTTGAGGATAATTTAGACCTATACAAACCCGAGCTTAGGCGTGTCCTGTGGCCACTTTTCGTCTACTCTTTTCTCAACATGGTTACTTCATATTATCCCCAAGACGCGAAACAGTTCTTCGAGATGAATAAGAATCTGTTTCTTCCAGAGCACACTGAGGACGTCCGCAAACTAGAACCCATTAATTTGCCAGAGCATGTGCAGGATAATTCGACGGCCAAACTCTATCGCAACAACAAGTACCGCCTAGTCCTCAGTAATCCAGCGTTTTCAAACCTCATGCAATTCTTGGAGAGCAAGCAGAAAGAGGGGGGTTCTGTTATGTCCGCTATCTTGAGCAGCTATTGTACCATTATTACTAAAGAGCGTGCTTCCGATGATCGATTCAGCTTTGCTGCTATGCTCGGCCAAGCCAGTGACGGGCAAACCTTTCCAGCAGAAGACGAAGGTATCCCTGGTCATCATCCCGGATCGGCATACACTGGCGACAACCCGGCAATGGCCGGTACTTTGCCCAGGCTCAGACTGGGTAAACTCCCCATGGAACAGACACTCGAGACCGACGTCAGGGGAGAGCTGGCAGACGAAGATATGAGAAATCCTCCGCCCCCGGGATCCAACAGCCTCGTGCAGGAGTTTGACCAGATGATCAAAAAGGAGGAAGACGAAGAGGCTCCGACACGCGCGGATATCCCTTATCCTCCTTCCACTGCGCGCGATGTAGCCATGGAAGTTCAAAAAGTGAAAGAGAATCGTGATCGATTCCGGATCGAAGGCCGGACGGGTGGAGTCGGTCCTGCGGTCAGCGTTTGCATGTTCACCTTTCATAACACCTATGATGGGTAAGTAAAACTCGGGCTTGACTGGATCACATTACTGATTATAGCATAGAATCAACTGCCTAGATTTCTCAGATGACAATATGCTCGTTGCAGCTGGTATGCAGGAGTCATATATTCGTGTCTGGAGTATGGATGGAAAGAAGATTCAAACTACGTACGACGTGGATGATGCGCCTCCCTCAAACTCGCGTCGTCTGATCGGTCACTCTGGCCCAGTTTACGCCGTAGCATTTGCCCCATCCGCCACTCGCTCAGAAAACGCTGGAGCCCCGACCAATGCGCGCTGGCTGCTCTCATCATCTGCGGATAGGACCATCCGGCTTTGGTCTCTTGATCTGTGGCAATGTATGGTCGTTTACAAGGGTCATGACCAGCCCGTTTGGGACATTCAATGGGGGCCTTTCGGACACTACTTCGTTTCTAGTGGGCACGATAAAACCGCTCGTCTTTGGGTTACAGACCACATTCGTCAGCAGCGCATATTCGTCGGCCATGATCAGGATGTGGACTGCATTTGTTTCCACCCGAATTCCGCATACATCTTTACGGGCAGTTCCGATCACACTGTACGTATGTGGGCGGTAACGACCGGCAATGCCGTCCGTATGTTTACTGGCCACACCGGTAACATCACAGCCCTGGCTTGCAGCAGGGATGGCAAGCTTCTCGCATCTGCCGATGACCAAGGGTCAATCCTGATGTGGGATTTGGCCCCAGGAAGGTTATTGAAGCGCATGCGCGGTCATGGAAAAGGAGGTATCTGGTCTCTTAGCTGGAGCGTTGAGTCGACGGTCCTCGTCTCCGGCGGTGCGGACGGCACGGTGCGTGTATGGGATGTCACGGGGCCCGCGCAAGAACCGGCTCAGGGCCGCGTGGTTGGCGAGGGCGGTTCAGGCGCGAAGATCGATGCTGGCAATGCTGCTGTTACTACCACGCAGTCGGCCACATCGGTTGCTCCCGGCATGGGCAAGAAGAAAGGAAAGGATTTTGTGGTGACTCCCGACCAGATCAGCGCCTTCCCGACGAAGAAAAGCCCAGTCTACAAAGTGAAGTTTACCAACATGAACCTCATCATTGCCGGCGGCGCTTATCTTCCTTGATGGACCGTGTCAGTTGACTTACGTTGCAAAAGTGGCGTCAGATACCCGTATCGTGTTTTCTTTTATTTCCTTCCCTTTTCCTTGCATATTCCAAGGCTCATTGGACTATCGATTATGATCAGGCTTGCATGTAATTGACGGCTTGACAATTTGGCGGCGTCGTGGTGGAGACGGCATCGGTGTTATATTGGGAGAATGCTCAATCTTTTTTTTTTTAATAGGGAAATATGAAAAAAAGGTTCTGGGGCCCTGGTTTGGATTCATTGTAGACCTGCACATAGGCTTTACCTCTTATTTACAGTGCATTATACATGAAAAGACAATGCATTGACTCGTCTTATGTTTTCTTGAATGGACCCACCGAACTCCCGCTGGGGAATCCCCCAGGCGCACCAGCGCCCTTCTTCATAGCGGCAGAAGCCTGCATGTCTGCCACCTTGGGCGGAAGCACAAGGGCACTTCGATCGTTCCGTTTGTAAAAGTCTACCAGGATCTGGGCAGTCTTGGTGGGCTCGTCTTCCTGGACGAAATGGCCTGCCCCCGGGAGAACTTGAAGTTGGTATTTGCCTGCCCGTCGTATGTTAATTAGCCCCTTCGGATCAGAACGTGGATGATGGAAGAGAACGAATGTAACAAAACATCTTCGCGTACCCTGCATTTGCCCAATCATCAACTCCTTGTCAAGTCTGTCTGTCCCGGCTAGGAGGAGGAGTTTCCCCCCGCGGGCCTCGAGGAACTTGCGACTCAGGCCGACGAACCAGTCTTCCCAGAATGGTTTCGTTGCTGAGAGGTTGGTCCGCCAGACCCATGGCTTTGAAGGGTCGGTGGGGTTTTCCTCCTCGTACAACAAGGATGGGACGGAGACTCTTGCTGAGGCTCTGTTTCTGATTGTTCGAGAACGGGTACTGTTACAGGTGGTCAGTGTGTGGTGTTGGAAAGGAGAACAAGGGTGGAACGTACTGCCACTCAATGCCTGATGTCAACGAAGGAAATTTTGACGGGCGAGTGGAGAGGTATTTCTCCATGCTCTGTAGAGCATCCATCGCGGAGCCTGTCTCGCATTAGACATATAATGACCATGGGAGAAATAAGAAAAAAGGCCGTGGTTGGTCAGGCATACCCTCGACAACATCCAAGACCGCATAAGCCAGTAGCTTGGAGCCCAGCTCGCCCTTCTTTGCAACGTCAGTGATCACAGCGCCTCCCAGGCTGTGGCCGACGAGAACCAGATCCGGCAGATCCTTCCAACCCATCTCCGTTTGGGTCTTGCGAACGACATAGACCAGATCGCGGTGGAGGGTGTCCAGGCTGAGATCTAGCTCGACCTCGCCTCCATCCTCCCTTTGCACGGACGTGCGGCCGTGGTCGCGCGCATCGAGCGACAGGATTCCTGCTTTAGGGAGGATCTTGCGGATTTCCTCCGCACAGTTCGCAAATGATAGACCCGACGAACCCGCTCCATGGTGCATGACAAAGAGCGGGCCCGAATCGGTGGGTGGTGTGAGATACACATGGTGGACGATACGGAGACTGTCCGTTTCTTGTGTCAAATAGAGCTCTTTGGTGAAGAAGTCTTTCCAGCTCAACGAGGATGATGCAGATGATCTGGTACCTGGTTCGTTAACCTGTCACTCGGGAGACGTGTGGCAAGAGTGCGTTCACGTACCCTTGTCTCGTTCGAGCAAAGAGCTGCCTGCTCGGTGACGGAATCACGGTCCCCGCCGATGATACTGATGAGGAATCATCGTCATGACTGGTTTCATCGTGAGGGTTCATCGACGAGGAATCGAAGGTAGCAGGAGCCTCGGGCGGCAATTTGGCCAATTTTGACTTGGCAAACGATTTGTGAAGGTCGCTCATGAATATTACTACGCTTGCTGGAGTATATGAGTCTCTATTTTACAGTCAGGACCTGATTTATGGGTGCTGGCTGAGATGCCAGCGAGACATATGCGTTGTGGGCGTGGCAGGGGGGAACCCATGATCCATGGAGGGGTCAACAGTGACCATCATGACATTCGACCCATTGGATCTGGCAGGGATGGAAGTAGAAACTCACGACTACAATACTGAGCTCATGACACCTGTACCTGATGTCTCTGATAGTGATGGTTTATGCTGACTGAGGAACGAGAATCTGCAGTATCTAAGAAGTTGTCGATGGACGAGACAGTCGTCATGGTGCCATTTCCTAATTAGGCAAAACCCCTCCTCCCCACGTTCTCCTCTCTCCTCACCAAATCTGCCTCTCTTCAGCATCACAACCACCTTGATCAGATGCTTTTGATCGGTTACTTTGATGAAATGAACACTAATTTCTTTCTCATTGGATTCGTGCTTCTTTGTTTTTAATTCAGTTCCTTACTCGAAAAATGAGTGTCAACCAGGCTTTGAGCTGGACTGACCAGCTTTCACTGTTGGTCGTGGGCATCGAATTCTCAATCCTCAGAAGAAGCACAGAATCTCCATTCCAGTCCGATCCCGATCCCCGATCACCGATCACGGTCTATTGTGCAGAGCACTATTCTTCAGTGGGAATCAAAATGTCTTTCGGATGCTCAAATGCCGATCTCACCGAGTATCCAAGACTTCATCTCTCCGGCCCGCTGAGGATGTCTGATCGTCGCCTCCAGGATCGTGGATCGTGGATCATGCACGCTGGTAGCGGCAACTAGACTATCTAGTATCTAGATAGGCTATCTGGATGTCATAAAAACAAGGCTTTTTGCTCTCATTTCAGGGCGGCAAAAGGGCGAACTCAGTCCTTGGCGCATCAGCCTGCGTTGTATGGACTCCAGAAGTCCAGAGTGCGTATACAATGACGTCAACAACTCCTTCAACGCAGCAGGAAGTCCATCGTTCCGGCGCTGAGTGGCACATTCTTCCATCTTTCTTTACACCAGACATCCGATTTACCTTGCACGATCAGAGCCCTTGACGGTGGTAATAAATATTTTTGGTTCTATACTCTTGAATCACATCCTGCTGCCGGTGATATAGCACTTCGCGCAGAGCACGATGGTTTCATTCTGGCAAAGAAACGATGATTCCGAGAGGGATGAACTAGGGGATAATCACTCCAGAGAGCAATACCATGAAGCCGATGAACGGACACGACTGTTACCAAGAGACAACCAAGCTTACCTGAGTCCTGATGATCCTGCAGTAAGTCACATCTTGTAGAGACTTTGGGTGTCTCGAAGAACCGCTTATCTGACTTCCTTCTCCATCAGGTCTCCCCCTACAATCTCTGGAGCATTCGGGCCCTTAGAGCCTTCTCTTCTTTCTTCCTCGCGATTAGTTTCGTGTGGTGGACTTTCTTGCTCGTCTCCCTATTCGTCAGCCCTCCTATGATGCACAGCCGTGGCTCCGGCTTTTTCAGCTTTGCCTATACTACACTGACTGTCGGTTATCTCATCATCGCGCTCCTATTCTTCACCGTGCCTTCAAAGCCGATGATTATTTCTGGGATAGTGCTGTCTGTTTTCCTCTTGGTGGACATGTGCATCATCCTCAGCGTTCCCCGGCTCCGCGTGGAAGAAGGCTGGGTGGGAATCGCCTCCGTCGTCTGGGCCACTTTGATCTCCATCTTCAATATTCTTCAGAGTCGCATTGTTGCCTGGGGTAAAAAGGAAGAAGAAGAACGTTTGACAGGGCGGGAGGAAACCCGTCGATCGCTTCGGGAATGGATTGCAGTGCTAGTCGAGACAATCTTCATGGTCGTCATCGCCATTGTCTCCGTCCTCTTTACTGCCACTCTGATCATCCGCGCGCGGGATGCTTCCCTCGCTCCCCCCGGTAAGAAGTACTACGTGAACGGCGAAAACTACCAAGTCCACCTGGCCTGCGTGGGTAATATCACCAACGGCATCGATGGTAAACAGCCTCCAACCGTGCTCCTCGAAGGTGGCGAAGGACCCGTGGAACACTCGCTGCAGCCATTCATCGATGAGCTCCACCAGCAAGGCATCATCGACCGCTACTGCTACTGGGACCGGCCAGGACACGGCTGGTCCGATAACGCGCCATCCCCGCACTCCGCCGGCATGTCCGCTGACGCACTCTCCGAAGCGCTCGCGCTCGCTGGCGAAGAGGGACCCTGGGTCCTCGTCTCCTCGGGCATCGGCGGCATCTACAGCCGCATTTTCTCGAGCCGACACCTCCTCGAGACAAAGGGGATCTTCCTTATCGACGCCATGCACGAAGACTACCTCAACCAAGTGGGTAACTCAGGCCGCGGCTTCCTGCTCTGGCTGCGCGGCATCCTCTCCCCACTCGGCCTTGACCGACTCGCCGGCGCCATCTTCAAAGGCTACACGCGCGAGGACCGCGTTATCGGCCGCAGCGCGTACCAGACCGGCAAGTTCCTCAAGGCCAAGCTGCAGGAGAACCTCGTCGCCGAGTCCATGACCGCCGCGGAGGTCCAGACGGCGCGCCACGTTCAGATGCCTGATACGGCGCTCATGGTTGTCAGCTCCGGGATCGAAGTACACCGCAGCGACAAGTGGGCCAAGACGCAGGAGGAGTTGACCAAAATCACGAAGAACCTGAAACAGTGGGATATCGTCAAGGGTGCGCCCCACGAGGTCTGGAAGACGACTGAGGGTCGCCGCCTGTTGAAGAAAAGATTGAGGGAAATGCTGAAGGGGGAAGAGTAAGATCAGCCAGGCAGCTCCTTTCTTGGGTTCATGCACTCTGCGGCTTTTTCTTCCGTTTGCATTATGGCGGGTTGTAAATGTATCCAACCAAATTGTCTTACGATCGTGATGTCTTATGAGTAGGATTGTGAATTTTTCTTCCGTTCTAATGTGAGTTTCTATGGCGTCTATGCTTTCCGATAATGTGATGAACCGAAAATTGCAGATGTGATATCTTGAGTTCTATCTAACACTTCCGAGAAACAGCATGAACCCTTTGTAGTGACTATTGAGTACAACCGAGATTTTCCCAGCCGGCACAAGCACGGTACGAGGTTCACGGAGAGTCGTTGCTATAGACGCAGAGCCATTCATGCACGTATTGTAAAGATTTGCTCGTGAAGTCATATAGGCATTGGATGCAAGAGGTTTGAATTTGCTAGGGTGAGTTCGAGGAGAAGGCGTTATTCAAAAGAACCTCGTTGGTCTATTCAGAGGTTGTAGACAGGTTGTAGACATGGTTCCCTTCGCCCAGCGCACGACGAACCAAGCCCACTCACATTCGATGCAGTTCTTATGATGGAAAAGGAGACAGGGGGTCTTGACTCTCGCGGGGCCACGGGGGGTGTCCAAGGACAAGGACGTCGGCTGGGCCACGGAGAAAGGCATCGGGGGAATGACACGGGTTCACTCTAGACTAGCTCCCTTGAACCTCTTAGCAAGCTGTTCACTCTCTGACTTGGGAGATTCAGGTCTGGAGGAGAGATGACGTTTCCCTTGTTGGGACAAAGGGCGTGGAGGATCGGCCGGGTTTAGCCAGGGGCGCTTAGGGGGGCGCTCACCACTTTCCTGAAGAATAGTAACCAGGGTCGCCCACCCGGGGGTGTTTATGAGCTTCAAGCCCTCCGTGGGATCGTGCGACGTTGCGACGCGGCAGAGCAATTTTTCTTCGTCCTGGGGAGTCATGAGGTTAGTTGTCACGGTTCTAGTAATCTTGGAGTGCAGCCTATTGGCGTTGGTCTGATTCCCTTGAGATACTCACCTTGCTGAAAGTCGACAGAGAGTGGAGGTAACACAGGAGGTGAAAGTCTGATACCTCTGGGATTACCTCATTCGAGTCACGGTGGGAAACTAGCTTTTTGGCAACGCTGCGAAGGTCCTGGCTTTCGCCAATCACTTCACGGTTCTCGATTGGAAAGGTACTCTTCGTGAATAACGGGTTCGATTCGGTCGGGAAACCATGTGTCAGGGTGACAAGTAGGAACTCGACCGGAAAACTGGGCTTCGCATTCTGCTGAGCACTCACGCCGTACTCGTTAATCTTCCGATAGAACACCTCGGGGATGTACCGCGATTTGTTGTCGCTGTCATCATCCTCCGACTGCACCAGCATGACAGACGGCTCAGCGGACGGTTCGACGATATCAGCTCTCACCATCTCCACGGCAGATACAGACGCCTGATAGGAGCTGATGGTGATAGCACCTTCTTCATCTCCGCTGAGTACGCAGGTCACAAAATTCGACCCGAAGCGGCCGGTGCGGCTCCACTTTGTCGTCTTTGGATATTGCGCCTGCAGCCGGGATGCGAACGCGATTTCTAGTGACGAAAGATAGTATGAATCAATGTGCCGCTTGCATACTACCGAACCGTCTCCACGCCCAGCATCAAGCAGATCCGTGAAGATGACTCCGACTTTCTCCAGACCACATAAGCGCGCAACCTCATCCACTTCCTTCTCGTTCGGCCATTCATGGAGTGTGACCCCATCAACCTCATCCACTTGTGGCGGCTCGTAGATTGCCTGTACCACTGCCTTAACACCAAGAGGCACCTCGGTATACTCTTCGTATGTGCCGTACAAAAAGCCCAACCGCTGGGAGCCGGATTTCCGCCAGAAGTCGAGCAGTGAGTTGATCAGATCAGGCGAGGAGAACTCCACATGGTCTACCATGCGGAATTCCTGCGGCTGCAGACTGATGGCGCTCGGCTGGCACTTGGTACAGATGCCTTCCGGCCACGGAGGGTGACCAGAGGGGCAGTCGTGCCGCACCCGGTAGTAAGGCTCGCTGAGCGGCGGCATGAACGAGCTTTTCAGCTCCGCTTTGTTGGTTGCAGCATTGATCTTCCGCATATACGAGTGGAAAGACAGGTGCTTGATCTTCTTCTCTGCGAGGTACTTGGGGTCGTATGGCTCGAGGGGCATGCAATAGTCACACATGCCCTTGGGGCCGTGTTTGCACATTTTCATATCACGCGGGCGCTGGATCTTCCCATCTTTCTTATCCAGTTTATCATCCAACGGCGACTGTTGCACGACTTCCCAGGGATTCTTGACCGTTGCGGAGGACGAGGTGGGCGGCCGGAATGTGACAGTCTCCGTCTGTGGCACTAGTGCTCCATTTAAACGGCGCAGGGAGTCCGCTGCAGCATGGGCTTTCGCCGGAGTAGTCTCTCCTCCTTTTCTTTCTTGGTAGCCAACGAAGAGCTTATCTCCGTGCCTTCGAAGTAGCCCACTGTCAGCCGGAACACGAGAATAACACCACCAGATACTCACTTCAGGCCGACCTGCTCAATCGAGACACCTTCCAAGCCATCCAGTGACCGTTCTTCACCTCCGGTTCCTATGGGTTTGTTCGACAAGGTGATGGAAGATGGTTCGACATCTTTGGGGAGGTTTTCTAGGATCTAGCAGAGGTCGAATAGTCAGCAACGAACAAGCCCATTGCACAATCATCAACGCCGTTGATGGAGCTACCTTCTGCTTTAATGTGGGAAACAGCTCCTGTGGGCTGACGCTGAGGCGAAACTGGCCATTTCGGCTCTCGAATCTGAGGATGATCGGCCGGGTAGCCGCCATGGTGGGAAGTGGCTGTGTGGATTACTGAGATTGGTTACGGCGGTAATATCAGTTCATGGGTTCATAATGCGACGTTGTTCAGAAATGGAAGCCGTTGGAGATGTTTCTAAATAAGATTGATGGCGGAAGGGGTGGTTGTCTTGTATTTGGGCAGTGAGGAAGTAGCAAGTGAGAGCTTCGGCGGAGGTGATTCCAAAGGCGGGCAAAGGCAGCGGAGCTCTATCGTCATCAGCTGTCATGGTATTACAAAACAATATGTAACTTGCCTCTCACAAAAGAGAGGTTTCCGGGTGTAATTATGGTATTCTAATTACTCTACAAAGAAGACAAGCCACATTACATCTACTATGCTCTCACTGCTTGTTTTCTTTCTCATAAGCCTCTATTCAGCATGTTTCAGCATTTTATGCATCTGCAGAGTTGGCCCATTGGGTTATCTCTAACTATTAATAGATTCTTACTTGGAACATCTGTCTCTACATGCTTTGACTGGAAGCATCACCACACGTGAGAACACTGCAAGAGAATGGAATGTTTCTTCTGAATAATAAGTGGCAGGTATCAGATAGACCCATTACTACTTATGTGAATATTGTTTTTTATATTCATGAAGATACATAACTACAAGTATCTCAAAGATAGAATTTAAGCTCCCAAGACCAACGCCGTATGAACAAAAGAAACGCGACAAGAAAACAATCGAACAAAAGGGGTATATAAATCAAAGCCAATCAGGAGATAGTGCACTTGGGAAGCCCACAGGGTCCCTCGTTGCTCTTCTCTTTCTGTGCTCCTTGTGTACCCTGTCCATTGCCCTGTCCATTTTCAGCAGGCTTGGGAGTTGCCTCCGTCTTGGCCTGCTGCGACGCGGCAACAGGCTGCGACTTGGGCTGCACTTCCTCGCCACCATGTAGTCACGCGAAGCTGACCTTGGCGACGGTCTCGTAGAAGGCCTTGCCCTGAGCCTCGGCGATGGAGAGCTCAAGAGCGGTGGGCTGGCGGGAACCATCGGCACCCTATGAAAATCAAAGAGTGTTAGCATCAAACCAAATCTTTTCGAGTTCTCGGATTGCAAAAGAGGAGAAGAACTTACGGCGAAGGTACCAGCACCCCAGGCGCTACCACCGTGGATCTCCTCCAGGTTCGACAGCTGAGGGAAGACGGTCTTGTAGCCGAGAGGAACGTAGATGAAGCCGTGGTGGGCGAGGGTGCTCATGGCAGCAATGGCTGTCGACTCCTGGCCACCACCGAGGGTACCAGTGGAGACGAAGAGACCAGCATACTTGCCCCAGAAGCCACCGGTGGCCCAGATCCCACCGGTTCTATCCCAGAAAGCCTTCCACTGGGCAGGGAAGTTGCCGTAACGGGTGGGGATACCGAACAGGACGGCATCGTACTCCTTGAGCTTCTCGCCATCGATGACGGGGTAGTCCGACTTGGGAGGGGCGTGCATCTTGGCGAGGACTTCCTCGGGGAGGGTCTCGGCGATCCTGGGGAGAGAAGGTAACTTGTTAGTCGGGCAATGGCGCGCAATGGCACAGATAATGAACATACTGGAAGATATCGGCCTGGCCACCGGCAGACTCGATACCCTTCTTCTCAGCCTCGGCCAGCTTGAGGATGTGGCCGTACATCGAGTACTAGACTCATTGTTAGTAAAATACAAGGGAAAAAGTGCCACAAGAAAGAAAGAGAATAGGGTCACATACGTAGACGATAGCAACCTTGGGAGCCATGGTGACGGTGGATGTTCGGGAAAAGAACGGGAGAGTTAGGATACAAAGGAAGTGAGGTAAGTATTTACAGGAGGAGAAAAGAGGAAGAAGAAGCTCAACTGGGTGCTTTATATAATTCTTAGTAGCAAATAATACTATTACCAGCGGGGGAGGCCAGCATGCCCCTCAGTGGAACAGATTATCAATATGGGATGATAGGAGTAGTCAGCAATAGAGTACAGAGTTACTAACTAGTAGTAACTACAGAGTAGTAGTAGTACCGTTCACTCTTAGGCTTAACCGGAGTAGTAGCACGGGTAGGTACTCAGATGGGTACCTTAATGGAGCTCCTGCTGATTTGCTGTATCTGTAATCGATTACAGATGCACACCTGAGCGCGCTGATTCGCTGAAACGCGCATTAGGAAGTGGGAACTGCCCCGCTCGGAACAAGAGAAGATCCACTCTGAAATCGGGAAGCCAATCACAAGCTCATTAGATGATTCTTACACATTCCTGACAAATGTTTATCAGCGCCTCCTGATCCCTGAGTAACGGATATCATGCTCCAAAGCCTCCAATCGTCTGGACAGTTACCAGGGGTACAGTACGGGAACTTCGGGGAGGACTGATGAGACATTGCTGAATGATCTCTTATTGATATTCAGATGGGAGCGATGTCGATTTCCTCGTGTTGATCAACCTGGTTGTTCCTGGTCTAGATTCGTTGTCATCACTGAGAGAAATAAAGTGTGATTATCCTTCTGTCATGATGTCATGCACTCTGTCTATAGCCTCATCGTTTCATTCACGAAGAATGGAAAACTGCATCAGTCTTAGACTTTAGAGGTATCCCTGGTACGATAAGATCGGTTTGATACGAATAGATGAATGATGGGGCCATTGAACCAGAAACGAAAGAGCAGACTACATCGAGCAACATCTTCGAAGAAAGTTTTCGGCACCGGAAAATCAAATGTTGAAGACTTTCGAATTGGGTATCTTAATGACTGGCGTAGGTCTCCTGAATCCATGAACAACAAATAAACACCTTCTCAATAAGCCTCTCCTCCTCCAATTTCCAAAGTACATTCCTCTATCCGCGACCCCGTCCGCGGAATCGACCACCACGCATGAAGCCGCCGCCTCGACCACGCTCGCTCCTCCACTCGCGCTCCCGCTCCTTCTCCCTCTCCTGCTCTTCTCGAATAAGAGCCTTTTCCCGCTCCAGTTCCTCCTCTGTCTTATCAACCCTCATGGTCGGTTTGGGGAGATTCTCCGACCAGCGCGGATGCGCATCCGTACACGCTTTCCCCTCCGGGCAGAAGCCAGCAAGGTAGTATTTGCAGATCCGACGGCGGACATGGCGCTTGGAGCAGAGCGGGCCCAGCTCGCAGAAACCTTGGTCGTAGTTCTCGCAGGGCGGTAATCGAGCTTGTTCGCGCACGTGCTGGTAGAGGCAATCGTCGCCATTGGGGCAGTAGCCGGACCGCGTGAACGACTGGCATTCTGGCATGCGGCGGAGGTTGTATTCATGAAGGTATTCGCACTTGAGGCCCTTCTTGCAGAGACCCTTGAGAAAATGCTTGCACACGAGGGAGCCATGTGTCGTCGACGGAGCCAGCCCGGATGCCGTCGTCGTTGACGTTGTAACCCGCGATGGAGTCGGGTGTCGGTCCGGACAGGCTGGTCCTAAGGGACAATGGCCTTCGCTGTAGGCTTTACACACTGGGACATCGCTGGCGAGTCCGAATCCGAAGCTTTGGCGTAAGAAGGGGCCGAAGGAGAAGTGGTTGTAGCTAGGGTCTCGGGTACTGTCAGTGTTTAGGATCCGCACTGCAGCGGACTGGACATCTGTCGCCATGATGGTTTATAAGAGCGTGATGAATGCGACTGAGTGCTATTTGGTGATTTTCGTACGTTGTACGTCAATTTCTCGATGTTGTCGGCAGCAGTCCGTCAGGATTGGTCTCAACAAAGCTCTAGATGCAGGAAAGAGGACCTCCCGTTGACACTTAGGGCAGTAGAAGAAATATAAAAAGCCGCGCGAGAGATCGTTGTATTGAGTTGGAAGAATGATAGCATCAGAACTGATTTTACGCCTGGGGCAGCAAGGCACTAGTGACCAAAACCAAAGGCGGTGGCCAAAGCTGAAGAAAGTTCTGGCAGAACCGACCCGAGCGGTGTGCCTCGAACAGCAGCAGATCCTCCACCAATCAGCGGCAAAAACCAATACTGCTCTCACCAGTAGAGAGGGTAATTCCACACGAGAGAAGAATTGATTGTCCATTACATGAGAAACCTACTACTAGTCTACTGAGATCGAATGAGTAATTCTTATCAAAACTCATCCAGGCTTGTTTGTTGTATGTTTCCCAGATGGGTCTGCCAACTGCCAAGCCCTGAGAACCCATGCCTGCTCCAGATGGAACGTCACGAAGTTGATGGAAGGATTGGTCATTCTTGCTTCGCGATGCCTGTTTTGCGACGGATCCGTATGTTCGAGAAGTCTCAAACTGATTTGCTCTGACGCATCATATACTCTTAGAAATGGAAGGATTCTAGCAGCACCACCGAGAAATCAGCGTTGTCGCCAACTCACCCTCCCCTGAACACCAGGGCGAAGGCAATTTGCGCAGGGTACTTCACATCCTCTACTTTTTGAAGGGTCAAAGAGATTGTGGGAGACACTCAATTACCACTGGCAGTGTTGAGATATCTTGGGAATCAGAACAACAGCTGGGGTCAATCAGATCCGAGTCTAAAAAGCCATCGGCAAGCCTTGTCAGTACTGCATAAGCGCCTCTTTTGCTGGTATATATATGAAATATTTTGGGGTCAGCACAGGAAAGAAGAGAACCATGTGGTTGAGTCTTGCTCATTAAGTGGCATATTTGTTCAAAGAGATGATGACTGTGATTTGTACTGTAGACCTTTTAGCTTTCCTGTCCAAATCATCACCTGCTTGTATGGTTAAAAGCCAAGACACGTACCCCACACATGACCAGACCAGTTTTGGCAACATTTCTCCCTTACCTGCATGGGGGGCTTTGATACATATCTGGGCTGGTCGATGAACATCGAGGTATCTAACTATTCACTGTTTGAATGATCCACCAACTCGATCGGGCCCTCCTGTTCCACTCCATTATGTGGGAAAGGGATACTATTGAACAAAACTTAGAGCTTGGATGCAAGATGGCTTAAAAATTCAGGGGGAGCAGAAAAAGGGGAACTTTTTTTTTTTTTCTTTTTTTCGTATGGCACGATCTGACCGTGGTTTCCAAGCCACCACAGGCTCTCCGTGTTTCGATCATGTATGCCCATCTTTTTTTCTCTCAGGTGTTGGGAATCGTCTGTCCGGACTCTGGACATTCGGAGCTTTGCGACGCAGATCTTGTCAACTGTTCCTGCCTAGCCCTAGTCATTCCAGTCAGGATAAGTGTTATGGGGTACTTATGTCAAAATGATCCACTTCAGGGATCAAAATAGAGGCTGAGCCCAAGAGGTGAGAGATCACAAATTCACAATGGGGTTTGCCACTACTATCCGACGTAACTACGCGTGGCCAGATTCTCACTTCAAGAGGCAATAGAGCCGTGTTGGGCGGATGGGAGCACCGGCTGAAACCCGAATCCAGGAAAGCTTGACGAAGCTTTCAGGGCATCCAATAAACATGGGAGTTTCCCTGCGACTCGATCTCTCCAACGGACCATCGGAGCTGGAACCCAAAAGGCGGGGGTGGGCATGATCATCCGGGGCGTTTTGACCCTAACAGGCCTGGTCACGATGAGGCTTTCCCTCTCATCTGGATACACTGATTCGACGATTCCAGACTGTAGTCAACCATGTCTGCATTCTCTCAATGGATTATTGACGTGTTTTGTGTGAGAAAGAAAAAGTTGACGCACTGTGACCCTAGAAAGAGATATTCGTTCCATTTTTCATACAGGATGTGAAATCAGAAACAGTAGTGTGGCGGAATGGCAGCCTATCTGAATGGCGGGGTGGTTGCCATGTTGATGACTTCCGTGTCTGACAGTCTGAGTGGTCTGAAGGTTAGAGTCGGTCAAGCTGATTCTCGAGCTCTCTGCGACATTTCTCCATTCTGGTTGCTGGATACAAACGAATTTATAAAGCATGGAGCGATTGCTGTCGGATATTCCAGGATAATTGACTGGAGGCTGTGGGTTGCCTGGCTCTTTGCCGCAGCATCGAAGGATTTCGCATTCTTGTAGGCTGTAGATACATCATAACGATGCTCCAACCGGAGTCTCTTGTAAGGATGACGATGATGCCCGTTACATTATTAATTAACAGAGGACAAGGATAAAGGAAAATGAGGAAGATGAAGCTCAGTCAAGTCGAAACCTTAACAACATCAACTCAGACCCAAATAGGACTGCCCACACGTGACGCTGTCAACAGTTTTGGCAGCTGCTTTTTTCTTCCACTTCGCCTTGCTCTCTTCAACCTCTATTTGTTTTTAGATATTCTAGATCCACAGCCTAGTTCACTATTCGAGGACATCGAACTCGTCCACAGCTGTCCCATCTTGTCTGTTTTGTTGCACCATGTTCTCCGGCTCCATCTTCCCCCACTGGCGTCGCAAAGCGGCACAGCGGTCCAACAGCTTCAGCAGCTCGTATGAGGTCCCGTTTTTCGCAAATGCAGCCTACTATGCAAATTGGAGGATCTACCGAAAACAGCCTCCGTCGTCCCTCAGATTGGGATTCATATCTCATGTTTTCTACGCATTTGCTTGGTATTAATCACACACGCACACACACATAAACACAACCGAACGGATCATGCCGCCGGGGTCTATGTAGAGATACAAGTGTTAACCATCATGTCTTGTTTTCTTTTAGGGTCAAGGAAGACGGCACCGTTTATGTATATCCCCCACTCCTTGGTGCTATATTTTCTTTTTTTTTTTTTTTCTCTCTCTTGCTTCTTTTGCTTTGTGCTTTTCTCTCCTTTCCCAGGTCATCTCACTAATCCGGTTGCCTGTCTAGTTGAGCGATGAGTGGGCAGATTCGCAAATGCCTGTCGACGGCACCAATGGATGCCTCCGGGCCTTCACACAACTCAAGTCACAGTACTCGAAGATGAAAATCATCCTATCCGTTGGGGGAGGTGGCAAAGGAAGTGAGAACTTCGCTGCGGTGGCGCGGAGTCAGACCCGTCTGGAGACATTTGTGCGAACCGCCAGGGAGCTGGTAAATCAATTCGGACTGGACGGAATAGACAGTAAGGCTGCTTTTTTCTTTCTTTTCGTGATCACACTTTTGGAGGCAGGCAATCTGACCAACAGCAAGTCGACTGGGAACACCCCTCAAGTCCAACAGAAGGAGCAGACTATATCCGGCTACTCGCCCGCCTGCGCGACGTCCTGCCCTCACCGCGATATGTGCTGGCCACATGTCTCCCCGCCGGCGAGTGGGCCCTCCGCAACATCGACCTCTGCAAGGCGCAGAACTACGTCGACCTGATCAACATCATGGCATATGACTTCTCCGGGCCCTGGACCAGCGAAACAGGCCACCAGTCGCAGCTGTATAACCCGCGCGGCGACTCGTCGAGCTCGTGCCAGTCGGCCGTGTCCTACGTCATCGCGCAGGGTGTCCACCCCAAGAAAATCCTCCTCGGTGTCCCCGCGTACGGTCGCTCGTTCCTCGGCAGCAGCCATGTCGGGCAGCGGTATGCCGGCTGCGGCGGGGAGGACGGGGTCTTCGACTACTGCGACCTGCCGCGGCCGGGGGCACAGGAATACCACGACGAGAAGGCCGGGGCGGCGTGGTGTGTGGGCGGTGACGGCGGCTTCGTCACGTACGACACGCCCGAGACGGTGACGCAGAAAGCCAAATTCGTGACCAAGACGAAGCTGGGTGGGCTATTCTATTGGCATATCGGGGGGGATGCACGGGGCCCGCGCAGTCTGATCGAGACGGGGTTTAAGACTCTGCATGATATGTGAGATGGGGAGGAATACATTATCTGCAAATGACCAGCAGATAAAAGAAAGATCAAAAAACGGAGGTCCAGTTTGGTTGTTTTTCTTTTTTTTTTTTTTCAACTTATATTCCATCAGAGCCGCAATGATGTGAAATTAGCCCGAGTCGCGCAATGATAGGCATGCATCTTTTCTCGTTTAGTATTTTCCCTCTGGTCGTAGTCTATCTAATATCTACCCACTCAGATTCGCGTTTCAGGGTTGGTTTGGTTTAGTTTGGTTCAGCGTTCGCCTGTCCTGTCATATGGTAACTACCTATATCCCTTTGTCTAGCTGGCTCCTGGCTCGCGCGAGTCATACACCACCAACACGCTAGCACCTGCCGTACTCGATCCAGCAGATGGAACTCCTGTTCGTAGGGGCTCCCGTACATAACTACATAACTACATAACTATATACATACTACACGCTATGTCAAACAACCATCTCGATCATCCCCCGAATAAACATTTCCCGATATACCCCACCCCACCCCACCCCACCCCCCGGTCTTGCATGGGAATGCAATGCACGCCGTGAGTGGCGCGGATGCAGCCGACAATGAGGCTACCTGCACAGGTATGGCGTGCTCGAGATCCAATTCTGCGTCGACGATGCCGACGCGGGGGGGGGGACTAGATGGGATGGGATGGGATATGCAGGGACCTGGGTTCGTGTGCTGAGAAAGCTTGCGCATCTATTTAGGTAGTTAGTTACCCATGGACCATGCATAGATCATGTACTGTACTCCGTAGGATGACTAGTTCTATTTTCTGCTCGGTTGAGGGTTGATGATGGAGGCAGAGTGATGGGTTGGTTTGATCGTGAGATCCATTATTACTCTATATATATCTAATCTAATCTCATCTCATCTTATCTAATCAATACAATCCTCGGCGCTGAAATCTGATACATAACAATCATCAAGTCTTCATACATTATCAACGTCGGAGACAGAAGAAGGCAGAAGAAGGCGGAAGGAATTATGGAGAGCGATTTAAGCAACCCCGGCCCCCGAAAACACCTCCTTGATCTCCGCCCACGCCTTGCCCTCCGCGAGCAGCAAGCCAAGCAGGACCCGCGCCTTCTGCGGGTTCAGGAACCCGGCCTCAATGGTCGTCTTGCTGTCCGTGGGCGGGGACTCGCCGTTGCCCGTGCGCGTGCTCGTCACGATGGGGAGGGCGTGCTTGTCGACGACGTCGCGGATGGCGGAGGAGAAGGTGCTGGAGACGCTTCCGGCGCCGGAGCCGGCGATCTTATCACATCACTTTTAGTATATGGGTTTCTGGGGCTAGAGGGAAGGGGGGTGGAGGGGACTTACAACGATGCCCTGGGCGCCATTGTCGACGGCGTCGTAGAGGGTATCATTGTGCATATCCTGGTACGAATAGAGGATGTCGACGCGGGGGATGGCGGTAATGTTGGTGACGTCGACGGCGGTCTTGCCGGTGGGCAAGACTGGCGGGTAGTAGAAGTACGCCTTGTTGGAGACGATGGCGCCGAGGTTGCCCATTTCGACGGCCTTGAAGGTGTCCATGGTATTGGCGTTGGTCTTGCTGGCGTAGAAGGCGGAAACGATACGGTCGTTCATGACGATGAGAGCGCCGCGGTCGCGCGCGGCCGGGTTGGTGGCCACGGTTACGGACTGGAGGAGGTTGAAGGGCCCGTCGGCGGAGATGGCGGTGGCGGGCCGCATGGCGCCGACGACGACGATGGGCTTGCCGCAGGTGACGGTGGCGTCGAGGAAGAAGGCCGTTTCCTCGAGCGTGTCGGTGCCGTGCGTGACCACAGCGCCGCTCATGGTTGGGTCGTCGCAGACGACCTTGTTGAGGGTCTGGGCCATGCTAAGTAGGATGGACGAGGAGACATCCGGGCTGCCGACGTTGGCGACCTGGATGCCGGCGACGTTGGCCACGTCGAGCATCTCGGGGACAGCATTTATGAGCGTCTGGATGCCGATGGAGCCAGCTTTGTAGCCGGTTGTTGCGGTCTTGTCGGCGCTAGATCCGGCGATGGTGCCGCCTATGCCTTGTTAGCTTGCTAACTTTAGCTCAAGATCCAAAACTGCTGACCTGTTGCAAGAATGGTGACATTAGGAAGGCTCGAGTTCATCTGTGTGAAGTTCAAGCCATTGGGATTGGTAAAGGCGTAGGTGCCATTCGGCTCGGCTGCTCGCGCATAGAGGACGGGAGAGGCCACCCCAGAAGCCGCCAAAGCCGCCAGAGAAAGAGCCTTGAAGCTAAGAGAGTTCATGTTTGCAACGCGTGGTCGTGTCTGATGTGACAAGTCAAAGATACACTGCTCGAACAAGACAAGATCCGACTGCTGATAGACACCAACTCAACCGACACAACAGGGCAGACAACATCATTTATATACCCCATCCACCGTCCTGCCTCCTGCATCTTAAATCAATAAACGACCGGAATCACAGGAACCCGCAGCCTGTGGTTCTCCCGATAAGGAACCAGTTCTCACGGCTTCACCCCAGGCATCTCGTAATGGGAATCTCAACCAGCACTATCAGTTGGGGTCATTGCGGTGAATCATGAACCATGCCATGTGGCTAGGCAGGTCTCCATCCTTCCTTGGCATCATGCACTTATCTGCACTGTACATCAGGGATCTAACGCGAAGGAGAAGCTATGGCAGAAGACATCTCCAATCTTCTAGATAACCGGGTCAGCGCCAAGGATGGATGAATCTCCATCCGCGATAAGGATTGCCGAAAAGTTGGAGAATATCGTTTGATAAGAGCGGCTGATTCATCGATAGATAACTCGGATCTGGGAATCCGAGAGATTTTCTTAGTATGGGGCATTATTATTTAGTAGATAGAAGGTTGGAGGTTGTCTCTGACCTTCTGAAATGTGTCTGACTCGCAGGTGGGTTTGGTAATCGTTATCGCCCCAGGCAGGGCATAGTTTCCGCTGACACACAGTAAAGTGATCTCTGTTCAACAGCACCAATTTTACATGGAATTCAATCATGATATCCAGGATAAATCCTCGAGGACAATAGAGAGAAAGGCCATCCATCGTCATAGCATTAGCATAGCATGGTATATATCAACATTAGATTGTACACATGGCCTCACAAGGCGAGAAATAAAAGAAAAAAGAAACTTGCTATGTATATATAAATATATATGTGGAATTCAACCCAACAGCACAATTACCTCAAAAACCATATCCATCCCTCACTGGTCCGTCATGAGCTTAGCAAGGTCCAACTTCACATTGAGTTCGTTGGAGGCCAGTGCCTGGCTGAAGTACGGGATAGGCTGCTCGTTGTAAACGCTCGAGTTGGTCGGGTTTCCAGTGATGGCGACAGGGAGACCGTCAGGGTAGGCGCTCAGGAACTTGATGACGGCCCCCAGATCGATCTTGGAGGTCATGGGGTGGTGGTTGTCGCCAGGAACGATCACCAGGTCGTCCAGGTAAGAAGTGCCGATGGAGGTCCCGTTGACGGCAAGATCCAAGGTGACATTGCCCTAGGTTAGTTAGTTAATGGACACCAATGCACCGAAGGAAGAGAAATTCAACGTACCATGGCGATGGTCATAATAGATGGGTTGGGGATGAAGACGGTTCCGCCCATGTTGGGGCCGTCGCCTGATTTACCATTTAAAAGGTGCATCTCCTGGATGGCGAATCCCTCGAGCTTGTTAAGAGCTATTGGTGAGAGTGAGCTTTGCATGTCTTTTGCAGTAGTACCACGGACACCATCGCTTACCCTTCAGAGTAACAGTCTTGTTGTACTTGATACCAATCTTGGGCAAGCCGCCCTCCTTCAGGTCTGGCTCGCCGTAGACATTCAGCTTGAGCTCATCATTCAACATGACCGCCTTGGAAAAACCAGCAAACGCATCCGGGTCACTGAGGTCTAGGTGCTGGTCGACGTGCACCAGGGTGCCGTCTCTGGCCTTGGTCTGTGGGACATGCAAGTGTGCAAACGACGACGCAGCACCAACAACGGTAACGGCAGCCTCGAAGGCATAGATGGTCGGCTTGAAAATGCTGTGCGATCCAAGAGCCTGCGTCAAGTTGAGGGTAAGCCCCTGGGGCGTGGGATTGGAGATGATCATCTCCGTGATGTCCAGAGTGGAATCATTGATGTCTCCCTGTGCGATACGAGGATAGCCGACATAGGTCCTACGAGCGCAAGTCAACCACTGGAACTCCAGTTGTCGTCGTCGTCGACAACGACAGACGCCGGCATCGCGCAGAACGGGGGGGGAACATACAAGGGAAGAGTGATTAGCAGCACGACGGCAATGATGACGATGACATGAACCCACCACCAGCGCTTGTAGTGGGCGGCCACCCGTCGTCCAAAGCTCGGTTTGGCAGACGGGGAAGCCACATACCCAAGCTCGGTGACATCTGGCTTACCGCCGGCCATCTCGGATCGTTTCTGTGCCGGTTTGCGTGAAGCCTGTCTGACGCTCTGACGTTACCTTCCAGAAGGAACGTGTGACACGAAACGGTCTGGAACTGGAGCAAGCCCGTATACACAACCGCCGATGAGATAGTCGTTGTAAGACTATGCGCGATACATCAGCATAAAATCCACCAGCGGATCTTCAAAAGACAGGACGACACAAGTCAAAAAGCAAAGATATAGGAGCAAAAATGAAACGATCAAAAAATTAAAAACATTTAATAAAAACTAGAAACTCAAGAGCAAGGAAAAAGGCAAGGGCAGCTGTTACCTCTTTGGACTGTTCGACCGAGACGGAGGCGAAGTAAAATGTACTAGGGACGGAGGGTCAAAAGTCTAGACATTAGACAAGCAGACCGTCCGATGTTCCCAGGGCCCTATAAGATCCTATATCTACCCTCGCAACTGCAAGAGGGGGGGGGCGAGGTTCCATCACATGTAGAAAAATGGTAGCAGCCCCAGTTCAAGCACCGCGGATCTTTCCACTTGACGGAAATTTGGGTCTGACCAATGCCCAGAGACCTGTGTAGGAGAACATTCCTGCCGGACAGCTTAATTTTGGAGCTGGTGGAGCAAAGGACGAGGAGAAAAAAAAGGGGGGGCGAAACCGAAAGTGACTGGGGTATTCACATTAGGGCCTGAGCAGAGGCCGTTGACAGGACAGAGAGACAGAGGGAGAGAAGCACGATAGATTAAATGATAAGACCTCGGTGGAAAGAGTCCCCCACGAGCATGATCCAAAGTCCAGCAGACCATGAGGGATCCGATCATGACTGTTTAAGTGTTTATGCATGATTTGCGTTAGAGTTGCGAGGCATGTTCGCAAGCCAACCGAGGCCTGGGGGGGGGATGAGGAGGTTGAAGGGCGTTCAAGAATGGCTCATGGCTTGACGGGTTGCAGGCAGTTTCCTGCTCCTGGGAAATCCTGGCTTGTTTCGCAACAAACCAGGCTGGGTTTCATTGGTCTGGCGCGAGCGATCAGAGTTGAGTCTGAGAGTGCCTAAGTAGTTACTAGTACCTTGACCCAGTCAGAAGTGAGGGACTTGACACTCTGACCACTGAATCACTGACCAGGTACTCCGTACTTACATATGAGAACCTTGGATCATAGCCCATAGGAGTACGGGCGATGGGTCAAATCCTACCTCGCGTACAAGATGGAGCCCAATTTCCCCATGGTCGATCTGACTTGGCCGGGGAGAGGATCAGAGGATCCAAAGCAGAGGAGATGATTAGTTAGACAGTGGTTGGACATTGGCACTAGCGACGACTATATCACTATAGACCGGGGTAGACTTGGAGAAGTGAGACCAAGTGGGATGAGCCGAACAATGGACCAAACAAAGAGTGTCTGAGCCCCGGACTAACTACCTTAAACTACTAGAAGAAGACGGAGGACGGTCAGTTTACTGGGTTAAGTCTGTTGAATTCGCCTCCAGACTAGTAGTAATTAATTAGTCAAAGCCCTTGCTTGGCCTGCTCTACTTCGGTAGGTTACGACTTACAAAGCAATGAAATAAATAAATAGTTACTAAGTGCTATCTCTGTCTATGTCTATGGATATGGTCTACGAATAATAAGTATCTACTACCTAAATAATTATTCAGACTCGGAAATCAGGGCCAAGTGTTCGTGTTAGAGAGTAATGAATGATTGTCGACCATATTATGATTATTATTATTCGTAGTAACAGTAGCTTGTCATTCCTTTTCAGCAAGTGGCAGAGACAAGGATTCCAGGAATATCGGAGTAAGCCAATCGCAACAATACAATTGGCAACCATGAAACAGTTTGCAGCGCATCCCCGCCGCATGGAATGGAAGATGATGACTTTTGAGGTCGCACAATGACACGCTCGCTATCGTCAGCATTATTCCAAATTAACAATCCCCGTCGTCCGATTCAAGTATTCAAGAACTCGGATATAACCGTCTGCAAGAATAAAGGTGGAAAGATGGTTTGTGATGCTGTGTAACTTGGAGAAACTCAGCAGCTGAAGCTCAACCACGACCCCTATCGTCGTCATCTTGTACTGATCGTGTCGTTTACGAAGGCCACTACGTGCAACGTGTCCGAAGATTCTATGCATATTCCAACCGAATCGAATGCTATCTGCCTATCCACACCACTTGTGTCTAGGTATCGATATACAATCTCCGTGACGAAAACTACATCCATCCTCCGAGAAAAACAGTCCGTCTGGACGGCAGATATACCTGACTTTTCACAAGATTCAAGTGAGTTTGATTATCATGAGAATCATCAAATATGATCTTTGTAAAGGTACACATCCCAGAGCCGGGAGAGAAGAAGAGAAACTAGGGAATAGGTCCGTCAAAAGTGAAAGAATGGTCAGGTCGGAAAGAAAGAGAATGGACGCACGTAAAAAAGCCAACAGGTCAAAATGATCAAGGGAACACCATCACCCAGTGATTAGAAATTAGGGGTATCTAGAAAGAATCAACCGTGCTGCTCGCAAAGCAGCCCGACAGCAAGAAGAGAAAAATAGAAAAGAAAAGAAAAAAAAAAATCCAGAGCGTCTATCGTAAGTGCTGAGGGCAACTCAGGAAGACTCGCTCGGAATTCAATATTTGAACAGAGAATGGAAAGAAGAAAGAGAGAAGAAAAGAGGGGAAAAAAAGGAAAATAAAAAGGATGACCAAGAAGGGAAACAAAGTGGAAAGTAGGATCGCGAGCGACAGCTCTAGATAGTACATGCAAAAGATTGTAAGAAGTTAGGACAACCCAAACAGACAAGCTGAAATAGGTGTCGATGGTGGAGAAATCAAGTAAAGACGATCAGGATACAAAAGGGGGAAAGGTAAACCGGATACACAGGAATCGGAAATGAATGCTTTTCTGTGTCGCGTTTCTGCTCCCCAAACAATGAGAAGCAGAAGATTACACAACTTTCAAACTTCGGCTGCCAAAGACTTCTTGCGATGGAAAAGACTGCGAGCTCGGGACTTCGTATGGGCGTTCTTTTCAGGAGTGCCGCCATGTCGCCCCCGGCCACGCGAATGAGGGGTGGATTCATCGTCAGACTTATACTTGTCCTTGTAAATCCTGTGGGAACATTAGTATATCACCAAAGGAAAAAAAAAAAAAAGATGTCGGGTGCACATACCAGCTGTTTCCAACCATATTGATCCCCTTCGCTTCGGCCTGGCGATAGAACTTGGCCGCCTTCTTCATATCTTTTTTGCAGCCAATCCCCTCCACGTAGCAGAATCCAGCCTCAGTCAACGCATCGGCATCTCCCCACTGGCCGGCAATCTCGAAGCAGCGCAAGGCTAAAGCCTTGTCCTGCTCAATTCCCCATCCGTTGAGATGGCTGACCCCAAGCTCATAAATACTAAGGGCAAACTGCGCACGATAGGCTTTCTGCATCTCCCTAGCTCGCATTGTCACAGAGCCGCTCGAGTCGTCCATCAGCTCCAAGCCCACGCAATCAACAGCTCTGCGAAGCCATTGAACTCCCTCCCGCTGGTTCGGCCGCATCCCCCAGCCGTGGCGGCATGCCAAAGCATAAAGAAGCATTCCAGTCGGGTGGTTCTGTTTGGCAGCAATACGCAGATGGTAGGTGGACTCGTTCAAGGATCCCTTTTCATGGCATTCGATACCCTTGGCCACATGCTCGTCGGCACTAAGCACACCAGAAATCGTTGCTGCTCTGGTGATCTGCGGCCGGATCGTGGATGCAGAGTCCGCTGAAGAAGTGGTATCCTCTTTGTCGTCATTGATAGAGACTGTCGGTTCTGGTGCAGGTGTATCGGATGGTGGCTCAGACGGCTCAGACGGCTCAGACGGCTCAGAGTCGGGCGCGGGTGCATGTTGCTCAGAGGGCATGGGGGCCTCGGAGGCCGAGGTCTGTGACCCCGATGTCGCCGGAATGTCATACATCGAACGCGCCTTTTGCGCATGCACAGACTCCGAATACACAGATTCGTGGCGTGAGGGCGGAGGGGATGGTGTCCGCGTAGCTCTGATCGGTGCTCCTGTATCCGCGGGAGGCGAACTCTCAGATAGCGGTTCTACCCATTCAAAGCTCGGAGTATGAGGTTCAGAAAGTACAACAGAGTCCCTGCAGACCTTGCGTCCGCGAGGCAGCGAGTACTTTGTGTAAACATATGACAGAGCGGAAGACGGTTCCTCATTCGAACAATTGGCAAGATCCAGGCGTGAAGGCACAGTGATGGGAGCAGGCTTGTTTCCCCTATGCATCACGTTCGATTGGCTGGCAGGCGTCGATTCGGAAGCACCCATTGTGACAGGAGCAGACAGACTCGTGCTAGACCTGCTCAACGGTCGCGAGAAATTGAACGACGGACGCGGCAGATAGCTGGTATTGGATGTTTCTGAGCTCAGCGATGGAGATCGTGGATGCGAACGGGGATGCGATGACATGGGCGAGTATGGTAACGACATGGCACTGCTGGCGGAAAATTTCCGAGGATGTGAAAAGGTCGAACCAGCATTGGAGCTGCTGTAATCGTCATCAGAACTCTCCGGCTGTGCGGTCCTGGGACCGGTGGAAGGTCTCGACAGTGGGGAAGGAGGTGGTGCCAGGCCACGGGGGACATTGAGCCGTGAAGCGGAATCGGTTGGCGAGTTGCGAGATGGCGCAGCGATAGCAACCCCAAGAGAAGATACAGGGCTCGGAGGGCTGGCAGCATAGAATCGAGGGGCCGGCTCTGTGACAGTGCTCAGAGAGGTATCTTGTTCTGGCGACTCCGTGCGGGGAAATTCGAACAGGCCTGCTTCTACGGGAATCGGGGTTAGATCGTCCGTCGAAGTCGTCTCTTCATCATCCTGCTGGTCACCATCTTCGCTCGCGAGAAATGAGATCGCACTAATGCGAGGGTGCTCAGAGTTTGGACGAAATTTTGGTTCCTCAACTTCGGGGTTGTTCCTCTGCGTCGGACGCCGTGCAAGTCCACCACCGCCTCCTCTCCCATATTGAGACTGGTATGAATCGCTGGATGAAGGAGAGCGAAAGTAGCCTGGTCGGGGCTGCGACAAGGACCGTGCAACACTCGCAGGAGGCAATCTGCTCATGCGCCTCTCTCCCCGGGCGGATTCTTCCAGCTGCCTGGCCAAGAGGCGACCCTGGGCGGCAAAGGCATCGAGAGGGGACAGCGCGGGAGGGATCTCGCCGTCAAAGTGTTCGATGCGCGGCGAAGGGGCCCCGCTCCGCAGGTTATCGTGTGAGGCGGAGCGGTAATCAACATGTTGCGGCCGGGAGGCCATGGCTGCCGTACAAGGACTTCCAATGTGCTGGAAAACTCGAGATTGATCGTTGGGGATCGCAGGTGGATTCAAAAATCAAACCATCTACCCGGAATCGCTAGGGTCGCTAAAGAAGGCAGATGTTTGCATTGGACGGGAAAGGGAAGAAGATCGCTGGGGCTAATGAAAGCTGAAGATGGACAGGCGAGAGCGCATCGGAAGATTCCTGACAAGCAGAAAAGGGTGAGCGGAATCAACCAGGAGACAAAAGGGGCGGAGAGGGGCAACATACAGGAAGTCCAAAAGGGAATGGCAATCCTATCAGGATAAGGAATCTGTTTCAATCAAGCGAATAGTACAGCAAGCCAGGCTTTTAGTTGGATAGTTGAGACAGACAGACAGTTAGTTGGATGGACGGTTTGTTGATTGAGACGGGTTGGATAATGAATGGAAAGTGGATTGCAACAGGGTGCGAGACGATAGATTCAAAGTCGGGTAAACAATAATATCAACACAATTAAAGGAGATCAGACAGCAGATAGGATCACAAGCCAAGAAGAGGAACGATGATCAAGCATCGCGACTCATCTAGAGCGAGATGGTATTTTTGGGGGGGGGGGAAGATTATTTGAAGAGAAAAGGGAAGAGGAATAATAACAAGGGAAGAGAGAAGCGGATAGGTAGATACGTAGAAGGAAAGGAAAGGTACACGGCGACTAGTCAGAGAGCGCAACACTAAACAGTTGAACACCCCGTCTACTTACGTCGACGGAGGATTCGTTTGGACTAGCAAATTGGATCCTCAAACACGGCCAGGAGAGTTTTCCATCCATTCAACTCGACGATTTGACGATCACTAAACAAAACGAGGGGCGGAACGGCCAGATGCAAAGTGACAGTCGCTCTGGGCATTCTCCACGCGGAGGATGGATGTATTGACGCTGTATAGATTTGTATCCAACCTGATGTGTATCATTTGTTACAGCAAGCTTGGCCATGAACCATGGTGAGAAATGATCACTTTTTCAATGATCTGGGGTGTTTTGTTACGATGGAAATACACATACCCAGTCTACTACCTAGACACCCAAGTCCATACCCATCCACAGAGTCAGGGGCTTAGCCTGCATCATGTTATTACCCTACATGGCTTGCATGCATCAGTGAGAGACACCATATCACAACTACCTGCTATCTCCCTTTGGGGTCACTACTTTACCCATACAATAATAAATAACATAAATAAACAATCTGATTTAGAAATGATCTAGACTATCAAACTCATCTAGAAACTATGGCCAGATACTTCCAAGGACACTTTGATGATCGCCCACTGCCAAATGACAATCACAACAATGCCCTTGAAAGCTTCTAATCTCACAGCGAGGCTAGATGGTAGATACTCGAGTAGTACGAGTAGATAGACCACTACGGCACTACCTAATACTTACAGTTACTAGTAAGTTGTCAGACACAATGGAGATGGGGAGTGGGGCAGTGACTCTATATATAACTCTTCCAAATTTCTGGCCCCTGGACACCGGTTGATCAGAATCATAACAACCACGGCTACAGAGTAGATAGAGAGTAGAGATGGCATAGTTAGTTGATGCTACTTAGGTCATCAATCAAGATGATCATACCCTCAAGGATCATGGGTTATCAAAGGGGATCACAATGAAAGGAGTGGTGGTTACTGGTGTGCTGTATGATATATCTACTCACTTCTCCTCTCTCTTGGCTCTGAAACAGAGAGTGACTAGCTCATTCAACTACTCTGTAATGGTTCAAAAAAAAGGCACTATTAGGTGATTCTGACTTATTATTCATGCTTTGTCACTTTAGTTAGTTGAAGTTTGAGAATGCCCTTCTATGTATCCTAACTAACTCATTCCTAAGGTAATTTGTCAAGACCAGCGGGAATCTTATTAGATGACTTTAATCCTCTCTGTTCTCAGAGTGGGCATATGAAGCCAGACAGGGGTACCATAAATGAAGACACGAGTTATTGATTCTGATTGAACCAATGGAAGTCCTGGATCTGATTTCCACTATTAGGGCCCGATATTGATCATCCTTTTTTTTTTTTTTTTTTTTTTTCCAGTACTCTTCAACAGTTCGAGTTTCATCATCAACAGCGTGTGATTAAGGATATTCTAACACGATGGTGATTTTCTATTAGACAGTAGTAGTAGAAACATAGAATATTGTCTTCCTAGTATGGACTATAATATTCTCATGGTGGCTGCACATCCTCTAACAATATCCGTTTGAAATGAATTTCTATGTTGGATATTAGATCTTAGTACTTTGAGGTAGTGTATGCTTAGACTGAATCACCGTAGTAGTAAAAGCATCAAAGCATGTTGACAACTTGACAAGCCGAATAGTCTAGTAGTTAAAACATGATTGTGGACTGCAGAGTATCAACATGGAACCTACAGACTGACGACGGTGGAGAACCCCCGACAAGGATGAATCTGCAGGAGATAAGATTGGAGGAATTTCTAAGCGAAAGAAAGCTACTCTAAATGCATAGTAGACTAACTAGACTACTCCGTACTCTGACTGGCATACCGCATACCGAAGCCCTTTCTTGATCATCCTGCTTCTCGGATTCTTTCCGTAGATTCTGATGCTTGGGGAAATTGATCTTGTGCCCCGTGGAGCTCTTCTTAGCATCTATCAATCAATAACTACTGAGATGATTGATGCTTTCTTCTGCTACCACTTCATACAACCCAATATTATTACTGCGTAGTACTAGTAGTCCGTTATTCTGACATGCTCACTCTTCCCTTCTCTCGATCCAGGCTTCAGCTGATGGCTGTAAATGACTGGTCTCATTTTCAGCGCCTGGATCTGTTTAAGTCTGGCTTACCAAGTCGATGCTGCTGGTATAACCGTACAACTAGTTAGTAGTTACTACTAAGTGACTAGCAGGCAAGCTATGAAACACCAACACTAACAATAATAAAAGATTAATTTATATTAAGATGACTAGCGAGAAATTCCTTCGCTCCAATAATCCTCAGGCACATCTCAGTCTCCCCAGAGTCTTATCTACGGCTTCATCTCTCCCCAGTCCTCCAGTCCTTTGGGGAAAAAAAAAAATCCCACCTCCACAAATGCCACCACCACAACCAGTCCTAACATGAAGTTATCCAAATCCTTCTCCTCCCTCTTCGGCGTCGACGCCTCCCTCGACCACATCCACCCCTTCGAAACCTCCTGGCTCCTCTCCCCGCTCCCCTTCGCCCTCCTGCGCGGCCTCATCGCCCTCTACATCTTCGTCACCATCTTCTTCATCTGGGGCTGGTCCGGCTCCCACGGCGCATCCCACGCCATCGGCCAATCCTTCAGCTACTTCACCTGGCTGACCTACTGGGGCCTCGGCTTCTACTATCTCGCCGCTTGCATTCACACCGCATGCTACGCGCGCTCGGGGCGCAGCCTCCTCTTCGACCGTCTCCCGCGGCCCCTGCGCGCCCTGCACGCCCTCTTCTACACCACCGTCACCACCTTCCCGTTCCTGGTCACCATTGTCTTCTGGGGGATTCTGTTTAGTCCGCCGTGGTATAAGTTGACTTTCTCCGCGTGGTCGAATGTACGTTTTTTTCTCTCTCCCCGCACGCAGTTTTGCGAAAAAAATCCAATGAAAGAGAAAGGAGAAGAGAGGGGGGGGGAAGGGTTAGGTGTCTCCATGGCTAACATAACACACGCACATCTTCTCCTACAGATCTCCCAGCACGGTCTCAACTCCCTCTGGGCCCTGCTCGAAATCATCCTCCCCACCACCAACCCCCACCCGCTCGTGGCCTTTCCCTTCCTCGTGCTGATCCTCCTGCTCTATGTGTCGCTGGCCTACTTGACCTTCCACACGCAGGGTTTCTATACGTATTCGTTCCTCGACCCCGGCCCACATGGCGAGCATAAAGGTCTGGTCGCCGGGTACTGTTTTGGGATCTTTGCGGCCATCCTGGTGATTTTTGGGCTGTCGTGGTGTGCGATTTGGTTGAGGAGGAGGCTTACCGGGGGGAGGATCAAGAGGTCTGTTTACGATAAGGAAGAGATGGTTGGGAGAGCGGAGATGGCCCATGTGGGTGTTTGATGTGACTACTAATGTATGCGAGATGTTTTTTTATGTATTAATGTGTAGTATGTCTGGCCTCTGGGTTTGTGGTCAACGTTGACATGTAATCCAGGGGCCATCATTTTCATTGATTGCTGAGGGGAGAGTAAGTTCGCCTGAGTTGAGTATTATCGGTATATCCAAAGGCGCAAAGAAACAAAAAAAGGGGGGCAATGCTCATCGCGCATCGTTGACCTTGTCCCAACCAGACTCGCTGTTACTGCTGTTGCTGGCACTGTCAGGTACCGTGGAAGGCCCACTGCGAAGGCCCAGCATCCACCCTACCAGGCCGCTTGGTACCCACTCCCCGATGATACTATAGGACCGCGCACCTCGCCCGGCATATAAGACGCGTTTCTTAGATACTCTTCGCCCAAAGATATTCTTGGATGCCGGTTCCAATGCTTCCAATATAGCGTAGTGGAGCATTTTGGCTGGTGACCCGCGCACCGTGCTGGGCCCAGCAGATGCCACCGGCCGCTGTTCAATGCTTGAGAGGTACTGCGAGCCATAGAGCGACCGCTGTTGAGCGCTCCATGCAAGGACCTCCGTTCCGGTAACATGGTTCTGGGCGTCCCGGAACTGGGGGCCGAGGTCAATATTGCCGAGTTTCAGTTCCACAACATCAATATTTTTATGCTGCAAAAGGCATAGTTCTCTCCTAAGAGAGCTTGCGAACCCGGACAGCGCACGCGCTGTAGTGACCTCGGGCCCCGCGAAAGGCGCCGAAAGCGATGATGAAATAGAGGGGTAGAGGAGAAGGATAGTGCTATTGGTCTTGCGAAGAGTGAGGAGAGGTAGGAAAATTCGGGTGGTGAGAATAGGAGAGAGGAGACGAGTATTGATAGTATCGGCCCAGGACGATGCTGGAATCGTGGCGACAGGGCCAGACACATAGCTAGATGATGGCACCAAGATAATACCACTCAGCTGGCAGGTATGGGGTGGCACGCCGGGCATCGGGCACTGGGGTTGTGTGATGAGATTATGGATTTCACTCAAAGAAGGATGAATTTCTGAAGGTGATGAGGCAGTCTGTTGAGGGTTTCAGCATAAATTGTCGTCCCAACCTGCGGGGCAAGCCTTACGGCCGTCAGGTCAAGCCAGAGAGCTCTAATATCCATCCGATTCTCCGACTGGACTAGGTGCTCCTCCTGAGCAGATGTCACAGTAATATAGACGATATAGCCTCGTCGCTCCAGATCAGTCGCAATCGCTCTGGTCATCGGCTCGTGGGGAGAGCCAGCAACAACTGGACAACACGTAAGTCAACGTAAAGAGACAAGCACTCTCCATATAAGGACATACCAACTATCTCCTTCCGAGCACCATTTCCGGCCCTCCTTGCCTTTCGCCGTCTTCCATGGAGCTTCTTATTTCCAAAATACAAAGCGGTACCGGTTCCGACGAAGGCGAGGATAGCAGCGCTCCATGCGCGATTTCGGATAAACCAATCATGAACGCGATCCGTGAAGGACTGCAAAGGAGGCGCACGAAAACCAGGATGTGATTTTGGCGCCGGCCTAACGGCAGGAGGTAGCCATGACTGATGAGAGAGTGTATCGCGGATCACCGTTGCAACATGATCGACTTGTCGGTCGATCGAGTCTGCGACCTCGAGGGAATATCTCCTTACGTCATGCGGAATGGAGGCAAGCTGGAAGGTGAAGCACTGCGTGAGTCTCAGAACTAGATGGGGTGGACTTGATGGGACTCACATAATCGAAGAAAAACTGGTCGTCACTTGTCATTTTGAAGATGCTTTCTTGACCAAAAGGTAAATAGCTGGAAGACTCAGATGTTGATAAGATTGGAAAAGTCCCACTGATAAGTGCAGCAATGTATATCGGCCAGTCACATGAGCAACACTACTCCACCAGCTGGATAAGGATATGAAGCCTATCCTTTGTGCAGCATCAAAATCAAGAAACGTCAAAGACTATTGCTATAAGAGCTCACTGTTTCTACCAGTCTAGCCATATAAATTTTGATCTCTCAGATGTGTGGAGCAGCATTTAGATCTTGACGATTTGACTCTTGTGTCTGTCTGTTGTATCAACAAAAAGGCTTATTATTGAGAGTTGAGACACTCGCATGGAGGGATAGCACTAGTCCATATTCGTACTAGCCTTGGAAGTAAGTACTTATGGATATCTCGCTCTTCATCAAACATCGCCAGTTCGCCACATTTGTCCAGTCGCAGTCAGTCACTCGCTTCAATCTCTCAGGGCGTCTTGCAACTGCTGCAAGCGGGAATAGAAGGATTCCAGTAACCAACCAAGACCTTTTTGAACTACCCTTTGCCTTGAACGGAGTACAAAGAGTACATTTCTCACGTGACCCAGTCGAAGGCAGCTTGATTCTAATTCCTTCTTTTGATTATCAATCCAACAGGCATCGCAGAGCTTATTGAGATCTTCAGCTCATGATTGAAGTCTGCTAGTATTTTGCGATGTGGCGGATGTTTATTCCTGGTTGCTTAGGCTCATAACACCAGGTTATTGCCAGCCTATGCACCTATTCTTGACAGATTCCCCTTCTTTCCAGAGACTTACCTGGTACTTCATCGACAGAGGCAGTCTTCCACAACGTATCACTATCAGGACCCTTCTTGATACGTCTTGGTCAATATTCATCGGATATCCGTCTGTCGTGGTTTTGTGATTCTTTCACAGTTCGGTACATCTATCAACCCACTACATACAGGCAGCATGCGTGAACTAGATCCGTTGGTCTCTGAGTACCAGCATGACAAGCATAGACCTAGGGAAGCAGAGGCTTTGCTAATGCTTCGCAAAATTGCCTCTCTTGTGAAGCCTATCATGCGACAGAGGTCCTGGAGAGTAGGCACACTTTGCGAATTCTATCCCCACCAGCGGAACCTACTAGGCTTGAATGTCAATGCAGGTCAAAAAATATGCTTACGACTGCGATATCCCTCCGATGAGCGTCAGTTTCTGCCTTTAGAGCAGGTGGTTGACACGATGCTTCACGAGTAAGCCTATAGCCCGCTTCAGATTTAGACATGCTTCGCTGACGGTCATAGGCTTTGTCATATCGTACATGGTCCACATAATCAGCAATTCCATGCCCTTTGGAATCAGCTACGTGACGAACACGAAGAACTCGCCATCAAGGGTTACACCGGGGAGGGGTTCCTATCTCAGGGCAAACGTCTGGGTGGTCGTAATATGCCAATCGACGAGGCCCGCCGCGTAGCCAGAGCAGCCGCGGAGCGGAGGCGGACTCTTTCAGCCGGATCGGGGCAGCGGCTCGGCGGTGCTCCAGTTCTACGTGGCACAGATTTGCGAAGAATAATTGCCGACGCTGCGCAAAGACGCATTGAAGTGACAGAGGGCTGTGCTTCAGGGGCAGACAACAGCGTTGATCTGGCAGAGGAAGCCTCGAGGAACGGGTTCCGTACTAAAGCAGAAGAGGATGATGCAAACGAACGAGCGATCATGGAAGCCTACATCGATTTAATTCAGCAAGAAGAGCGGGAGAAATACGGGCCTTCTTATATCCTTCCTAGCCAGGAGATACCCGCAGGGCCTCGATCAGCTCCGTCTCCGCCGCCTGTTCCAGCAAGCACCAAACCTACACCTTCGCAACAACCGCTGGAACCAATTGATCTCACATCCGATAATACCTCGTACGAACAACCCTGGACATGTCCCACCTGCACGCTCGAGAATCCCGCCAACTTCCTGTGCTGTGATGCCTGTACCTCGGAACGACCTCGACCGTCAGCTACTCGATCAAGTTCTGGACCGGCTACCACTAGCTCCAACAATGGAGGCACACGTAGCACGAAAAATAAGCGTCCGATCAGTCAGACTGCCAGCGAAACTCTTTTCAAGAACCGGACGAGGGCGGCGGAAACCCTCGCTGCCCTCGACAGCAACATCGCCAAGCGACCTCTAGGCTGGGTGTGTAACACCTGCGGCACATTTATGGAAACTTCATGGTGGACGTGCTCAAACTGTGGGATGATGAAGCAGGCTTCATAGCATTATGTTACACATGTCGACTGCAATGAACTATACGATATCATGACTTTACAAACACGACACGCTTGAAACAGGAATATAGAACTTCCTATACTATCTAACTCTATAAGAATACCTCGAAACAAACTCAAAGCAACGAGTCAATATCCTCAAGAATGGCTGTAGATCGAAAGAATTTATCTTTCACCATGAACAAGCCCATCCCAATCTCAAGCCACGTGACTTGCCGTGCTCCACCATACTGGTCCTTGGCGCACTAATTCTTTTCCCAGCCAACAATAATTTTCACACTTTTTCCAATCCTAAACCTTTCCTCTCTCACAGCTTGCATAAAGCCTGCAGACTCTCTTGCTCAAACACACCCTCCAGCACCATGAGAACTATATATTTCTAACAGGTATGCGAACACCAATTATCCCCCAAACCACCTTCAATACAGTCCAGTCTTTCGCAAGAAACAAGATGGAACAGGCAAGCGAGCCAAAAAAAAAAAAATAAAGGAGAACCAAGTGCAACAACCCCAACTCTTAAAATGATGAGAACATTTTCATGAACCGGTATTTAGGAAGAGCCGGAAGAGGTATGGCAGGAGGAGATTTCGACAATAATGATCGGGTCTCCCCTGTCGTCGATGCTTATAATGGTTCTGCTGAGAGGAGTTACGGGGTTGTTGACTTGGGGTGTCCTTTTCCGGCTGCTTCTGTTCTTTCATTGTTCTTGTGAAGGATTCGGGCTGGAGTTGATTTGCTAGCCGTGTTGGTTTCAAATATTTATTGTTCGTGATGAATGTGCTGACATGGTTTAAAGTGTTTAGGTTTCTGCCTGTGAAGTGCGACATCGAGGTTGATCGATGGATGTGGATATAGCACATCTTCAATTACCACATACTGGTTCTTAAAATAAGAAAGGAATGGTCATACAGATTGAATATATGAATCTTAAAATTATGGAATCTCTATTGATAGACCAACTTTTATCTCCAAACTCCTAGGATATAAAACTTTTCGTAGCCGAATCATCCGGTATCATATCAACGCCTTCATATGCCCTTATACACAATACTGCAGTCCGCAAACAGAGTACTTCCCTCAAGCAATATGAACAAACGACCGCTTCTTGCCGGTACCTGACACCTGTGGGTGTTCCTGCTCCCAAGTTTCCTCGTCGACATAGTCCTTGGTGCTCGATTCCCGCACTTGCTGGCCGATGATCTGTAACGCTGACAGGTTGAAACCCATCTCGTCTTTTTGCCGCGTGAGGACCCGACGCAAGGTTGCCCGGATGTCGTCCAGCATAGGCTTCATCATCTTGCTGGCGATGATCTGACGGTGGTGCGTCTTGAGCATGAAGAAGAGAACCCGGCAGGTAAGAGGGATGTTCCATCCCCGGTTGGCCCAGATGTTGAGGAATGTGAAGAGCGCAGGTAGTTTGGAGAATGGCAACACAAGAAGAGCGTCCTGGAGTGCTGCAGCAGGGATCTTCTGGACCACATTCAGCAAATATTGCTCCGCGGAGATATCACCGAGCGCCATATATAGAGGGTTGCGGCTCGGTGGTGCAGCATTTGGTTGACTGGCTTTGACAGCACGCCATTGCCGCATGACCTCCAGATCCTCCATACCCAGATCCAGAGCCTCCATGATCTTCTCTCCGGCCATAAGCGTAGCGGCTGTCTGCTTCCCGGCATCAACTGCTTCGGCCTTCTCTCCATCTGCGTCCTCCTCCTGATCGAGAGAAGCTGTAAGTGTGTTGTCGTACATCTCTTCGAGCTCCTTCTCGCGCTCTTCTTCCAGGAAGAGTTGCTCATCGGTCTGTTGCCAAGTGCGAATACTCTTATCGTGACTTGCGCTAACAATGAACTCGCCCATATGGCTGATCGCAAGAGCCCAGATCTCACCATGGTGGCCTTGGAGTTTTTGAATATGCTCAAATTTATCGCCATCCCAGTATTTGATCACACGATCTTTGCTGGCACTGAAAAAGTTGTGACCATTTCCTTCCTTGTTGGTGGGTACAAAAGCGACAGCCATGATGCTGTCCTCATGGGCCAGGAATGATTTATGGCAGTCACCAAAGTCCAGACCCCACAAACGTACCGTCTTGTCGGCTGAGCACGTCACAATGAGTTTGCTGTCCCAAGAGATGTCCATGCTGAGAACGGGAAGTTTGTGGCCATAAAGGTTGAGGAAGAGTTTGAGGGAGTCGGTGAAGAAGACCTTGACCGTGTTGTCTAAGAGGGCGACAGCGAGCAAGCGCGCGTCTGGAGAGAACCGAAGGCAAAGAATGTCATCGGCAACCTTCAAAGTTCTGGTGTGCACGAGCTTGAGACGTGGTGTGGTTCTTTTGGTGCCCGGGATTTCTTCCTGGACGACCTGGAAACTCCAGAACTTGGCAGTCTTGTCAGCACTACCAGTAACCATCGACTTGCCATCGGGATGAACATGCAAGGACCAGACTGGTCCGTCGTGGGCTTTGATCGTGTCCAGCAAGGTTGAAGACGCAATGTCGAAGACCTCCAACTCGCCGTTCTTATTGCCCACCACCACAATTTTGTCTCCAGGAAGGAAGGCAGAGCACAAGGAATAACCGCATTCCAGGGTACGGAGGCAAGTCTGCGTGCGTACGTTCCAGATCTTCAAGCTACCGTTGGAGGCAGAGGCCAGCATGCGGTCATCAGAGCTCAAGGCAATGGATCTGATATCGGTGCGGTGACCAGGAATGTCGACAGCGAGATTGCGGCTGTAATCTGAATCCTCCTCGTCCTTCTTCTTGTTTGCAGTGACCACGCTAAAGACTTCCAGCTGGTTGTTCGTGGTAGCAGCTAGAAGCTGAATATTTCCAGTTGATTTCGTTCGAATCCAGTCAAAGGAACGAATCTTGCCGCCTGTGCGAACAATAACATGGGGAACGAAGACCTCCGTAACAGGTGCGGCAGAAACATCATCGGCCTTGTCATTGTCGACTTTCACCAATTCTCCGTCCTTGGCACGCTGCGCTTCTTTTTCCTTTCTTCTCTTGCGCTTCCTTGCCAAACTCTTCTGCACCTCTGTCTCTGAGCGAATGCGCCAGATTTCTACGGCCTTCTCCGACCCGTGGAATCCAACATAATCAGCGCGCGGGTGGAAGCTGATACCGATCGTTCGGTCCTTGCCGTTGCGATAAAATGTCCCTCTATCTGTCAAGATCTTGCGGCCTTCCGAGCCGACCTTTTCTCTCGAGATTTCGAGCATTGCGCTTTCATCAATCGACCAGACTTTGAGTTCTCCATCATTTCCGGCAGTGATGCAGCCGCTCTGGTCGGGAGAAAGACCCAGGCTCCAGCACTCACCATTCGATTGCGCCACGTGAGTCTCGATGCAGTGTTGCGATGCCAGATCCCAGACTTTGATCAAAGAATCCTTGCCAGTAGTGAGCAGGAAGCCAGCATGTTCGCTGAGACCCGCGGCTTGGAGTAGCTCCGTAGACAGATAGAGGAAATGAAGCGAGGTAACTTGGTCGGTGTGTCCACGCAGCTTGAAGAGTCCAACTTCTGCAATCAAGTCCCACACGATAATATCTGTGTCCCTCGAGCCACTTGCAAGGCGCACACCGGCATTGTCGAAGGCGAGCTGAGTAATGGCCGATTTATGACCGTTGAAGGAAATGATAACGGTTGCTGTTCTCGAGTCCCAAATACGGATACTTCCATCATCGTATCTGAAAAGCACCAATACCCTTGGTTAGAATCGTATCTCGCATTGAAATCAGGAGAGAAGAACCCTACCCGACCGCGAAAACATCCTCGTCTGTCCTGCTCTGGGTGATAGCCGTGACCTGCGCTTTGCAGGATGTATCTCGCCATCGTGCCAGCAATTCTCCCTTCTTGATATCCCAGCATAGAACTTCGTCACTGGCACCAACAATCGCTCGTCCGGCACCTGTCCGGCGCGCAGTGCCTAGGAAGTCATCGTCCCGAGCCCAAATCGCATTCGACGAAGCGGACGCAACGAGCCCGAACGTATTCGAATGCTCGAATTTCCTGAGACAATTAGCTTAACCGATCAATAACACCCAATATATAGATTCATTCTATGAGATCGCACGCACAAATATGACTTCACCATCGTTGGACACCCGAATCGATAACGAAGAAAAATTTAGGAGCACCAAAACTGACTGCTATCGATAGGCCAAAATGGGCCAGAAAAAACTACGGGCGGCGAGAACGACCAGCCCGGCAGAATCCCCACCGCCTGCCCATCAGTCGTCACTGCCCCCCAAACACCCACCTCAGCATCTTGGTAGACTAGGTACCAATCAATCATTCGATCTACAAGCCACGGAGAGGAGGACATCATTGCGGTAGCGAAGTTAAACTCGGAATTTGAATTGGTCTTCCTGCGCTATATTATTTAGCCATCATGCTTCTGCTTGATTATCAGAACGTCCTTATCCAGAACCTCCTGACGGAGCGGTTCTCCGGGTATAGCTCTCCTCCCCACCTCATTCGGTATACATGTTCCAGTGCTGCAACGTCGGCTAACAGCAATGCTTGTTTGCTTTTTACTGCAGATCCCAGCCAGTCTCGATTGATCAAGTTGTTTCAGACTTTGACGGAGTGACATTTCACTTGTCGACACCAGAATCGAAGACCAAGATCCTTATCTCTATCAACGTGAAATGCTTCAAAGAGCTGGTCCAGTATGGTGCTCAGGAAGTATTGGAACGGGAATATGGACCCTATATTGTCACACCAGAGCCTGGCTATGACTTTTCGGTACAAATTGACTTGGAGAACCTACCCGCGGAGCAGGAAGCTCGGGACGAGCTTATTATGCGGCTTGCGCTGATGAAGCGCAACGCAATGGCTGCGCCGTTCGAAAGGGCATTCGATGAATTTGCGAAGCTGTCAGAGGAGGCATCTAGATATACATCAGAGTCTGCACCTCAGGGAGTAAAGGAAGGGGGAGAAGTGATGACAATTCATTATCGGGAAGAGGAGGCGATTTACATCAAGGCCAGTCATGATCGAGTGACGGTGATCTTCAGCACCGTATTCCGCGAAGAGACAGATCGTATCTTTGGCAAAGTCTTTCTACAGGAGTTCGTTGATGCGAGAAGACGTGTGGTGACATTGCAGAATGCGCCTCAGGTACTGTTCCGCAACGATCCTCCCCTGGAGCTCCAGGGTCTTCCCGGCCTCCAGGCCGCCGGGAATGGCGAGATGAGTTTTATCACTTTCGGTAAAGAAAATCCGTCATCATTCAGCACACTCGCATTGACTGGTCTTCCGTATAGTGCTTTTCCCTCGACACCTAACCTCTCAGCGACGCTACGAAAACATCTCCCACATCCAAACCTTCCGTGATTACTTCCATTACCACATCAAGGCGTCCAAGGTAGCTTCCCATGGAACCATTGCTTGCTTTGCCCGGTTGTCTCACAAGTTGTATAGGCGTACATCCACACCAGAATGCGCAAGAGGACAGCGGACTTCCTCCAAGGTAAGTGGCAGCGGATTCCGATGCCTAGTGCGTATGGCTAACAGCAACAGTCCTCAACAGAGCTCGGCCCGAAAACGAGGAACGCGAGCGAAAGACGGCCAGCGGTCGTACCTTCAGGGTGCATGGGTAAAGCGGTCAACGGTTGTTGCTGTTGTATATTGTGGTCCCAGAGCAATACAAGGCTTTTACCCTTGAAAGGGCGAATTGAGCTTTTTTTCCCCCAGTATTTAAAGCTGCACAGAGCGTTTTTCTGATTATACCAGCAAAAGCCTGGCTATTTTTGACGGAGGTAAGGGGCAGAGCCTGGATCCTGACCTGTCTCAGGACAGTTGCACCCATTTTGGCTCATCTCTTCGGCCTTATTGCTTTTTCTGCCTTGGGAAGTAGATAGTAGATAGTCATCAACATACTATGTACATAATGTGGGACTAGAATATTTGTCTCATACTCGCATAAATATGAGTCTACGACAGGGTTCCCACTTTCCTGACTGCGACGAGATACTAGTTTCTTCATATCTTCACCGCCACCTTGGTTCTTCATGTCGGGGTCTTCGATCTTGTACCCCCCTGCTGATCAGCCACGATGTCCTTCTTTCTTTCTTCCTTGCAGGGTGATGACGAGCCCTAACAAAAGTGCACCGTTTCTGTAAATGAAAGATTTCGTAGACAACTGCTTATTTTTGGTCCAACGGTCACCGGATGTGTGCTTACCTCTCATATCATGTGTGAATTGTTATTTGGCCAGCCCCAAAGACACCAAACACCCCCAAATAAATCTCGTCAAAGCCGGATAGGCGGGAAAACCGTCGCCCACTAACTAGTTAGATGGTCGTCTTCGTCGAGAGGAATGTTGGTCCATATATTCTAGCCAGTAAGACGGAGCCGCAACCACTACCCCTGGCAGCCTGTAATCACTATTGATGCACCTGCACCACCCTGGCCAATGATGCTCGAGATTTCCGAATCGCATCCGCAGAGTTCTCGTGCGTTAATTGGGCACAGGGACCCGACAGTCTGGTTCGAAAGTCACACATTCATCACAAGTGCGACAATATGCACGATGGAATCTTGAAGCACGGGAACGCTTTTGGAAGATGTGATTCAGCCTGCCGGGCTGACAAGAGGACAAAGGAAGGCGCTGGTGTATGGCTCAGGCGGCCGTCACCAGTCCAGATAGCTGATAACATGGAGACCTCAGCCTTTCAAGAAAGAGGGGCTGTTTGCGCCAGGCTGCGCATCATCTTTGTGTTGTTTGCTGTGGTGAATGTTGATGGCTTTTCATGGCAATCTGCTCCTAATGCATCCTAAATTAGCCTTCTTTCTAGTAACAATGGTATCTTGGGTTTGGAGTCCGTGGCTCATATTATCCTCGGTCCTCACTTCCCGCAAGAGCAGACATGCAACAAGCCCCAGGGCACTGGGACTGTCGAGATTTGAGTTTTGACTCAGGTGCAAGAAAGCCCGAACGATGTCTCGGGGAGAAAAAGGAAAAGAAAAAGAACAAGGATGGAATGCAGAATTTGTGTAGCTCTGATCCTGCCTGTCCATTGTTTTCCTCGTGTATCCCACCCGGTTTCCAGCTAGTTGGATGGGATCCATATGCACTTACGCAGTCATCCAAACACCGTCTGCACCATCCAGTCATTCATCATTATCGATATTGCGCCGCATAATCTGGCCTGATTATCGGTTGTCATTGCATGCCTTTGTCCTACAAGCGTCCATACCTATCTGTCCATTTCCGTCTGCTAAGATATATAGTAGGCGGGCGGTCCAATATGGAATGTCGCAAAAGTTTCAGAGCTTGTCTTCTTGTGCCTGTACAAGAACGACTTGACTTGCGCACTGAAACATCAGACTCAAGATACCTATGATGTTCCGGATTGTGTTTGTATGATCAAGTGCATCAATCAAAGCGCACTCTCTGCCGCGGTGTCAGTCGAGCTGTCATCATTCTTGGTATCTTTTGGCACATTCCTGTCATCCCAATTTTCGAAAACGTGGAAAATCATATTTTTGTCGACTTGATCGGGTGGTCAGCGAGAGACAAGTTTGAGGAGAAGTAGTGAGGACATTGAATGAGAGAGGAAAGAAAGACAGAGGGAAGAGGGCCTACGCTGCTGTGGTTTGGATGCTTGCATCATCCCGCCTCTTACCAGCAACAGAGTATGTTATACCCCGTGATTGCTGGTTTCGTTTATAGTTTTAAACGAATATCTAACTTTATTTCCAGGAAGTATAAATATTGCTGCAATCGTAACAAGTCCGGACGGTGTTACTGGAATCGTACCCGCAATTCTATACTCATTGCTCCTTGAAGCTTCTTGTTGAAGCTATAGTAAAAACCTGCTGGTAAGCCCAAACTGCTTGCCCTTCTATAATATCGATGCGAAGCAGCCAGGAAGCTTGGCTGGAGTTGTTACTCTTATAAACCTGTATTGACTTAGAATCGCCCAAATCGTCTTAGGCAGGTTCGAGTGCTACATACTACCAAACCACTGTTTTCTATCCGCAAGGGATGCGCCACTTTCGATTGCCCATTTGAGATATCAAATAGCAAGTGATTTACGTCTTGGAGCACCACTCCTCCTGAATTTAGTCCGAGAACTGCCGAGACGTGACGAGTTCACCCTTCACTGATTGCGGCTGAAGAGTGAGGAAGCAGACAGTTACAACATGTCGGACAAGATCAGTCGATTACCGTTAGAGGTTCTCCTTTCTATACTTGCCCACCTACCTTTTGAGTCACTTCTTGCTTTTGGGGGAACTTCTCGGATGAATTTCAAGTCCCATGCCCTCTGTCTCAGACGTCTTCGGATCGGCGTGTTTGAAAAGCGAGTTCACTCGGTCATTTCTCTGCTTCAAGCAGGCTGGGCAACTCCCGATCAGCTATCTCTGTCACAGGAAAGTGATGGTCCTGGGGGCGATTATACCATTTCTGTGATACAACCGGGCATCTACATGCAACAAGAGCACAGTGAGAAGGCACATATCAAGTCCAGAGAGTGGAGAAGGCGAGCTATCACCCCCCGAGAAGCACTGGATCAGACAATCAGAACTCAGAACAAGGTTCTTTCTCGGTTGGTGAATCGATATGGCTCCTCGCTAGTAAAGCTTGAATTTATGGCCTACGATATCGACTTGCATGGGGCAAAAGCGCTAGGTACCAGATGCAGGCATGCACTCCGCCATCTCGCTCTTCGCTTCGAGCATCCTCATATTCGAGACGGGCCAATGAGACCAACCGCCTGGTACCATCCTGCCCCCGGCAGCACGGCATGGAACGTGCTGTGTGGTGTAGGCAACTACAAAGCTATCGGATTGACTGGTTTGGAGACTCTCATATTAGAGCGGTCCGGCATCACGCCGTGGCAACTGATGATGCTTGTGAAGAGAAATCCAAAGCTCAGAGTTCTGAAATTGAGAACATGCCGTGGCGCTGAGCCGGAATTCTTGGATTGGCTGGGGGGTATTCAAAAGGATGAGGACGATGCAGTGACAGATGAAAGCCAGCCAGCGCCTGGCGCGAAGCTGGAGGTTCTCTGGCTGGAGAATTGCAATCGAATCCTCACTCCAGTTGGAGACCAAGGGTGTGAAGCTCTCCCAGATGAGATCTATGATGAATGCTTGAAATGGGTCAGAGGACTGACACAGCTACAAGTAAGTTGCTCCTTCGGACTAGCTATTCTAGGTGTTGCAACAAGCTGACGATTTATACCCTCCAGTCTCTATCTTTCAGGGAATGTGCATGCATCTCGTCGGAATATGTCGAAAAATCAAGTAAAACCATCTGGGATATCCCCGAGGTCATTTTGCCATATGCTTTCGTTACACAAAATACCCCGATTGAGGTTGATCCTCTTCTTTCATAGTCAATCAATACTACTGTATGAAGTTATAGAGCCAGGACACACATTGTTGACCTTTTTCTCTTTCATCTCTGTTAATTATCCAATGAGTTGCCGCATAACAATGGCAACCTTTTACTTGATAATATCGAGCAAGCTTGAAGAGAAGTTTCTGTCCTACCTTGCGGTCTTTCTTTGACTCTCCCAGGAGGGACTTGGGCTGGAAGTAACTTGATACCTATTGGCAATGTTATACTCTATGACTGCTCAGGTCTGCAAACCCAGGACATCGTAGCCCAAGGATAGCGAACCTTCTACATGGTGTATCTTATGGAGGCTTATGTGGTGAGAAAGTATACTTCTTTACATATAAAAAAGGTTCTTGATGACTGTCTGATGTAAGAAAGATCCCTGATATCAAGGTTGGTTGGAGGACAATCAGAACCAGCCATGTGTTTTTCATTGCACACGGGCAGTGATGATGCTCTGGGTTCTTAGATATTGCATTCACTCATCCAAACCAAGAGACCATCTCCTCTGGTACCATTGGTATCCATCGATGCACTCAGTTTCTCTTACATCTTTCTTGCCTACCAGCCGCAGCGCAAACCTCATCCACGCGGCTTGACAACAGAATAAACCACAACAGACAAACGACACAAACGCTTTCTACTCACTATGGGTAGATCCTCTTCTCACCTTTGGCAGACAGCCTTCCACAAACTATTCCGCAGACACTCCTCTCAGACAAAGGGCAAACAACGTGCACTTCCTGACGACTCTGAAAATAGTGAACACCCTGACGGCTTCTGTCTATACTCTCAAGAGATGCTTGAAGAGGAAAATAGAAGGCTCAAGGCTCTGGGACTGCGGTCCTCAGATAGCACTGACGTTTCTTACGCCTCAGCTGTAAGTAAACACAACGCCTCAAGCTCGCGAAGACCTCCAACACACGCACCAAAACACTCACAAAGGGGTCGTTAGATGGAAACCATCAGATCCCCTGCTCATGTCTATACCGTGAGCTCCTCTGAATGGGCTTCTTTTGCTGCTTATGAGCAGCTTCTCGATGATCCTTACGATGAGGCGGCGGCACAGAGACTGCACAGCGTGCTCAGCGTGTATTCCAAGATTTACACCATTGCCAAGATTGTTGTTTGGGCTTTGATGATGTATGGCGTCGAGGTATGTGATTCAACTGCTCCAAGCGGAGCGGTAACACACACAGTGCTGACCTTTTGGTTCTTTGACTTACAGTTGGACGAGACTTCCGACGACCTTCTTGCCCACATCAGAGCAGCTGAAGCTGCTGTGGATACTGACTCTCTTCCTGAGCTCATCGAGATCACTGAAAACCTCTATTATTCCTTGTATGCAAGATTGATTATGGAGATAGCCAATGTCGAGCTGTGTAGCTACTTCGATCTTGATCTTCGCCGCATGGTTATCAAGGAAGTTTTCACACTTCCTGAGCCCGGCCACCTTATCAAAATCCTCATTACCTTCAAAGATTTTCTGGACGCTCGCGAAGTTTGCGTCGATCTTGATCGCACGCTCCTCAAGGAACGCCAGCGAGAGATCATCCGCCGTGCTACTGCACGAATGGCCATCACTGGCTTCTCCACGCACGATCTCGTTGGTTATCGTACCTTCACAGTGAGGATCGTCTCTGATGACACCCACCCTTTCTGTCAGAAGTGGAGGGGCCTCGCCTACCTGTATCAAATGCCGGGCGTGGAGACACTCACCTTGTTCTCTGAAAAGTATCTCACCATCATGCCCAAGGTGATGTTCACTGGTGGCTACCCAATGACTGATCTTCCCTTCACCAACCGCAACGCAATTGCCCCAGATGTGTGGGAGCGGGAAACCATCCTCGACAACCGCACAGCGACCCTAGCAAAGCTCGAGAGCAAGACTATCGGGGATATCAGACGCCAGGACACCAGGCGTCGCCTGATCGACTACGTCAAGGAACACAAATGCATTTGCCGTTCATCTTGCAAGTGCTCGGCGGACTGTACGATGGACGTCGAGCAGCCCTGCCCCTGCTCTGAGCGCATTCTCTGCATCGCGCTCGCTCAGCGCCGCCGTGGTGCTGGCGAGCAGGACTTTGGTCCCAGATGCGGTAGTCTGGCCAGAGCCCTCTTCGAGGGGCTGGCGATGGTTAGCCGCGACGTTGCTCACTATGAGCTCGTCGCGCAGCTGAACCACGCCATGCAGCTCCTCGAAGAGGAAGTGGGCAAGCAGCGCCATGCAGCTGCCAGGGCCAATGGACTGGCTTGAAGTGGCCCGGAGTTGGCGTGGAAACTCCGGGGGAGGGGGAGAGGAGGGGGAGTCGACGTCTGGCGTCTGGCGTTTGGTGTTTGGTGTTTGGTCTTGGGTCTTGGGTGTTCCCGTTTTTTTTCTTTTTGCCGTTTCATGACATTTTCCCCCTTTTCTTTGGCCGTGTCTCTTGACACGAAGACAGCCCGGATCGGGAGAGTTGATTTGAAAGACACCAAACCCTGATGATGTGCTACGGATCCGAGAGGCGAATCGGAGACCCTTGTGTAGAGGGCCACGGCTTGTATTTTTAATCAAAGGAGCAAGCTATGCGATCAAATGGAAACTCAGCGTCGACTGGCTTGGCAATCATGCTCCATGCGCTCATAATTCTCACCGAGCGTAATTACCGTAGATAGTTGGGCCTCCCTTTTTTATTTGACGTTTGGCTCAAATCAAGCCTCGGTGATCCAAAACTCAAACCGCCTTTTCGGCCTTCTCTCATCAGGAATGTGAATCAGCGATAACAGAGAAGAAAAGAAAGGAAAACCCCCTCCCATCCGCGAGGCAATCTCAGTGTGCTGAGGGAGCGCGCATCGAATTTCACGCGGGCATGGTGACCCAGACTCTAGCCACCACGATATTATCAATTCGCAGCCCGCTGTGGACCGCATCGCGCAAAAGCTCAACCAAGCTTATCCGACCCAGCACGCCTGTGCGGCAGTACCGCGCCGTCTGGCCTTCATACGGCATCACAACTTCGGCTCCCGACCGTCAAACCCATTCGAAGCTTCCGTTCCGCTTCCAGACAGGCTATGCTCTCTTCGCCAAACGGCCCTCGCGCCCCTTCCCCCCACCGTTCCTGTCTCCGCCGTCATCCTCCTTTTCCGACCCCCTGACCACCCACTCCCTGAGTCAGGATAAGAGATTATCCGTTCGGGGTGAACTGATCCGCGGACTGAATAATGGAGACGACGCAGTATTGGTTGCGGAGAATTTCATCGGGGTAAACGATGGCGTGGGGGCGTGGGCGACGAAGGAACGTGGCCATGCTGCGTGAGTACCCAATATCTCACACACCACTCTCTCTCTCTCTCTCTGTTTTTGCCAGGCGGACCATTGTCGCTAATGCTATGTTCGTCAAACTAGCCTCTGGTCCAGACTCTTGATACATTTCTGGGCGCTGGAAGTCGAACGGGAAATCGAGAAACCTCCTAAGCTAGATCCTGTCGAATGCCTGCAACGAGCCTACGAGGAGACAGTACGGGCGACAACATCGCCGAGCGAGTGGCTGGGAACCACGACGTCGGTGACCGCGCTTCTACACTGGGAAGGGAATACTATAGATGATGCACGACCGTTGCTCTATGTGACCAACCTGGGGGATTGCAAGGTGCTCGTCATTCGACCAAGCGAGGAGAAGGTCTTGTTCCGGACCGTTGAGCAATGGCATTGGTTTGACTGCCCCATGCAACTGGGGACGAACAGTGTGGACACCCCTCGAAAGGATGCAGTGCTATCCGAGATTCAGTTAGAGGAAGATGACCTTGTGCTGGCAGTGTCCGATGGTGTTCTCGACAATTTGTGGGAACATGAGCTCTTGACGATCACACTTAACAGTCTTAAGAAGTGGGAGGCAGGAAATCACGAAGAAAAGGACCACCACTTTGAACCCCCGGCACATCTGGCAGAGGATCGCATGGTATTTGTGGCTGGAGAGCTGCTCAAGGCTGCACTGGCTATTGCTCAGGATCCGTTTGCGGAGAGTCCGTATATGGAAAAGGCCATCGATGAGGGTTTGGCCATTGAAGGAGGTAGGTTTTTGTTCCTGTGGTTCGCTGCGACCTACGATTGACAAGATGCTAGGGAAAATGGACGATATCAGCGTGGTCGTAGGCGCTTGCAAGAAAAGTGAAAGAGAACGCTGACATCCTTGATCACACGCCTTCGAACAACTCGAAATTTCCTCGCTAGCGGCATCAGTACTGCATCTGCTGTCACGAATGTGGCTCACGGCCTCCGGAGCGAACCACTATGTCCCGAAATGATATCCTAATCTAAACCGCACACCTGCGATGAAAACTGCTAAGCCCAATAACCACCAATTTGAATACCGGGAAATCTCAACCTCCATTGGTTCATCCAGCGTCCACGCAGCAGCGTGGACGCTTGACTGCTCGTACTATCGAGCTTCATTTTTTCCCGCCGCTCAGCGAACGAATCTTGGGAACTACGGCCTACCTACCGCATTCTTCGCAATATACTCCGTGCTGGCTCACGACGAATCAGATTTTCCTTGCAGCAGCCATTCAATTTTCACGCAGTCTCGTGGACAATTGACGAATTTACATTTGGTCAACGCAGCAATATGATGCATCATGAACATGATATTAACCTTATGCATGCGGCCACGATCTTCGAAACCCGTCTCAATACCTTTTATGTCCTGTTAGTACTGTTAGATATGTGCCTCACTATAATGACCTAGGAGGCCGCTAATATGAACAATACATTGCCTTATGATCTGTTATTGGCTATACGGTTTTCAATCATCTGGTATACCGACGCTTCCAGTCACGATGGTACGCTAGGTCAATCGAAATGGGGAAATGATGTCAAAAATGTCAACCAACGCCAAGAAGCATCCTCGATGGTCTAACGGTCATGATTTCCGCTTGTCACTCTCTCAGAGAACGAGCGCGGGAGACCAGGGTTCGACTCCCTGTCGGGGAGATGCCTTTTTGTATCTTTTTGGAACTTTCAACTTTATCTTCAGAACTTTTGATTTTGATGGTAAGGTGGACTGCTCAATTTCTTTATTTTTTCTTGTTCATCCCAGCTTAATATAGTATTGTCTATCGACCCCACAACTACGGGCTATTAACGCATTCGCAGCCATGCATCATATTCAATGGCTTCTTACAGGTTGTTAGGCATCATGCGCATCGTTGGATAGATATACATATAAATGGGGCTCCAACTCCGCCAGGCTTATTCCCCCGACCGAGAGTTGCTTTGACTTCATTGTCCAGATTCCTCGCAACTAGGATGAACATTGAGCACCGCTAGCCCTGACGGCAAGCCGAACCCATCCATCAGATCTCACATGGCCATACACGACAAGAGAAACGGGAGAGTTCCCTCCGCCTCCTCACCTCCGTGCTGGAAGGGACAAGGTCACCAAGACGACAACATCCTTGCATATGTGGTGCTGTGTCCAGAGCTTGGACCGGAGTTTCTTCGCGAGGGTGTAGAGAGACACCATAAACTTAGGGACATTCACACCTGCGGCGGGTCAATCAACATCGGATCTTCCCTCCAGGTTCAGTGCGCCTGCAGTTGATTGCCGGCAGTATTGCAGCTGGGAATGCTTCCGATGTAAGCATTGACACCATGCGCCGTGCTCGCCTGGTCGAAGATTCGCAGATAGATGGCACCTGTCTAGTGACTCCATGGATGGTCAAGCAGGCGGTATACAAATTACAAATCATAATGCATACCAAGTGCTTAGAAATCTCAGAAATCTCAGTCCTATACTCGCCACTAGCATGCACCCTTCGACATAGGTAAGTGGGCGACTTGGACACACTGAATCGATGCCTATGACAGATCCATCACCATTCACAATGGAAGGGCACATCGTCAAAGGCATTTATGGAAAATTGTGACAGGTGTACAATGCGCTCCTATCCCGTCAGACACAGAGGAATTAGTTTGGAGTCTTAGTTGTATACCATATCTGGACTATGACGGCAGCCTTAACAGTCCCATCCGACGACACTGCAATTGCATACAGAGTAGAGTCAAGTAGCACCCCTTCACCCAACCCAAAAACCCAATACTCCATAGACTCTTTCTACCATAAGATCGTTCTGGTAACTTTAGCCCGAGAGATGGTCACAAAAAAAGGAAGAGGAAAAAGATATCTCCCCGACAGGGAGTCGAACCCTGGTCTCCCGCGCTCGTTCTCTGAGAGAGTGACAAGCGGAAATCATGACCGTTAGACCATCGAGGATATTGGATGACACGAGCCTTAAAGGTTTGTAATATAAGCAGAAATGCAGGGATTAAGCTATTATCAAGAGCCCTAATAGATCACTCTTAGGTAGCCTGTTTTATCAAGAGCTCGACGATTTGGGTGGTGTCTTCTATGTCGGGCCGGTGTTCACTCTATTTATCTCCACTTGTGTGTCTACCTAGTACGCAGATGACTTCATTTATTCGTGTGGTCCAACTTTACGATTCAAACACAATGAGCTCGGTCGACATTTGACCGGGTATCTCGATCTTCTATTGAGAACAGTGACAAATGGTATTAACAAAAGCGAATTCGTTTCATGTACTATTACCCATAACATAACTTTTTCTTTTCCCAAAATCGTGCCATCCGTATCAACTTTCTCCTATTCCTTAGTCTTCATCCATCGATTCCCAGCCATCACCGCCCTGCGCAGCGCCAGCCTCCTCGCCTCCGTCATCGTCATCCGACTCGTCGTTATCAGCAGGCAATCCAATCATGCGCTCCTTGACTTCGCCCTCGAAAGCAGGCATACGGGACACAAAGGCCCGGCGAACAGCACCGTTGGTCGAAGTATCCCAGATCTGAACCACTCCCTTGCTGCCGGCCACCGCCAGACGGAAGCTCACCTCCGGATCGGGAGCGAAGGTGGTCGAGAACACCTTGCCGACCTCCAACTTGCGAGAGACGACCATGCTGGGCTTGTCATTCTCGACATTCCAGAGCTTGACCTGCTTGTCGGTGGATCCGGTAACCAGGAAGCCTGGGATGGCGGGGTTGATGTCGAACGATGATACAGAGGAATCGTGCGCCTGTAGGGTCCAGACTGGTTTGGACTCCTTGGGTGTCGCGGGGATATTCCTTATGTCGAAGCGGTAGACCATACCACCGTCTGTTGTTACGTAGAAGAAGTTGGGATCGTGCATGTCCCAGCGGACGGTCTCGACGTCGGCGTCCACTCCCCAGCGGGCCTTGGCGTCGGGGGCTCTCATGTCTGCCGCCACAACGGTACGGTCGTAACTACCGGTGAGCAGGACTGTCGATTCCTTGGGATGCCAGTCGAGCGAGCACACCTTGTCCGTATGATGTGAGTAGGATTTGGCGCACTTGGTGGTGTTGAGGTCCCAGAGTTTGACGGTGCGATCGGCCGAGGCAGATGCGAGCAGATTGCGGTGCTGGCGGTTCGCGGCCAAGGCAAGGACCGAGTCGACGTGGAAATCATCGTTGGCCTTGGTCTTCTTCTTCGGTTTCTTGGCCTTTTTGCCCTCTCCCTCGAGGTCGGCACCGCCTTGTCCCAGGATAGCGTTGGGATACATGCAGTCGACAATGTCCAAGTCCCAGATCTCGATATCGGGCTCCATAGTTCCCACAGCGACGAAGTTTCCAGTAGTCCGGTCGCCTGCGTTCATACCGACAGGGATATCCAACCACTCGACGCAAAGGGGAATGGCAGGTAGCATGATATCGTGGTGCACGTAGAGATTATCTTCCCTATCCTCGTAGACATAGACTTCGAGATGAGCCACCTCATCCTCAACCTTACCCGCAAGAAGCAGGTTATCGGAGGGAAGAATCTGTAGCTCTTCTCTCTCCTCGTCTTCCTCATCTTCGGGAATAACAAGGTATGGGTCTTCCTCGTTGGGCTGATGATATGCCAGCGACTTGACATTGCCGAACATTGTGACCTTCTCTCCCTCCTCATCGACCTCATCACTGTCGTAATGGTCGAGGTCGTATTCCTTGAGATCATCATCACTAAAAAGCAGAAAGACTTTGTTAGCCCTGACTTGCTTTTTATCTTTCTCCACCAGGGGAACGGACATCACCTACTCATTAAAACTTGTCTTGCCATTCTTCTCCGCGTTCTGCGCTGTGTCTTCCTCCATAGAATCCTGACCGCCCTCCTTTTTATCCTCATCCATGTCTTCGTCTTCCTTGTCCTTGCCTTCTCTAGCGGCGCTCAACTCCCCCTGGGCATCCTCGAGCTGCATCTTCGCAAGCTTGGATATCCGGTTCATTTCCTCCTCGTCGATCTCATACTTCGTGGGAAATTGGGCAGCGACGCCTCGCCGCACCCACGCGGTCGCAGTGATCATAGAAGACATCGTAAATCACTTTCTCGGGGTGATTTTCTCTGAGGTCGAGATTTCTCGCAGGTATCAGCAATACCTGCTGGTTGGAAATCCACTGACGGAAACGACACAGCGAGTTCAGAGATAGCAAGAGAACCCCCGTGTATTCCTGAAAATAGTCCCCTCCGATAAGAAATAAAAAAAAAAAAAAAACTGCCTTATTCCACAAGGCCTTTGTTATTGTTCAGTGTCCACCAATTTCTGTTCCCTCCGCTTTTTACTTTTTTTTCGTGGCCGACTTTCCCCCCTCCGCCCGGCAGAATCCCCCTCTCCGCTTCTCACCGCTCGGCATCGCCTTCGGAGATTTCTTGAACAGCTCCGATCCAAAACTCCGGACTGTTAGCCCACAGCTGGAAAAAAGCGACTCGGCACACGAATTGAACGATCCAAAGCTCTTTCAAAAAAAAGCTCAGTTACACGTCTTGTACACTATCCTACATTCACAAGATGCATTCCCACCTCCACACCGCACAAAATGCCAGTACGGTTATCCCCTCAGCTTCTTTTACCCCCGGAGCCAATTAGACTAACTTTGTCCACCAAAATAGACTGCGAAGCCATCATGACGGCTCTCGACGAGTGCCACGCCCGCGGGTTCCTTCACAAGGCGCTGGGGAACTGCAACGACATCAAGCGCGACGTCAACAAGTGTCTCGCGGAAGAGCGGTACCAGCACGCTAAGGAGAACCGGAACGAGGCGCGCAATAACCGGAAGCGCATCGAGAAGATCTGGGCTGAGGAGAGGGCGTTGGAGCAGGGTATTTCGCTTAATGCGGAGGCTAAGCAGTAGTGAGGGGCTGGCTGCGGGCATTGGTGATGTGGTGATTCTGCGAATGTTGCTGTACTAATACTGATTAGCCGGGATGGTATGGGTGGTGCTTATGGGCGTTATATGGGCTTTCTCTCTTCTCCTCCTTTTTTTTTAGAGTGATATGTCGTCACTCTGCGACAATAGATCATACTTGTATATATAGTGTAAACAAAATGGAGTCTACTGACCATTGAGTACTAAACGGTATCATATTCTTGAAGATCAGGATATACGGAATTCGAAGATGGAACTTTTTCAAATAAATTTCAGCTCCCCAGCCAAACGCCATGCCGATGAATAGAGTTGAGAACGGATCAGTCGCTCATGTCTGCTGTGGCGGCCTGCCCTTCATTCGAAGGGGCACCATCGGGCCCATCGTTCCCTTCTCCCTTGGACCCTTTATGGTGGCGGCGTCTCCTCTTTGGCTTGGGGACGCTCGATTCCCCATCTTCCTGTGCTTTATCCGGGGTCTCATCGGCCGTACGATGAGCTTCCTCATTCCGCTTCTCTTGCTTAGCCCCGCCGGCCGCTTCCGCGCCCTTCTTCTTGGACTTCTTCACACTCAAGGGATTGGGCCCCTTGGCCTTCTTCGATGCCCGTTTCTTCTTCTCCTCGCCCTCCTCACCCCGCTTCCTCTTCCCTAGGGTTGCTTCATCGTTTAAGCCCGCGCGGAACTTACTCCTCTCGACCCCGTCCCGGAGATTCTCCGACGGCGTGCTCATCGGCTCGAGAATCATGACGGACCGCTTCACATACACAATCGGCACGCCGGGGATTGATCGGGCGCTGACCCGTAACTTCTGCGCGCGCCGCAGCGCAGCGAATCCCTCATCGTCGCCGCGCTTCCGCTTCCTCGCGTCGCCGCCGGAGGTGGACTTCGGGGGTGCTGGGGGGTCGGCGGTCGCGAGGATATAATGCTCTTTGTTCCGCTTGGCGTCCGCTGATGGCGAGAGTAGCGAGAGCAGGCATTCCACTTCATCGATGGGGGTTGAGTCTTCGTTGTGGGAGCAGTGTCGTAGGGGTAGTATCGTGGGAGGCGGGAGATGCATAGGACGGTAGGGATTGTTGGTTTTCGGGTTGATGGGCTGATTTGCCATGATAGCGGCCAGGGAACATTTCGTCAGTACTGTTGAGCGGCAGGTTAGCAGGTGTCTGTATCATTGTTTGCTAGCGGTCGGATCCGGGGATTAAATGCATACGCGGCTTGGGGGTTCCCTGGAGTGTGCGCTCGAGTGCGGGGATGAGATCCATTTTGAATGAGTGAACCGCACGAAGGAAGTTGGAGTCCACTGCAAAGATTCATAAGCCTATGGTTTGATGAATGGATTCTATTGCGGGTGGTCATACCCAGGACCTGGTAGGGTTCGCGAAACCCGAATGCCATCTCATACTGATGCATGAGTTTTCGATACTTCTTTGAACGTTTGGCTCTCATCTTGACAAGCTTGCCAACGAGGTTTCAATGGAGATGAAGTGGAGCGATGTATAGATTCGTAGATCCAATTCAGCTGTATCCTGCTTGGCTTCGAAACTTTTTCTGGACGTTCTTTTTTTCTGCCGGGCGGAGTGAGGGTGGTTTAGCTGTGGTCTGTGCTCTGTGCAGGATATCATGAATTCATGATAACGATAGCATCGAAGTAAACATTCCACAGCCCACCAGCACCACTGATTGATTCTCTTAATGCTCTTACATGCTATACTACAGGAGTAAATATGTGACAGTCCGCCTCTTTTTTTTTGATTGACATGTTGGTAGTACAGCCTTGCTCAGTGCCCCAATCCCAAATGCCCTCATTCTCAAAGATATATCTTGACTACATTTGGCAGAGTTTAGTCAAAGTCTTTCCCTGTTTAAGCTTAATTATCAAGACGCAATGATGCTCGGCCGAACGAGTTCCTGTTTTTTTAATACTACTGCTCACCAAAAGTTCGCTTGACCTCATTATCGAGATGTCTAGATAGATGGAAAGGACAAATCCAATGAGTGCAACCACCGACGTTTATGCTACCCCGCTCGAGAGTGTGCACCAAGCATGATAGGGTTGTAGAGAGAAACTTCATGATACTACATCAGATTGTACATGGAACTTCTTGATGAACAGCGATACGTTAAGGAAAACTAGAGGACCTAGCTGTAGAGACCATGCAGCAGGAATAATAGCCAGCGTTTCTGAGCATCTTTCTCTGATGTGAGACCTAGAGTTCGCTCCGAGAGAGATAGAGAAGAAAAGCCATTCAGTCCATGAGAAATCCCTACGAGTTGCATATCTGGAGTGATATAACATGCAGCCAAAGGGCTGCTATTCAATATATGAGAGTACAAGGTAGGAGAGGAAGAGTTGCATGTACATTACATTTCTTCACCGGCAAGGGACTGAGGTAGTAGCTGCAAGTCAGGAAATGATTATATGCAGGTGGAGAACGCTACGCTGTTCTGTGAGAGTGAGACTGTGACATCTCTGCAGTGGGCGGATAGACATCACTTGATGAAGTATTATGACTGCTCCCATGGCCAATTGATACCGTACAGCAGGGACAAAGGAGGACTCCGTAGCCCATACTCCGGAATCCGTACCATAAAGACCATGGCTGGGCTGGCTATCTACTGCTAGATAGATAGATAGATACATTGAGTATCCGAGATGTACAGAGTAGGTCATTCTAATTCATGTTAATTGATCCAGCCACACGCTTGGTAGTATTTGAGTCGAGATCAGCATCGGCTTCGAGAAGGCAGGATTTGCATGTATCATATGCAAGGGAGATAAGGTAGTAGATATTTTCTTTTCTTTTGTCTGCAGGCTGCAGCAGCTTGACATAATAGATAGTCGCAGTATGTTTATTTAGTCCTTAATACTTAATCGTCATGACAAAGACAGATAGATAGATGGATAGATACAGTGCACTGGCCATGGAGGCACTCACTGAGACACTGACTGCAAAACTAAAAGTGCAAAGGCCAAAGAGACAAAAGGTCTTGCCAAGTTGTCCACAGTGGAGTAGGTCCACCATATCCGATGGCCCCGTCTAAGCCTTGTATTTTAGCTGTTGGATTTGGGGGTTCATAACTTCATTCATCTTCCTTGTTGCCCATGAAAAACCCGCCTCAATAATAATGTGCAAGAGATCGTGGGTACCTACGATCAGATGACTCTTCGACGATAGTTAACTACCAATACAGCCACTCCAAGACCGACGACTGTCGGTAAGTAACGAACTTCTAAAAAAGCATCAGGCGATGTGATCTGAATAGAATTGCAGAATGCCCATCAGTCCGATCACCCGATGTCATAGCCTCATAGGTCACAAATCCCAAACAGAGTTAACCGCAAAGCCTAGCATGAGACAAGTCAGCCGGCTGGACTGGTTTCACCTTCAGCGATCACAACTGTTGAGCGAGCGGCACATGGCTCATCTAGTCTTCTTACAGGCTGGTTCCTGGCGCTACACCGACGCCGTTGCTTGGCCTGTTTCCAAAGACGGGGCGACCAAGTCACCAAAAAAGGTACTCCGCAGCATTTTGGTCCCCACGTATCTCCCTCCCGTCCTACGTTGTTCATTCATGCAGGGAATTTTTCTATTTTAGATCCGGACAAAGATGGAGGCTATGAAGGGGATTGGATGCTTTTTTTAGGGGGGAGTAGATACATACATGAAGCAGGGGGAGACGTTGTCAGTTTACAGTCAGCCTTGAGTTGGCTCTTCCACGATGCCAGGGCCAGTAGTCCCATGGTGGTACTGTACTTCCCAGGTGTCATGGAGAAGTGATGGCAATCCTCATCTGGCTCAGAAATGTGACTGCGCAACAAGCGTAGCAGACAGGGACGATCGCTCCAACTGTGGTTGCTTAGACACATCAAATTGCAGTGTTCGATTTGGCGCTCTGGCGCTCGAAACCGCCATCGCTTCGAGAGAAATCGACGGACTGACTCGCTGGACCTATCCGTCGGAAGACCGGGAAAATTAAAGACGCATAGGTTTTAGATGTCTTCAGAGATCGGTATAATATTAATTATACAGACCGTAGGAATGCAGCGCCTGAAAGTCATGATTCCATAGAACTGGTTACTGGAGACTGCGAGAACCACTGTTCTTCCGAGTTCGCCATCCAGACATCCAAAGGGAAAATAGCGCACTGGAGACGAGAGGCAAAATCGAGAAGCAAGGCGAGAACCTTTCGGACAATTCTCTGTCCTCTCCCTCTGGATCATCCAATACAATTTTGGTCCAGAAAAGTGGGAAACACAGGACGAACTGTCCTGGACCCAAGGGTCAGCGCAGTTCACGGTTGTCGCCCATCGCTGGCCTCCACGGGTTTGTGGGTTCCAAAGCCCCAGCGAGCCTGAATTGAGGATCGCAAAGATCCAGAAGGGCTCTGTGACTCCCATAAGGCACAATCGGAGAGTCTGGACAGCCAATCCTCTTCTAAGGTAGACTTGCTGGTTGGTGATCTCCGACCGAACAGCCCAGAACTCTTGGTGATTCGCCTCGTCTTCCCCCTCCCATTAGTGAATTTTCCCTCCTCCTCCTCCCTTCTCTCCCTCTCTCTCTCTCTCTCTCTTCTCAACTTCCTCCTGGGGGGAAATCCGTTATCCTTCTTCTTCAGTTTCGCTTCTATTCCTTCGATTCTATTTTTCTACCTTTTTATCGTTATTTTTATCTGTGATTTCACGATCTTGCCTAGATCTCGGTATCTTAGGTCACCTTCTTTTCTACCCAATATTCTAAGTGGCGCGTCCTGGTTGTCCGCCTCTTTGAGTTTCGCTGTATAGAACAGTCACAAGTTCCAGCAGCGGCATTCTCTCTATCCCTTGAGTCACCTTCAAAAGACGAGACAATAGATCCAACCTTCTGAATTTCTTCTGCTGTGCGAGAAGATACGAGGACATCCGATCCCTAAATTCATCTCATCTCTCTTGTGAAGAGGATACTCACTAGAAGTGACAATCTTCTGTCATATTGAGATATCTGATTAACGGACATTCCATTCCGTTGATCGACTTCCATTCCTTCTTTGAACCCCCACCACCCGCGATTATCGGCGTCAGCCACACGATTCTTTGTCTTCTCTGCAGAAGTCGATTTGACTTCGCCAACCGAGGCGCTTAGTATACTCCTAATCTTAGGAGAGCATACATTGTACAACGAGACAAAGAACACTCCCTCGGATTGGGACGTCATCCTCAAAGACTAGGCTATATACGCCTGCTCATCGACTGCGTCGTGATAGTTGCTGCGACTTGGTCATTGCTGATCAACCACGCTTTGTGAATCGATTTTCATACTTCTGCAATCAACATGTCGACCCTAACCCGAGCCTTTACCAAGCGCCACAAACGCCCCGAAGTTTCCGCACCAATGCCCTATCGTGAGGGACAGGTCAAGTTCTCTGCGGGAACCATCAAACGGGGAAAGATTTCTGGACCTGTAGAGTTGTTATCAACGACGAACATGTTGGCGTACAATGCCCCCGATCTTCACTCGGCTGTCTCGTCGTCATCCTCATCATCATCCCTGCAGTCTCCTGATGACTCGGAGATTTCTTTCTCCCAGCGAAGCTTTGGCTCTCCGGTCACCACTCCCTCTGATTCTCCAATTGAGCCGAATCCCTTGTCGTCATATTTCCCCAAGCGATCCGCCACAGTTACCAGCCATCCTCGCTCGTCGACCTCAACGGCTTCGTCGGCAGATGCGCCTCTAGTTCCCAAGCGCGCGCTATCGCACACGAAACGATCCCATCAAGAACTGGCTCGGCAGCGCTCCTTGTCTCGCTTCTCTCCACCACCACTCAATTCAATGCGCAGTAGTCCTTCCATTAGAACGACACAAGACTTCTTCAAGCCAGATCCCCATCCGTTTGGAAAGGAACTGGAGCAGGTCAACGAGGTGGTTGAGGAGTTCAACAGCGCTAACACTCGTGTTCTTGATGAGGAGGAGACTATTCTGCTCAACAAGGGTCTCCGAAAATTCGCAGCCAACGACTACCTCGTGGAGATAGAGGAGCTTTATGGCAGTATCTTTGACGATCAACTCGCGCCGGTTGGTGCTGGAGCATGGTTTTAAAGACGAAATCTCTCCTTCACGCCCATCCATTTCTCCAGTTTGTTGCCATTTGAAGCGGGGAAGAAGAACTGGAATTCTCCTTCTCCTCCCAAGAGCCTCTTTTTCGTCACGACCTTGTTGATCATCTCGTTATGTGTGCCCATGTAATCTGCCTGTTTTATTGATCTCCTTCTTGCTTTACCTGCTATATACCATGGGATGGTTTTGATTCCTCCCGCATTGAATGTAAATATTACTGTTGATGCCCTTGATGCAGTTATCTCTCCTGCATCCCAGAATGCACTTACTCCACTGGTTTGATGAGCAATCAGTTTCTTCCCTGATAGTACCTTTTGAATTAGGCTTTGAGTATCAGAATTCTTGGTCTCCAATCATCTTCAAGCATACAGCTCGCACGATCTACACAGATGCGTCTTTGATAGAATGACATCTTACCACGACAGGAAAAGCGTCGATAGGGTTTCGTGGACAGAAGCTCGGGTCACGCGTTGGTCACGCGCCAGTCACGAGCATTGTGGCCTCAGGCTCCACAGCGCCCCACAGACCGAAAAATTTCAAAGTGGATGGATTCTCCGCTAACTGTCTGGGAGACAACTCTATCATCGGTTTCAGGACCTTCATCTCTGATTGTCTACCTGTATATCTACTATCTTCTTGGCTATTCCTTTTTACTCCCTGTTTAGATAGATACTCGTTGATCAGACAGACCGATGAAGCTGGTGTCATCGTCTCCACCCCCTTGACGCCCATAAGTAACAGTTCCGGAGTGGATCAAAGCTTCTGCCCAACACGCATCGGTCGTGTCGTGTGCTTTGCCTCTTCCGTCGACAACATCGACTCTTCCTAGAGAACACGACTCGTGAAGCGGCTGATTTCATTGTTCTCTTGTCTGGTCAAAGGCTTTGAGCAACAAATGACACGGCATTGTGCTTTGTGCCGTTCACCTCCATCCCAGCCTTCTTCCTAATACGATCCAGACTGTCATGGTGTCCTTCGCCACCGTGTCGCGCAACCCTGCCGGGGCAATCAAATCAGTCAACTCCTCGAGAATGCTGGCCAGCCCCTCGCCAGTGCCCATTCTGAAAACTTCTAAATTGAACAACACCGCGACGCCCGGAAGAAAACACTCATTGGCCGAGATGGAACTTTCGCTGTCCCCCTCGTCCTCTATCGCGTCCGACGCTGGCGATGTCACCCCCAGCCCCAAGAAGCGGGCTCGGGTTCAGTTTGATAAAGATGTGGAAATGCGGGAAGTGTCTTGGAGTGGTCAGGAAAAAGAGAGTACCGGGACTGCGGAGAAGAGTGCGGCCGTGGTTCGCGAAGAGGTTCGCAGAGCCATCCAGCGGCATGTCTCGGGCGCGGACAGCGAAGCCTACGACCGCATCAAGGAGATCTTCTCGGTTGATCCTCGCCGTCGGGACGAAGATGGGTTGCTTTCTGAAGATGTACCTACGCATACCACATTGAAGCACCACCTGATGGGTCTGTTGTCAAATGTCGCCTCGCTGGACCGCAGTTGCAATGGTCTGGTCAACGCCGTCCTGAACAGTGAGTGGCTTGGGCGGGATGGCTCGTATATCAAGCTGTACATTCGATTTCTAGGTAATCTTGCGGCCGCGCAAGGAAGCTATCTGGGCTCGGTTTTGAAGATGCTGGCCAACCACCTGGGCGAGCTTCCTAAGGGGACAGGCAAGCTGCCCGGATACGCCCCGGTCCATGCGGCCGAGATCTATAGCAGAATTCACACTGCCCTACGGCATGTGATGCAGTTGATTCCGTCCGGTAGTGGGACGCTATCACCAATCCTATCTATGCAATTCCCCTTCGATACGGATTCCGCCAAGGCCAATATTGCCTACACGCGGAATCTGTTGAAGGTAATCAGCTATGCTCCTGAACTGCAGGCGGATATCCTTGCCCTCATCACGGAGAAGCTTGTCAAGATCGACGTCCAAATCCAAATAGATATGGAGGATATCGAGGACGAGGTAGGGGAGGATGTTCTTCATGCTGTCTCACCCGAAGCTACCATGTTCGAGGATGAGGACGACGACGAGGATGACAACGCCTCCGTCGCCAGTGATGAATCCATAGACGCCGAGTCACGGCGCGTAAAGATCCTCAAAGATAACATTCTGAAACTGGATGGCATGATTGACTCCTTGTTCGAGTACTACGCTCCTCCCTTCCGATCGGGCACCTTGGACGACAAGGAGAATGCCCTTGATCTTCTTCTGAGCCATTTCCAGAGTATCATCCTCCCGACATACCGCTCGCGCCACTCCCAATTCCTTCTGTTCCACTTCTCGCAGTCTTCACCGATCCTCGTCGATCGCTTTGCGGCCACCTGTGTCCAGCTCATCTTCAACAAGATGCAACCGGGAATTTTGCGCCAGTCCGCCGCCGCCTACCTCGCCAGCTTTGTTGCACGCGGTGCGCACATCTCTGGCGAGGTTGTTCGGGATGTGTTTGATCTCCTGGGCACGCATCTGAACAATCTCCGTCTGGACTACGAGGCTACCTGCCGGGGCCCTGATCTGCGTCGCTACGGCCCTTTCTACTCCACCGCGCAGGCATTACTCTATATCTTCTGCTTCCGTTGGCGAGACCTGACCACCGCGGCGGTTGAGGGCGATACCCCAGAGCAGATCGACGAGCTGGAACCGGAAGAGATTGCCTTCCCTCCGTCGGTCAAGGAAGTGCTTCACCAGGCGATCCACTCCAAGCTGAACCCGCTCAAGGTCTGCTCCCCGGCCATCGTGTCGGAGTTCGCCCGCATGGCGCAGCATCTCAACTTTATGTATGTGTTCAGCATCCTCGAGACCAACAAGCGGCTGCGCGTCTCGTCCTTCCGGAACATCTCGGCGATGGCGGACCCGCGCTTCAGCCAGATCGAGCGCGAGACCCGCGCCGGCGATGACCTCGGATACCAGCTTGATGCGTATTTCCCCTTCGATCCCTACCAATTGCCTCGCAGCCGTCGGTGGCTCGAAAACGACTACGTTCATTGGCAAGGGATACCCGGGCTGGATGACCAGGACGATGATGACTCGGACAGCGACCAGGACAGCGAGTTAGAAGACGATCTCAGCGACGTGACCGAAACCGACGAAGAGGACTGATTTCGTCTACCTCTTTTTTTCTTTTCTTCTGCTTCTTAACTTTTCCACCCTCTACACCCAACGAAGGGATTCAAAACCCCTCATCGATCTATCTATCTATCTATCTATCTATCTATCCATCCTTGCTCTACGCAAAATACCCCTACAGCGTCTTTGCAATTTCTGTCGCATTGCGAGTTACGACCGGCTACCTAAAACAAAAAGGGATAAAAAGTGATCTTCTCCTCATCTACGAGCTTTGTTAGCGTGGCGTATCGGGATTTTTTGTTTCCCTTTCCATTTCTCTTCCCCATTTAATTCCAATTGATCTTTTCACGTGTTGACCCGCCATTCCGAACCGGATCGGATTCTTGAGGTGTTTTGTACCAAGCGTTTTTTCTTTTTTTGATCCGACTCTTGCTTCATGCTTCATGCCTCATGCTTCATGCTTCGATGTACATGCATGTAAACTACGCGAGTGGCGGGTGGTCCGCATCCATGCAAGTTAGTGAAATGCGAGATGAAACAGAATCTTAGATGGAAAACCTCTGTCCCTGTCCCTGTCCCTGTCCCTGTCTCTTCTGCTTCTGGGCGTCGGGGAGCTAGTAGCTACCTATACCTGCCACTCCTTTCACCGCAACGTACCTAGGGTAGCTACTGGGTACCTTAGGCATCAGTAACCTCCCCAATGACAATAGGTACCACCTACTCCGTTAGTTAGTATCTTAGGTATACACTATCTAGCCTAGCCTAGCCTAGCCTAGCCTGCTCCATGTCCATCTGGTAGATGGATACATAAATGTCCTGATTCCTCATTCCATGCCTGACGTCAAGTGCCTAGCTAGGTCCTAGGTAAGTAGTGGGTAACACAATCCACCCTGGCTCTGTTCCTGCTTTGGGTGCGGCGGGTGTGAGAATTGCTTGAGAAAATCAGAATCAGAACCAGGGTCAGCATCAGGGCAGTGCTATGTAGTAGGTACTGGACCTAGTACTTAACAGTAAGTAGATAGTTAGGGAGTCGATGGTTGTGGTTGGTGGATGGAGATGCCGGGTCACGGTGTGGAATCGTGATCTGCAGTCAGGTATGAGTAGGACAACCTAAGCCAGGTTGAGCGCCGATGGTGCCTGAACCGTAGGGCAGAGAGATATATCATATAAGGTACCCTCCTAGGCAGGCAGGCATTTAGTCTACTCCGTAAGGCGTAGGTACAAGGATGGGTCATAGAAATAGATCTATTGGCTTGATACAGCTATTATACACCCAAACGCCTCGCCACCATGGCTAGGTATGGTGTCATGTCATCTCATCTAAACGCCAATTGAACCTGAGACTAAAGATAAACAGAAGAAAAAAAAATACAGAGAAAGCGCTAACCGATACGAAGAAAGAGTGACGAGGAGGCCATACATAAGCAGGGATACAGATTCCAGATCTTGCATCCCCCCCCCAGAAAAAGGACCTATCTGTCAAAGATGGCCTTCATGTCCGCGCAGGCGTCGGAATATAGGATGTTCACCTTGGCTTGATCGCGGAACGGGTTCGGCGACTTGTCCCATGCATGTCGGGCTTTCTCGATCATCATGGCCCGCACGTGCTTCCCCGCGTCCTGCAGCCGCCGCATGAAATGTTGGCTCTCCTTGAGCAACATGTCCCATTCGCAGATATACAGAAAGATGTCGTGGGGAAGGGCATCATTGAGGATCTCATCGGTCGCCCGTACCGGCGATGCATATGGGGACCGGCGCTCTTCATGATCCGGCAGGTAGGAATTGTCAAACAGGTCCGTGAGTATCTTCGGCAAGGTCTGATCGGGCATGATGCTCTCGGCGCGACGGAAGGCGCGGGACTCCTCAAAGTCGAGGATCGGGTACCAGCAGAACAGCGCGACGATGTTCATATCGCCGGATGTGTCCACCAGGTGCTGCGACGAATCCGCCCGGTTGAGCGAGGGCACCGGCCGCTCGGGGGTGGGCAGGCTGCGCAGTCGCAAGGGCACCGTGACCGCCAGATTGCCTCCAGCCGAGAACCCACTCAGAGCGACACGGGTCACATCCAGACCCAATTCCGCGGCATGCGCCGCCAGATACTGAAGGGCTTCGACGCCGTCGTCCACGGCGGCGGGAAACGGGTACTCGGGTGCTCGACGGTACCCGACACTGACTACCACTGCTCCGACTTCCCCGAGAACGCATTGGGCCCAGCGCGAGTCATCGGTCGCAGTCCCCAATGTGAAACCACCCCCGTGAAAGTTTACCACAACGGGCAATCGGCGACCTTCTCCCCGACTTTGGTCGTAACCCGGCGGACAGTAGAAATGGAGTCCAATCTGGGAGTCACCGGAGGGAATTGAGCGGACGAAAGAAGGACGCGGAGGACGGGGAGCGGGTAGGTCATGAATGAACATTCCTATGCGCATCAGAAAGCGCCAGAAGACGGCCTGGACGTACAGCCACCATCGCGAGGGGTTTTCAGATGCCATTAAATTTTTGGTCGCGGAAGGAGAGGGGTGGAACTATGGTGCCGATTTTCACCCCAGTCCCATATATGCATGCAAAAGGGAAGGGTGCCGAGCGAGCCTGGTCTAGAAGAATGCAATCACCCTGAGTCAGCGGCTCCGAGCATACGCCGATGATTATGCGGAGAAGAGTGATGATTATGAAATCAAATGACAGGACGACTCGGGGATCAGGTAATGTTTGCTCGGAATCATAATTGGAATACCTATCAGATTTTCAGAAGAGGAATTTCTGAGTTGAACGTAACCGAGGAAGAAGAAAACGAAGAGGAATGGAAGAAATTGGTCAAGACTGAGGAAGAGTAAGGAAAGGGGGAAGAAGAAGCTTATGGCTGCGTACAGGGTCAGATGATGATGGTGGTAGTAAGAGGCCGGCAGCGTTAGGAATGGGGAGATAACTGAATTATACTGAGTATCTTAGTAGTAGTAGTAGGAGGGGAGTGTAAACTAAGCTACGTGCCGGACTGCCTGGCAGCCTGGCCTACTGGAAGAGTGTCTTACTGTGATCCCCTGAAACTGAAAAGAGAGTGGTGCTCGGGAACATGAAATTGATATGATCGTATGATTGGATTTCCTCCTAGAGTCGAATGAATGATTGATTGAAGATCTATACTGTTGGATCTTTTATAAAGGCCACCTCGATATACTGCTGTGTTCTTCAAAATCTACGTCCCTAGATTGAGAGAGTAGATAGATACCTGAGGTTGACTTCCTGCGTCACTTTTCCCAGTAGTAGTGGGGGACGCGATGATATCATCCGGCCGTTTTCTTGCTCGAACCTTGCGCTTTTTTGGCGATTGATGGAAAAAGCTTCGACGGGCTTGATCAGGGAAAAAAAAGAGGGAAATCCAGGGCGTTGGTCTCATTCCTGTCAACAACTCAACATACATAACAAGACTTTCTTCTTTCTTCTCCCCCCTCAACTTCCCTTTCTCTCTGACTTCTCTACCACTACCACTACCACTACTCCCGGACTAGACTAACTACACTGTTTGTTGTCGATCACCATCGGCTTATCATTTTATCACTAATCTGATTACTGATAAACTAAACCCCTCTGTGGCTGGCTTCGTTTTTCCTACTTCGGCTCGACGGCTGACTAAGTATCTACTACCTCGCCTCGTGAGAAGAAAAGTTTCCAGGTACTTCTGGCCTGACTATCTCCGACTCGACCCCGTCCACACATCCTAAAGCCATATATTTATTCTCGTCTTTGTGTGAATTGGAATCTCTATCTTCCTTCCCACCCCCCCCCCTAAGATTCATTAGAGAGGAGTGGTCTTGCATGGTTTCTGGCCATCTCTCTTCTCAATTCTAGGCCACCAACATGTCGATCAAGCGCGCTTTGTCCAAGATCAAGCCCAAATCCGATGAGGATTCTACGTCCTCTGGCGGCGGCGGCAGCACCAACAGAATATCGATCTCCTCTATCGCCTCTCCGCGTCGCAGCATCTTCAGCGGTTTCTTGCGCGACCGCGATGATGTCTCTTCCTCGGACGATATCTCCGATGACTCTTCTAACGCCGGCTCCATGAGCAAAAACCAGCAGAAGCGCTTGGCTCGGGAACAGCGTCGGAGAGAGCGCAGCCGGCTCAGTGAGGAACACCATTTAGATGATTCCGAACGACGCCAGAAGGAGGAAGAGATCGCAGTCGCCGCCAGCCAAGAGACAGCCGAGATGAAGCTGCGATATGGAGAACTGCCGTTGATGCAATCGAGCACCCGTCTGCGAGAGCCCCGCGTTCGCCTGGAGAACATCTCCGCCGCCAATGTCGGCCAGGAGGTCCTCTTCACCACTCGTCTGCACATTGTGCGTCGCATGAGCTCGAAGCTGGTCTTCCTGATCTTCCGTCAGCAGCTCACCACTTTCCAAGGTGTGCTCCACGAAGTCCCCGGGGCGAAGTCCATTGCCATGATCCAGTGGGCGGAGCATCTGCGACTGGGATCCATTGTGCATGTGCGCGGCATCGTCCAGGCCCCCGAAGTGCCCGTGTTGGGTTGCAGCATCCACGATGTCGAGTTGCGCATCGAGCAGATCCATCTGGTGGTTCATCGGGAGGAACCCGTGCCCTTCAGTGTCTACGAGGCCGAGATCCGCACTGCCGAAGAGGAACGCGTCGAGGGCCGTCGCAGCCACATTTCGGACCGCACCCGACTCAATAACCGTCTCCTGGACTTGCGGACTCCGACGGCGCAGTCCATCTTCCGCATCCAGTCCGCTCTGAGTAATATCTTCCGATCGTCCCTTGACGAGCAAGGTTTTATCGAAATCCATACCCCCAAGCTCCAAGGCTCGGCCACCGAGTCGGGCGCTAGTGTCTTCCAAGTCAACTATTTCGGTCGGGATGCCTTCTTGGCCCAGAGCCCCCAGCTCGCCAAACAAATGTGCATTGCAGCCGATTTTGGCCGAGTCTATGAGATCGGTGCCGTCTTCCGAGCGGAGAACTCCAATACCCACCGTCACTTGACGGAATACACTGGTCTGGATCTCGAAATGGCCATCGAGGAGCATTACCATGAGATGCTGGAGGTGCTTGATGCCGTCATCAAGAACATCCTCACGGTTGTCTATGGCCGTTACCGCAAGGAAGTGGAGATTGTGAAGCATCAATTCCCGTCGGAGGATGTCGTGTGGCTGGAGCAAACCCCCATCATCCGCTTTGCAGACGGCATCAAGATGCTCAATGATTCCGGCTGGCGCGACGAAGATGGAAATCCGCTGCCCGATGATGAGGATCTACACACCCGCGATGAGATTCGTCTGGGCGAGCTGGTCAAGGAGCAGTACGGCACCGATTACTACATCCTCGATAAGTTCCCCACCGGCGCGCGTCCTTTCTACGCCATGCCTGACCCCGAAGACCCGCGCTTTACCAACTCCTTCGATATCTTCATCCGAGGCCAGGAGATCGTCTCCGGTGGCCAGCGTATCCACGACCCTCACATGTTGGAGGAAAATATGCTTCGCTGGGGCATCAACCCGGAGTTGATGGATGATTATATGGAGGGTTTCCGCTGGGGTGCGCCTCCCCATGCCGGCGCGGGTGTTGGTCTTGAGCGTCTGCTGATGCTGCTCCTGAAATTGGGCAACATTCGCCTGGCCTCGCTCTTCCCTCGTGATCCCAAGAGCTTCCCCGCGAAGCCCCCCGTTCTGCAGCTTCGCCACCCTGAGTCGTCGACCGTTGAGCCTCCATGGGTACGAGAGAAAGAGGGCCAGCGCGCCAAGGACGAGAGCCAGCTGCAACCATTGGAACACTTGATCGCCAACTACGGAGATGCTACTTCCACTTCGTGGGGGGATGAGCGGTTCAAGATTTGGCGAGACATGGCCACCGGCGCGGCCGTCTCCTACGTCCCCAGCACCAACAACTATGCGGTGATTCCCGGCAACCCCCTCTGCGACCCCGCCCAATACAATCGTGTCATCACCCAATTCCTGCACTGGATGCGGCGCGAGACCAAGTACAAGCCCATCTGGCTTCTCTGCTCGCCCGAAGTTGAGACTATCCTGGGTGAGAAACTGGGTTGGCGCAGCTTGTCTTGCATTGCCGAGGAGCGCGTCGACCCATCCCGTAACCAGGCCGCATCCGACGGTGAGATTGCCCGCAAGATTCGCCGCGCACAAAATGAAGGCATCAAGGTTGTGGAGATGAAGTATGGTGAGATGGTGCCGGACGATGCTCGTGAGAAGATCGAAGCCCGCATCCAAGACTGGCTTGCCAACCGGAAGGGTGCTCAGGTGCATCTGTCTGAGATTCACCCTTGGCGCGACCCCGAGCACCGCTGGTATTTCTACGCGGTGGACAAGTCTGGCACCATCTGCGCGTTTGTTGCTCTGGCCATGTTGTCCCCCCAGCACGGCATGCAGGTCAAATACAGCCTCGACTTCCCGGGCTCCCCCAACGGTGTCATCGAGTACCTTTTGACGCATGCCATCCAGACTGCGGCCGCGTCTGGCGTCAAGTCCCTCACATTCGGCGCCGGTGCGACAGCGACCCTGACACCTGGTCACAACATGCATGGAACCAAGATCAAGATGCTGCAGCACACCTACGAGACTCTGGCCAAGCAATTCCACCTGGTGCGCAAGAGTGAATTCAGAGCCAAACTGGGAGCCCACGACGAACCCCTCTACATTGCCTACCCGCCCCACGGCCTTGGCTCGAAAGGCATCCGGGCCGTCTTGCACTTTTTCGAGGATTAATTGAACCGATCTCCAAGGTGCAGGCATGAGCATGACATGCTGACGATCGATGAGATGCCTTGCTGGCTTGCCCTTTTTCTAGACGAATGATTGGGAGTGGAGGTGTCTTGGATTGATTAGGAACCCCCCAGATGTATCCGAAGAGTTGGTAATACTTCTTCCCATTGCTTGATGACATTTTTATTCCCCCTGACGTTGATGGCTTGATGATCTGAGTGAGCATTTTATTTGTGCATAATCCATATTTGTCTGATATATGTTGCTTATTCAATATCCTCAACATACACCTTTCCGCCGTTTTTGACTCGGTCCATTAGCTAGCTAGTATACAAGAAGACGGGTAACCCTCCCCCCTTCCTACCGGATCTTCTTCCCATCATCCCTCAACCCAACCTCCCTCTCCATCACCCCCCTAACCACCCCCATGACCCACCACGCAACCCCGACGGCCAACAAAGCCACCACACCCGCATACACCGCCGTCCCCACCAACGACCGCGGGAACACATTCCCCAGAAACGGATCCAGAATCACATCCACCAGCACGGGCGGCACCCGCTCCATCAACCCCTCATCGGGCGAGAAGTACTCCGCCGCGGCGCGCACGCGCAGGAAGAGCACCGAGTCCGCGCCCGCGCCCGCACCAGCGGACCCCCGTGCTCCATCGGAGTTGGGGTTACTGGCCTGGCGGACGGGCAGGAGCGAAGCCTCCAGCCGCGCGGCGGAGTAGCGGCTCACGGATGCGAGGAGGGTGGGGTCATCGAGTGCGTTGGCGAGGGTGTAAGTGTCGAGGGTGAAGATTGTGGGTTGCTTGTGTACTTTGTTAGTGGAACGTAGGTTGTTGGGGTGTGGGTGTGGGTGTGAGGTTTTGTAGCTGGGGGACGGCGATGGTGCCGGGGGGAAATGGGACTGCGACTCACCGTTGCGAGATAGCAGACGCGGACCTCGTAGCGTTGGCCCGGGGTCAGGTTCTCGAGGAAGAACCAGGAGTCCGTGCCGGGGGTTTCTGGGGTCGGGAAGGAGGCGTTTAGGTGCGTTCTTAGGGATGGGGCGGAGGGGGAGAGGCGGTTGAGGCCGAGGTCGTCGAGGGTGGGATCGGTGGAGGGGAGGGGAGATGGGTGCGGGGCGAGGAAGATGGTTTTTTCGACGTTGGCGGCCACAAAGGGGAGGAGGGAGAAGAAGAAGAAGAAGAATAAGAGAGGAGTGAGGGGATTCAACATGTTTGTTGCTTGGGATTGGTATTGATGGGATTGGTGGTGGGCTTATATGGGCATTGTTGTTGAGTTGATATTGGGAAGACGAGGTTTGAGGCCTGGGGAGGTTAGTTTTTTTTTTTATGTCTAGGATGTTTTCTTGGGAGGGCTTAGATACTGTTGACTATTAAGGGTTATTCGTCTTGTAGTGAATATAGCAGATGATGAGGATGACGAGGTGCTAGTCTACATGGTCATGATCAGAGCTCGCCTTGATATAGATGGATGTAATTGAATAGCAAGTGGCACAAGTCGTAGCTTGTGTACTAAAGCGATGATTTCTATAAGCGTACCTTTGAATACTCCTAGCTTCCGCTCAACAATATGTCTAAATTTATTGCTAATGGAGGGTATATTGAACCCTAGTATGTCGATGTTGATGTTGTTGAGCTCATGCTGTCTGTAAGCCACGTGACCCAATCCATATGGGGTGATCTCACGTGATAACTGCCCGCTGAATAAGCATTGTTGATCCTTGTCACGGGACCGTGAGCGAGACTCGGGCATCAGGCGGTCACGAGAGGCTCTGCACCAATCACACGGCGCGAATGGCAACGCGACCCAACGGACTGATCAAACAGCGAACAAGAAAGTCCAGCTTGGGAGGTGACAGCGCATTAGGTACGCAGTAGTACAGCCGGCGAGGGTGACTAGTAACAGTAGTAAGGGCGATAGTACCTCGAAAGATTCCCTATCAGCGGCTATCCCAACTCCCAAGTGTCCCAAGTGTCCACCGTCCGCCGTCCGCCATCCACAACAATCCCATCTTTGCCTCGACTTGGGCTTCTCCCCCTCCCCTCCATTCTTCCTAATTATTATTTCTCTACATAACTCTTCAATCTTAATATTCTACCTGTCCTATCCCGATATCCCTCTTCCCCAAGGGTTTGTTGTTCTCCCTTCCCAAGGTAAATTACCCTCCCCCCCCCTCTGCCCGCTTGTTGTGTTGTGTTGTTGTTGTTGTTGTGTGTTTGTTTCCCACCCGTTCCTCGACGCCTTTTTTTTACCGTTTTGCTGGTGTTCCGTTTACTTACCCCTGAAACAACCCATACAGCAGATCGTCTTGGGTTTTTTTCGTCCTTCATTCCTCCTCCACCCACCCTCTTAATCTATCCCTTGTGAATCGAATTCCGTCAGTTTGACTCGACAAAATGAGAGAAGTCATCAGTTTGAACGGTTTGTCCCCCTTCTACGTCTTCGTTCGACGTGTTGTTTGTTTTGTGTGGGCCGTGTCACTGATGTTTTCTTCCTTGATACAGTCGGCCAGGCTGGTTGCCAGATTGCCAACTCTTGCTGGGAGGTATGCATTGACTACGAGTTTCCGCCATGTAAATACAGAAAAAATGGGGACGACAACATAGGCGTCGATGGATAAAGAACTTCGCTGGAATGACGCTTTGCTAACTGGTGGTGGCATGATTAACAGCTGTACTGCCTTGAGCACGGTATCCAGGTATGTGGGATGGCAATCTCGGCTTCCTTGCAACTTTCAACCCCATCAATCCCCCCTCTTCTTTCGCCCTTCGACGCGTCAAATCAAACTGACCCTCTGTCATTCATTATAGCCCGATGGTTACTTGACCGAGGAGCGCAAGAAGGCCGACCCCGACCACGGTTTCAGCACTTTCTTCTCTGAGACTGGTACGTTTTACGCCTTCACTCTCACAGTCCAGTCTTCTTCCCATTGCTGTGCTGACAGCAATTGCATCAAGGCCAGGGCAAATATGTTCCCCGTACCATCTACTGCGATCTCGAGCCCAATGTGGTCGACGAGGTCCGCACCGGCACCTACCGTAGCCTTTTCCACCCTGAGAACATGATCACCGGCAAGGAGGACGCCTCGAACAACTATGCTCGTGGTCACTACACCGTTGGAAAGGAGATGATCGACCAGGTCCTCGACAAGGTCCGCCGGGTCGCTGACAACTGCGCTGGTCTCCAGGGTTTCCTGGTCTTCCACTCCTTCGGTGGTGGTACCGGCTCTGGTTTCGGTGCTCTGCTGATGGAGCGTCTCTCTGTGGATTATGGCAAGAAGTCGAAGCTGGAATTCTGCGTCTACCCTGCTCCCCAGAACGCCACCTCCGTCGTTGAGCCCTACAACTCCATCCTCACCACCCACACCACCCTGGAGCACTCCGACTGCAGCTTCATGGTCGACAACGAGGCCATCTACGACATCTGCCGCCGTAACCTCGGCATTGAGCGCCCCAGCTACGAGAACCTGAACCGCCTGATCGCTCAGGTCGTCTCTTCCATCACCGCCTCTCTGCGTTTCGATGGCTCTCTCAACGTTGATCTGAACGAGTTCCAGACCAACCTGGTGCCCTACCCCCGTATCCACTTCCCTCTGGTCGCCTACGCTCCCGTCGTTTCCGCTGCCAAGGCTTCCCACGAGGCCAACTCCGTCAACGAGATCACCACCGCCTGCTTCGAGCCCAACAACCAGATGGTCAAGTGTGATCCCCGTAACGGCAAGTACATGGCTACCTGTCTGCTCTACCGTGGTGATGTCGTCCCCAAGGAGTCCCACGCCGCTGTTGCCACCCTCAAGACCAAGCGCACCATCCAGTTCGTCGACTGGTGCCCTACTGGCTTCAAGATCGGTATCTGCTACCAGCCTCCCCAGCAGGTTCCCAACGGTGACCTTGCTAAGCTCGACCGTGCTGTGTACGTTTCTCTCTTCCCATTGTGCAAAATAGTAGAACGAAGCTGATCCATTTTTATAGCTGCATGCTGTCCAACACCACTGCCATTGCCGAGGCCTGGTCTGCTCTTGACCACAAGTTCGACCTCATGTACTCCAAGCGTGCCTTCGTTCACTGGTACGTTGGTGAGGGTATGGAGGAAGGTGAATTCTCCGAGGCCCGTGAGGACTTGGCTGCCCTCGAGCGCGACTACGAGGAGGTCGCCAGCGACTCGCTCGAGGAGGAGGTTGAGGCTGAGTACTAGATGGATGTCATCACTCGGCAGGATTCCGAAGAATGGCTGTAGAGGTTGGCTGTCCGTCTTGGTGCAGGGGCTCCTTTTGGTTGTCTCTATGCTCTTCTATTGGGGACAGGCGTTTGCCAAGGTGATATACCATGGACCTGTGCAACTCGGGTTGCATGCAAATACATAGGAGAAGAGATTGGCTTAGCTCACAGACTATGTTTTTCTTTGTCTGATATATTTTTAATATCCCGAAGCAGCGATGAAATTCACCCACTCGTTCATATAAAAGACACTGCGAATATGAGATTGTAATTATGTTTTTTCACTGCAAATCCATCGGATCTTTAAAGTATTTTCTTATCTTGTTAGGCTGTGAATACTGAATAGGCTCTGGTCCAGAGAGGTGGAGAGGAGAGGAGATTCCCAGGGGGGGTTGACTTGACAAATGAAGAAATAATGCTTAAAATATCGAACAAACACCAGGGATTCAGTTAGAAGAAATGAAAGACAACAGAAAAAAACAACTTGTATAGACTCGGTGAAGCGTGAACGCGGTGGTCCCAAAGTATCTAAGCTATCGAGAGGTACTCAAGGTCAGTCAGTAATTTAGTTCTCCCCCGGAACCCAAAAGGAAGCTAAGGAAAGGACATCATCATCCATCCCTCTCACTACTCAAACCCACCTCCACTCTTCCTCTCCTGAAGCTCCTTTCCTGCTGAGTCTGCTGGTTCTTGGTCCTCTCTTCTTTCATTCACCCCGACCTCCTTTCAGAAGCCTCTTAAATAATTCTGTCGCCTGCTCAATCACCGGGTTTCCCCTCGATTTCGTCATCCCGTCGACTCCGTCCCCCGTGTTCCCCCTTACCAGTCGGCGATCCATGCCCGTGGCAGCATCATCTCGATAGGTCCCACGGCATCTATTCCTCCACCTTTTACGCCCCGATCATTCCCACGAAGATCCTGGAATCAGTGTCTGGAGGGAGGAGAGGCGCACTCCTCCGGAGCTACCATCATGGCTGACAGTGGTAAGTCTCCGCCCCAGCAATGGCAGATTAGGCTGCAGGCTGGCGAGCTCTCTCAGGAGAAACAACCAACCCTGTCCATCTACATGTCTATCGAGCCGCGACGGAACTGACGGAATCTCTCTCTCTCTCTCAATTACCTTATAGCACAACGGCATCCTAATCTCAACCTGTCTCCTGAAGAGAAACGGGTGTTCTACCAACTCTTCCAGGCCGCTGATACTACCAACCTTGGCGTCATCACTGGCGAGATCGCTGTTCCTTTCTTTGAGAGGACGAAGCTTGCTCCGGAAACTCTCGGCTTGGTATGTGGCCTATCATATGCTTAGAATATCTTTTCTTTCTCTAGCTTAATGGTACGCTGACTGGTAGTGTGTGCTATAGATATGGCAGATCGCGGATAAGGAGAACAGGGGGCTTCTGACCCCTTCGGGATTCGGTGTCGTTTTGCGCCTCATAGGACACGCCCAAGCTGGTCGCGCGCCCACAGAGGAATTGGCTCTGCAATGTGAGTTTAGCTTTTTCATGGTTTGCAATGGAATTGAGTGTCGCAGCGACCGATCATTGACCCGCCTCTAGCCGGACCGCTGCCTAGGTTCGAAGGTATCGTTGTTGAGCCTACATCTCCTACTCCTCGCGATGCTGGTGCGACCAGTCCGCCGCCCGCTGGGGGGCCAATTCGAGTTCCTCCACTGAATCCGGACGATGTCAATAAATTCACTGCGTTGTTCGAGAAGTCAGATGTGTCTCGGAGCGGGGTCATCCCTGGTATGAGTGCTGACTCCTTGTTATCGTGAGACCATAATATGAGATCAAAACTAATGCGGTGTGCTTTCCATGCAGGCGACATTGCGAAGCAGATCTTCGAACGAGCAAGATTACCAAATGAGATCCTTGGTCGTATTTGGAATTTGGCAGACACCAAACAGCGAGGCGCTCTCGATACCACAGAGTTCATCATTGCTATGCATCTCTTGACCTCTTACAAGTCAGGCGCCATGAGAGGCATTCCTCAGGTTCTGCCTCCTGGTCTGTATGAGGCTGCAGCCAGAAAGGGATCAGCTCGGTCCTCGGTGGGATCTCGACCCGGCCTTGATGTCCCACCTGTTCCTGCTATCCCGAGACAATTCACAGGTCCGCAGCGAACCCAGAGCCCTTTAAATAGATCGCAATTCGGGCCTCCTCTCACGGCCCAATCGACTGGCGGAGATTGGCTCATTACACCTCAGGAGAAGGCGCATTTCGATACTGTCTTTGCGACAGTAGATACGGCGAAAGCAGGCGTCATCACCGGAGACCAAGCTGTGGCATTCTTTATGAAAGCACAGCTGCCTGAAGAGACTCTCGCCCAGATTTGGGACTGCTGATATCGATGCTGACGACATGACAAGGACGAGTTGCGGTAGCAATGTATCTCGTCCGTCTGCAACGCTCCGGAAGGAATCCGTCCCGCAGACCCTTCCACCCGCTTTGATTCCTCCCAGTATGCGTCGCCCTGCCTCTGCGCAGGCAATTCCCGCTCCGGTCCAGGCTCCAGCTCCAGCCCAAGCGGCGGTGCCTCCACCAGCTGCCCGATCTGCAGCGGATGATCTCTTCGGACTCGATGCATTCGCCGCGCCGCCCCCAGCTGTGGCTCCCTCGCAGGTACCTCAATCCACGGGTGGCTCCAACACAGCCTTCCAGACCCCCGCATCGCCTTCTTCGAGGGCATCCCCTCTGAGCAGTGCAACGACATTCAAGCCTTTCATTCCAACGTCGTCTTTCGGCCAAAGCCTGCAGCCTCAGATCACCGGTGCTTCGGCTGGTGCTCCACCGACAATCCGGTCGCCCCCGCCTCCATCGGATGACCTTCTTGGTGATAATGACCCTGAAGAATCGAAGAAACTCACCCAGGAGACGACCGAACTCGCCAATCTATCTAATCAAATCGGTTCGCTGGCAAACGAAATGCAGAACGTCCAAACCAAGCGAACATCAGCAGAGCATGAGTTGTCCCAAACATCCCAACAGAAGCGTGACTTTGAGACTCGCTTGGCACAGGCCAGAGCCATGTATGAGCAAGAGGTCAAGAACTTCAAGGCGCTTGAGGGACGACTCAACGCTTCCAAGGCGGAGACCAAGAAGCTGCAGCAAGAGTATGCGTTGATCGAAGGCAGCAGACAAGATTTACAGAATCAGTTTGAACAAGTCTCCGCTGCATTGACTGCTGACCAGCAAGAGAATGCGAGTCTGAAGGAGAAGATCCGCCAAGCCAACGCCGCTGTTGCCCAGCTCAAGCCTGCTCTCGAAAAAGCACGTTCCGAAGCTCGGCAGCAGAAAGGTCTCGTTGCTATCAACAAGAAGCAATTGGCTACAGTGGAAGGTGAACGGGAGAAGGTCCAAGATGAGATCGATACCCTCGCCAAGGAATCAGCTCACGGATCGGACGAGAGTGTAGCATCTCCAAGTGCTATCCCAGCAGTTGCCAGCCCTGCTTTGTCAACAGCTAGTCAGAACACCAACCCCTTCTTCAGACGGCAAACTACGGGATCCAGTGAAGGCCAGGCGTTGTCCCCACAGGTCTCGAACGAGCAGCAGCGTGCGTTCGATAGTCTGTTCGGTACTGCCTTTGTTGCTCCTCCGACCACTGCCACCCCACCCCCTCCGACTTCATTCCGCGCTGATTCTCAGCAAGCCTCGGTCCATTCGCCCGTTACATCGGGAGTGCCGACTCCTTCAGTCCCTACACCACCTTCTCTCGGCCCTGTGCCTGAACCTCCGCCATCCAGACAGTTCACGCCGAATGTCCTTCCTCTGGCTGAGACACAGTCTTTGACCTCCTCTGTCAAGGCCTCCCCTCCCGCTAGCAGGTATGGTGGCCCCGATACACCCACTTTCGATACTCCGGCACAAGCTGCCGACAGCGAAGCGGCCTTCCCCACAGGCGACCAAAGTGCCATGCGGTCTCCCTTTGAGGAAACTGAAGAGTCAAAGGGCTTCCCTGAGATTCCAGCCCCTGTTCCAGTCCCGGGCTTGGAAGCTGTAACAGCACCTGCATTGCCGACCAGCAACGAGAAGCAGGTGGCTGCAAAGGACCCAAGCTTCGATGAGCTATTTGGTGGCCCCGCGCATCAAAGATCCCAGTCTCAGAACGCCAATGACTTCGAAGAAGCCTTCGCTGCCATGAAGCAGGGTACTGGTGCAAATAAGCCTAATGGAGCAGCCCCTGTCGCGAGTACCGAGTTCCCACCTATTCGTGAACTTGATGACGATGAAGATGACGATAGCACCGTGAGCGAGGCGCCCATGGGTTTCGACGACGATTTCGCGTCCGCTGTTCCGCCTCAGCCTCAGCAAACCGAGGCGCGCAAACCTGATCCCTTCGAATCATCTCACGTCCCGGCCTTTCCCGACCCAGCATCCGCAACCTCGGAGACTCAGCCTCCTCCAGCGGAAGCCCAGAAGAGCCCCCCGAAATACGAGGAAAGCGTAGGCAAGCAGGAGCCAGGCGGTATGCCACCTGAATTCAATGGTCTCTTACCGAACCGCGAGGACCCCACAACCGCTCCAGATGCTCCTCATTCCGTGGAATCAGGTATTGGTGCACCGATTGTCGGTGGTGAGCCGCAGCGGGTTGCTTCGCCTAGTGCACCCGCAGCAGGCGTAAACAAACCCAACGCCCCCGACTTCGAAGCTGCCTTTGCTGGAATGAACCTTGCTCCCGCAAAGGAGGCGGAAGACGATGACGAGGATGATTTCGAGCCGTCGGACAACAAGAACGGTGCTGGTTTCGATTTCTCATTCGACAGCCCTTCGCAGAACAAGACATCGTCTCCCCCCGCCAATGCCGGGAATGCCCCGTCGTCCGAGTTCTTCAATTTCGACCAGCATATCGTGAGCTCTCCGGATCACGGCAGCGCTGCATCACCTCCGGATTCCTCGTCGCAAGCGGCTACACACGATTGGGGAGCCCTCTTTGCGCCTCTCGACAATGCTCAAACCGCATCCGGGGCCAGCGGAGCCCCCAAACCGACAGCTGCAGGAGACAGTAAATCACCAGGATGGGCTCTCCAGACCGACTCGGGGGAAGACGACCAGTTCCTCCAGAGACTAACCGGCATGGGCTTCCCGCGCGATGAATCCCTCGCCGCGTTAGAAAAGTTCGACTACAATCTGGACAAGGTATGTCCCCTCTCCATAAACATCATGTCATTCCACACCCAACCACCATGCTAACGAAATCAATCACTATAGGCCGTGGACTTCTTGACCAAGTCCTGATCCCCCGTTCCTGCACATACGCCCACACCCCTTGCAATTCTTCGATGTTCGCCTTTCCCCCTTTCAATCTGGTTCTAGTTGAATGCATATCCCTCCCTCCCTTCCGAACCCTTTGTATATTCCCCTCCTCTTTCCCAGCGGTACCCCTCTTCCCCAAGATCACCTGTCATTCAATATACCGGGCTTTGATGTAATCTAGAATCCGGAGGATGGAAACAGCAACAACAACAACAACAACAACAAAGGACTGCTATTGAAAGAAACCGCTCTAGGAGCACCAGCATACTTTCCCCATGTCCTACTGCTAGCTCAGCCTAGATTTATAATCTCATTAATTTTCTTTATTCTCCGCTTGAACTTTGGGCTGCTTGGGTGTATTTTGCGAGTTTTGAGCCTCGTTGGGACGACCCAGTGTAATATGATGGCAACACATTACTGGATTGTTGTGAGATGGGCCTGCTGCTCATAGTAGTCGCATGGTATGCAATGGCCAATGGCGATACGTTTTATATATAAAAAGGCAGGGACATATCTCTCGTATGTCTCATGGTAAAGTCCCATCTTAAACTACGAGATCAAATCAAATACCCATTAATAGCATCAATCCATCATTGATTGGACAAAGCTCAATTGCTTGGTAATGCATACAATGCTTAACTCAATCTCTTCCACAGCCCACCCATAAAGCCATTGCTAGACACATTTGATCCAACATTAAGATAAGGAAAGGAAGGCACTTCAAAAGACCTTAGCAGAAATATCATGACAGAAACTGCCGGATAGCAAGGCACACGAATAATGCTATAAACACTATGAGGTAGGAGAGACATCGGCGCAGAGATGGCGCAGCACCAGGAAGTCATATCCCAACTGATCACGATGGACCACCAAACGAAGATCACTTTGGATAACGCTTTATGAGTTCTTTTCATGTTGCGTTGAAACCCTCTGCAGAGCGACCACTGATTGAAATAAGCAGATGCCAGATGACAGGGACGGTTGGATGTTCACTTACCGAAGTCTTCGAGCGATCGTTGTTTTGTGCTCTTCTTGCCATTCATGAGATTCTCGAAGCCCGTTGAGCCCTGCAGCAAATAATAGAGACCGCCCATTATACAAAACACGCCAAACGAGAAGACCCAGATACGAACAACGGCAACAATTGAGGTCTGACCGCCGACGAACCAGCCGAATAGACAGAAAAAGGTCGCAACCAGGTCGACCACCAGAATGGCTCCCGTCAATTGCCATGACGGAATCGATGACCAAAAAGGTCCATTGGCGCGTGTGATGAAGATGAGCCAATTCTCGGTGAGTGATATTTCTAGGAACAGAACCTCGTCACGTTCTCCAAAATTTTGAATGATACCACCCTCCTTGCCAGTAGTCAGAATGGTGGTCAGCGTGATCCATGTTCCTGCTGCAAGTACCAGGCCAAGGAGGATCGACATGCCCCATAGCTTGGGAAGGTTCCATTTCACGGGCATTTTGGAGTAGGGTGCATTGTCATAAGCAATGGCAAGCGTTGCAATATCGGCAAAGATGGCAATGAAAACAACAAGCTGTAAGTTAAGGCTTTCATTCATTGTCGCAATCCATAGGCCCAGGAAGATCTCAAGGTGCAATGACAAGGCTATACGATAGACCACATATGCATACATACGGTGGAAAATCTGGCGAGAAGTTTTCAACGCATCGATGATCGCCGACAAGCCGGGAGCAAGAAAGACAATATCAGCCGCAGACCGGGCTGCGTCAGAAGAACCCTCGACAGCAATACCAGTGTCGGCTTTCTTGAGGGAAGGGGCATCGTTGACACCGTCACCGGTCATTGCCACAAGGTAGCCTCGTTGCTGAAGTATCTCCACAACATTGTATTTATGCTGAGGAAAGACCTCTGCAAAACCGTCCGCGGCTTCAACGAAATCAAAGACCTCTGAGCCTGGCATTGTTCCCCTTCCACCGAGACCGAGCCGCTCGGCATTATACACGTTAGTGCCCAACCCTAATTGACGAGAAGTCTCGCGGGCGATCCCAACTGCGTCGCCAGTGAGCATTTTGATTGAAAGCCCAAGCTTCTTAGCCTCGTTGATAGTTTTGGCAGTGTCATGCCGCGGAGGGTCTGAACAAGGCATGATACCGAGTATCTCCCATTTACCCTGGCCGCGCTTGCGAGCAACACCAAGGGAGCGAAAACCTCGAGTTGCGAATTCAGCCACTTTGTTCTTGTATGCTGCATCGACCTCTTCTGAGATCGGATCATCTTCCTCAACGGTTTTCAGAACGAAGAGAGGAGCGCCCTTGACACAGATAATTCGCTCACCCTGGGGCGACTGGACCACGGCCATAACTTTCTTCGAGACCGGATCAAATGGGTGGAATTCTAACACTTTATACTGTGTCAGTGCAGCTTTAGCATGAGGATAGTCCCGGAGTGCTTTGAAGAATGCTTTATCAATGGGATCCATGCCCTTCCTTTTCCTCGACGCAGCCAAGCACGCAGTCAGCATGAGATCGTCCGGGTCAACACCTGCAACCGTATAGGGCTCAGACAAGGACAGTTTGTTCTTGGTCAGTGTCCCAGTCTTGTCAGAACAGAGAATTTCAACGCCGGCCAGGGACTCAATAGCGGATAGTCGTTGCACGATGGCCTTTTTCTTTGCCAGATATGCAGCGCCTACCGCCATGGTAGTCGTGACAACCGCAGGTAGACCAACGGGCACGCCGATGATTGTAACAGCCAAAGTAAATTCAAGTATTGTGATGATGTTGTTTGACCGATAGAATGATGACACCCAAACGATGAATAGGGTAATGATGACTAGGACCAGTAGAATCGCTCCAATCCCGTTGAGCACTTCAGTGAAGCGACCGGATCCAGAGGAAGCAGCGTTAACCAACGCAGCAGCTTGACCGACGAATGTATAATCACCAGTGGCGGTGACAAGCATAGTTGCGCGGCCACGTTTGACGGCAGACGAAGCATAACAAGTATCTCCTCTATGCTTGTCGACTGCCAAAGACTCCCCAGTGATAGAAGATTGGTCCACTTGAATGAGATTTTTTGAAACGAGCCGACCATCGGCAGGTACAATGGTGCCCTTGTAGATGTCAGCAATCAAATACAAGCGTCCGAGTCGGAAATTGTGGTAGTGGAATTACCTCCTCGAGTTTCACTATATCTCCAGGGACAAGCTCTAATGCATCGATCTCTTTTTCATCGCCATCACGACAAACAACTGACTTGAGAGCTAGTGTTTTCTTCAGCTCGTCGACGATAGAACCTGCCTGAAATTCCTGGATGAAGCCCACGGAGGCGTTCAGCAGAAGAAGCGCGCATATCACACCGAGGTCAACCCAATCGCGAAGCCCAGCAGCCAAGATTGCAGCAGCCTGTGGCTCATCATGTATCAGAAAGTGGTCGAAATAGTGAGTCAGGGACATAGAAGGGGAAAAACTCGGGATGATATTTTCTTACCTCCATGACAAATTGTACCGGACCAATGAAGAAACTCAGGAACTTGCGGAACTTGTTCTCCTTTTCCTCTTTCATTCGATTAAGACCGTACTTTCTCCGTCGGTATTGGGCCTCACTCTCACTGAGACCCTTCTGCGGATCTGTCTGCAACATTTCTTCGGAAACGCGACGGGTGACACCAGGCTCGTTCGATATATCATCTTCTACATCGACAGGGCCGTCTAAGGTGAGGAGCTCTTCAATGAGAGTGTCCACATTCTCCTCCGGCTCATCATCATCGTCATCATCGGTGGGCACAGGTCTTTTCTCGTCTGGCGTGCGAGCCACAAGAGGACTTTTTGTATTGACGCCATTTAGCTGACGAATAGGCTCGGTGTTCTCTTGGTATCTGAAGACCCCAAGAGGGCCTGTGTTAAATTGGCCAACCATTGACGGCGATGAGGCAGGCGAGCAGGTGATTAGATTGAGACATATAACGCATAAAGTGATATGGTATGGCCCAAGATACTATAAAGGAGAGCCTCGAAAGACACCTTTCAAGCTGTAGAGAAAAGAATGAGGAACTGGGGGGAAGTTTGTCCATGAAGGAAGGTGCTTATAAGCCAGTGAGGGAAAGAAGCAGCTCCCCATCTTGTACTAAACTCCTTCCCTAGGCCGTGACCTGGTGGCAAAGAACTGTTAAGACATCGAGTCCATTCAAGAGACAGGAAAGAGATGGGAAAAATCACCAGAGAGGAAGAGGTCAGTCTGTCAGGTGCAGGTGGATTACCCAATCCAGAATGCCAACCAGTCTTCCAGCAAGTCTCTCTGTCTTCCCTTCAACACAGCCTACTTCACTCTCCAAGCCACAAGGACACATTGATTCATCATCTGTGCATTTTTCTTTGGGATTGGAAGAAGATCATAGGTATGTAGTAGTGTCTTCTCATCCCGAAGCGTTCTAGTGTCTCCCGCAGACGCATCACTGGTTTCCTGCTAACAGTGAAGAGACTTCCCCAGACTAGAGGTATCCTAGACAAGAATCAAAGAATATCGAAAGTCGAAGGACCCTTCCGATGAGAACTATTGAAGCTCAGAAAATCTTTGCTGCTGAACGGTTCATCAAGGAGGAGTCCTCCTGTCTGCTACAGCCATTTAGCTTTGTCGCGATCAGAGGAAGACCCATTGGTACGGATACTCTCAGCTCTCGATAACCACCAGACGGCCGCCATTTGGAAGAATACAAGATGTGAATGAGGTCCTCACCGTGCATTCTTAGCAGACTGGTTAACGTACATAGACCATTTGGTTATGTACAAGGTACAGCCAATCAAACATCCATTTCGGAGACATCCAATTACATAACCAATAATATGCGGTGGACGTCATTGCAGCCAGAGAACATAAATTCATCATCTCTGATGCATCTGGAATCTATCTATATCGCACCAAGTCACTGTCGCCAAAAGCAAACTTCAGCAGATGGGTGGCCTTGTCACCAATAGACTGAGCTAGTCTCTTTTACCTCCATTCCTCCCACCATACGTTGTTCCTGTTGCAAAGCTCAAACTCCATGAGAACCCAATTTCTGTCATTCGGGCGAGCTTGGCTCTCCACCCTCTATTGAGGACAACATTTATTCTTGCATAGCGCCGACGTACATATTCTGCTTGACCTATTCCTAACCGCTTGTATACCTGAAGAATCATGAATCGGGAAATCCCTGGGTTCTATTACGGTATGTGTAAACTATCGCCCAAGACGCGATGTCATGGCGGACTTCACATTGACCATACAATAGATCCCGAAAAGAAGAAATACTTCAAAATCCAGGCTAGCCATAAAGCTGCCCCTGGGGCGCAGTATTCGAAGGATGCAGTGAAGAGAAAGCGGGTAGAACATGAGGTTGCCCACTTGATTCCAATCATTCAAGATGAACCATAAAACTGATTCCCCCTCTAGAGACGTCAAAGAAAGGTTCGACTCACACAAAAACTAGCAAAGGAGAAAATCAGAAGAGCCCCTCTGCTCAGACATCCCCTACTGGGAACTGAACGAGAAGTTGGAGCCCAGATTTGGTCAAGACCGTTTCGACAGGAGCAACACGGCCTGACCTATGCGAGTCAAGTCACGCGAAAACAAATACATCGGTTCGAGCCATGGCCAAACGATTATTCCATCAAGCATGTAATACGTAACAACCGTTCTGGTATCCTGATTGCCAGTAAGTCTGGATCATTATCCGGAGCCTCAATCTTGGCTAATAATGTTCTAAGGTGGTTATCGTGGTGGTGAATCTTCTGTCTCGTAAGTTCGGACTTTCCGACTGCGTTGCTATCCTCTCTTATGCTTAGCCTTTCTTTAGGGTGTGTTTCCCGGACTCTGTCCAGGAGACGTGGACATACAATCGGACCATGGAACGAGTGCTGTTCAGAGAACCATATAGAGTATGTGTGTTCGTCACTCCTCAAAAATTGATGTAGTGATGTGAGGCACATGCTTATACGGCTCTCCACAATCTCCAGCTTTCTTCTATATCCCTGAGTCATACCGGGTACTTGCTGTAAGTGCTTACAGAAAATCGGGTTTGGAGGTGCTCTGCTAACAAAAGCGGCAATAGAGCCACGATGGATAGCGGTCCAAATGGTGATTCCTTTCTAGCTCCGCGAATGCTACCTGATCTTGGTGAAGGAGGCGACTACCGTTGGCCTGCCTTCTGTACGTAGTGGTACCCCACGCAAGAGCCTACCAGAAGGCATGAAAACGGCTGACATTGTTCCTTGACCAGTTGCACATCCAATTCGCATCCGCACAGAGTCGTCTCTTTGGTGCTCGTCACCCTGTCCAGAGGGCAGCAAAGCACTGTTCGCCATCGGAACATCCGAAGGCCTCCAGACGTTAGAGGGCTTAGGCAGTTACTGGGCCCTCTTGAAGAAGCCCTTTGCGAACGATGTCATCACAGGGAAACCGACCTCGCATCGACGTACCGATTCATCTCATGCACTTGTGGCAAGCGTCGAATGGTTATCAGCGCATGTCATTGCTGCTGGTCTCAAAGACTCGGCAGTCTTCCTCCACGATCTACGAAGCGGAGGCACTGCGACACGTCTTCAGCACCCCCACGCAGTCACAAAGATCAGAAGAGTCGATCCTTACCGAATGGTCGTCGCAGGCCTAAACTCAGTATGTACTCTCTCTCTCTCTCTCGTCCCGGCAAAGTTACACATCAACCACAAGCAGCAGACAAACTGACAGCCTACTAGCTCCAAATGTACGACATCCGCTACCCAGCAAACGGCCTCCAGCGCAACCCAAACCCCAACCGTCCAAGCCACACCTCTACCAGACCCTATCTCTCATTCTCCGATTACTACCCCGAAGTCATCCCCGACTTTGACCTAAGCCCTGAGCTGGGGCTGCTCGCAAGCGGTAAGACCCCACGGCCCCAAGCTTCTTCTCAGAAAAGAATGAATCAAGTTGCTAATCTAGGACATCAAGCCTCCGACGACTGCAAGGTTCAGCTATTCTCCCTTCGTACCGGAGACCAGGTCTCCTCTCCTCTGTCGAAATACCAGTACTCGCACTCCATCTCTTCGCTTCGGTTCGAATCGGGCGAGAAGTCTTTCCAGGGACCTCAGACGCCCAGTCTGCTGGTTTGTTCAAGTGCCACTGTTGATGAGTGGATTTGGTGAAGTCTGTTCTGTTACTTTTAGTATTATGGTAAAACGACAATCATGATTATGAATCGAACATTATTGGGGTTTATCCCAAGGTGATCCAAATTCCTATATATCGTACACTTGTGTAGCTTGTTATGAAAACCATGGACGGTGATCGCTGTACTCCCACTGTATCCAAGAGTGTTGAAAGTCGTATGGTTCAATCTAGCCCACCCGCCAACCACTCGCCAACCTCCACGCCAATCCCCTTGGCCATCTCCCCAATCCAGTCCCCGGATACATTGACACACCATTTCTCCCCAGCGTCAGAGGTAGTATTCCCGCTGCTCGTGCCACTCGCTCCCATGCCCATACGGCTCGAACTGTCGCGGCCTGCCGAGGGCACGACGAGCCGGAGACGCCGCAACGTCGCCAGCTCGGCGTAAATCGCATCCGACACCGCTGTCGTGCGAATTGGGTTGGCGGGCGGGTTAGGGTCGATGGCGTGGTAGATGGCGATGAGGCGCTCGAGGGGGAACGGGCGGGCGGTGAGGATGGTCGACGGCCCCGTGATGCCGGGGGCGCCTCCGGCGGAGGTGGTGGCGGAGGTGGTAGCGAATGCAGATTCGAGGGTGGATTTCGTGATGCGCGTTTTTGTTCTCTTGCCCTTTCTGCCGGGGGTTGCGGGGCCCTGTGTCGCGGCGCGGTAGTCTTCGGCTTGGGCCTGCGAGAGGACCTTCAGACGACGTCGGTGGTGCGCGCGCTTGTTGCGCGCGGAGAGGGAGGAGGAGGAGAATTTCGAGAAGAAGATCGTGTCGAGGCGTTGGGGAGTGTGCGAGGCGAGGTATGCGGATGTGAGAATAAGGGTCGGGAAGTAGGGGAGTGATGGCAAAGGGGACGGGGCGGACACGGCAGTAGCCATCGAGGCCTTGAGGGTCGAGGCAGAGCCGGTGCCAGGGGCGACGTCCTCGGTGACGATGTGATGCACCAGCGCTGCTTCGCCCTGTTGGCGGAACAGCGAGCGGTTTCTGACCAGGAGACGGGTGAAATCCCACTCTGCACCTCCCGGCGCCGAGTCGCCGCTGGTGATGGGGGCAACAAACTGCGGCCATAAATTCTCGCATATGGACTGGAATGTAGGTATTGAGCTGGCCGTTGGGCCGACGAGGGAGTCGTAAACAGCTGATACAAAGTGCGGGTAGAGCTTGGACGCTGCTTCTTGCGGAAGCCCGATGACTGGAGGCGGCGCGGAGTTGAGGATAATGGTTGTTGCTTCTTTGCGCGTATATGGAGGGAAACTAATATGGGGCACAGCCGCAGACTGCAGGAAAAGCGGCCGTGGAGAGGAACTGAGGATGAGGACCACGCATAGGGACGGGATCTATACAAGTCAAGTCAGCATGCGGTTCATCCCTGTTTGCAGTATACGCAGTTTTTCGTCTCCCTTTCCCCCTCCACTTACCAGCTCGCCAAGTCTCGCCAGGGCCGACAGAAGCGTCTGCGGCGCCTCGCGCTGCTTGTCAATGCCATCCAGCACTAGCACAAACTTGTCCTTCTTTCTCCCGGCGTCGGAAGCAAGGCATTCGGCGAGCAAGACCGCAAGCGTGCTGATGTGCTCGCATCGACCTTTCCCGAATTTCTCCCACTCGTCCTTAAGACCTAGTGCCTCCAGCATCGCCCACAGTATCTTCGTCAGCAGATGACGGCCGGTGATGCACTCAGTGCTCCGAACAATCGCGTGTGGCACATCGAGGGCGGAGAGAACGGCGCGAACGATCGTTGACTTGCACGTTGCCGAGATGCCGTGTACGACCACGGTGGATGGACCAGGTGTCCCACGCTAAAGAGAGATAGACGGCAAGTTAGAGATGCGACAAATACAAGTCGTTGAAAGTGCGATAAGGCAGTGGTGCAAACATACCCCGAGAAGACAGGCAAGCTGCCTTGTCTGAACTTCTCGACACGGCCATTGCTGGCTGATTGAGTAAAGACTCTCGATTCGAAGCATAAGGGTTGGTGAAAAGCTGGTGATATTACTACTACCATCAAGCTCTTGAGGGTCCTGGGAAGCGCATATTGCTGGCAAAAGATAAGGTTGACTATCGCGCCCGCAGATCAAACGCGCTGCAGATGCGAACTCACGTGACCATCAAATGCGGAGGAACTGCTTGCCATATTGTCTATAATTTGGGGGTGAAATAGTCTACTCATTATATCTTGGAAGAATTGGCTGTGCCAACATATGGATTTTGAAAATATGGGTACATCTAATCTACCGAATGTGCTGTTGTGACAAGCGTGGGAAGAGACAGTTGAGATCAAGTGGTACTGTAAACAACAACCCCTGAAATGCATGGAAACAGATGAAAATTGCTGCCAATGCTCCTGGCCCTGGTAATGAGAGAGGAGGTCGATTCAAAACCGATATGTGGCAATTTCCAGAGTTCAAACGACTGTTTCGTCTCGCCTTGACATGGAGAGGCGGACTCGATCAGCTGAAGGCCAACGCTTGATGCAACCGTAAAAGGGCACAGATTCGAATGATAGAAACCAATAAAAGAAAGAAAACATCGAGGAAACTAGAAACACATCTGGGGGATCATATGTGGGGGTGGGGGTTGAATGCAGAGTTTGACAATGCCATGAAGAAGCAGGAATAAACATTCCGGGTGGTGTTGAAAAGAAAAGGGCGAGAAAAAGAGCAAAAATACAAGCCAATAATGCAATTCATCATCTGCATCACATTGCCAGAAAATATGGAACAAAATGCAAAGTATTGCATGAAGATAAAAATCTTGTCGTGGTATCAAAAGCCGAGTCCCCCAGGTTGACTAACGATGAGTCAAAAGGTGGCCGTAAGTCATCAAGATCGTAGCATCATCTCAATATGAGTACAATTCGGTGAACAGCAACTACGATCCCAGACGCAGTGTAACGCATTAAAAGTAAGCGTACAATTGACTCTGGGCCCCGAGGTTGCCGTTCGGCTGCTGAGCAGCAGGGGTATAAATGCTGGATGAATTCTCGCTGGCGCCGCCAGACGCGGTATTCGAGGCAGATCCAGATCCAGTGGCAGGCACAAAATTCTGTGTCGCGAAATGTGTTCCAACAGCAGGGGCAGGGAACGAGTTGTGTTGATACAAGAAAGGCTTCTGTGGGCCTTGCAGGGGACCGGGAAGCTGGGTAGAGTTCATTTCGTTCGGAGTGACCTGTCCGCTGGTTGCAGCGCTCCCTCTTCCAGAGCCCTCGGCGGCCATCATCTTTCCAGCAATTCGGCGGCCATGGGGTGTCTGGCGAATCGAAGGCAGGATTGGGCGAATTGCATCCACGATGCGGCCTCGGGTTTCCGGGTCGGCGAAGTCCATCGCGGTCTGAACGACATAATTGGCAAACGAATCGCGAAGCATCTTTTCAAGCTCAACTCCGACCAACATTTCATCAATCATCTGACGTTTGATCTGGAAATCCGCCGTGCGGAGACACTTCTCAATAACATTGGAGCTGAACTTCTGTTTCGAAAGCGCCGGGATATTGCCGCGGAAAGACTGGCAGAGGGGCTCCGTGAAATGAGGCTCGGCAAGATCCAGGATGTACTGCACAACGTAATTTCCAAATGGATCCTGAACCAAAGCGAAGGCATTGCTAGTGATCTGTGCAATCAGACGGGCTCTCTGTTCACCCGAAGCATGATCAATGCAACGCTGAAGCACACAGCAGCCATGACGGTGGGTCCCAACGACGACACAATTGCCACCAACTGCATCGTAAATGAACTGCGCGTCCTCTGCAGAAAGACGATTGAGACATTTCTGAATGACGTGGTTGCCGTTAAGATCCTGAACTAGCTCCACAACATGATCGCGTAAAGCCTGAATCACAGTCTGAGTTTGCTCGGCGGTGGAGATGAACTCAATCATTTTCTGCAACGCCCGAGTTCCGTGTTGATTGAGAGCTATCTTTACAAGCTGGTGCGCAGCGTTGTTAATAAGAGCAGTCCGCTGGTCATCGTTGGAATATTCAAGCAGCTTCTGACATAAGTAGTTGCCGAAGGGGTCTGTGGGAACAAAACTCAGTTAGAAGATAGGGACACCGCATATCAATAGAAACAATGGATTCACGAACCAGTCATCAGTTCAACGACATGCAAGTGGGTTTCGTCGAATATCAGCTGAACGTGCTCCGGGTCGCGCTCCTCCAGCTTTCTTTGCAAATACCTGCAACCATGTTGATCCTTGCAGAGGCTGTACAACTCGCCTCGATAATGCTCGAGTGGAAAGTTGGTAAAGCGAGATAATTGGCTCGATTCCGTATCACCGTTTCTGCGAGGAGCGGCGCTTTTCGCCTGACCTTCTGCCAAACGGAATCCAGCGTAAGGAGGGTATGCACCATAGGAGGCAGCCGCCGAATTAAAGTTTTGAAGCTGACCGTTGACGGGAACTGGGTATCCCTGAATGCCATAACCATAGAAGGGAGGCGGGAAAGTGTTCACAGCGGGGGCACCCACGTTATTGGGAGCTGTTCCAGTGGTGAGCTGGGGGCCAAAAGGAGGAGCGCTAGCCTGCAACGTGGTTGGCTGGGACAAGGTGCTCTGTGGCTTCGTATCGTCATGCTGCAGCATGTCCTTCTGCGGACCATTGGTGGCATTCGCTGGGATCCTGCCCATGGTGGAAGTGTGCTGCTTAAATTGGTCCACGTGGGTCTTTGGAGGGGTGATTGCAGGATTGAAAGTGTCGCCCTTGACAGTGGGTACATCGTTTGTGGAGTATGAAGTCTGCAAAGACATGGGACGGCTGGAACCAGCTTGACCCACAGTTGCGTTACCTACCTCGTTGTTATAGTGAAGATTTGCCTCGAGGGAGTGTCTAGCAATGTGACGTGGAGTAGACGACGCTTGAGAGTGGGGTTCGCCCGTCGAGCTACCGAGCTGATCAAGACGGAACATGTTCAAAGCGTTCTGTGGCATGCTCTGATGGGAAGAACGATGACGACTATGTGCGTTCCAAGTCTCTGGATTTGGAGTACGTGAGTTTGCCAGGTCCAGGGCATCAGAGTTTGCAGAAAGCTAGGAAAATAAGTCAGCAAAAGTCACAAGCTGGTTGTGGGACAAAAAGGAGGTAGACCAGGTAGAAAGAGAGAAGTGAGATAGAATGTGTGTGTGTATGTCTGTAAGACAAGAGGAACCAAGGTGGGGGGAAGACATAGCATTCAAAACCTACCAAGCCTGAATCGTCCCTGCGTGACAGGGTGGGAAACTTGTCGTCAGGATCGGTCAGTTTGAGGTAGCTCTTGATGTCCGGAGTAGGGATTCGATCGTCTTCGGTCACAGTTGCTCTGTCATCCTCGTTCTGAAGTAGGTATTTGGCTGCGGAAAAGGACTCCAGGCCTGTGTTATTGCTGAAAGCAGAGATATTAGGACGAATCTGAGAACCCAAGCCAGAGGCAGGCATTGAATAGCGGTGAATCCTGGCAGAAGAGTGTTAGCCAGGCATAACCCCAAGCAGGTGACGCAAGCTTGAAGGTGAAAAGCATAAAGGAGAGATTTCATATAAGAAACACGCCATGCCAGCATCACGTGAATGTTGAGATAGTGACAGCACCCCTGTGGACTCATCCTCCACCACTCCATGCCCAACAGACAAAGGGACGATGCAAACGAGGACGAGCATTCGGGGAGAAAACAACTTACGAAGGTCCAGGACGAAAAGGAGAAGCAGTTTCTTGACTAAAGTCCTCCTTCTCAGAGTTTCTACGAGAGCCAGGAACCGAGTGCACAGAGAAGCGATTGGTGGGGGTCTGGACAGAGCTGTGGCTTGCTTGGCTGGGAGGAGAGGTCACTTGGGAGGGAGCAAAGACATTGAAGAAGCCGGGAGAAGAGGTCACGCTCGAGGTTGAGAAGCGGGTGGGACGAGTGAATGCACCAGCAAAGGCATTTTCACGGTATTCTGGGGGAGTTGTCGGCTCGCTGACGGGGCCCGACAACCCCGCTTTGGCCAGATCTCTAGCCAGCTGGTCCATCTCCTGCTTCTCTTTCTCGTGCTGCAAGTCCAGGAGTTTCATATCTTCCTCGAAACGTCTCCTCTGCTCCCGCATGTACTCTATATGCTGACGCTTCTTCTCGAACTGGAAATGAGTCAGAAACGGGGCTTCACAGTAAATAGACCATAAAAATAGCGCAGGCTGACAACGATGTCATCACTTGGCAAGTTTGAAACACGAGATAGAAAGGGCAGCGGGCCCTATGATGTCAAGCAAAGTGAATGAGACAGCAGGGCGGGGAGGGAGTGAATGACTACAATAGAAGGGGGGCTGTATTGAATAGAGGTGATGCTGAATAGATGAAACCAACATGCAGACGACACTCAAAAGCAGCGACTACAATATGAGCTCACATGCGAAATGGAGCCAAATCGCATTCTTGACTAACGGCGGATTATGACCATGGGACGCTTACCGATGACAGCAAATCCAGCGGATCAGCGATGTGAGACGAGCTTCCCACATTGTTCAAGTAGCTCCAAGACGAGAGCTTACTCGAGTCCGTAGTGAATCGTCGCTGAAGGTTGGCGCGCACATCGCCTGACGGCCGCGAAAACGCCGGGGCGAAGCTCGAATGGCCTGGGGAAAGCGGATTATAGCCGGGGAAGGTAGACTCGGAGGGAGGAGATCGCGGAGAGGGGAATCGCAGCTCATCGAGGCGTTCACTCAGCCCATTTTTGAAGGCCATTATGGGCAAGTTAGAGTATATTCACGGACTAATACCATTCAGGGGTTGAGATAACAGGTTAGAGGACAGTTCTCTAATCGCATTATGGACGACGCAAGATTTAAAGATGGAGTAGAAACGACTGAAAGCAATAGGGCATCCCTACGTAAGACAGCCCCGGGGAAACAACAGTGAAGCAGACAGAACAGGGAGAGGATATCAGTTGGCGGTGTGCCTCCTCTTTAATGGGGGTGCAAAGTAAGGGAGTCCCAAGAGGGGCTGAGGGGAGACTTCTGGCGGAGCAAATCTTCGGAAAGAGGGCCACGACTCACACACAATGAACGCCTCGAGAGTTATAAATCCAAGCCTAAGATGAAAACACCGTCGACCGTAATCCGATCGGACAGCACGAGAGGTTATTTCGAGTGTGGTTGGCACGTTCAGCAACGTGGTCCTAAAGATGCGGAGATCTCGATGTTGGCTCTCGCAGGGCGGGATTTGCACCGTACACACTCGAAACGAGCGGCAGGCGAATGGGGAGCGCAATGGGAAACGAGTGAACGATATGCAATGCAATTATTTCCAAGAACCACAATGATGAAGGGGTAAAAGAAAAAGGAAAGGATAGTAAAAAAAAGAAAAAAGAGAAAAAAAAAGAGAATAGATGTTGTACAGATGAGTTAGGGGACAGAGGCGAGGATGAAAGAACAAGCGAACCCAAAGGGCAGAGAGGGAGGAAATGAGAGGGGGGGAACCAGACGAGAGAGTGGGCGGCGGCTGGGAGTCTAAAGCGGGGAGTTTATAGCAGTAATCAATCAGTATGTATGGTAGTAGTATGAACTGGACTTCTTTAGGAAAACGGTCTTTTTTTCTTCTTTTTCCTTTCCCTCGTTGTCTCCTTAGTTGTGTGCCTGATTTCCTTGTGTATAGAGTATTTTTTTTTTTTTTTTTTTGGTTAATTTCTTACGGAGTAGTGCTGCTTAAAATCCGTGAGCAGATCATTGATGATGATGATGGCAATGCAGACCAGCAAAGTTGGAGATGCAAATATACTTCAGTAGATATATCTATCCATCCCTTTGGGGTCTGTGTGTTGGATCATCCTAGCTCTTCTCTTATTTTTTTTTCTTCTCTTTTTTATACTGAGGACTAAGTCAAGAGGAGCGAGAAGAGGTCCTGACTCCTAAGTCATCCTAATCCTATCCTCCACAATCAAAAGTGATGACTTTTCCATCGCCTATTCGTTCTCGGTCAACGCAATCAATCAATTAATCAGCGTTGAAAGAATGCTGGATGAGCTGTCATCTCTCTCTCTCTCTCTCTCTTCTCTGACTGATGACATGATCCTCGTTCAGAACGAGGATGATTTTCTTTCTGACGGATCCAAAATCTGAATGGACTCCTGGGCAGCCCTTGATTGGACCTTACATTGCTCTTCCCTGTGCAATTTTGATGCTACTGCATGCCTTGAACTAGTTGGGGAGGGAGTGGTGGGAGCTCTCCCTGGAGGGGGCGCTGACTGGGGCTTGCTGCGGCTGGCAAGATTGGCTCTTATCTTGTCTTCATCTTCGCCTCCTTTGAAATCAACATCACAGGTCATATTATGATGGGATTACTGACCACCTACTATCTAGTTACTGAAGTTACTGTAATTGATGAAGTCTCCTTTTTCGGGAGGTTGTTGACTCGTGCAAGGGGGATTTTTTTTATTTGGGTTGTGCACCTGTGCTGGTTGAGAGCGTGGCCACTGCACGTCTTTCCTTGTGCATTGAGTGGAGAGAGAAAGAGAGAGACAGAGCAGAGTCATTCATAAGATATGACAGCGGATCCCTTCTAGCCTCTGAGAGAGTCCCAGGGGTGTCTGGGTGAGGCCAACAATAGTATCACTAGTTATTATTGATTGTTGCTTGAATGGACAATACATACTCTCTAGTCTCTACTACCTTAGCTGATACTAGGTACCTAGAATCTACTAAGAAGCGACTGTTCTAGACAACAAATCCATCAAGACCATTTTCAAATTGTCCACTGTATCCCTTGATCATCACCCTGTATCTCATCCAAGTTTATTCAATTGTGGTTGTTCAATAATAATCACATCAATAAATATGATTATTGTCAATTGTGTCAACATGGGTCAGTGGTTACTGGGTTACTGGTTAATTGGTAGAGTATCTGACCTTACTTTGTATAAGCGTGTCCAAACCACCAAGTTACCAAGTTATCAAGTACCATTCTGGATATCTTTATGGTTTGCCACGCGCGTCCCAAATGGTTTCGCGACTGAAACCTTGGTTAACGCTTATGAATTTTCTCAGACTCTTTTTCTGCCCGGGCTCAGTCTCTGGATCTAACAGAAATTGTTGAGAATCGGAAAGGGTTCCAGGGTTTGCTCTCGGATACCTTCTGAATAAGCAGATTTAATTTGGTGTTCTTTTCCTCCAAGTCTAGTCCCATGGATTAAGCGACTGACTGGAACAAAGGTTGGTCGATCTCTCCAGTGATATCTCTGACTCTTGATTGGAGCCAACATCTCATACTCTGTTTAGCTACTGTACTCCCTAGTCTGGATCAACCCCTATTTCTCTTGAGCTTTTCATGCAAAATACCTATTGAATTAATAATTCAACCCGGTCAGAGACTTGACTCCAAGATCTGTTCGCTGTCACAAGACACGAGGTGCTCAGGACCGATTCGCTTGTGGCTCTTTGCAACGGGCTTCTGCAGAAAGACGTCAATGGAGCTTGAATGGATGCTCAATCTGACTGGTGCAGGACAAGCGGTGTAGTACATGGAAACACAGGGAACAAATCATTAGTGAGCTTTTTGGATTAGGTGATTTGGTATGTTTCCTGGACTTCATGACAAAGAATCTTCCAGTAATGGATGTACTCTGAAGATACCTGTAGATATTTATCATGAAGTACTTTTTTTCGGGGTATTCATTTTTATAAATGAGCTCTTGGAACTAAAGTCCCATGGACTGAATGATAATGATTGCTTAATTTTGTAGAGGCATAGTCCCCTTTTGTTGACTATTATTAGTAATAAGGCTGGCTTCTTCACCAGGCAATAATGGAAATATATAGCTACTTCATAGATGGATCTGGCACTCCACTCCCAAAATATCCATTGGTGTATTGTTTTCATCCTCTGGCGCTACACAGTAGATCCGGTGCTTCAGGTTTTATCTATAAATCACTGATCAGTCATTGGATGTCCATCTATATTCCAATCCGATTCCTAGCAAGGTACCAGGCTACCAGTGACTCAGTGAGTCAGTACTCACAGTGCATGACAGACTAACTCCTGGGTACTTACTTGCCCCTCACTGTAACTAGTTATCACTTTGCTTATCTATGGGCCGTTTCATGTCCCTCTCCATCTTAACGTCCCAGGATGATGAGAGTAACTACTAACTACTCATACTGCTGTCATGCATGCCTTTCTTCATCACCATTATTAGTTGAGCAAACAATAGAATGGTTGTAATATGCCCTCGTATGAGCAGATCATCGCTTGATAGTCAAGTTTCATCTCATCGAAACCCCTGTGCCATGAAACCATCCACCTCATACCTGCAAGCGATGACATGATGCTATCTATCGAGTTACCAAGCCTCTTGAGTACCCCGCGCTGCCGAGGACGACAAGACTATGGTCAGAAAGACAGAAAGGTAATCATAATGTCAAAATGACAAAAATGACGTGTCATTTTGACTTTTTTTCCTGACAAAATAATATTTTGTTAGCAAAAGTTGAAATGTATTGGTAAAATCAGGGGGAGATATGACACAGTTGACCAACCCCCACAACAGAAAAAGAATATATGAAAAGTGATGAGTTTTGAAGCTATTCAAACCCAGGAGATAGCGAATATAGTCAAATTTTAGGTGTAGAATTCAATTCTAGGCTGCCCAAGGCCGTTTTCCAAGCACCTGCGGTGGCTCTGTCAGTTAAGCAGGCGGAGAGCTCTCTATCTCAGGCTTCTCAGCCTGTATGCTCATATTATCATGAATATATATGTCCGAATCATCTCTTCTTCTTCAAGCTGAAGGTCCTAGGTAGGTACTGGGTAATTGACTACTGGAATCAGGTGATAGAGAGATCTATATAATCTGATTGGTTGAATTTTGAAATATTGCTCTCCCATTGGTTACAGGAAAGTATCCACTTTCTTCACGTGACATTTGTCATTTGACATCTTGGCTAGACTTTTGACATACACCGTCACCACCCCTACTATAGAGATCGACTATGGGTCATACTCATGGCTTCTCTTCTACCCCGGCATTGGCCCGGCACGTCCCAACTGATCTCCACGCCTGTTCGATCTAATTCTAATGATTTCTGATTTTAACTCTGGCCAGCCGTCTGTACGATTATGCCCGTCAGGATAGCACACGCATTGAAGCAACCCACCGGCTGTCTTCAGAAGAACGCTAATAATACCATTGGGTCTTCTCAACCACTCTGCATTCGTCTTGAACAATCGAGACCTTAAGAATACACGTTATACGACCGTCCGCCACAGAATGACCAGTAAACCGTCATAATGATACCACCGGCATTCCATAACTATTTTACTTCATCACTCGTCAGTATTTCACCAGTGTATCAAGGGACTCTCTTACCTCCCCCCAACTTCGAAGGACATGAGCATTGTCACTCATGATGGCCTGGTGGCGAAGAACGTCGAAGTTGCGGTCAGAAGAACTCACGCCACAGGTTTCTCAGATACGGTGAACCCCACATAGTCTGAAAAACGATTGACATCAAGGGCTTCTAGGCTTCTGGGTTTCTCTGCCCTTCACTAGCATCTTCGCGGTCCTGGGGTCTCTATCCTGTCGCGCGTACCCAAAGCCATGCAGTACCCAACAAGTTCAAGCAACTAGGCTTGCTTCCGGACCCTCACTGCCCCCCTTGTGGATTAATTGAGCCGTTAGACTCAGACTTATCTCCTTGCGAGGCTGTCAGATTGTTGCCCAACTCTGCAGGTCTTGAGATTTGACTCACCTCCCGACGGGAGTGGGGATGCGCTGCCGACTCGGCATAAACTTTAGCTGCACACAGAGGAGCAAGCCTTGGCTCTCTTAGAGAGGGTGCTGAGAGAGCAAAGGCCTATATTCTTGTCCTTACAAGACAAAGAGGGATCTCTGTACTGGCATTAGTCATGCTGGGATACGCGACACACACAGAGGATGTTAAATGCTGCTGTTGGCGGTTGCGGCTGCTACAGTAGCCATCATGTGCAATCGGGTCCTAGTATATTCCCGGCAGAAGCGGCTAGGCCCCTAATTTTCAATGCCAATGCCAACTCACCATACTCGAGACCATCCTTAGGGCTACTGGTCCTGTGTCCTGTGTCCGCTGGCGACATTGTCAGCTTGAACTATCCTAAGAATGCTACGTCGTTGTCCCAAGCATGCATTGTCGGACATCATTTGGGTTGACAGGTCTTCTTCGTTGGCCGGGGTCGCGCCTCCAACCGCCCTTTAGGCTTCTGACAACTCTTCACATGTTCGTGGTCGTACCTAGTTTGTTGCGGAGCTGCAGATGCGGTTTACAGCTGGACAAGAAGCAACAATCCGAAATGCAGCAGGCTGTTTAGGGAACAGCGAGGTATTCCTTTCTAGCACAGAACATTCTCTCAAAGCTTGTCAGCCCTGTAAGTTGGGCACCAGTTGTGATGTCAAAAATGGTCCGGCGCCACCCTCCCTGGGTGACGGAGACATTCGATGCAGACAATCGTGGTTTCAACAGCTTCAGCATGTGACGCTGAGAACCCGCGATGCTGTGCCCAAGTCAAACCGGCTATTCGACGATGAGTCGATGTAATGTTCTCATGTCGAGTCTCGGCTCTGAGACCTCTCTCATGCAGCCACTTCTAAAATGACGTGCCTTTGGTTCGCGGGTTGTCGCATTGATCTCCGGATCGGACCCCATGATCAGCAATGGTCGTTGTTCTTTGAAACATGATCAGTATGGCTGATTTTTGTCTCATACACATCTTTCGCATTTCGTACCAGACGGATAAGTTGCACCGATGGACCGGCTTGTAGATGTTGTTTATATGGAGGAAGTTCCATCCAACCCGGTCGACGCTTGACTGAGAGTCATGCCATAGCCAACGTGAGGACTTAGCGATACTCATGCCATTCATTCTTGAAGGCTTTGTGAGCAAGCTCCGTCCCTCGCGTGTGGTCTGAAGATGTACCCAGAAATATCATACCGCACAGCACGATCGAAGCAGTTCCCGACTGCGATTGTTCAAAAAATGCAATCCAAGTCCTGAATACTGACCGGCTTTCTTTGTACTCCGTAGCAAGGTACCTACGCTCCAGAAGCCGCCAAAGCACCTCCATCAGGCCTTCGAATCTTTCCGTGCGCAGAATCCAAACCATATCTGTCACACCAACAACATCACAGCAAGCGATCAATTCAATTCCAAGACGAACTAGAAACGCCATCGACCGGATATGTATCGGCCTCTCAGCCTCACATCGATCTCCGACTAGCCGTTCTAATAAGATTTCAATGCTTGCTTCCCATTCCACTCCCACGCCCTATACACAACACCACATCTACTCCCTTTCCCCACATCCCCGGCGCGTGGGATGCATCATTATGCATTCACCCGAGATTCTCCCGCCCAGAAGCCCTCAAACACCAGAGCCGGACCATACTACTCCGCATCCCGAGCCTAGATATACTCTATGTAGTATCTAAAGTCCTTCCCCCCCCCTCTCCGCTTTACACGCCCAGATGACCTGCACTGTGACTCAACCGGGCTCTAAAACTACGCCCTGGGCTTCCATGTCTGTGCTTTAGGGCTTCGGAGGCCCGTCTATTCAATGGGTACCCCGGTGGGGGTGGGTCGGTTCTCGGGTCTCCATCTGCCAGAGCCAGGCCCCCAGGTAAGCTGGGTGGGTTCGGGGTTCGGATGTATGACAAAGATTTTTTTTCTCTTTTCTATTTATGAGTTGTGGATTCCGTTATTTGCTTTGTGTTGTGTAGTGAAGGGGTTATAATAACTGGACTACATATATCTTCTGCGCTTGATGGGTTCCGGATCTCTTTGACTTTGAGAGTTCATTCAGCATAGCTACGGAACAAGTCTCACGATGGTACTCTTCCGCAGACCTCCGAGATATGTCCTTGCGAGTATACTTTGCTTGTGCGGCGGGCTTCTCTTCGGGAAAGTCTTCTATGAACCTTCCATGGCCCTTCCGTGATGTGGGTTAGATGGGATTTGATTCTGACGAGAGATGATTCAGAATGGACACCGGTATTATCGGCCCGGTTACCGTGATGGAGAGCTTCGCGGCCAAGTTCGGGATCCAGTCTGCAACTGTCCACGGGCTGACGGTCTCGTCCATCCTGATCCCCGCGGCGATATCCTCGTTCTTCGCTGGCTTCTTGGCCGACGAACTGGGGAGGCCGACGGGTATCAGCATTAAGGCCCTGATCTTTGAGATTGGCGCCGCGATTGAAGGTGCGGCTGCCCACCTAGCCATGTTCATTGTAGGGAGGTGTATTGAGGGGATTGGCGAGGGGCTGTACCTCGGCACCCTGGTTGTGTGTGTACGCCTGTTTTGCTACAGACGCACTGCCCATTTGGTGTCGCTGACTGAAATCAGGTATATCTGCGAGATTTCTCCGACCAGCATCCGAGGCACTTTAGCGACAGGCCCTCAGTTGCTCATCACCTTGGGGCTAGTGATTGGGTTCTTCACCTGCTACGGTACCGCTCGCGTCAATTCGTCCTTGTCGTGGCGCACGCCGTACATAATCCTGGTGTATTTGTCTGTTCTGTTCTCCGCAGCGTCGTACCTCTTCCTGGTCCCATCGCCAAGGTGGCTAACGCTTCATGGTCGTCGTGAAGAAGTAGCAAGAACTTGGGATATCTTGGGTGTTGGCCAGGCAGAACGTGAGAAGGTCGAGATCGAGCAAGTCCGGCAAGATCGCATTCAAGCCCAGGCCATCCAGGAGTCTTCCGATGCTGTAATTGCTCCACAACCTCAGATCAAATCAATGATGCACAAACTGTTGGATATTTTCTCCAAGGACGTTCGAGCTCGCACGGCTCTCGCGGTGTTCCTGATGGGAATGCAACAGCTCTGTGGTATAGATGGGGTATTATATGTAAGTCCTCCGTGCCAGAAACCCATCTCAAACCCCTGGAAGCCTCGATCAGTCAGAAGCAACGTTAGGAAAACTGGCAATGGTAATTCTGACACGCATATCTGCAGTATGCACCTCTGCTTTTCGAACAGGCCGGTCTGGCTTCTGCCAGTGCCACGTTCTTCGCCTCTGGTGTTTCGGCCATTGTGATTTTTGTGGTGACAATCCCTGGTCTTATCTGGGCTGACAGATGGGGCCGCCGGCAGAGCACCATCTGCGGAGGAATCGGAATCTGTACCACCATGTTCTTGATAGGAAGCCTTTATGCAGCCAATGCAGTGGATGGTTCCTCTGGAGCGGGCCGATGGGTGGGCATCATCTCCATTTATATCTTCGCGGTGATCTTCTCACTTAGCTGGGCGGTTGGCATTAAAGTTTATGCCACGGAGATCCAGCCGCAGCGCACGCGAGCATCCGCCACGAGTCTCGCGCATGGCGGCAATTGGGTGACCAACTTTCTGGTGGCTCTAGTGACACCCATCTTGCTCTCAAAGAGCAGCGTCGGCGCATACTTTCTGTTCGGTGGACGCGCGCTGATCACTACCGTCGTCTGCGCGATCTTCATGCCGGAGACGCGGGGAAAGTCTCTTGACGAGATTGAGGAGGCCTTCAAGTCGAGATCTCTGGGTTCCCATTTTGCAAAACTGGTTCGCCCCTTTACTCGGCTCTTCCCTTGATCAGATCAATTATGTCAAGGATCCATAGCTGAAAGTGTTGTTGACATGTCTGTGAGGACGTAGATATAAAGATAGCATCTTGATAGTCAAGAACTTGGCCCCATTTGGTTAGTTCCATCTTTGTAAGCTTTTTGGTGCGCTAGCCGGATCGAGATAGCTCACTGGCTTACATAACCCACCCCTCCGCTCTGCGTGGAATTTCTAATTCGGATTTCGGACTTTTCCCCTCGACGATAAGAAATTGCACTCTAAATATTTCCCAGACGCCATGAATTTCCCTTGATACTCGCCCCCCTTTCGACTCATAGCCGTCAATAGTCATATCTAAATAAATTGTCTGTCTTCAGCGCCAATGCCTCCCCGTAGGAGGCCCCAGCCCTCCGCGGCCAGCCAAGCGCGATCCGCGCAGCCCTCAGAGGTATGGCAAAAGTTTCTCCGCACTTCGGAATTACACCTGTCGACGGGATGTGCTAACCATAGCGACTCTGATGTACAGACTGCAGCTTCTTCTAGGAAAGGCTCAACCGATGCCTCTGCAAAGAGAAGACGTTCCATCCAGTCTAAACCGCCTTCCAACCCAACAGCCGCGCAACCTGTCGAGCAGGACGATCCCGTGGACGAGCCTTCAGGACCTACCTACCGCCACAGAGATCCCTTCGATGCTCTCCTTGAACCATTCTACTACAACAAATCGCTCACGGACCCGATAAATACCGCAAAAGATAAATGGAATCTGTTGCCGGCTTTCTTAAAAGTGAAGGGATTGGTGAAGCAACACATTGACTCATACAACTACTTCATCGAGGTTCAGCTCAAGAAGATCGTTGAATCCAGTTCGACGATTCGCAGCGACATCGACCACAACTTCTACATCAAGTTCACAGATATCTATGTTGGGTCGCCGTGTCGAGCGGACGAGCCGCAGGATGCCAGTCTCGACGCTTTCCCTTCGAGTGTGTCGCCACACGAGTGCCGACTCCGTGATACGACCTATGCAGCCCCGATCCTGGTTGATTTCGAGTATATCCGTGGCCGTCAAAGGGTTATCAGGAGAGGTGTGTCGATTGGTCGAATGCCGATCATGCTGCGAAGCTCCAAGTGTGTGTTGGCCAACAAGACTCCGTCAGAGATGACCGTGTTGAACGAATGTCCATTGGATCCCGGTGGATATTTTATCGTCAACGGTACGGAGAAGGTTATTCTTGTCCAGGAGCAGTTGAGTAAGAACAGAATTATCGTCGAAACGGACCCGAAGAAGGAAATAGTTCAGGCCTCCGTGACCAGGTAAGTTGTGGTCATTCTTCTGATTCTTGTCAACCGTGGCTTACCTGGACTCTAGTTCTTCGAACGAGCGCAAGTCCAAGAGTTATATTATCTTGAAGAAGGATAAGCTCTACGTGAAACACAACGTCCTCAACGAAGATATCCCCATCGTCATTCTGCTGAGGGCTATGGGCATCCACACAGAGCAGGAGATGTTGCTTCTGGTGGCCGGTGTTGATAGCCTTTACCAGGACGACTTCGCCATCAACTTCGAAGACAGCATCAAGCTGGGTATTTACACTCAACAGCAAGCTTTGGACTGGATTGGTGCACGGATCAAGATCAACCGCAAGCAGATGTCCTATCGTCGGACCCATATCCAAGAAGCCGTTGAGGCTATCGCCTCCGTCATCATCTCCCACATTGAGGTCAAGAACATGAACTTCAGACCAAAGGCCGTCTACGTTGCCCACATGGCGCGCCGTGTTCTGATGGCAAAGAATGATCCCTCTTTGGTTGACGACCGTGACTACCTTGGAAACAAGCGACTGGAATTGGCCGGGCAACTTCTTGCTCTTCTTTTCGAAGATTTGTTCAAAAAATTCTGCTTTGATATCAAGATGAACATTGATAAGGTGCTGAATAAGCGCAACAGAGCCGAAGCATTTGATGCGTGGAGTGTCATGAGTATGCACGGTAACCACATTACCCAGGGTATGAACCGTGCTATCTCGACGGGAAACTGGAGCTTGAAGCGTTTTCGTATGGAGCGTGCTGGTGTTACCCACGTGCTCAGTCGGCTGAGTTACATTGCCGCCTTGGGTATGATGACCCGTATCAGCAGTCAGTTCGAAAAGACCAGAAAGGTCTCCGGTCCCAGAGCCCTGCAACCTTCGCAATTCGGTATGCTTTGCCCAGCAGATACTCCTGAAGGTGAAGCATGTGGTTTGGTGAAGAATTTGGCGCTCATGACCCATATCACGACCAATGACGAGGAGGGTCCGATCAAGAACCTGGTTTTCATGCTGGGAGCCGAAGATATCCTGGCACTCGGTGGAAAGCAGCTGTATACTCCCGGTTCTTACACCATTTCCATCAACGGAACGCCGATTGCGCTCACTCGCCGTCCCAAATTTTTCCTAAACGCTTTCCGCAGGCTACGACGCATGGGCCGAATCTCCGAATTCGTCAGTATCTACATCAACCACCACCAGTGTGCAGTACATATTGCAACTGATGATGGGCGAATTTGCAGACCCCTCATCGTTGTTGAGAATGGCAAATCCCTGGTCACGGGCGAACACCTGGAGAAGTTGCGTGATGGAACGATGCAGTTCGATGATTTCCTTGCTCAGGGTCTGGTGGAATATCTGGATGTCAACGAGGAGAATGATTCTTTGATTGCCATCTATGAGGACAGAATCACCGATACGACGACGCACTTGGAGATCGAACCGTTCACGGTCCTTGGAGCAGTCGCTGGTCTGATCCCCTACCCACACCACAACCAGTCGCCCCGTAACACCTATCAATGTGCCATGGGTAAACAAGCTATCGGAGCTATCGCCTCGAATCAATTCCTCCGTATTGATTCGATCTTGTACCTCATGGTGTACCCGCAAAAGCCGATGGTCAAATCACGAACCATCGAGTTGACGAAGTATGATCAGCTCCCGGCCGGTCAGAATGCCATGGTGGCTGTCATGAGTTACTCTGGTTACGATATCGAGGACGCCCTAGTTTTGAACAAGGGCTCCGTTGATCGTGGCTTTGGTCGCTGTCAAGTATTCCGGAAATACGTGACCAACTTGAAGAGTTATTCCAACGGTACCAAGGACAGGCTAAACCCACCGACATATGAGAACGGAGCTCCCATTCGTAAGCACGCGCTTCTTGAAAGCGACGGTCTTGCTGCTGTGGGCGAGCAGGTGAATGCCGGAGAGGTGTACATCAACAAGAGTACGCCCGACCAGTCGCACATGTCCGGTATTGGCTCCGACGCAGGCCGGCCAATCCAGTACACCCCGACACCTATGACCTACAAACTCCATGACCCTGCCTACATTGACAAGGTCATGTACTCCGTACAGGAGAACGAGAACCAGCTGGTCAAGGTCCTTGTCCGCCAGACCCGCCGACCTGAAGTCGGTGATAAGTTCTCCTCTCGTCACGGTCAGAAGGGTGTCGTCGGTATCATCGCCGACCAGGCCGACATGCCTTTCACTGACCTCGGCATCAACCCGGACATCATCATGAACCCCCACGGTTTCCCCTCTCGAATGACAGTTGGGAAGATGCTGGAGCTTGTTGCCGGTAAAGCAGGCGTTCTCGCCGGCCACCATGGCTACGGAACGTGCTTCGGCGGGACCCCCGTCGAGGAGACGTCGCGGACCCTCATCGCGCACGGCTTCAACTACGGCGGCAAAGAATACCTCACCTCCGGCATCACCGGCGAAGCCCTCCCCTTCTACGTCTTCACCGGCCCCATCTACTACCAGAAACTCAAGCACATGGTCCAAGACAAGATGCACTCCCGTGCGCGCGGACCCCGCGCCATCCTCACCCGGCAGCCCACGGAAGGTCGTTCCCGCGACGGTGGTCTCCGTCTCGGAGAGATGGAGCGTGACTGTCTGATCGCCTACGGCACCAGCCAGCTGCTCCTCGAACGTCTCATGATCTCCTCCGACCGCCACGAGATCGATGTCTGCGAGCAGTGCGGTTTCATGGGCTACTTGAACTGGTGCCAGCGGTGCAAGTCCTCCCGCAGCGTCGTCAAGATGACCATCCCCTACGCGGCCAAGCTTCTCATCCAGGAACTGATGAGTATGAATGTGACGGCCCGCTTGAAGCTCGACGACGAGTTCCCCGAGTCCAAGGGGATCTAAGCTTGATGGGATGGCGTATGACTGCGGAATGAATACCTAGCTCTGTTTCGTTTGATGTTTGTGATGCTCGCAAAAAAAGGTATTGTAGAGGATATTTGATGGCGCGTGAGGTCATTTGCTTTTCTACCACTTGTGCACTTGAGTCTGCCATGTACATTTCTTTGCATGCATAGCCCCGGCGACCTGGTTTATTTCCCTCACCTTGTTAAAAAAGCTTATCATATTCCTGGATAGAAAGGGCTCTTACTGGGCTACAATCTTATACGAAGATTCGTTGAAAGCAATTCTCTCTTGTGAGCAGTAGATGAAACATTTCTTTTTTTTGATCTCGCACTTGTAACACAGATACCAAACGAGAAGGAAATCATTGTAGATTCGATGAAAACGACTGTCAACGACAAAGGAGCCCAAGAGCATAGACTGTTAGAGACTGACGAGATTCGAACAGAACGCAGCCTGTTGGTACTTGGTGTACTCAGCTCTCTCCCAGTAGACCTCGTCGTGCAACCTCCTGGCCTCATTCATCGAGATGGGCAGACTGTCTTTCCTCTCCCTGAACTCCCGGGTGAGTTTGTCCAGCATGTGGTTCAACCCGTCCAGTTCCTGCGGGTTGACACCGTCGAAAGTCCAATCGAGCCTCTGCGGCGGGATATTGGCCGTGGAGATGATCCGGACATTCGGGTCAATTAGGAAGATGATGACTGCCTTGGCAGAGCCTGGCCGGGTCTTGTCGACGAGACCGAACCGGTTCATGCGGTGCTGGAGGGTGCTCGGGTAGGTGACGGCTCGGCCAAGAGTCGATCTGATCTTGCCTATTACTTGGACAGAGGGTTCACCGACCTCGAGGTCGTAGACTTGCTTCAGCCACGCGTGGTCGTTGTGCTCATGTTCGACGTCTAAGAGAGAGGCGATTTCGGATATCTGACGGAATTCTAGCACGGGATCTTGCACGTTATCCATGTGGAAGACGTAATGCATCATTGCGATCACATGTTCGTTCTGTGATCTCACAGGTCAGTGTACATGGCCCCCTAGGTAGGCTTATATTCCGGAAAATTGGCTCACCATTTGGCCCTCGCAGTGCCAATCAGATTGGAAATAAGGGCGCTCCGGCGTCAAGTCATAACTAGCGATCCTAAGAAAGAACTGAAGCCCGCGCCGTCCGTAGTCTTTGTCCAGTTCCACCCCCTGCTCAATTCGGACTGGAGTTGGCAGATCCGGAGGCAACATGGACATCATCCAAGGAGGCACCGCCCAAGGAAGAAACTTGCCGGCATCGGGCTGGACCACTTTCATATGCGCCATCCTCCATGCTTCTAGTCGATCTTCATATTCAGCTTGTGCCTCACCTGGTCTTGTTTTGGGTAACTGCTCCTCCACCTCCTTGGAAATGGGGTAGTATTCAGCTTTTTTGAACTCAATACGCGCACGCGAGTGAAGCATGTCCTTGAGCGGTGTCAGTGTTGCGTTCCACTGACACACGGTCATATTGAACAGATCTTCAATCATCGCGTAAATACTGCGATGATTCACCGGATGTAGATTGTTGATATAGCTGACAATGTGCCATTTACCATCTTCCTTCAGCTCAAGGTCAGTCGGGAGTATCTGGAACTTGCGACTATAAGGTTGGATGGTTAGATCGGCGCGAGCCGCGACTCTCCATGTCATAGCTTCGCGCGCTAACGTCTCTGAGGGAACTGGAATGACCACTCCTTGCCCAGCATTTTCCAACGCATCATCTAGCCCGATGATTTTGTCCTTGAGGATGCGAGTTCGCCCATAAACCAGCGGAAAGAAAGCAGTAGGAACGAGATCCCGTTGCACATACTGAGCCCCAGGATTATAGAACTTCATATCTGGTGGTACTTCGTCAAGTTCTCTGATCGCTGTCTTGAGTTGGTCTCGGAACGAGTCAGGCACAGTATGATCAGATTTGGCAACGTCACCGTTGTAAAGTGAGACGACATGGGTATGCTCATAGATCGTTGCTTTGAATTTCAGCTCTTCGATTATCCAGTCGGCCATGTTCTGCGTGATGTCTTCCCCAACCGACATTGCTTCTTTTTTCCATGTCTTCGCGACTTCGGGATCGAATATCTACTCAAATATTAGTCAAGAATTTGGGAGAATGTTGGGGAACCTCGTTTTTCTCTAAGCACCCAGGATAAGAGACTCACCATTTTATGCCAATCCGGCAAATCCGTGATGCGTTCCATGACTCTGACCATCCCCAATTCACGCAAAGTGAGGACAGGCTGGCTGCTCGATATCAGCATCCTGACGGTGAAATGAAGCCTGCTCTGAGGCTGCCTTACTCGACGTCTCCCTTGGCAATATCCCGATCGTCCAGGGAAGTCGGAAATAAGCTGCGATTTTGGACTCCATAGATGTTCTGCTCCATCGGCGCATAATCAAGCGGCAGTCCAAATCCAGGCAATACCAACTTGCTGTCTTGAGATTTAGGCATAGCCATAAAAGGTTCCTGGAGAGGAAGACTCTGAAACATCTTGACGCTTCGGTAGAGTACCAGTATAGTCACAAAAAAACAATCAGATGATACGGACCGTGATGAGTGAGGTTCCTTGACTTCAGGGTGGCAGACTGGTGTAGAAAGGGGGGGAAATGCTGCAAGTTGCTATCTTATGACTGCTTCTTAGGACTCTTCTTCGCTCTCAAGTTAGCTCAAAGCCTTCAGTGTTGCTTTCAAAGGAACTCGGATGACACATCTGATTCCTAGAGATAAGTGCACAGAGCTGTGTATTGAGAGCGAGATCCTGGCTGAATTCGGAGCTCATGACGTGTGGCCAGAAGGACAGAGTCACTGTGATAGTAAGATGATGTCTTTTTCTTCTTCTCCAAAAGTAAAGAAGCAGCTTCAGTTTCAGATCGATCGAGCGACATCCGCTGGTTCCGAGAAGATGTGAGGCATTGGACAGGCCCCAGACCATTACGCGAGATGCGAGCTCGGAATTATCCTCCGCTTTCGTAAAGAGTTCTGTACTAGGATATAAAGTCATATTCCACGGTCAGGGGGAACAAAGTCAAGGGAAACGCAACTAAGATGGTTGTGTTACGATTCCCAACCTTGGTTCCGGCTCGAAGCCATGGTTCGTTCAATTTTGAGGTGCTCAAGTACATTAAAGTACCATCACTCTAGAGAGGTCCCATAGCGGGTGTCATAACCTTTCGGCCGTGATGTCAAAGCCAGCTTCCTTTTTGCGATGATGACGGTAGATCTGGAGCGAAATGACAGCTCTACCGCTCCCTGAAGAATCACGAGTTTGAATGGTGTAGTTGACAAGGGTGTGTGGCCTGTGGCCTCTGGAAATGAATTCAACATAATATGATTGCCAGCAAAATATTGTGATTATTCGGAGTTATCAGGGTTGAAGGGTTTGAGATATCCCTTGACAATGCCCCAGTAGCGTTCCGGATCTGACCTCATATGACACACATGCGCTGATCCAATAAACTTCTCGCGCTGCACAACCCACCCTTTGGACTGCGCGTCATAGGCGTGTGTTTCCACGTCTTGCCAGTTGGCCAACTCATCTGCATCGGAGTATATGTAGCACCGCTTGGGGCTATCGTTCGGTCCAGATCCTTGTAGCAGATGACGATCGTTGATCGCATCACGGGCGATACTCACAGCGTCCGATGTGCGGGTGAGTTTTCGGACCAAAGATCCCACTACCAAGAAGACATACAGCAGGAATTGACTCAAATAGCGTAAGAGCCACATTTTGGGTAGTGCAAATGAGAACGCTTTGAGGGCAGCAGAGATTGTAGCCTTACCAGGCGCACTGTCTATGATCATCGACGAGACACGGAGTGAATGACCTGTTGCCCTCTTGTACGCCGCCAGAAGATGAGTGGTCGATGAAACGCCCCCATTGGAGAATATGTGAAGGAATACAGGAGCCTCCGGAGCGGTGGAAGCTCGGATGGCCTCGACCGCAGGGACTAGACGGGCCTGTTGTGCCTTCTTGGAGGTATGAAGCATGAAGTCGCTTGAGGAACTGAGTATAAAGATTATTCTGGCAGAGGGAGCCAGGCGCCTATACTCAATCACGTATTTGACTAGCGCACGTGGAGAGGCGTTCATCCAGAAGGCCAGAACGATGACTATAGGAAATTGCTCAGAAAGGGCCGCTGAACCATCAGGATCTTGGAAATAGACAGACGGAGAGAGTCTGGTATATGGTGACAGAGGATTATCACCACCGTCCTTGGAGCCTGTGGAAGTCATTGGAGTGGGAGGAACCGGTAGCCGGCTGTCAACAACTATGGATCTCGAATACTGTCCGACAGGCTTGAAAGGACAGGCAGTATATCCTGAAAACAACAGATCCTACTCTAGTTATGAGCAGGTGGGAAGTTGAAGTATTGCGTTAACTGGTATCAAGCCACGATGGAAGAAGGCACCAAACGCTGACACAAGAAATAGTGCTGACGGATCTCCACTATTTCATGAGATGTCGAGACATCAACTTTGATACGCGGCAAGCCAGACAATCAGGATAAGATGGATGAGAGGCCGAGAAGTTCCTTTCTTAGGGGGCTGTTGACAAAGAGGAATTGCTCTGAGAGCCGTTTCTCGCCGTGGAGTCGGCTGTCTTGGCCTCGGCAAAAGCAATGTGCGCCTTGAGAAATTGCCGACATAAAACACGATTACCGCAAGAATCAAAATCTGTCAAAACGTTGTTTGACAGCATTTCTCCAATAATAGCCTCATGAAGGATACAGGGGGAAAAATGATTGGTTTATGGTTGCAAGTCGGAGAGTATATGAAGATTGAATACCAACTCCTTTTCAAACGCCACCCTATACCCTGCCATGCTTGGGAACGAAGCCGTCACGACCTGATCACATACTAATTTCAAAAAAGGGGCAAAATTCATAGCACACTGTATCCTGAGGGAATTGACTATAAATTAACGGTTGGTAGTACCGCCAAGGGTACGCCCACTCCCATGGGATTTCTGATAGCGCTCTTTGCCTTTTTGGCTTTCTACATCGCTTCCTGATGTTGGAGTAGCGGGGTCTCCTGGATCTTTCTTCTTTCCCCGCAGTGTTTGGCCTGTTCCATGGAACCGTGGCTTCTCCTCAGTGACCTGATCGTTTTCGTCACGCTTCTTGACGGGCTTGATCGCGTAGCCAAAGAACAACTGGTTAGGCGCCAGTCTGAGGGGTTGTGGGCCATTTGCTCGTCTGATCGGAGGTGGATACTGAGGGTTTGTTGCTCCAGGTACTGGAGTTGAAGGCTGGGGGGTTGGGGCTTTGCTGCCTTTCTTCGCATTCAGGCGTTGTCCTCCAACAAGAAAGTTGGATGAAACGGCCTTCGCACCCGAGGTAGCGTCGGTGGATTCTGGCGCAATGGCCGCGTAGTTGATCGATTGAGCCATTGTCCCATGTGAATGAAGCAACCCCCCGGCGGGCAGTCTCCCGCTCACCCCACTAAGAGGAGTACTGGTGCCACTGGGGCGTTTGGGTTCTTCATACCCTACCGGCGGTGCAAAATCTACCTCTAAATCGGTCTCCAAAACGGATATCGCATCAGTTGGATTCGACGGCTTGGTTTCCAGAACCGCCATCTCATAAACCTGGTCGTTATAGGCAAAGGTGAAAACATCGCCTTTCGTGAGACAGGAGAAATTCCGAAAAGCGTTTTCCAGTACAGCCTTGGGGTCGCTTATGTCGAGGAAAGAGGTAGACTGGGCCTGAAGCTTGATGAACCGGCCGGAGGGAAGGTCGGTCGATTTGACTTGGACAAGATCACCGGGTTCGAGCTGTAGCGTTTGCATAAGCTGAAAGGATATAAAACGTCAGTGAACAGTCAAAATCGTGCATAGATGATCATCCTACCCAAAATGGCAAATATATCTTCCCTTCCTCAGCAATGAATTCCAGCACACCGGCATGCGTCATTCTTTCCTTCGAGCCATTAACCAACTCAAAAAGCATAGGATAGGTGATGTGTAACCGAGTCAACTTGTCTAGAGCACTTGGTGGCATGATGACCTTGCCGCCATGGTTCACGTTTTCTCTCTCCGGACCAGGAAGCATCGCGACGGGGTAACAGCGGTAGTATTCATCAAAGCGGCGAGTAGCCCCTGCATGACGAAGCATAGAGGAACCTAGGACTCCATCCATAGGATCATCATCCCAATAGCCAGAGCGAAACTACGGTAGTTAGAGAGGCCGAAACAACAGGATCGAAGTAAGTCATGAAGGGTGAGATACGTAACTTACCATTGTGAGGCTTGCGAGGCTAGAGGGATGCTCTGGCCTGTAGGACGGCTGGAACAAGGATGAGCCTACGACCTCTGGAATAACTTTATCAGTTTATAGAAACAACGCAGCAAGAAATCTGCTGGAAAATCGTAGGTGGTAAGTTTGACTTGCACACTGTCGGTGTTGGTAGTAGTGGGAGCTCAGAGCTGTTTCTTATCGCCGCACCAACAGTGACGCAAATGGCTCCGCTCTGATTTTCCGAGCCGACCCCAGATAGACAAGAATCAGCGGATGGTGATGGTCAAGCTTGGAGAGCTTTCCTCGAAACCTTGATTGTGTTTTCTTAATGTTCCCATGGTGCTGACTTGAGGTGAACATATCTGAACTCCCCCACAATTTGATCATAAACCCACATCGTTTCTATGTCTTTTTCTCAACCGCGCCCCAAGCGGGCAGGTGAAGGCTTCACACGCACCCACCACCACGACGAAGACGACCAGAATGGCCCCTCCGAGCACAAGAGGCCTCGCTTTGATCTACGAAATCCGTCCGCGCTCGCACCCGACGCTCTAGAAGAGGATGCTATACTAGATGCAGACGAGATCGGGCGCCGCGGACAACAAGTGCGTCGCAAAGCTGTAAACCTTGATGGCTACGATTCGGACAGTGAGAATGAGGGATTTAGCGCGCGCATCGAGGCCAAAGCGAAAAGTAGTCGGGCGAAACATGACGCAGAAGACGACGACATGTTTGCAGAGTTACAAGAAGATTTTGGCGCTGAGGAGATTGATGCGGACGAGGCGTTGCGGAAAAACAAGAAGAATGTACGCTTTTTACGGGATGATGAGATCGAGGGCCAAGTTCCTTCATCCAAAAGTGGCGTGGCACTGCGGGCAGATCTGAATGCAACTGGAGACACGGTCGAAGAGGATGAGGTGGAAAGTGAAAGCGATGTTGCGGATGAAGATCGCGCGAGGATCGAGGACGGTATGGATGAGGAACTGGGCGCTGGCGCCAAGAAGAAGCATGCGCCGTTACTGGATGCGTTCAATATGCGTACCGAGCAAGAAGAGGGTAAATTTGACGACCAGGGTAATTACGTACGGAAGGCAGCAGATCCCGATGCGGTCTACGACTCCTGGTTAGAAGGAGTGTCGAAAAAGGATATCCGTCTCGCAAAAGAGGCGGCAGAGAAACGAGAAATGGAGAGGAAAGAAAGAGATCGATTGAACGACAGCATTCTTACAGCCGACGTCTTGAAGACTCTGATTAGCCACTTGCAAAGGGGAGAAACAGCTTTGGAAGCGCTGGCGAGGATAGGCAAAGGGGCCGCGAAGAAACCGAAATGGCAAGTAAAGAAGAATAAAAACCGATCGAAACAAAACGGAACAGCGGCAGAGGATACAGAGATGACAGAAGACGATCCGAATGAGGTTGCTCGAAAGCAAGCGATTGATGCCGTAACTGGGGCGGCTGATATCCTGATGACCAGAGGTCAGGTTGAAATCTACGATACCGAACGCGAGATACTCACTCGACAATATCGACGTGAAACAGGTGAGAATTGGGTTGATCCCCCTTCCGAGTCTGCAGCTGCCCCCACCACAGAGGAAGGGCCGACTATGTGGCATTTTCGTTGGTCGGATGCCCGAGACGGCGGCATTGAACATGGCCCCTACGATGTCCCGACAATGGAGTCTTGGAAGGATGCCGGATACTTTGGCGAAGGCGTCGAGTTTCGGAAAATGGGTGATACAGGAGACTGGAAGAAAGAGGCTACGTTTGGATGACGGGGGTACTTGCTCACGAACTGATCTCTCCGTGTATACTATTCCGACTGAACGTTGCGCCAGGATAGGCATAACAATATCATAATTATCATTGAGGTGAATACTCTTTTCCCGGAACAACCCAACTCAGAACCCAAAGACCAGACAAACCATGCACATGGGTACGGAAGCAGCGCCAGCTTTATCATACATCACTTGATGTGTAGAACGCAAATTAGGAAAACATGGAAGATAACATGGAAGATGGAGATAGTTAGGACGGCTTTTCAGGAAGCAGTAGGCTTATTAGTCATGCCGTATTGCTCATGATTTGCGCCACCCTGTCTAAGAAGATATCCTATTGCAAGAGAGTCTGTTCAATCAACTTCAAGAAATCTCCATGGCATCACCGTTCGTGGGAGCAGAAAAGCTCACAGCACCTTTGTCACCAATGAACCGCTGTTCATAGGCATCGACGAACTTCACGCTTCGAGCGGGATCATAGAACAGCTTGTAGCTTCGCTGCACATCGTCGATACTGACTTCCTTGGCCTTCCGTTTCTGGCTAAGGAGATGAGAAGTAGTGATAATATTGCTGGCATAACGAAGGTTCGACTCCTGGCCGATCTTCGTCAATAGTGCCAGGGCATCCGGCGACAGGTCGATCTCTTCTTCCTGTGCTCGGATCGCCAAGATTTGCCGGATCTCATCGGCGGAGTAAGGCTGTGTGCTGACGATGACGACGCGGTCGAGGAAGTCAAGAGGAAGGCCGTGGGGCGAAGTGTATGTTGTTCCCCGGATCCGCGCTTGACCACGGTTGCTGGCCATGATCACAATTGGCGCAAGCTCCGCCTCCAGGGCGCGGTTGACGTAAGAAAAGCATTCAATGTCCAGCATGTGAACTTCATCGATGAACAATACGCCAGGGATGATCTCCGCCTTGCCCTCTTCCTTCCATTCGGCCACCTTTGTGTTGATTTGGTCTCTGACTTCGCTGCGGATCTCGCCTGTGTCGCCTGAGAAAAGGGCCAGGAACCCTTGTGTCCGGGAGTTGATGACATCAATTTCGTGAAGGCTAACAGTGTGTACAATCTCCTTGCGGACCTGGAGCTCACCCTCGGGACATTGAACGAATTTGGTGTCGGCACCCATCGCATCATAGTCTCGAGAACGAGCATACGACCGCCCAAGTTTGGTAATCTTGCCCGATGACTTGTCGATGGAAATCACATCTCCAGCCATCACTCGCTCTTTGGTCATTGAGTCGATCATTTTTGTTCCCATATCGTAGATGGTTTCCATATCGGTGGTCTTGATCGTAAGCTTTCCTTGTTTGTTGCCCTATATAGATTAGCACACAGCTTGGCAGGAAACCGACGGAACGGCGAGATTGACTTACACCAGTGACACTCCGGTCGATCTGGATTTCCACAACCTCACCCTCAATTATCTCACTTTCCTCCTTGATCCGAACACCAATGGATTTCCGGAAGGCTTGTGTGAGTGCTTCTGTCTTTGACATTTCCATCGAGAAGATTTCCGACGCTGCGAGCATAGTAAAAGGGACGTCAGATCCGAGGGATTGTGCCATACCCATTGCGATCGCTGTCTTTCCGGTGCTGGGGGGTCCTGCGATAAGAACAGCCCGACCAGCGATTTTTCCTTCCTTGACCATCTGTAGTATGACTGCGGCCGCCTTCCGCGCTTTCTCCTGGCCTACAAGGCCCTGAGAAGATGTCCTGGGTTGCAGAGAGTCTGCATCGACACCAAGTCCCCTGATGTGCGAATGAGCAGCGATGAGATTCAGACTACGGAGCTCCTGGGTCTCCGCGACAGTTGAGATCGACTATAACAGAAGTCAGCAAATGTTGGCAGAATATATAATCATGAGTGCCAGCATACCGCAGCCATGTTGAGGAATGATTCGCGATGTCTTCTGTATCTCTTCTCGGGCGTCGATGGAAACTCGCTGGTCAACTTCTCAGTTTGCGGTCTGGATAAAAGAGCTGCGCAGGGCAGAAAGGCACAAGTTTGAGATACCGCCTCATATACCGCCCGGCAGAATAATGTGACCTGTCAAGGATAAATGTTTTTGTCCAGCGTTTATGGCGCATGGAATGATAGCGTGTAATAAGAAGATTGATTTTTCTCATGTCCTTTGCAAATTTCCTTCAAGACTCTATGTGTTGGACCATTTAACCACTCGATTGAACCCTACTCGATGCGCTTCATGACGCGTTAATCACTGGAAGGCTTCCCCCATAAATGGGAAGATGAAAGAACTGAATTTGTAAGAGAGTTCTAACGGGCACGCCTTGTATTATGAGTTCTAACCACTGTAAGATGCCATCGAAATCAAGATAGGACTGGGGAATCTCGTTTGTTGCCTTTCTGAATGTGAGCATGGCGGACAGAATGGATGTCGACAACCCAACCCCCCCGACTACACGCGATCCCCGCCTCAGTCGCAACAAGCCGGCCCTCACGAAGGCTGCATTGTCAGATGTTGGCGCATCTAGCTCTCCTACCGCTCCGAGGCCCGGACCGAAAGCATCTGTTGCTACGCCCGCCGATGAGCGAGACTTGACGTCCGGCGACCAGCTTCTCCGTGGTCTTTCCGAATTAATCAGAACTGCAGCGGATTCAGTCATACAGAATGCAGAGAAAGAAAAGCTGGTAAAGAAGAAGGAAACGACAGAAGGGCTGCTGAAAAAGGCCAAGACCACACCAAGCTTCCCGTCTATTATCACATTCTTCCAGCAGGCTCGAAACAATGAGGATCTGGATTTGGCCCAAATGGATGACACCATAAACAGAAACCAAACCCGATATCGACGGTTGGAATCCTCTTTCACTTCGAAGTTGGCTCAGTCACTATTACACAACAGTACTACCGCCGACGAGAGGCTCGGGCAACTGCAGGATGAGATCCGAGAGTTGAATAACCGGGTGAAAGATCCAATGGGTGAAACAAAGATCAAGTCACTAGAGGCAGAGATCAGAATGCTTCGAGATCGGCTGACATTACTCGAAAAGACTTCTGGAAATCACACGGCGTCGATCAACTCGCAGATAAAGCAAGGCAGACAGACCACGGAACGTGTCGACCGGCTGACCTCAGACCTTGCTCAGCTTCCATCCGAGAGCACTGTGCCTCCTCGCGTCTCCTCGGAACTTGAAGAGTTGAAACGGATCACGACTGCCTTAGATACCAAGCTTCGCTCTTTTGAAAAAGCACAACAGGACTATTCGAATTCGATCTCGACAATCAGCAGGAGCATGGACGCGCAGCATAAACGCCTCGATGCCAGTAGCGAGACTTTCCAGTCTCTCGAGCGCAGATTTGGGCAGACCAATGAGCGCATGGCCTCATTAGAGAGAATTCGGGCACTGCCGCCGCCCCCTCCCCAAGCTGCCTCGCCATCTGCTCTATCGACCTTAGACAAACGTCTTGTTGATTTAGAGCGCAAGATTGCAGCTTTTCCCAGGCCAGACACGGGCTCATTCGACTCCAAGGTCCAGGCTTTGTCTGAACAACTTGACCAACTACAAAATCTCCAGGCCATGAAAGACGAGCTCCATTTTGCGGAGTTGGAGGAGCTCAAGAAAGCATCGGTGGAGAAGACTGAGATCCAGCGTCTGAAGGAAAATTACACTCGCCTTGCTGAAGAAACGGCAAGAATAACTCAATGGAGTGCCACGGCGACTCAGAAAAGCAACTCTCACAACACATTGATAGAGAAGACACTAAAAACCCTTCAAAGCCTTCAAGTCGGTCTTCACTCCCTAGAGACGCGATACAATCATCTTTCAACAGAACCAATCGTGCAGAACACAATCGCTGCAGTGCAAGAATTGTACCCTCCTGCAGCGCAGTTGAACAAGCTAACGGAGCAAATTGCGGCGTTGAGGAATGAAGCAAAGGAAGAGATTCCACCATTGAAAAGGACTGTGGAGCAGCTCGTTCAACTTCGGAATAGCCAAGAGATCTTAATAAAGCGATTGCAAGAGGAAACCAGCCAACGTGCAATTGAAGCGAACCAGCTCAGAGACATGACTGGAAAGATAGATTCTCGTGTCACTGCGATCCAGGAGCAATTGATAAAAGGAGGTGATCTGCCCGACAAACTGCAACAATTACACGCCAATTTTGATTCTTTAGCTGAAAAATACCATGAGCATTTCTCTAAGATTCAGGAACAGATCCAATCTAGAGAGGAGGCAACTGCTCAGACCAAGATTGAACTGGAAGAAGCACGCCACAGACTGGAGGAGCAGGTCCAAACCCTGTCCCAGGAAGTCGACCGAATTGGTCATGCGGTGACTGGGGTCAAAAACACGACGATGACCGCCGTGAATTCCATTGCGAACATCAGATCGACTACTGAACAAAACCTACAAACAGCCGCTTCCCAGCAAGTCGGTCTCAAGTCCCTCATTGATCGCTTCAGTCACTTTGAAAGGACGATGCTTGCCGATCACCAAGGGTTGTTGGCACAAATGGAGGCGCTGAAAGAGTCTCTAACCCTTGCGTCGCAACGTTCTCCAGTGCCTGTACGAGAAGAAACGGTGCCGGAGAGTAGGCTGCAGTCTCCGAAACAGGAGGAGAGTCTAGCAATATCCGATACCACGAGTCAGGTCACCTATGCAGAGATGGCCGAGTCCAATCCCACGCTCGCATTGCGTGGAAAGAAAAAGAAGAAGCGGCCCCGTCCGTCTGGTATATCGGACGATGAACGGTCGTCTACTGGTGCTCGAAATGATTCTCCACGAATTTTTTCATCCCCGTCTCAGATAATGGACGCAGAGAATGCCATGCCCTCGGAGAGCAAGAAACGGTCCAAGAAAAAGAAGAAACGCAGGTTGGAAGTGGAGGAGCCCATTACTATAGACTAGTTGGGTTCTAGCGTATAGATTGGCTTCAAACTTGTCTGTATTGTGATGGCGTTCATTGGACTCAGCGGTCACGGTTGTCATGAATATATTTGTACAGGTTGAATTAGCGACAAGATATCCCTTGCTGTGTCTTGTTTGCCATTGGCCTCTCTCGGGCCTTGTATCTTTCCCTTTCTCTGTCTATTCTATGTGGATCACTGTCTATTGAGAAATGTCTATCAAATACCCCTGAACATTACCACAAAATTTACATATCACCAGAATCCAAGCACAAGCTTCACATGCACAGCAACTGACGGCAATTGCACACTAAGAGACGTTCTTCAAGAACTTGACAACAGCTGGAAAAGGTCCGTCAGTACACACGGAATTCAAACATCCTGGACGGGAAGCAATCACCTTGTCTGAAAGCCTCCGGATTCTCCGAAATCAGCCAGTGGCCTGCCTCGACGTCGGCTATCTCGGCGTTCGGGAAGAATTTCTTGATGGCGGGGATCGTGTCGTCGCTCACATATTTACTCCTTGTGCCTCTAACGAAGAGCGTAGGGCCGTCGTAGGTGATGGAGCCAGGCTCAGAAAATGGGAAATCAGCCATGGCGGGGATCGCTGGTCCCAGCACTGAGAGGGGAATGCGGAATTTCATGGTTTGGTTGTCCTCCCCGCGGATTAGATTGGTCAGGAGAAATTGGCGGATAGGGAGGGCCTGGGGATATGTTTATCAGCCTGGTCCGCGTCACGTTTGGCGAAACAAGCTCTAGAGCTTACCTCTTCGTACTCTCGCAGAATCTTGTCCGCGTCCGATTGTTTCGTAACTTTCTGCGATTCGACCTCTTGCATGCCGCGCACGTACTTCCCAAAGTCACTCTTCAGCGGAGCGTTGACGGGCGCGTTGTCGACTGGGATAAGAGCCGATACCAGATCGGAAGACCGTAGCGCAACAGTCATTGCAGTCTTCGCTCCCCTGTTGTCCGGAATCATTCAGTACGGTCTTGGTCTCCTAGGACTTTGAGCAGAGAAGAAACGTACATGGAATGCCCGATCAGGATACACTTGGCCAGGTCGTGCTGATGGATGAACTTCTCCACATCATCCGCCATGGCAGAGTAGTTATGCTCTGGATGATGGAAAGAATGTCCATGATTTCTCAAATCCTGGACAGCATTAGTGAAACGACCCAGTCGCCAAATTTGATCAATAGACATACCAGAGTGAAGACTTGACGGTCGAGGTCACGTGCAAGAGCTCTAGAGAGATTGGTGAGTATCCCATCAGACAGATAACCGAATTGTAACCTGCAGAAAGAGATACGAGTCGCAGACGTACTTGCTGATGCTTCTATTGTTCTGTTTGGAGCCAAAGAGACCATGCAAGAAGAGAATTGGACTCCGACTGGCTTGCTCCTTCTCCGGGCCAAAAGCTTGATACGATAGTTCCGATTGGAGAATACGCGATGTAGAGAATGCCCGGAATCCGGATGCACCCCGTAAAAATAGACGAGAAGCAACCATCGTGAAATGCTAACGATGATAGTTGATAAAAAGATGAGGCATAGTAGTATATAGCAGACTGAATCCTGTAATGTAGACGGCCAAGTCCGGCTTGGTGGGTGACTAAGCGAATCATTCCAGGTTATCCGAAGACACTCGACTGTTTGCCGTTTCAATAATAATAATAGTCCATTCAAGTATTCAAGCGATCTTATGTGTTGATGAAATGATCCATTTTCAAGACCTCGGTTTGGTATGAGCATCACTATGCCTAAAAGCTTCATGCAGTACTATATATGTGCTGAATGCTTCTCTGTCCCAATTTCACCTATGGCCTAAAACCATGTATCCGCAAAGAAACACATCGATTAAACAATGCTGGACGTTCGTCTTTCCCCAAGTGTCGCAACCCAGAGAACTCATATATCTTCGTCTATATGTAGCGCGCGCATAGTAATGGTTCCAGAAAATATATACATGAATACGATATAATCATTGGCGATGGCAATAATGCAGTCCAGGTACCCGGTCGATTTAAGCTTGGCCTCCTTCTTAACTGTCTAGAAGTGGCGGCACCTTCTCACAGAGGTACTCGACGATAGCGTCGGGACCTCTCTCGACCTGGAGGCCTGTGGGAATGGCGTGCAGCTTGATGTTGGGATTGATTTCCCGAGCAATGCCGTGGATCTGACGGGCTTCCTCTTCGGTCCACATGGAGGCACTGAACTGTAGGCAATCATGTCAGCTTGATATCAACCAGTTAAGGCCACGGAAAGGCTACAGAGGCACCGTTGGCTAAAACTAGAATGGATAAATGCATTATGATGCAGTACATACCAGAACGTCGGGCATATGCTTCTTCACTTTAGGGGCAATCTCCTCGATTTCTAAGCCGTTGAAGTCAGCATTTAGTCACTCAATATCGTCCATAAAGCCCCATACTCTCGCAATTGTGCACATGGATAATTGTGTATCTATCTTTCAGTGTGTCGGCGACCCGTCCGATGAGACGCTTGGCTCTCTCAGGAGCTGTGTTGACAGTGACAAGACGGAAGGGTCCCTTTGGGCTAGCCATAACGATAGTCGATGAAGTGTGAGTTGATGAATAAGAGATATATCACATTTCTGCTGCTATCAACACAGGGAAATCCCAGCTCTTTCAACAAGCTTGGAGATGCCGAGATGTCAAGTTGGTTTATCCGCAGCACCCCTCAAAATGGCGGCATCCCCACATTCCCATCGTGGGGACTTTGGGGTATGATGGACTCGGACCTTGAGGCTGATCCAATGGCATTGCAATGATGGAAGTTATGAGGGATCTTTAAAAGTAGGGTACTTGGAGCTTAGAGGGTTTGCTTGCAATCTTCCTGCTCTTAATTCCGACTTCACGGTTGTACCCCTCCCCCACATTTCTCCTATTGGTGATATCGGCTCCATTCCGAGGTGATTAGGGATACCGTTCGCACCGGTGTCGGGGTAGGATTCCTCATGGAAGCTTTCAAAAAGGGAGGATAGTGTTCAAGCTGTTGGACGACGTCTCTTTTATAAGCTATCATTTGCGATATCCTTGCATTCGAACATCATGTCTAAGATCGCATCCACGTTTTCGCGTACGTTGCGTCACTACGTCTTGACAATTTCCTTACGTGAAGATGCTGATTTTGAGTAGGCCTCGTGCGCTTCATTCCGAGATCCAATCCTTCAAAGATCTTGATCGGTGAGCCGGTAGACCACCAGGTGGATGTCGGTCTGGCCGTCTACCAGGGCAAGGAAGTCTCCGTGCGACCCTTCACGGGCACATCGGTTCTCAATCCTGGGCAAAAGACGGATGCGACAGAGACAATAGATCGCGTTCTTTCCCCATTGGCGCAGAGCGAAGTTGGATCGATTCGATGCATTGGTTTGAATGTGATTTTTCCCTGGGTACATGGATCAGGCGACGCCGAAGGATACTGATCGTGTTTCGATTGACAGTATGTATCCCACGCCGCAGAGATGAAGCTGGATATTCCCAATGTACCGACCCTCTTCATGAAGCCGTCAACAGCGCTTGCAGACCCGTGGCCGGCTCCCACCATTCTACCGAAGATCACGCAAGTTGACAACACGGGCGACTACGAGTCCGAGATGGTCATCGTCATCGGTCGTGATGCGAAAGACGTCAGCGAAGCGGATGCTTTGGACTATGTACTGGGTTATACTGCCGCCAATGACATCTCCAGTCGAACATCGCAAACGAACCAGAGTCAATGGTCGTTCTCCAAAGGATTCGATACCGCGTGTCCTATCGGTGAGTTTCTGTATATCATCCCTCAGAAATGACCACGCTGACCACCTTTGTCGTACGAAGGACCTGCCCTTGTCTCTTCAGCGCTGGTCCCTGATGCTAGCAAGTTCCAGATCCGCGGCCTGAAGAATGGGAAGGTCATGCAAGATTGCCCTCTAACGTACGGGATCCAGACCACCAACTTTCGACGGATGAGCGCTAATCAATCTCTTCACAGTGACTTGATTTTCAACGTACCCCAATTGATCAGCTTTCTGTCCCAAGGAACGACTTTGCCTGCCGGCACTATCATCCTGACTGGCACTCCTCCAGGCGTGGGAGCCGCCAAGAATCCCAAGGAGTTCTTGACAGCTGGTGATGAATTCGCTGTGGAACTACTCCCTCATGTTGGAACATTGGTTACGAAGATGGAGCACCAGAAATGATCGAGCATATAATAAGGTTGAATGGTTTATAAAGTATATACTGTTTTTGAATGCAAAATGGTACTCGTTGCGAATGAAACACCTTTCATAATTGTAGGCGCAGTAATGTAATCGAACTAATTTGCTGGTCAAAATAGCCAGGCATGCAATGTACGTTTATTCAAGGCATCATCTAACATCAATAATAATAATAATAATGTCCGATGTTCAACCACCTCGAGACACAGGTGGAAGTACTTAACACCCACACCCACAAACACAAAACCCCACGCACCAGAGCTAGGTAGACATCCCCACATCCATATTCTTACGGGCAATGTTGTAGGGGCTCTACCACTGTACTAAAAAGGTGTCCAGACTCTAGTTAGCCAGTAATAGTAGTTCTTATGACAGGCAACGTGAACTAAGAAAGTCAGACATGCTAAAATCGTGACTTCTGCCACCATCACCCAGTATCATATTCAAGCAAAACCCCATGTATTTATAGGTAATGGGGTATGTACAATACTCACTACTTATGTACAATTTTATCCGTACCTCGAGCCGAGCTCGCATGAATGAACTAAATGTGCGGAAAGGTCATTACTCATTATTCCACGTGGGAATGAGTTTATCCCTCTTCCAGTCCTGGCTCAGGGCTTTTCCATCCTCTTCTGGCGAGTGACGACGGACGACTTGACATTCTTCGGGAAGGGAGTTTATTGCCTACCTTGCTGCCTGAGGTGTCTACTATCTACTTGCTAGGCTGATATGGTTACATGGCATTCGCGTGCAGATAGAATGAGCATGGTCTACGTTGGCAACATATGGGGAATCCAATGGAAGAGCATCTCAGTGCAGTAGGGCACTATTACAGTTGGTATATAGTTTGATCACATAACATCGCCAACTGGTGCTATAACAACCCCGACCATCTGAGCCGTTCGGGTTGGGCAGCCGTGAATAATGGAATAGACGAGGACTCTATCTTCGAAATAGTCTGTTCTGGATGGGCTGATCGGCCAGCGGCTCGGGAACAGAAGGTATGTTGGTAGTATGAAATTTCTTCGGGGTTTCTCTTTGTCATTTCTGCTATTATCGACTCTTCGTGCTCTATGTTTGTTTCTTATATATTCCATTTCCCATGCCTGATTTATTTACCATACCCGGTTCTATGACCCAGTCCCAACCAGTCTATTCTCAAAATGTTCACATTCAGTATCGACGAGGGCAAGGAGAGATCTCTGTCTATTGACTCGGACGCCATTTCTGGCCTTGCCAGTGGATGATGATCGTCGGAAACACACTGGCTCCGACAATCAGCGCCGCACAGACACCGGCACTGGCTGCAATTCCGACATTCTCGAACATGGCAGGGAACCTGCCACCGGCGTTAGTGATCGAGGCAATGAATGAATGGATAGGGATGCAACTCACCAGAACGGTCCGAGGAATCCCCACACCTGTCGAATGAACGTGATGAAAACACCTACACTGCCAGCCTCCTGGGGATAACAGTCGACAGCGAACGTGATAAGCACCGTCGTGACGACTTGATTCCCCGCTGCTCCAATAGCGATACCGATAATAGGGGCGATTTCCCAGTGATTCGGCTTGGATAGCTGGGTACAGACAAGGAATACAACCACACCAACGATGGCGAGGATGTAACCGATGTAGCTGAGCCACAACCGGTACTCTGGCTCAGGCTTCCGGTGGATCTTGCGCTCCCGCTGTCTCATCCACAAGTCGGAAATGGTACCACCAAGTTGCTCTCCAATGATAGATCCAACAATAGGGCCCAGGAATTGGAGACCCAACTGCTCGGTGTTCAGGCCCCATTTGAATTCCAGCAGCTGTGGCACCTCGACAGTGGTCAAGACATTGCTCAGGCAAAAAACCATGGCATATGCGGCAGCGGGGATGGCAATGCAGGGTTGTACGATCATTGACAGCGGCTTGATAAACTCATACCAGGTGAACGGGGTGGGGTCGATGCGTCGCAAAGAAAGATACTCGCGTTTCCAGGCAGGCTCTTTGGGATCGTAATTGCTGCCGATATAACGGGTCTCTGGCCCGAGGAAGAGATACAGAATGAACTGACCGCCATTGATCTGCATAGAGCATTAACAACCCATTGCCAGAACATTTGCCAGAGCAATCATGGACCTAACAATTATACGGACTCACCATTGCTAAGACCCAATAAATCCACACATATCCAGCGCGTTGTGCCACGAAGCCAAAGATGAATGGGCCACAAGGGATGCCGACAGTGACCATGAGAGTCCAAATTCCCATGTATCTTGCACGGTCCTTCTTGAAGGTTGTCTCCATCACAATAGCACTCCCAATGGCTGTATGATTGTTAGCTCGGACAAATCTCCAACATACCCACTATCTAAAAGCCTTACCGGAAGCCGGAGAGATGAAAAATGCCTGCAAGGCCCGACAGGCAGCAAGCGATGCATAGCCAGAACTCTTGGCACATCCAATGTTACAGACACAACTGCAGATCAAGGAGATCAAGAAAATAGGGCGACGACCGAAACGGCTAGACAGGGGTTTCCAAAAGAGGGGGGCCCCGCCCAAGATCGCAATTTGAAGGGAGGTCAGGTAGCTTGCTCTTTGGATGGACACGTCGTACTTTTCTGCGATACTGTTTTTCATAAGATCAGCGAGCTGCTACAGCACATTGGCCTTGCAAATGCCGTGGTGATACATACATGCTATAACCCGGGATGATTCCGCTAGCAGCGAATGTCCCCATGCATGCGTGGAAAGCGACAAGAAGAAGATTCGCCATTTTCTGACCGTTTGAAGCCCACGGTTAGCATAGGATATTTCTTCACGCGTGCTTCACCTCTTCGACGTGGGGAAATATCCTAAGACAACGAACCTTCCAGGTGGGCCAATTGTAAGGGTCTGCAAGATCCATACTAGGGATAGGATCAAGGTCTAAGGTGCCATGATGTTCCATCAGGAAGTCGCGGTGAGCCTGAGAAAGATGAGATGTCTTCAAGTCCGCGTAGTTAGAAGGGGTACCAGCGTCTGCACTCTCGACAAAGCTGATATCGGCCTTTGCAGGCGCAGAGGTATGCTGAGTATCATTTCCCGCTCCTTGCGGTTGCAGTTCCATCGAGGTGGGCATTGCTTCAGAAACAGCCTGCTGTTCGACGAAGAAGCTGGTTTCAAAGCCAATGTGGTTCTCGATAAATGTTGAAGCCTCACAGTCAATTACGTGATTGTAAACGTATACCAAAATGGAGAAGGATGTTAAGAGCAAGAGAAGAGAAGGGCCAGCACCGCGACCTTGAATATTGCTTTGCCGATTACACACTACACACCGAGTACTGGGTCCAGTCGACAGGTGGATGGCTCTCTAAAGACCTTGCTACTCAAAAAGAATGGCCGAATCATCGGTCAAGTCTGTTTCCTCCCCGGGGAGTTTTTCGATTTTTCTGGGCCTGCTCTGTTGGGGTACTCTCCAGTCTCCATAGGAAACCCCATAATAGGCAAGGATGCGGAGGAACTCCACGGAACTCGTCGAGCCAGAAAGCCGATAATCATCAAAACCCCGCTGTCATCACGGCAGTCTGCTGGGTTACGCCGAGTTTGTTGATTGGATGAGGCATTCCCAGACTCTCGTACATCACTAGGTAGAGGACCCGTTGATTCAAGGCCGATGGAGCAGGAGTTCACGACTCGTGGGAGAATAATGGACCAGATTTCGCATCTTCTCCAGCCAGTTGTGGCACAGACGCATCTGAAACATTCCAGTAAGTGATAAATCAACAGAACTCTTGCTGATTTATACGTGATCAAAGACGCTGGCTATCGCTTGAACACTCGAAGACTTTGGCTATTCCACGTAGTGCAATTGTTTGAGCTTTGATTTCGCTGATTAGTTTTGACTTTGTGAGGCGAAAATTGGCTCCCTAAGACTTCCTCGGCGTAATTGAGTTTTCTCTAAGCTTGGTCATTCCCATTCCTTAGAATCTCTTGGTCTGCAAGATTCGATGGTTGCCGATTGGGGTCGATACGCTTGCCGATGCCTTCTGCCGTGATGAGTGACTAGTAGATGAATGATTGATTCTTTGTCACCACGAGAAGTTTCGACCCATGAAAGGAGAATGGATGACAGCGCAAACTGCCACACGATACATGGTTAGAGTAGTTGCACTCGCCATGTAGCTCTGATAGGGTGGATTATTGGAGTCTGCTTTGTTAGTGTCCAGGTACGGAGTAGTTGGTATTATTATTCATCCTTTGACGATGACTCCGGCTGTTGTTGCCTGAGGCCTCCCATGACTCGCGAATTAGGGCCACGCACCAAATCCTCGCTATTTCCACGTTCCCCACAGACTCTCTCAGAGATAAACATGCTGCGTCCCCCACGCTTCTCCAAGACTGTTCCCAGTTTTCCCATTCTTCAGTGGGATCTTGGATATCAGAGAATCGATGATGTTCTCTCTGTCGGTCGTCAATCAAATCTTTGTATACTCGTAATTACCATCACAACAGCAGGGATGAAGAGCCTTGTTTGTCGTATCTGCCAGAAGGCCTTTTCGAAAGCTGAGCATTTGAGAGTAATCTCCCATTTCTTGTATCATTGTGGGGACATCGCTGCTAATATCACCGGTAACAAGAGACATGAACGCTGCCGTAAGATAGCCATCCCTTCTGTACTTGTTGTCGTTCTTATCTTGCAAGCATGCTTGTCCTTTGCGTGATCCTTTTTGCCTGAAAACCGCATCATCGCTGACTGTATGCTGTAGAAGACACCGGATCAAAGCCACGACACTAGATACCCGTTCTTGGGACACACCTTTCCTGTTTTGCACCGAGCAATCTTCGTGCTTCGCGAATGTTCTCACCCTCTTCTCTTGAATGCCATAGCACTTGGGTCATTGTATTTAGGACCCAAAGACTCTATTGCAAAGGTAAGAGAGCTCCTGTGTGGGGGTCTCCAAAGTGCCTGACTAAACATCTGCTTAGGGAGAAGCTCTATGGCGCCTGGCACATACCGCTGTTGCAACGTCGGTAAGAATTCTCCAAACATCATCCTTGGATCAAACAGACCTGCTGAGATTCTTCTAGTGGCAATCAATGATCACCCACCGTGGTCCGCATGGTGCTTGCAAAGCTGTGCAACTCCTCATCACGGCTCTTCTTTGGCAGATCTACGGTGCATTGTGCAAGGTAAGCTAATCGTCAGCTTCGAGCTTGATCTCATTTCCTTGACCCTATTTTCCATTCAAGAACCGGGTGATACGCAAAACCAGTCAAGTTTTTCGTCCGCTTGGCTCCTTCTGGGCAAGGCAGTGTGGCATGCTGGATCGTGAGCCCTTCTAATTGGAGGATCTGCCATTTCCCACAGCCCTCCAATGTTGAGAAGGATCATCAATGGCGATCCTGGGCGGCAAGGGAGATTCAACAGCGCGCCTTGCTTGCATATTGCATTCTAGATGGTCTTGTGGCACAAATGTCGGGCGACGGTGCGTCCACGCGACATGTCGCCAATCCACTTATTCTCCCTAGCGGCGAAGCTGCATTAGGCGCTAACAACGCGGACGAGTGGCTAGCTTATATACACTCTCAGAAGGCAGAGCAGCCATCGCTTCGGCTGGTATTTGGCTCCTTATTTCCTCCCATTGGCAGTCTTAGCCCTCTCGACTATCAGTTCTCCGCTTTTGCCCTTCGCGCCGTCCTAGAAGGGATACAGTCGTTTGTTTCGGATCTGGACAACAGCGATCTCGCAGCCGTCGGGGTCCTAGGTCGTTCAGACGTAAGGAGAGCTCTGGTGCAGGTCCATGAGACCATCACTATGAGAATCCACCTGTCATCCCCGGAACGACTCGAGGTTCTTTTGCGTTGGCATACGATCTGCCTCGACGCTATGGTTAACTCAACGATGCTTTGCCGGCATGTTTGTTCACGGTACAATATCCCCAAGGAAGTATCCGGAGGCTCACGAGCGCTGAAGTCTGGGTTTGATATGGTGAAATGGGTTAATACAGAAGGCGCTCGTCGCGCCTTATTGCACGCGATTGCGATCCAGGATATTATTGAGCAGCTTCCCAGAGGATGTGCTCATGTCATCCACATGCCTAGCTCCCTTTTTGCTGCAGCGACGATCTATGTAGCTTTCTCACTCGCTGGAATAGCAAACATTCATCTACCCCGCACGGTCGTCTAGCAGGATGCACTTCTTTCGCTCTCTGACTTGAATCTCGGTAAGGATAGTTATCGACCATTGAGTACTTCCGAGACTAGGCACTTCGTGGAAGAAGGCCGTGCACTCTACCCAGCCGGCATGGGCGCTGTGCGGAATCTGCTGTATGAGATGAACTCCATGCAAAAGCTGTTCCGTTGTCTCATTTCTCAATGAGGAATCGCGCATGACATGGAAGCCATCATCGACCAATGGATCACGCTGTGCCATGGGAAAACCTATGAGGGCCTGAGGGATTGACCCCTCCGATACAGTGACTTCGTTGTGGAATACGAGGCTAGGAGGTTGGTGGGGGCTATCAGACTGAAGTCACACTAAGGTGGGTTCTCGACTTCTATACGGACTACGGAGCACTCGGTAGCTATTTATACTTCATATGGCACACGAAGCGTCTGTTTCCTGATCTAGACCAGATGGAGTTCATGCCCCGATACGCTGAGATAGAAACCCGCCGTCATTGTGCTGAGCCGATGTACTCAACAATAACTTACACGGAGCCACTTGATGATGACTTGAGAACTGTTGTTGCATTTGAGCTCTGTCATTTTGATGTCTCACCTACGGTTCCTTTCTCCTTTCAGTAACAGCCAAAGAACAGACATTTTTCGGTTGAAGGAATACAGCCCAAACGAGAGATTCGACAAGCCATTCCTTTCTACACCTGCAACGCTATCTGCATCCACGAATGCTCCGTTTGTGCTCTTGAGAGGCGATTCAGGAGATTTGGGTATGAACTCTGAGTTCCTTACCAAATCCCATTGCCTGACCCGACCTCAGCTGAACAAAGCCAAGAGTCCGTCCTTAACTAGCCTGGCTTTAAGGCAGAAAAGGACTTTTGCATTGGTTGTTAGATTAACTTTATTAACGTTACAATATGAGAGGTTGTGTATCTAGATGGTGGCTCAAGGCCTAATTCTAAGGTTTTAACACTAACAGACCCCTTATCGCCCAAGTCAATCAGCCTCGGTTGAGCCTCTTCGAACAACTAAATCGATCAACGGACATTCTTGACAGGTCATAAAACTGAGCAGGGCGAGAGATTGGATGCTCAGCGAGCGATTATTGAAGTGATGAGGATCGTAATTCATGCTACTGTCTCTGAGTACCATTGAATGCTGGAGACCTGATCTATTGCGTTGTCCGTGCCAAGATTGCTAACACCTCGTTGTATCGAAGGATCATGAAGGAATCACTATTGGAAGCACCACCAACGGTGCTGAAGGGCCAGTATGGGTCTGGGTCGCTTCATACAATCACCGAGTGTCGGCTCATTGCTCCTTGAGCCTCTGTCCAAACACTATATATATCCCCGCGACACCCCCGTCTTGACCTTTCTCAGACAGAATCATCATAATCATCACCATCTTCTTCCCAAATCAAGAACCTAAAGCGAATACTCAATTGAGACCGTCTCAAGATGCAGCTCACCCATATCCTCGTTGCTCTCATGGCCACCGTGCCTTTTGCATCCGCGCTGACACGCGCGAAAGCTAATGAGTATAAAGACAGCCACTGGTAAGCCGTCTGACTTGAACCCATCGATTCATCAAACAACCATCTGACTGTGACTCTTTAGCAAAACATGGAACTATGGACACAACAGCTTTTTCCTCGGAGATACCACCATGGCTGATAACACGCACTCCGTATACCTGACCCGGGGCGATAACCTTCAAAATGCCAGAAAGAATGGACCCTGGCTGGCCTTTGCCTCAAAAGGTGTGATCTGCGAGGGCGAGCAACTTGGCGAACTGCCGGACGGATGTGTGAACCTTGACACACACTTCAAGAAGCGCATTCGCTGCCTGCGCCCCCAGTTCCCGAAATAAGCGTCTCGCAACCACCTGCCCGCTAGATGTAGGCTGTTGCTGCTACTGGTTTTCTTGGTGTTTTGGGATTCATCAATGCACTTCCCTTTGTCAGGCTGCTGTATCACTGGAATCGTTATGCGTGTGGGATGTGTACTGATCAGCTTTCGCTTTCGCGACAGAGCGGTTTCATTGCTAGTGAAGTCGCACAATCTTACTCATGAACTTCTTTTCTCAAGTTTTCAAGTCATTGTGTTTTCCTGCCAAAGGGTCTGAGATAGCTTACGCTTATGATTGATCGTTCTTTTCACTTGTCATGATTGGGACTATTTTGCATATATAATGATAATCACTAGGGAGAAGCATAAGGTGCATGCTTAACCCATGCTCCTCTTGACTTGTATCTTACCTATCACAAGTGTGGCAGATCTATAGAGCATACGGAGTATGATAATCCTAATGATAGGACGATACTAAGGAAGAGGCATGGATGGTCACTCAGATGCTTGATCTCGTCTCGAATTTGAAATTTATCCTGTGAAGGTGGTCAAAGAGTCAGAGCACATCGCCCCTGCTTTAAAGAAGTCGAGTAACTAGGCTCAAAATCACTTATGGCTGTACAATATACTTACGGTGAGCCAGAAGTGTTAAATACCCTCGATCTTCAATGGTCACGGAGTATCACTCCGAGGTCGAACGGTACAGGCGCTGCTGACGCCTGGCCCAAGATTGCTAATTCATGACAAAGAGAAGAAAAACTCGTAGTGCTCAATGTTGGAAAAAAAAAAAAAAACGAGGCTATCCATAGATGCCTGGCTCTATGGATCACGTGCTTTGGTAAATTGGGCATCTCGGCCTACGAGATCCTCAGCAGTACAACACCACATCATGGCAATGATGTCCCAGGGATACAAGAACCATCAACCATCTAGCCCTTGAGAGCAGTTTTACTTCTACAGTTGGCCGTCTATACCGACTCGAAGAAGACCGGCAAGTCAACGTGTCCGTTCCAGACCCCCTAGTCCATAATCAGTCGATGCTTTGATTACTCTTAGTCCTTAGTCCTCTGATCCCAACCCAGTTGGGCCTGGTTGCTATGCAGATGACTGCCAATTTCCACCAACAGCAGCAGAGCAGAAAAACAGAGCCAAAATCCTTTCAACACACAAAAGGCGTAGCTTTCGGAGCTCCACAGCGCACTGAGCAATGTGCCGCTCAGTGGCATACGCTTATTGAGGCTTCGAGCAGAATGAGTGGCCTAACACGAAACGCGGGGATACCATAGGCCGGGGCCCCAAGCCTCCGCAAGCCACCCCATATTCGTCTCACTACACCCCGCGGCTTGTTGCTACTATAATGCCTCAGGGATGCCGAGATTGCGCCTATCAGCGTCAGCACTGCGTAGGGATAAGGTAGCAGGGACAGGGATGTAACCTCTCCTTGATGAGGGATTCCCCCAAAGTTGGACAAAGTCCGGTGGGCAGGTTACATGTGCCCGTCTCGCCCTGCGAAACTCGAGAGTAAATTGCCTTTAGCCTGTGAAGCGTTTCTGAATTTGGTGATCTTGACTCGAGGATTCCGGCACCAGCTCTCTCTAGCTTCGACGCCTCTGTAGTCATCTTATATCAATGGGATGACCTGACTCGGTGGTTCGAGCACCGTGTATCAGACTTTGATGCGGGCGAGGAGCAATTTCCAAAGCTCAGCACATTGGCCTGACCATATGCAAACCGGCTAAATAAGCTAAGCGACTCGATGTTATTTTGTGGCCCTGTGCTCCGTCCATGACGGTCGTATAAGATGTGCTTTATTGCCCCTCTCGACATTCTTTCTCCGCATCTTGACTTTGGATCAGCTCATCCTTTAGGCTTCATATTGCCCGAGTTTGTGTGAGACTAAACTGGGTGCTACTACCCTGTCTTCATCACAATGAAGCTCCCAACCTTTCCCAAGATCTACAATGTCTACTTCGTCGCCATTGTTGCGACGGTGGGTGGTATGCTCTTCGGTTTCGACATCTCATCCATGTCCGCAATCATCGGAACCCAGCAGTACATCGACTTCTTTGACAATCCCCATGGCGTGAAGCAAGGCGCCATCAATTCAGCGCTTGCAGCTGGCTCTGTCTTCGGCTCGATCATCGCCGGTCCCATTTCCGATAAGATTGGTCGCAGAGATTCGATTATGTTTGCTTGCCTGTGGTGGTTGGTTGGTACTGCGGTCCAGGCCGGCGTGTCTGGCTTTGGGACTTTGATGGCTGGCCGTGTGCTCAACGGTGTCTGTGTTGGGATCACCTCATCCCAGGTACCGGTATATCTGGCGGAGATCAGTAAGAAGGAGAAGCGTGGTTCCCTTATTGTCATTCAGCAGGTGAGTACGACTGGGAGCATTTGTTTAGGCCTCTTTTCTTTGCCTCCGCCATGTTTTCAGAAATTAACGAGGTCTATTGCTGTAGTTGGCTATTGAATGGGGTATCTTCATCATGTTTTTCGTCGGCTACGGCTGCAAATTCATCGCAGGCCCAGCCTCCTTCCGCCTGGCATGGGGTCTGCAATTCGTCCCGTGTGTGCTGCTGATGATCGGCCTGCCATTCCTTCCTGAATCGCCCCGTTGGTTGGCCAAGGTCGACCGCACCGAGGAGGCCATCACCACCCTGGCCAGAATCCAGGCCAAAGGCAATGTGGATGACCCGCTGGTGGTTGCAGAGTGGGAGGAGATCACCACTGTGCTCGCAGCTGAGCGTGCAGCAGTTCCCGGCTGGCGCAAGTTCTTCCACAACGGCATGTGGCGCCGAACCATGGCCGGATTCACCTGTCAAGCGTGGCAGCAGCTCTCGGGAGCCAATGTCATGACATACTATGTCGTATACGTCTTCCAGATGGCAAAGTAAGTTCAGGCAGGACCTAGGGTGCCTCTTCAACAAACAGGAAGTGCAGCTGACCCAGTTGGTGTATGTAGTCTGTCGGGAAACATCCTGCTGATCTCGTCGGGTATCCAATACGCGCTCTTCATCATCTTCACGTCAGTCATCTTCTTCTACATCGACAAGACCAGTCGCCGGAATCTCCTCATCTACGGTGCGCTGGGCATGGCCGTCTGCCATTTCGTTGTTGGCGGCGTCCTGTCATCAGGGGAATACGTTCCAGGAGGCGTGGACGGCAACCTCAACGTCCTCATCCGCGTGCGAGGATCCAGCGCTCACACCGTGATTGCATTCTCCTACCTGCTGATCATCATCTACGCTCTGACCCTGGCGCCCGTGGCGTGGGTCTACGCGGCAGAGGTTTGGTCCCTGGAGACCCGCGCATCCGGAATGGTAAGCCCAGCGGGCCCCTGTCACCCACTTACCTGGAATCAGGATTCAGTAATACTGACAAATGGAATGTGCCCAGTCCATCGCCGCCGTCGGCAACTGGCTTTTCAACTTCGCGTTGGGCCTCTTCGTGCCCCCGGGTTTCGCAAACATCAAGTGGAAGCTGTTCATCGTGTTCGGCGTGCTCTGCGTCGGCGCTGCAGTCCAGGTGTTCTTCACGTAAGTCTTGCCTAAGCACACCCATCACTGCCCCCCCCTGCCCTTACCCTACCACCACCCTCACCGTGCCAAGCACCATTATTCCCCAAGCGTCGACTAATCCACGCCATCCCATCCGCACAGCTACCCCGAAACCTGCGGCAAGACCCTCGAAGAGGTGGAGGAGATGTTCAGCAAGAACGGGCCGAAGCCGTGGCACACCAAGCCGGGACAGTCGAAGCTGGATCATCTGATCGAAGAGGCACGCGAGAAGGGCCTGCATGTCAAGGACGTGGGGGCAAAGGCCGATCTGGAGATGGTGGAGAATGTGGAGAAGACGGCCGGCACGACGACGGAGAAGGCCGCGGATGCGTCTGTCTAGAACTCTAGACCTCTAGACTAGACTAGACTCTAGGGGGGGGGGGTGCATACTCTGTAATTAGTTTGAAACTGGCTTATGGCATGTTGTGCCGGGGGGAGGCGAGCCTGCCGTTCCATCATTCCATGTCATGAGCGGAGATTGGTCATGGCGCATGTGCATAGACCAGGGGGGCGGAGGAGGGTGTCATCATCTCCTCAGCATTGCTAAATTACGATCATTACTCATATTAATAAAAATCGGGCCATGGGTACGATGCCGATGGGTGAACCAGTTATCAAAGAAAAAAAAAAAAAAGAAGATTGAGTGACCTGATTAAATTAAAAAACTCCGACAGTCTATTGAGAGATGCATCAGATGACAGAACAACGCTGGAAGCAACAAACAGGAACGCTGCAAAGGACAATCATGCAATGGGTATCTCGGGCCAGTCTGGTGCGCATGGGAAGATGCAAATAGATAAACCACAGAGAAAAAAAAAAAAAAAAAAAAAAAAGGGAAATGGAAATGGAAATGGAAATGGAACATGCAGGAAACGTAGAATAGAGCACGTCAAAAAAAAAAAAAAAAAAAAAAACATGAGATACCGCCGATGTTCGTTTCAGGGGGAGAAAAAGAGAGAAGAGGGGAAAAAAAAATTCATATGCAGAAGAAGTAGGAGAGAGACGAGCTCGATCACTGCACATCCTCGGAGATGGACTCGTCCTCCTCAGAGTAATAGTCGAGTTTGGAGAGGCGGTTGACGGCCGTGTTGAACGCATGGCCCAGGTCGCGATAGAGATCGTACAGCACCAGACCGAACTGCCGGTTTGTCTGGGGTTGGTTCCGATGTTCCTCGTAGTAGGGAGCGATGCCCTTGGCGAACTGCAGCCAGAGGTTGTTGACCAGCCGGTCCACGTTCTTCTGTGCCATGGTGGCGCCGGCGGATTTCTTCTTCTCGGCCGACGGATCGCCGGGGATAGGCTGGGGCAGCTGCTCGGGGGCCAGGCACGGACGCTGCGCCGGACGCTCCAGGTCTGCCGGGTCATCTTCGCGGGGCCGCTTTCGATCGTTAGGGATGGGGTGGTTGCCGGGTTCGCCTGCGGGCTCGGGCTTCTGGTCCTGCACTGGAGGCGCGTCCGGGTCGGACTGGAGTTTGGCAGCCACGAGGGCCAGGCGGTGGTTCTCGCGGGACTTCTTGCACAGGTAGTGGGCGAGAGGGATGCCCTGCAACAGTTGACCGTCGCAGACGACGAAGCGGTGCGGCGGAAGACCCCAGTGATCCGGCTGCAGTTCCATCTCCTCCGGCGGGGGCAGCCCGTTGGCCCAGTCGAAGGTGCGTTGCAATTTGAGGGAGCGGGCCAGCTCGGCCTGTTCAATCTCGGCCTGGTAGGCCTTGTCGCGGCGCTCCTTCTCTTCCTTCTCGAGTCGCTTCTCGCAGCGGGTCATCCAGTCGTCGATATCCGACGCCAGGTCTTCATCCATATCCCCCAGGTCCGGTAGTGTCTTGTCGGCGTCAAACGCGGCCCAGAAGGCCTTTCGCTTCTCGACGTATTGCTGGATCCGCCGGCGGCACGACTGCCACGAGTACTTGCGACCGGTGGATTTCAGCAGCAGGTCGGAGATCTTGATCCAGAATCGCTTGGGGTATTCGGAGGCATCGTAGCGGTTCATGTACGTTTCGCAGAGGCGGAAGAGCGACTTCTGCTCGGCCAAGGTCAGGCGTTTCCCCCGACCGGAGAAGTCCTGCGGCGAACCACTCTCGTCGTCTGGCATCACGATGGGACCGGATTGATTCGGCGTGGGCAATTGAACGGGCTCCTGATCCAGGAGGACGGTCGGTTTGGACATGGAGGCTGAATAGTGGTGAATTGGGCGGGATTGCGGTGTGAGGCCCGACCGGTGTTCGGCGGGGAGACAGGCGACCTGGTCCATGGCTTTGGAGGCGTAGGGAGTAGAAATCGGAGTGATTATATGTGTGTCGACCCTTTTCTTCCCTGAATTGTGATTGTTATTATTATTATTTTATGTTCTTTTATTTTTTTATTTTTTTTTTTTGTCTCACTCTCGCTCTCTCTTTCTCCCTTTCTGTCTCTTGCACCAGCGCCGTCCGACCGAGGGAAGAGAGAGAAAGAGAGAGAGATATAAAAAGGGACCTTTGACCGAGCCGGCGGACGGCGAGATAAGCAAGCAGCGGCCGACTACTTAGTCAGATACTGTACTGGTAAAGTGTTTTCAGCCAGTGGGAAAGTCGCTTTGGCAACAGATTTGCCGCTGTAAAATTTATTCTTTTCGTTCCGCGTGGCCGCGTCTCGCGTTGGGCACGTGATGGTGTAGAGAGGATTGCGTTGATGGAAATCATAGAATAGAGGAAAAGCAGAAGAAAAAAAAGCAGAAGAAAAAAAGCAGAAGAAAAAAAGCAAGGCATGTCTTGCAGGAAATAAATCATTCAAATCCAATCCCCTGGATGGATCTTATGATCTGGCTGCAACTTGTGGTTTTTTTTTTTTATATAATTTTTCTTGTCCTTGTCTTGTCTCCTCGTACATCCATCCTGCATCAATAATAGTAATAATAATAATAATAATAATAATATATTGGGCATCGGATCGTACGACTGCCATGCATCACTCCTACTCCTACACAGTACTCCTACTCCTGCTCCAACTCCTACTCCCTACTCCATAGTCCATACTCATACTCACTACTCACTACTCACTATTACTACTCACTAACTGACTAACTCACTGACTAATACTACTAACTCTACTCACTTCCATCGATCCGTCACCGCCAGCGTCAATTTCCCTCAACCCAACCATCCAACCATCCAGCCATCCAGCCATCAAGCCACTCATCTCATCATTCATCATTCATCGTTCATCATTCATTCTATTATTATTGATTTCTCTATATTGATTCATCGGTGGACAGTACAGTCTCCACTTTCCCATCGGAAAGAATACCTAATAATGTGTCTTGAATATTAATCGTCCCTCCGGTCGCGAGACTAACTGCTCCGTACTCGCTCTGCGTTCACGGACTGAACCATCGGCATTCCAGGCCTCCTTAGTCCCTTCGTCCCTTCGTCCCTTCGACCCTTCGTCCCTTCGACCCTTCACCCCCCCCCCCCCCCAGACTAACTACTTAGACTCAGGAGACCCTCGCGACAATCTACAATCATACCTCGGTTAGATTCTGGTCATTCTGCCTCCTCCCTGCACTCCTCCCATTACAGATCTGTCTAGGTCCGGTCCGGCCTGAACACTCTACGGACTAGTTACCGATCATCTTCTATCTACCACAGTTGGCACTTGGCAGGTCATCACTACCCGGAAGGTCGATCGTTTAGACTTCGCCGAACCAAATAATGAATGCATGTTTGTCGCCGACTCGTTGGGTTTTTGTCGCCCATGGCGCTATTCACAGCCTTTGATTAGCCAAGCTCCCTCATCTGTTGACGAACCATTTGGACAGCAACCCCCTGTAGATTTTAGATATTTGCACCAACCGTAGATAGAGTAAGAAAGGAGTTGGAATACGTGGAACCATTGGAATTGGATATCACATCACGGCGTTTGTGGGGATCATCATCTCCTGTTGACTCTCCCGGCCCTGGATCAACCTCCATACCCCTGGAAAACCATACCTACCGACCTGGACACAACTCAAATCCCTTTGTCATCCAGCCAGCCTGGTCCAGTTGATTCACATGGCCTCCGGACTCTGTTCCTCCCCGCTGTTAAAAGCGGTTTCTTCCGTGTCCCAGGATGATGAGAATCCATGCCGATTTCTGGCCACCGTCGCCCGGGAATGGACGACCCAGCAGTACGTCAACAACTTGTGTTGTGACCAGCTCATGCAGCTAAACAGGCTGACGGGAACAGCTCCGTCCTTGGAGGTTTTCTGCAGGCGCTGATGCTGTCAGCTGCGAAGAAATTCGTGGTCGCCGAGCTCGGCGATGGACGGTTTCCCGATCCCATTCATGCCTTTGTGCAATTTCTGAGCATGGTCCCACCTGGTCCGGTTGCCATCACCTGCAAGATCTTGCGCCGTTCGTCTCGAAAATGCGTGGTCAGTGTAGAACTGGTGCGCATTCGTGCTTCGCCGGCTCCGAAGCCGGACCCTCCCGCAACGGTTGGCGTGTTCACTTATGGAGACCTGTCCAGGGAGCGAGGTCTGTCGCAGCCCAGCGATCCGGCCTTGACGCCTCCTGTGCCCCTGCGCGACACGGACTGTGTCCCCATTGACGATCCCGTGGTGGATGCCACCCCTGTGACACGGAAGCTGCACTGGGTCGCGCCGCGGTCCGCAAATGGCTTGTGGGGTCATCGCCTGGGGGGCCATCATCGCGAGGTCTGGTTAGCGTTCCGAGACGGATCGATGATCGATGATGTTTTGCATCTAGCGTTGCTGTCAGATATGGTGAGCCCGGATTCCCTGGAACTTTGTATTGGAAGGTAGCTTAACCGGTCGAATAGCCACTTCAACCTGCCGCAACACATCAACCCGGGTTCTACTCCCGCTATGCTCTCTCCACCCTCTGCCTGTCCATTGAGTTCAAGCAGCGGCCTGATCCTGCCACGCGGTGGGTGATGATCCGGTCCAACTCTCACATGGTGTCCAATGGCCGCTACGATGTCCACTTGCAGATTCTGGCGGAAAACGGCGACCTTCTCGCCTTGAGCAACCATGTACTCAATATCTGGGACCTCCGTCGAGGTCCGGCAGCTGCCAAGATATAAGCCGTATCATTCCCCCCGTCTAATACTTGAGCTTGTTTGTTGAGTTTCATGATCTACACCGCAATCGAATGAACGATAGGGCTTAGGGCTAGGGCCCATCATGCAATTTTGCTGTCAATAATGCAGCTGACGAGCACAGATGATCATGGTCAGACGGGCATGGTATCTTTCTGAGCTATCAGCTATGTGAACTCAGAAAATGCATGAAACCGAGCAATGCGATGTATTCAATATGTATGTGATGGGTCACATCCCCCCCCCCTGCAGCAAACTCTTCATGTAGCTTCATCACGCATATCACAAAATCCCAAGCCCATCAATCAGACCACATCAATTGCCCTGGCGCATCGATGATCGCTCATCTTTAAGCCGCCCCACCATAGATATCATCCATGTCATAGCCGCCCTGGCCCTGCGAAAAGTACAGCCCGGCCATATCAAACGCATCCTGCTCCAGACCCGCCACCCCGACATCACCACCATGCACAAACCCCTCCACCCTGCCCACCTCCTGCTTCACCGCGCGCCCCAACCCAGCCCCAAGCCCCGCCTCCTCCCCATCCTCAAACCGCATCGACACCGCCGACGACGACGTCCCAGACACAGACATCGACGCAGTCAGCTCATGCCCATACCCACGCACCGCTCCCCCACCCACCACAAACCCCGACAAGATCTCCGCCGCCTCATTCTTCACCTTCACCTTGACCTCCTCCACTTCCTCCTCGGCCTCCGCATCCACGAAAATCGCATCCATCAGCGACAATCCCGCCCGGCCCGCGCCCCGCCTACTCGGCGTCCCCGGCACATCCTTCACGCCGCCCTTGCGGCTGCGCCCCGTCGAAGACGCGGACCCGGGCTTGGTGATGCCACCGCGTGGGCCGCGCGGGGTGCGAGGCGTGCTCGACGCCGAGGCCGTGCCGTTGCGGCCGCGCGGCAGCTCGGTGATGCCGCGGCTCAGCGCGGAGGATCGCAGCTCGTCGGCCATCTTGCGGTAGCGCCGGAAGCGACCTTCGATTGCGTCGTAGGTGGCGCCTTGGCCGAAGAGCGTGGCCATGGCTTGGTATTCGAGCTGCAGGGTTAGGAAGAGCGGGGAAGAAGTTGTTAGTGGTTGTTGTGTTTGTTTGTATGGAGGTGATGTGATGTGATGTGATGTGATGTGAGGAACTGTACCTTGAGGCCTGGGTTTGCGGCAATGAGCGCGGCGATGAGACGGTCGGTGGACTCGGTGGTTTTCCAGTTGACCATTTTTGGGCTGGAGATGGGTGAATCCGGGTTGGATTGTTGTGAGAAGTAGAGGAGATTTGGCTGTGAGGTTGAGGGTTCTTGGGTTCGAGGCGATACACTCCTTCGACCTTTATAGGATGTTCTGAAGAAGATGTGTTTCTGGCGGTGGTGAGAGCCAGTGTCACAAATCACAAAAGTGACCTATAGACTCAGCAGTTAGCGTGGGCTGGACTTGGGTCTCTTTGCAAAGATGCAGACAGCTCGCGGAGGAGGAGTCTGTACAATCCTCTGTTGATGAAAGCGGTTGTCAAAACTCACAGGTTGGGGAATGGCGTCGGCTGGAGAGGGTGTGGGAAAGGTAGCTGTACAAACCAACACAGGGAAAGGGAAGTACCAGGTTGTTGTCACAGAGGAGAAGAGAGAAAAAGACAGGCTGGTGCAGAAACAATCTCTGAAGCTACAAGAAAAAGACCGAAATATCCCACAAACTGCCTCTAGTCGTGTCGTTCTTGAGACGCAGTGAATGTACACTGGCAGCACACCCTCAAACTCAAAGTCTACATAGATCAACACTGATGAACCAACTACAATGCATGGAAAAGAAAGGATCAAACATCTAACGCCGCAAATTCCACGCCATCATGCAATCTGGCTGGACGCAGAGTTGATAGATCTACCGGACGGGCTTTGCGATGCAGGAACATCCCAGACAGCGATGAGGCCAGGATTGTAGATTCGAGAGGTGACTCGTTGGAGATGGTGAACCTGGGAGATCTGTATCCTTACACCGCTTGTCAACAGGTTGAGGAGAAAAGTGACAGATGGGTGATGCTTTCAAGGATGTTATCCTGTTGACATCGTGACACTGGGTTGTGGATAGTGACAGTCAGGCCTATATGAAATGGCTGGGGGAGCTGTGGATGGCTACAACTTCCTGTTTTCCTTCACAAACCAAGGTAAGGCATTTTGAATATTGGCTGCTATACCTACTACAGACTTGGAAGAAAAAAAAAGGATCAGCTTCTCTTCTCTTACAACACATACTCTTCCACACTCACCTTCTCCCTCTTCTTTTCTTACTCTGCCTTGATAGTAACACACACTCTCTCTACCTACTTCTCCTTTCAACTTCCCCCTTCTGCTTCTTTCTCTCAATCTGCATCTCTTACTTGACATACTACTTCTTCTCCAGCACCTTACTCACAATCTCACTCTACCTCTGTCATACCCATCACCGTGAACTCTCTGCTGCAACAATGCCCATGCGCTGGACCAGTGAGAATGACCAGCTTGTGAGTACATCCAGCTTATAAACAAAGCCCTTCTCTAACAGCATTGCGCAAACAACCAGCTTCTTCTGAAGATTCTGGAGACCCATGAGCTCTCGGTCGACTCCAACAAGGTCGCAGCAGCCTGGCGTAAGTTCCATCCCCCCCGCCCCCAAACCACCACTAAAAACTACCACTAACACACAACAGCCGGAACTGACCCCAATGAAAGACCTACTCCCCGCGCTATCCGCGAGCGTCTTGTGAAGATGCGACAGATCGTCAAGGCATCCGGCAGTGATGGTTTCAGTATTGGCGGCAACACCGCTGGCAATACTCCCACGCCCAAGAAGACTCGCAAGAATACCACTCCTGCCAAGACCCCTGCTTCTGGTAAACGCAAGCGTGGCGGAAAGGCTGGTCTTGCAGTTGGCGAAAACGGAGACCTCGCTCCCGAGTATGGCGGCAACACCAAACAGGACGTCAAGCATGAGTCGGATGATGACGAGATTGACACGCCGACTAAGAAGATGCCTTTGCAGCCCGGCTTTACCACTAACCAGCCCGCGATGTGTGCCATCCTAGTCAAGTCGGAGGCGGATGACGACGATGTGTTTTCCGCTGGCGTGGATGATACTCCCTCCAAGCGCTCGCGCAGAGTGAGTGCTCTTCCTCGTGGTATGGTGAAGTACGAAGACGACGAGGACCAGCCGAACAATGGATATGAGAGCTCTTCTTCTGAGTTTCTACCAGAGGGGTCGGCCGTTCATGGTGAGGATCTCGATATGCAGGGATATGCTTGATTTGCTGTGTTCTCTTGGGATTTCTATCTTCTTGGTAACCGGATATTTTATGCTTCCTGCAAAAAGAATGGCGGCACATTGCTGCTGTATTCAGGCGTGCGTTGGGAATGCAATGCGTTCTATTGCTAGTTTTACTATTGGGAACACAAGCCCGAGAAGCAGGGTATTGAATCAATTCGAGATCCAGAGAGATCAATCAATTCATGGAGTTTAAACTACAGGGGGAAAAAAAGCTACAAATGTTGTTCATCCTTCCCAGAAGCGCATATCCGGCCACCAACAACACACAAACCCACCTATTGCCAGGAAACCTCGAGAATCAGAGAGACCAGTCAGTCCCAGAAACATCAAGTCAAAAAAAAAAAAAAAACAAAAGGCAACAGAAAGAGAGCCTAAGCATCCTCAATTCCAGAACCACCACTGACACCATGCTCGCCCTCATTCTCCACAGCCTTCTTGGCAGGGCCCTGCTTCACCTTCTTGGGAGATCCTGTCTCCTCGCCAGCCGCGCCCTCGTAGGCGTTCTTCCTTGGACGGCCCCTCTTGCGCTTCTCAGGAGAAGCAGGGGCAGAGTCGCCGCCAGGAGAACCGGAGTTCGCCTTCTCCTGCAACTTGCGGATGCGGTGCTGGATGGCGTAGACAGTACATTCTGTAGAAAGAGCAGCGTATATGTCAACATGTCTAATTCCTTTTTTTTTTCTTTTTTTTTTGGGGTTTTTTCCCGAAAGCATTTTTTAAAAGGGGAAAGTACGGACCAGGTCCCATCCATTTGGCGAGAGCGTCGAGGTCGAGTTTGACGTTGCTGGTGTTGAGGATACCGATCAGAAGCTGGGCGGGTTAGTTGTGTTGGCTGTTGGGAAGTGCTCGGTTTGGCGCGTACCTTGGCGTCAGCTTCGGGGCTCCAGGTCATTGGCATTCTGGCTGGTTGTTGGAGGACTTGAAGGTCTTGAGAAAGTTGACGGCTTGAAAGGAAGCTTGACTGAGCACTTGGTCGTGGAAGATGAGTCTTGAAGAGTGAGGCACAGATATGGAGAGCTAGAAGAAGGTAAAAGGCATGCGTGAAGAGAAAGCAGAATGGACTTGCTTGAGAAGAGGGAGGGGAGAGAAGGGAAAGAGAGGAGAGCCGAGCTTCTTGTGTTATTATGCTTGGGGTGCTTGTTTTTGGTGAGAAGCTGAAACAATGCTGGCTGCCCTTTGTTCACCTGCAACAAGCACATTAAGTAACACTAGAACTTCTAATTATGGTGCTAGAAGACTTCATTGGAGCTCTAATGACAGCTATTGTTCAATTGAGCTAATTTAGCCGTTAGATTGAAAAAGAAATTCGAATCATATCAGAATATCAATACCTCATCTGACTGGTAGGAGAACTACCTTCAGCTACAGTCAAAGAGTATCATCTACCAGGAGACCACATCCTCTGTACAAGCAATATCCCGAGATACAAGACCAACAGAGGCATTGGTTATACTTGACCGTCTTCAAGCCTGCTGTTGTAGGGCTATCGACTCGCACGCTCAAATATAAACTTGCTATATGCTTCGGGATGGTAGGAAGAGAAATAGTCGTCATAGATGAGCTCCTCCTTGGTCCTCTTTCGCGTCTTCAAGTCATCGAATTGCCGAAATACTCGACCAAGGGTTACATAGAGTTCGGAGTAAGCCAGCCTTGTAAAGTTAGCGAGTGTGCAGAGGTCCACGGCCAATGATGCGCACTGCATGCCAACACATTGTCTGGTCCCCTTGCCAAATGCGAACAGATACTTGTCCAGCGTATTGTATGTGACAGGATTTAGCCAGCGCTCGGGATCGAATGTTTCAGAGTTCGGATATAGCCCCTCGTTGTGGTGCATTATCCACGAACTCATGCTGACAACCGTCTAATATAACTCAGTATTGATTCTAACAAACGTGGAAGATCCTCATACCCCTTCTGGTACCTGGTAACCATTGAACTCGGCACCGGGCTGGGGAACGACACGTGGAAGCCGTCCGACGACACCAAAAGATAATCTGGATCGCGTGAGTACTGAGCGTAGGGTATCACAGGAGATATATACCGTAGTCCCTCCTTGATCACAGCAGTCTGTCTGGAAGTCAGCCATAGTCCCGTTCCCGCAGCATGTATTTTGAACCCACCAGATAAGGCAGCTTCTCAAGTGCTGCAAAGTCCATTTCTGCTTCAGGGTCAGGAAACCTCTCCTTGAGCTCTGCTGTCAACCGCTCATATATCTTCGGATTCGTCACGACGTTGTACGTCGCAATAGTGAGCGCATTGCCCGTAGTATCTGCCGCGGCGGTTACGATAACATATGCCTCATCAGCGAGCTGTTTAGTGGTTGGCACTGTATATGCGTCTGCGGCATCTGGTCGAAGAAGTTGGTGGAAAATCGTCTTTCGTTCAACCTTCTCGCCGCTGCTCACAGAGGCCTGTACGCGAAGTACCTGGTCTTTCAAGTCCTGGCAGGCGAGCATCGTCAGCGGTAGTTTGTGAAAAAAAGGTAATAGGGACAGACACACCGCACGATAACACATCAGCTTCGCCAACATCTGGTTGCACAACCTGGCGGCCCAGAGTGGCATATTGAGGGCGAAGTCGTGTAGAAAAGAAAACTGTTGGAAGAACCACAATGCAGGGACTGTATCGCGAATCACGGTAAAAAATTCAGCGCCAAAGTCCTCCTTATCCAGTGAGTTGAAGCAGTTATTGAATGCGTAGTCGGTGATAACATCGATGGATATGGCCCGATATGCATAATGAAGGTCAATCCTCCCGCTGGAGACGAACGCCTTCTGCATCCGAGTCACCAGCTTCTTTGCCTTTTGTTGAACAACGTCTTCCAGTTCAAAGACCATCTTACGCGAGAAGAACGGATTCAAAGCTGCTCGCTTCACCCGGTGTAACTCATGACTGGCAGTCGAGAAGGTCGAGCTGTTCACGCCAAAGCCATTATAAAAAGGAGCACTTTTTCCATATCGTGACCGGACGTAGTAGACCTTGTCGAGATTCTCGGGGTCGCTGAGGTGAATCTCGTCTGGTGTGATCCGTACTATTGGGCCTATTACCAAGTGTTAGCATGCATGCCCGTGGAACCGGGCCATGCACATTGGAATTGGCTTGCCATATTGCTGATGAAGTTTCTCAATCTGTAAATAGAACCTCCCGTCATGGTAATTATACCAAAAGGAGTAGAAGAAGAATGCTCTTGCAAGTAGAGGACCTGGAACCTTGGATAGAGGGTGGAAGTACAACCGATAGATGACAACCCAGATGAATCTAACCACACTGACTGCACCAATGATGGCAGCAAGGTGGGGGATGTCAGGCAAGGAGGATAGAAACATAGTAACAGCTGTTCTAAAGGTGTGCTCTCCGTTTTGATAATACCTCAAAGGAGTAGACTGTTGCGAACACGGAAAAGCGATGGACAGCACTTTAATACCCTGTCCTGCAGCGTCGGTGGCACACACACAACGGTTGTACAAACTGCCCCCAGAGGCGAACAGTGCGTCAACACTCAACCACAGAAGGCGGATCGACGCATTGGGTAATTATGCAAGTCTTCCATATTGGATGCCTCAGTAGAGACAGAAAGAACCCCGCTCAAACAGGGTGTGTCTGTGAATGATTCATCAGCATATCTATAGGTCCACTGCATGCAACGGCCTCGCGGCTGGTTTGGACTGAATCAGTGGTTATAGCCAATAAACAGTCGGATCCATCAAACAAGCCGGGGAGGATGTAACACAGGGGATCGTGATCAACTCTTCGTTGAGGTCTGATATCATGTTCATGCAATTATCAATTGCTTCCATGCTTCTATACAGCCCTGTGGCCACTCTTTGTAACGCTTGAGCCCCTTCAAATCCAAGTATCCAAGGCTGGTGACACCGAGTCAGGTAAGCTATATCGTTTTCGGGCACAAAATTGTGGCCATCCCCCTGATAGGAGGAGTCGACGGTCCGTGAGTATGTGTGAACTTGCTGGGCCTTGTGGGGACGTTTCGTCATGGAAAGCTTGTCCTACTGAACCTTCGAAAAAGATATAGTAATAATGGATTCAACATCGGTCGGTAACAATAATGATCGAACATTAAGATCAGTCAAGGGTAGATAGAGAGCGACAAACCAGAACTCCCACACCCCCATTATGTGCCATCAAGATTGGCAACAGAGCGCCTGGATAGTGAGTCGACTTGTTGGCACGCTTCTCAGATTGATGCAAAGTAGTTGAAGGGTCTCAAATCCACTGACATCGGCTGCTTGGAGGACTCGAATTTAAACTTGACCCTGGACTGTTGAACTGTGATCTTCACCTTCACCAAAGAAACACCATCAATCAGCTGATCAAGAAGCAGCCATGACCACGACCGCGCGACTTCTTTGATGTGCCACAATCAACCCAATCTGTCCATCACATTCAAGGTCTTTTTATTCCAGAAAGCTGCCTCGGCTTAAATTCGGAGAAGCCCATCTTCAACCCAATAGGATGCCTTTACGAATCTTCGTGCTCGGGTTGTCAGCAACACTGGGCTAAGCGCTCAACACCTACTTTGACCTCTGTGAACGCGATTCGTGGCGCGCAGGTGTCAGAGAATGTGCATTGATTTGTGATGAGACATTTCCTTTTGCAATGGTACTGACATGAGCTCCAGGTTTTAGCTACCTTCTCGTCAAATGAGAAATCGGATCCGATTGAGCTAACTTGGCGGCAACTGGCAAGGTACAACAGTCCAGCATCATATTGTGTTTTCATTCGATATGCTATCCAAGGGGGTACTGGCCCCCTATCTAGCTCACCTAATGCTGTCTTTACTCGTTAGACGCTGACCACCTTCCTTCGAACGCCACCATATTATCACACCTGAGCGACCCTTGTCCCTGACGGCATGTTTCTATCTAGCCAACAAATCATAAGCCAAAAGGTAAATCAGCCCTACAGCCGCTACAGTCGCAGTTTCAACCGGTCCTTAGCTGTTGGCTGGTAACAACATCACGATGGCCAATGGCAACGATTCCCAGCGCCGCGAATTGCAACACCGGAGACGGAGACCTCATAAACGACACGCATGTCGCAATCTCGCCAGTGGAAAGGAGTCGAGATTCGAGAATCATCCTGATCGACTGATTATCGGCCAAATCCAACACAAGTGCGGGGTCCTCTGGCAGCACAGTCAAAAACATAGGAGTACGGAGTACCCCTCAGGGTCCCACTGGTGAAGTGGCTGCCAAGCGCCACGATGGCAGCACACAGGTGGGGGGGGGGGCAGCTCCTCACCACACCACAACAACAATATCGCGCGCATTTTGCATGCTTCGATGCAATCGTGGCTGGTGGAAGGAAATATTGTTGCCTAACAATCTCGCGGCCCCTGGCCGGAAATGATCACACGCGCAGGCTGCGACGGATGCTGTTTGTTGCTCGTTGTCGCAGCGGCGACAGGGGCCCCCACTGCGTCGAGCGACGCGCGACATTCGAGTAAATGGATCGGAGACAGGTGGTTGGTATAGTCTGCCCTTAGTATACGGAGTAAGGGTCCACACGTAAAGACGGTGAGGGTATATAAAGGGCGAGCTATTCTCAATCAATCGGTGCTATCCCTCTCATTCATCATCCCAAATCTCCCAGACACCTTTCCACATAACCAAACCCCCACTACATCCATCCTATTTTCAAAATGAGCTTCCATCTTAGCGCCGAAGACATCCGTATCGAGGACAACCACATCCTCGTTGCTCGCCTTCGCAATGGCAATGGCGACCTCCAGGATGCTTCGATTGATCTGAACCAGTTCCTCGGAAACGACAACGGTAGGCTTGACCCCGCCCCAGTCCCCCACCAGGCTCAGACCATAGATACTGACCAGATGTAGGCCGCTTCCAGTGGGACGGCGTCAACTTCTCTGAGTCTGCCGAGAATGTCCACTTCGCCATCGAGGGCGGTGGTGAGGTCCCCGTCCTGCGGGCTCGCCTGGCCGATGGTGAGGGCAACTGGCACGACGCCGATGTGAACCTGTCTGAGCGGGTTGAGAACATCGATGGTCGTTTCGAGTTCCACTGATTGATGGTAAGGTCTTACATAATTAATCTGTTTGCATGGTCGGTCTTTGCCCTAACAATTTCGTCTTAGAATGTCCGTCGCCTATCTTTCGCTAGTTAATGAATGATGGTGAAAGTAGGCTATTGTATATAGATCAATGAATTGAGGTTTACTCATGAAACCCGCTTTGTCATGAATATGTTAGTGGCTCTTTTAAGTAGTCCGTTCGGTGTGAAAACATATCTTTCGCATTTGAGATTAGAACTGTCCATGTGGTTGGAAGTACAGGGTACGCGGGAACAGCTTAGAATGGAGCAGAGAGAGGCATGCCGATCAAGCAAAAAAAAAAAAAAAAAAAAAGGAAAGCAAAAAGAAAAGAAACCTGTGATTTTTAAATGCGTCCATGCCAGAAAGCATATCAACAATGAGTTGTAACTCCAGTCCCAATAATTCCTCCCGAGACGCCGCCCGCTTCGTCCGTTTAAAACATGCTTAGAAGAGTTCCGAGTTGGAGATAGTACCGACTGGTAAACAGAATAAAAGACAAACCTGGCCGCCCAATCAATAAAACAACATGTATCAAAACCCTAGGTCCATCATGAAAGAACTCATGGAACGTCGAAATAAGAAATTTTAGGAGTCAAAGGAAGGTTCAAACACGGGAGCATCACCATGCATGCCCCCCATTGTCAGCATCGAAGTCGTTGCCATTCCAGTCTTCATCGCCACTGCGCTCGTCATCAAGGAAATCTTGCTCATTGAACTGTGTCTCTGTTGGGCGCTGGTTATCAATTCGAACCATTACAGTGTCGCACATGCCTTGAATGAACAGATCCGGATCGTCGGCGTTTGATGCACGATAAGATGCACCCGATTCGGCCTTATCCTCGGCTTCGGAATTCTTGCGCTGGGCAAGACGTGCGCTTTTGCGCTTAGACGGCGTAGATACGCTACTATTCTGTGCCTCAGACTGAGTCGCAGGATCGTCTTTCTCGACCTGTAAATCCTTCTTTCGAAGTGTACGAAGGTTGGGATTCGGCGGTGTTGTTCGTCGTAAGAAGACCTTCTCCAGTTTTCCAATCCATTTCTCCCGAAAGGAAGCACGGTCACGCCATCCTATCCTTAAAATAGCACTGATAGCCAACCGGCGCAAATAACGGAGCTCTGGTGCGGCGTTGATCAGGGACGTGAAGAAGACCTCGGCTGTAACATCATCCCACTTGCGCAACTGTATCAACTCAATTTCTTGCAGGGTTGCCGGCCAAGTCGGTATATCGGAGGGGCGAAGCAGTTCGGCAAAGTGTGGTTCAATATCGTGATAGCTAGACCAGTCATATATAGAGATGTCCATCTTGAATTTCTCCAGACTCTGACAACACTCCGCGAGGCTCACCATGAATGATAGACTCAAATGCCGATTGTGACTCAAATCCAGCTCGCGCAGGTGCTGTCCATGAGAAGCAAGAAACATGCCGAAATTCAATGCGGTCACCTCATCACAGTTGTTGATGGTCAATGAAGTAAGTGTGGAGGGCATGTGGGGTAGAAGATGCTCATTAACAATTGAGCATTCTAGAAACTCGAGATGACGCAGATCTGGAAGCTCTTTGATTGCCGTAGCGAGGATAACTTCTCGTTCGTTTGAAGACTCGACAACGCCGTCTCCATCAAGATCTTCTGACGCAATATGCAACAGCCTCAATTCCGTCAGCCTGCGGAATGCTGGCTCGTAGTGTTTCCCCAGTATGAAGGGAAGTAACTGTTGTGTCTCCATGAACCGGCTATTCCAGTCCCAGCTGCGCAAATGAACCAAGCTCGAATTCATCGTATCAAAAAGTGTCTCGGGGTAGACCCATTTGGAGCGTGGGATTTGCCAGGACGGAAGACCTACAACAAAGTCATCCTTGTGGTAAAGTCGTACTCTTCTCACTTGTGGTGTCTGCTCAAGGAGCTTAGGCAGATCGAAATACCCCAAGGTGGGCCCACTCTTATAAAGCAAGAGAGTCTCCACATCAACATGCAGCTCTTTGATCTTATTCCTGTAATTTGTCGAGAGTTCTTCTTGGGGTCGACATAGTAAACTCAACAAAGCATGAGATTTGATAGCTGGAATAAGCGGGGGACAATGGTAGAGAGCCGCCAATGCGGGCTCATGAAAAGCGTGACACATGAGAGCGATGTTCACAAGCCATTGTGGTGAGCTGCTCCTCATCATCGTCTTCTCATCCACCAGCGGGTAGAATGCACGAAGAAAGATATCAAATAATATGTGATAAGGAAGAGACTGCCATGGTGGGATGATCCCGGAACCGATGAAGTGGATGTTGTCCTCTTTGATCTTTATCCGCTTGCTGAGAGGCCTCCCTAGTTCCAAGCGGTTTTTCCTGGGTGGCCGTTTCGACCCACGGGTTTGAGACCTGGTTTTCACGGTGCGATTTCGTCTAGGTCTGGCGGGGGGCCCGTTCCTAGCAGGCCCGGAGAATGGATAGGTAAATTGAATTGAAGCTTCGGCGGGCATGACGGCCGTAGGATCGCCATTGGAACTCTCTTCGAAGTCATCGTCAGTAGACTCTTCGCGGTAGGATGGAGGTATTCGGTTCGAACTGCGTGGGCGCAGCGACAGTGACGCTCGCCTGACTCGGTCCTCATCAGACTCGGTGTCCTCGTCAAGCCGACCATCCGAGCTGCTATCTTCGTGGTATGACTGGACGCGAGTCCGACTCGCCCTAACGGGCCGAGACGATCTGGATGATCGCTGGCGAGAAGAACGAGCCGTCGAAGACATAATTCCTCGAGTTAAACATCCGTAATTCGAGCAGAAGGTTAAGCCAGTTGCAGAGAACACATGATCCGTCAGTCCATTGGCTACTCAGTGGTTGTGGATTCAGGCAAGAGACGAGAACAAAAGAGCAATTCCCCCACGCATTCACACAGTCAGCGAGCAGCAGAAGTCAACAGAGGTTCTAGTCAAATTTAACCAGAGGATTGAAGAGGTGTCGATTCGATGCAGGTCCGTCAACTGATCAACGGTCGACTTATCACCCTTGCGGAGGTTTATCGATAAGAGGAAATCGTCATCATCCTCGATGCCTGAACCCTGAGGCCACCTTACACCTGATATGGTTTAGTGCAGCATGTGACAGCAGCATGCCATTTAGAATTTTAGATACTCATCAAGCAATTAAACCATCGGACCCGCATGCCACGACGATCATGGCTCTCCTCCTGTTGCATAATGCATTTGTTTCTAGATTTGATCTAGATTGTACAAAACAACTCAATCTCCAGGGAGAATCACCAGCTCTTGTTTGCTCCAAACTCTGATATCGATATGGATCTTAAAGAGCGAGAGGACCAAAATCTCAATCCTTGCGGTGGTCTTTACACGACAAGGCGGGCTTTGACTTTACCCTCTCCTGACAAGACACATCTATCATCCAGAGAGCCAGATCAAAAATGCAAGGCGATGCAAGATCATATGAAGCTCGATACCATACACAGTGATTCTTGTTCTTGACCAATCTCTGAAACCATGACAACAGGTAACCTACTTACTCTGCTGGCGTAGCTATCAGGCTATGCAACTTCCGAGTGTTGAACTTAGCGTCAAGGATGGTCTCGATTCTGCCAAGGAGACATCTTTTCCCCAACGCTGGCATTGTGCCAAACGCTGGAAATGTTCAAGGCAATGGCAAGGAAACAGGGGGTCAACCATAAAATGGCAAACACACACTGGCACTTTCCCATATTTTACTCGTATGGAATGCAGTCAATGTCCAACTCCAAAATCATACATCGACAACATCCCCCAAGTCATCACCTGTCCTTAACTCCTTAGCACAAAAAAGAGAAGAATCTCTGCTTGGACGTACACGGTTGTAGAGACTCCAGAGGCAACAAGCATGGTATACATAATAGGCCCTTGCCATCGCAGGGGACATTCAGAATCTCACTCTATATATTATGCATGCAACGAGTGGCAATATTAGAGTAGCCACTGTGAGGTTCATGCATAATTATAGTTTTGAGAGTATTCCAGACCTGGGGGTGGAACTGGAAATTGCCTGAGGCCATGACGGGCCCAATCAGGACTAGCGCTACATGTGACAGCGGCATCAACTCCCCCGCCCTGAGGCCACCACGCTAGACCATGAAAGGGAACAAGCACTTCCCGAAATAGAAACAGTCTTTTGGCCGTCTGCTTCTCAAGCGCCGTCTTCCAGCCACCTTCTTGCTCTCCTCTTTCTGTTCATCTCAAGATGGTGATAATGGCGCATCTCTCTTCAAATCTGAGAAGTACCAGGTCTGATTGCCGCTGAGTCTACACTGTTCATCCTCCTTGTTTGGTGACCTGCAAGCTCCATATATCAATGCGCTGATTTGGGCTGGTCCCTATTCACCTCGCGTCCATTGCGACTCAGTCACGCTTGGCAATCACAGCATCTAGCGTTTAGGTGATGCGCATCCGAGCTTGACGACTTGTAATGATCAATCACGGATGCAAATGATATCTCTGCATCTCGCTTTCCACTAAATCCACCTCTTCTGTTCGGATCTCGAATTCGATCAGTCATTGCTCGGAGTCATCTTGACTCATTGATTGTGCGCCATGGAAAGCTCATTTTCCAGTGTGATACCGCCCACCGATCGGAATGACATTGGAGGAACGCCAGGGGTTATTCAACAATATGCCAGATATCCCTCCACATTGGAGCCGGGATTACAGAGTTCCTCATCGTTAGGCAGCGCACGCAGTCGTCTGGGCGCCTCGAAATCTCCTCCTCTCCACCGGAAAGCAACACCTCGCAGCATACAGTCGTCCCCAACTGGGCTACGTTCGGTCATCCCCCCGGTATCAGCAACGCGCGCAGGGCCATCGATGTCTCCTCCGATGTATGATCCTCTCCGTCAACGACAGGGGAGAGACTCCATAGAGCAAGCAGAATCGAGAACTCTTCCATCTCGTGACGTTAGCGACGACACAATTGACGACGCCTATGTGATGTTTATTCTCTTCTGCAACCCAAACGTTCCCGTCTCCGTGGATACCGCTGAGCTTCGGAAGACCTTCCGGTCACCTCCTCGGAGTGATGGCAAAAGTTTCAGTATATTTACGCTCTGGGAACTCATACGGAAGTTAGACAATAAGGAGTTGAAGACATGGATCCAGTTGGCCATTGAGTTGGGTGTGGAGCCTCCTTCGGCGGAGAAGAAACAGAGCACGCAAAAAGTGCAACAGTATGCTGTCCGACTGAAGGTTTGTGCACTGGTATTCATCCTGTAAGGCTACTCCTGTGGTTACTAATCGATACTTGCTAGCGGTGGATGCGCGCAATGCATGTCGATGCATTCTTCGAATACTGTCTTGGCCATCCGCATCCATACTACACCCAGCTTCCCGCGTCCAATGCTGCAGTTAGCGAGACTCGCGATGGAGTGCCGCTAGAGGAAGATCTCGCCTTGCGTGCGCTTGTTCCGGAGTGGAAACCAAAACGTGGTCGAAAACGCGCCGACGAAAGAGATCATGCTCTTGATAGGGGAGCTAAGAGACCTCAGCTAGACACATCTGTAGGAGTTTTGCAGGCTGGTTCGTTCACGGACCATTCTGCAACATTTCCACATAGTGCTATCCCATTCAGCGCCTTCCCCAATGACGACCATTGGATGACTGCAGCGCCATCCTTCCCAGCCGATGGCTCAGACGAGCATGCGGTATCCCAACAAGGACAAGAGCTTCGGTGGAGACCTCTTGGAAGAGATGCGTCTCCTGCTGGATATCCACATTCTGCCATAATTCCTCGTGGCCATCATCCATCTGATGGTTTTCTCCCGTCTGCAGAACCACGCTCGGCGGTCGATCCATCGCCTGGTGAAAAGTCGCGATCTAGGAGGCGGCATGGCCCAGCAGTGTCATCTGCTTGGCCGAACAGCAACGCATCGATCACGGGAAAGACTCGAGGCAGGCCACCGCAGAGAGGTATTATCTCCGGCCCTTTCTCTACCTTCCCTCTGAATCCCCCCCGGACAGACTCAAGCCAAGCCCAAGGCCCTGGGTCTAGATCATCGCCCGCTATTATACTAGATCAGAGCTCTGCTGCTCGATCCGGAGATACGCCATATCAACAGTTGCCCACACCATTCTCTCATACAACCGCTCGGCCGAACAAGCTTCAGCTACAGGTTCCACAGCATTCGGGCGGGCCAGTCCGCCTAGCCACACCACCAACGCTGATGGTTAATGGGATTAGCAATCCATCCGCCTCTCTTAAAGTAGAACCGAACAAAAGCAATGGTTCTGCCGCTCCTTCCAATGGCATGTGGAACGGCAGCACTATGGCCCACATTATACCCAATGCAGCTCCGCACGCCCAGGCTGACCAAAACCCGAGCGCTCAGATCACGTTTGACGACGTGACCCGTGTTCTCTCCAGCGAGTTGCTCCGTGCGAAACTGACGGGCCGGCCAGCTCCCCTTAGCGCTGAGGAAGCTCGTGCTCTGGCATTTTCTATAGTTAGGAACCTGAGCGCATCGTATGCACGGCTGCCTGCGGGGCTCTCAGGCCTTGCGTCGGCCCTTCACCTTGGACTTGGGCCACAATTCGGCTATGCTACGAGCACGCAGAGCTCCATGGTCGTGAATGTGGGAAAAGTGCCTATCACTGCTGTCGATGCCGCGGGTGCCTCGGGCAACACTAGAACTTCACCCAATTATGCTTATACTGTCTCCCATGAATTCAGACATGGTTCTCAGTTTCTCACCAAAACTGTCTACAGTGATTTGGGTGTTTTCGGTACCGAGATTGGCAAACCTGACGATGTGTCCAGGATAACTGATGATATTGGCAACAGCGTTGTTGAACTGGACGGTTTAACCGACGCGGAATATGAGATAGATGGCGCCGAGGGTACAGGATCTGAAACGACTTGGAAGCAGCGCTATATGAAGCTTCGAGCACAGATGCAGAAGAGGGAGCGTTCACTGTCCCAATATAAGCGCAAGATACTCGAATCGGTCATGGCCGATATCTGAGAGCACCGGCTGCTACTTAAACAGTCTTCGCTGTGAGCTGCGCAAGACCTCTATATATTTGGAGCGTGTCCTTCTCAGGCACATAACGATACCCCCTATGTTCCCGATCTTGACAGACCTGCTTTTTTGATTGATTATGATACGGTTTCTCAGTTGCTGGCCTTTTCGATTGGCAAATCCCCTCTGATGACGCATTTTGATGCTTGAGTTCAAGTTGTGTTAACAGATACCCCTTATGCAAATACTTCGCTGTACATGTCATCATTGTTTCCTTTACTCTGTGATGTTGATAGATTATCATATAAAATTCATTTATTTTCATTGCGTCCTTTTGTAGGTTGGTTTGGTCTTAAACAAGATAATTCAGGATGGCAAGCGAACGCTGAGAGCACCGCCAAATAGACATTCAAACGGAGACATGTAGTAAGTTGAAAGAGGTAGGTGACCCACTTGTCCTAATCAAAGCTGGGTAGATGCAAGAAACGATGAAAACGACAACATAACCCTATCGGCTCACGATTTCTCCCCTGATGTCAGCAAAAAGCAATCGCCCTCCAACTCACAGTACTACGCAGCCAAGAGCTAGTCCTCCATCTCCTCAAGTTTGGGAACCATGAGAGCATCCTCGTCACTTTCGGAATCCTCCTTCATCGGACTCAGCCTCTGCTCAACTAGCATTTCCGCACTCACGAGAACGCTATCCTTAGACACCCGTCCTCTCTTTGCACGAGGTTCGCCATCACCAGTGGCAGTCTTGCGCTTGGACGGTCCGGCGCCCCCACCCGCTTTACCCTTTTTCGCAGGACTAGATTTAGTCTTTTTCGGACTGGCATCCGTACCAGTGTCGGATGCGCTGCCCTTCGCAATAGGCGAGGCATTGTGTGCTTTCATGAGGCGCTCGTAACGCTTTGCACTGGTGTTTATCAGTCTTGGAACGTTGGGATGTACGGGGCGGGGGGAGGATGAGCAGATGGAGAACTTACGCCGCGGCTTTGGTGACAATGTTGCATTCCTTGGCGACTTCGGCGAAATCGACCTGTTGAGCTCTGTTAATCGGGTGCCAGGAGATCCGGGTTGAGGGTCAGAGATGACTTACCTTGCCGCTGTTGGAGAACTTGATACATGCTATAAGGAACTGGACTGTTTCGTCGTTGCTTGTGGACGGCATCGTGATTATTGAGACGATCTGAGCTTTCTAGGTTCGTAGGGGGAGGTTTGGTGTGATGTGGACGGCGGATGGATGGAAGGGAGAAGGGAGAAGGATGGAGAATGAGGGAGAGTCAAGAGATGTGTTAGATAGGTCAGGGAGCGAAGGCGAGCTTATTAGAGAATTGCCAGAGAGAGGTGAGTGAGAGGGGATATGGCTGCCGGATTAACACAGATGAGTTGAGCGGAACCGGGGTAGTCAAGGGGAGGTGATGGTAAGATGTTGTCAAGAAGACGAAGCAGATGAAGACTCCGATTGTGATAGCTATAGCAATGAAAAGATGAGTGGGCAACGTTACTCTAGTGTTCGAGTTGCATACAATAGAAAGTAGATCACCAGGATGCATAAACAGATGTGAGGTTATATTAGCTTGTATGTCATTTCTTCGACTATAGATCACTGATTTTAGTGGAATTATAAATGCTTTGCTGTGACTAGGAGAGCTATTGTATTAATAATTACTCTTCATGAGGTCCTAACAAGCACCGTTTGTTTCATTGATATGGCATCTATCCTACTTCCAGAGAAAAGCTCCCAACCACCTTGCTATCGAAAGGCTGTAGTACAGAATAGTGCCTTGAAAATACATAAAAACACCAAAGTAGACCCATCAACTCCCGAAATAACCGTATGCCCTTCAAAATGTCCTGAATTCATAAACTCAAGTTTGAGACCTCCCTGCCCCTCTGGTGCGAGTCAGCGATCCGTGAACTCGAGCAATAGAATAGACCTTACGCCCCGATAGTGTTAGTCACCGTTATTGATGGATTTGAAACGAGAGTAACGTACAGTTCAAGATGAAGAGCTTTGTCAAACTTCAGTCTTGCCAAGGTCATCGTCTTCAGCTTTTATGCCGTCCCACTCTTTCTTGACTGGGATCTCGACCGAGTCCATCACGGCTAGCGGATTTCCAATCTGTTTACCCCTACCTCTAGGGCCGCGCTTTGCAGCAGGTTTCTTGGATGGAGAAGCTGGGCCCTCGGTATCCATGGAATCAGTCGCGGGAATTGGCTTCGAGGTAGCCTTTGCGCCCTTCCGTCCAGTAGATCTCTTAGGCGGCTTAGTGGGAGAGGACATGACCGTATCGGCGGCAGAATCATGTTCTTCATCGGCATCGAGGCCTTCCTTGCCAGCCTTGCCGTTGTTCGTGAATTTATTAGCTTTAGTGGGAGTGGAGGAGTTCTTGCACTCGAGGTTGACGAAGCCATAGCGCTTGCGCAGAGCACGAAAACGGTTACCGGCAGACGCAACATTGCTGTACTTGAGAGCCCCTGCGACTTTACTGATGTCGACCTATTCGAAACGTGAGATGCTTTGTACCTTTATGACTGAGGGAGGGAGAGGTGAAGTTATGTAAAACTAACCTGTTTGGACTCGTTTAGGTGCTTCAGACATTCTATGATGAAGGCGGTATCACCGGAGGGAATTTCCTCTCCATTTGTCTCTGGGTTGGAAGACATTTTCGAGGAGTCAGAGAAGCTGTCTCGAAAACACAGGAAAAGAGAAGTTAGGATGTTCAGAAGTCTGGTAGAAGATCAATTCAGCAGACGGTGGGTGTAGGAATATGCAGAGTGGGTGTGATAGTGTCTGGAGAGATGGTTGTAGAATAGAATAACAGGGGAACACAGAGAAGAGGGAAGAGAACAATTTTAGGTGATATCTGGGAAGATGAAGAACAAGAGAAAGGGATGTGAGGTGCGTGTTTATGTTTATAACAGCTTGCTGAGAGGTCAGATGAGACTTTTGTAGTAACAGAGAAGTGAGCTGGGCCGTGACAGAGACTGATATCTTGAGACTAAGGGGTATTCTGGGGGATAAATAACAGGAAATCTCAGAGTAATTATGTTAATGATCAATAAAGCTTCCATATCAACCATATCAACCGGATATTGAGGCCACTCTGATATTCTGTTCTTGTCTTTGTCTCTTGAGCCTCGACCTTGGGCACAGTTTCAATCCTTCTCACCAGACGTCGATTTACTCGGGCAAATGAAAAAGCAAACCAGTATAACTTGCAGTTCATAATTCAAAAGAGAGAAAAAAAAAAAAAAGAATATACTCCATCAGCTATGCAAACATTCTCAGAAAACATGCGCTCCGAACACACTGCAAGCCATTTTCTATCAAGTCAGAGACCATCGAGCACATCCAAAACAACACGATATAAGACAACATGTCTCATTATGGCCGGTTTTAAGCTAGGTAATCTGCACACATCTTGAACCATCTGATTCTCTCCTGCAGCATCGCTGGCTCGGTGCTTATTGCTCTTGCGCCGGCTCTGCCTTTACGGGAACATCAATCACTTTGTTTCCCGCTGGTGACCCTGGCTGAGATTGAGGTTCAGCCTTGATCGGGGCCCAGGTGTTAAGGCCAGGCTGTTGATGGTACGCCAGGGGCGGTGATGGTGGAAATGTAGGAACAGGCGCATACATTGTCAAGGCGCCCGGGGCCATGGTCAGTGGAGGATATGGTACCATCTGCGGTTGCACTGGCTGTGAAGTCATCATTTGAGTCGAAACATGAGGTATATTAGCCAGGTTAAGGATCTCTTGAGAGTACGGATCAGACTTGATGTAGGAGCTCAGCTGGTAGGCAGGGCCGGGGTTTTCTTGTTTCACTGGTGGCTGGGGAGAGCTGACTTTCTTCAAGAGATCAGTTTTGCTGGTAGCTCCTTTGCCGGCTTTTGTGGGAGTCTTCTTGGGACGAGACGTTCGTGGTGTAGACGTGGTTCCTTCCATCTGCTGTCGGAAGCGCGAATATCGCATTCGAGCAGCATGCCCGTTGGAGATTTCAAGCTGCGATGCAACGAGGTTCCAGTCAATCTGTCAAATAAGGTTATCAGTATTAATATCCGGAATTCTTGAACCATCCCTCTGGGATAACTGACCGATTTCAAGTCTAGCTGTTTGATGATCGTGTAGAGGAACTTGGCCGTTGGGCCATCCGTTGGCATTGCCTTGCTGCGTCTGGCAGTTGTCATGGCTCAGCTGGTACTAGAGGAGAGAAACGGTGGACAGGAAAATTGACTTAGGATGAGAATAGACAACTCAGCTGTGCTAGAAAATATGAACTCTTGAGATTGATGGAGGAAGATGCACTCTCCTGCACGAAAGCTGGATATATATGATCATCATTCTGATCTCTGCCAACAGAACACAACACCATGATTAGCAGCCACAACGGCTTCTTGCAGCAACAAAGAGGAGCACTTTGAGGCCTACTTCAGAGCTCTGCAATAAAACAGAAAGAGGTAATTATTGAGGGTCTTGCTAGGTTAGATTGACTAAATCAAAATGGCTGCATGATGACAGGGTTTGCCTCTTGTCTAATCTTTGTCCATATGGATTCTCTTTCCAATGACTATCGTACTTTTAAAGGATATCTTGTTACTCAATTGGCCTGAAAGAGAACCTTTTGTCAGAACTTGAAGCCATTCCAAAGTACTTATGCAACTCTCTGCACGTTCAACCAAGGGTCTCTTTGCACCTCTTCCGTACAAGTGTTTACCACTTCCGATTGTCTCAGAGCCTTGGATATAGTTCCTTCAAATCTGATCAACCACCAGATCAATTCGGAACGCTCAGCAATACCAGATAATGTCTTTTGTTCTCGCAGTTGGCACTTGTCCAGACAAGAGATTGCCCTGCGGCTCAACCAGATCGGAGCCTTAGGAGCTTTCCATTATCCTCCGACTCCATGGATTTCTCTGCAGTTGTATATCCACTTAGACATGCAAGTAGGAGAAATAGAACGTCTTGGACCACAAGAGCAGAATGGACCTATCAGGCCAGCCACATCCTCGCAGCGCAGGGTAATGTGACTGATCGATTCTGTAGGCTGTCTGAAAATTTTCCTCAAAATAATTTACTGCTTGTCAAACAGAATAGCCTTAAGTACCAATATACTTTTACCAAAGCTAAGTATCAAAAGGCTAGTCTTTCCTGAATACGAATACAATTGAGGGTCTCGTTTGATCTAAGCTGACTGCTTAGGTTGTCTGCTCCTGCTGATTCGAACTTTTGATCAGCTTCCCGAGCTGCACACGGTGATATCCAACCAAGATGGTTCCTGCAGCTTCATCCCCGCTATCTTATATCTATCTCAAATTAACTATGCGCCTCCCATAGTGCTTTTTCTGCTGCGTATCGTCGAATCCTGGCAGTTAAACGCGTGCGCGTCTCTACGCGTGCAATGGCGACGGTGCCCTTTTCGAGCCGAGCACTCTATATAAGTGTCTCAGTTACGCTGCTTCTCTTTTTTTGTTCTAAGCTTCAAATTTCTTACTTTCTTCATCTGGGTCCTTTTTCTGAAATCAAATATCTACGCTTCGTGTGAAAGCATTGAAGTGTGTGGAAGACTCCTTCAACCAATTTTAAATACTCGCAGGACGATGCCAGGCAAACGGCGTTCTCCAGTCAAATGGGACGACTGGAAAGATAAGGTGATGCTGCTGGCGATATTTGAGCAAATGAATATGAGCTCTCTCGACTTCCAGCGCCTCTCTAAGGTGATGTGCGGAAAGTATACTCCGGAAGCTTTGAAGTATAATCCCCCCATGCTATATCTCCTCAACTCAATAATGCTAATGTTACCTGTTGATTTATAGGAACCGATTCAGAGTGCTTAATAAAGAGGCTACTGTCATTCTGCGAGACCGTAGTGAGCATTTCGAGCTGCCAGACACAGCCAGCGAGATCCTCCCCTTCATGTCCGGTGGCATAGCCAGCTCGGACGATGATGAAGGGATGTTTATTCCCGAAGTGGTGGTCAGAGGCGAGCTGACGCCCCCTCCGAGCGAGCCGTCACCAAGCATGCAGTCGAAACGAAACGTACCACAAGAGGCCGTTCCAGAGAACGTAACGCCGAATGCTCCGTCGTCCAGCATGACCTGGCACACACAAAGTAACAGCATGCATCCACAGAGAAAGACAAATCCTAATTATACCCCAATTGTCCCACGGCGTCCTGCGGGAAATACTCAACGACCTCCAACAGCACCATTTTCCACAACAGACAGTTCTTTCTCTCCACCTCGCCAAGTTCAGGCTCAAACTTCTGGACGTTGTTCTCCTCCGAGGCAGCAAGATCAACGAATAACTCGGAGCCAGAAGTCTAAGAAGAGTAGTGGAAGACCCTTCAAGGCTAGGAGTCAGCACAACGATCATCGGATCAACCCGAATCCACCCATGACACGCGTGGAGATTAATAATGGGCCTGTATATACGCATTTTCACACTTAAGCTACTTTGTTTCATTCTCGTCTTTATAGAATTTAGCGCTGCACTTTGACTGTTGTTATTTCTTTGGATATTCTCCTATACGATGAGATTTAGTATTTGCTAGGTATCAACCTAGTCTCTACCAGAGAAGCCCCCGTATAGTGCCTTGCTCACCTCTAACGATATCTCGAACGCAGGGAATTTAATGCTTTGGTTGACCCCTGATCTATCGCAGCATGATGCCTTCTGAGGAATGCAAAAGACCGGTTGTCTGTACCTAGAGAGGTAGAAATTCCTCTGCCATATCCCTTCAGCCACAGAATTGCTGCTAGTAAGATTAGGAGAATGAAACAGCAAGGAGAGCATGACCTGATAAAATGCTACAATCACAGAAATGAACAGTCCTGCATGATGATGCATTAGGGCTACACGGAGCAAACTTTATCCGGCACAATCTATAAATGAAGCCTGGAGGACAGCTTCACTTCTCTCTTTCTTACTTTCTATACATCTAGCTTAATAGGACATCAGAAGTAATGCACTCTTTTGAGAAGAGGTGAGGATAGTCTTGAGAACCTGTCATGGGGTAAGTGACTTAATGGAATATACCCCCCTTCATTCAAGGAATTGTTATTGACATCATGGGCCAGGTCCAGGGCATGGTTATGAGACAGTTATGGAAAGAATTAGTGAAGTTCTGCCTCTTCCATGGCACTGTGGGAACAATGCAATACTACCTTCCAGCGACACAATACCATTAGCTCCTGCTTAGTTTCCCTTTCCTTACCAAAAGTCTGGTTAGGAGAGACAGAAAGGAGGCAGCGATGAGGCCCGGACAATGAGGTGGATTCCCACAACTCAACCATCTCTTGGTGAATGACCAGTTCAGGCAGAAAGATAGTTTCCTGCTTATACTGGAACTCTTCACCAGGAAGTATGAGCAATTTAGGGCCATACCGTGCAGCCCACGATGAAAAGATTTACACATCTAGTCTCGGCGCTGGATATATAAACAGAGATGACTCCCACCTTCATGATCTCCTCTCCTCTTCTTTGATGCTGACAATCACTCTCTCTTTTTGCTGTTATTCTCCAACTTTCTTTGTCACGCAACAAACATTGTGTATTAAAATCCCATCTGCTTACCCTGTCTGAAATGGCCCCTTCTAAGAAGTCTGCTGGCAAAGGTGTTGGCAAGAGATTCGCTCCCGTCAATAGAAAGGCTCCTGCTAAGCCTCGCAACTCGAAGAAGATGACGAACAACCTCACCGCTGCAACAGCATCTGCCGGTCCGACTCCTCAGTCTGAACCCGTCGATGCCTCAGTGAGCACTCAAATCCAGGCAGTAGATACCCTTGCGAACACGCCATCCCAACCTGCCTTTGTCACTTCAAATACTCAGTCTCAGCCTACTCCAGTTCTTGTGAACATCCAGCCACAGCCAGCTGCATCGTCTGAAGACATTCCAGCCCAGCCAGTTGCAGCTCCTGCAAATGCCACGCCTATCAACGCAAATGGTCATAGCCGGGCTTGGAACAATGAGTTTAGACTCCAGATGCTACTGACTCTTCTTGTGAAACTTGACCAAAGAGTCTCTGAACAAATGTGGCACGATGTCGCCCATGAACTCGACGCCATCCGCCCAGGGACGAGTTGGAACGCCGTGCGGTAAGCTCTTTTCTAGTCTTCGTGATCAAAGAAAAAATGTCTTAGGCTTGACATCTCGAGCTATCCTACCATATCTTCCATCTCGTTTCCCTTCAAAGCCAACGATGCTGACAGAACTATAGTCTTGAGTTCTCGAGATTGAAGCGTGAGCATTTTCAAGAGGCTGGTAAACAGACTTCCTCCGACCAGCAGGAGCAGGAGCAGTGATACTTTGGGATCTTAAAAGCTCCACGGCGTGGTATGTTCTATGAGGTAGTTGGTTGACGACTTTTCTGGTGACATCTGGGGTGGGACAGGCATGCTTCTTATCGCAAAGCAAAGTCAATATCAGCATAACCACACACATCAGAACTGCATCGTGCTTTTCTTTCTTCTTTTGCTTTATGCGAGCGGGATAATAGGTGGATTGGGGCGAGGCCTGCTTGTATCGAGATTTTAGGTGGTCGTTGGTTAAATCGACTGGATTCATCGAAAGCGCTATCAGTCTTAAGAGTTCGGCAGATAAGTAGGAGGCCGATACACAAATTGACTACCTTCTTGCAGCTTGCCATACCTGTTCTCGGCGTTGTTGTCAACAATTCCACGGCCACAGTTGATGTCGCCTGTGGGTCATGACTAATCTGCATCAACAACAGCTGCCCCTCCTTGAACATTAGTGGTTGGAGTAGACAGTGCCTATCATCATCATCATCAAAGCGAGCTACTTTTAACTTGCTGTTTTGTAGATATTGGCGCCTGGAAATCATGTCGTTGATTGCAGTAGGTGCATGCTATGTTGACACAATCTTAACGTCGGTTGGAAACTCATCCCGAATGCGTTACCTTCAAAACATGAATCTGGCTCACCATCCTGTCTCAGGATCCCTCACTATCCAGGAGAAGATGAGAAACTGCGTGCCTCACATATTACTCGTCGACGGGGAGGAAATTGCCCAAATACACTAGAGGTGCTCCAGCAACTGGTAGCACATAGTTCGTCCCCCTCGAAGATCTCCCTGCATCTGGTTGCAGTTCTTCCTTCAAAAACGTCCATTGCCTCGCAGCAGATTGTTTCAGCATTCGAGCCTGGCGTTCGATTGGATCATTGTATTTATCGTGAGGATTTCAGTGAGCCAGCGTCAAGTTACATCATCAAAAGCCAGTCGTCTGGGAGCAGGACGATTGTGAACTACAATGAGCTCCCAGAAATGACAATTCAGGAGTTCGAAGCCATTGCAGACCAAATTGGTGCTCAAGCTACCTGGTATCACTTCGAGGTCTGTATCTTCTACTTTTAGTTCACCAAGCAGGAAACTCATAATATATGTACAGGGCCGGATTCCAGAAGTAACACTAGCTTGCATCTGTTATCTTCGTCAACAATACTCCTCCGTTCGAATCAGTGTTGAAGTTGAGAAGCCTGCACGCCCAGGCTTACAAGAGCTGGCTATGGAGGCCGACGTGGTCTTCTATTCGAAGAGTTGGGCTCAGGTGGGATTCTTCCTCTTCCTACCAAATATGACTTCGCTGATATGTGCTGGATGGTGTTCAGGGACAAGGTTATGCTTTTGCTGAGGAATGTCTACAGAAGCAATCAAATTTAACAGCCAACGCGTACGTCATCTCGCACATTAATCGAAGGCCCGTTAGAATTAATTGATACACCACTAGGACCCTTCTTTGTTGTACATGGGGCCAGGATGGTGCTGTTGCTCTAGACACGGTATCTGGCAATATCATACACAGTCCCGCATACACAGCCTCAGATTTTAAAGTTGTGGAGTAGGTCTTTCTCTCCTCTTATGATCGTCATAGATGCTAATTGATGAAAGCTCTATCGGTGCCGGCGACACATTCAATGCTGGAATGTTGTACACATTGCTTTGTCGAGAAGATTGGGGCCTCACAAAAAAACTACGCTTCACGAATCGACTTGCAGGGACGAAAGTAGGACAGGAAGGTTTCTCGAACCTTGATAAAGTGTTAGATCATTTTTCTTGAATATGAAATATGGATGAAAGACGTTATCCCTAGTACCACGTGTTTCCTCAGCTATGTGTATGCTACACATGTTTCTCCAAATGTAGTTATATATCTCGGGGTGGATGAATGTAAGCCCTGGGTTCGCTCTGATCGCACTCGAGTTTTGGCGAGTAAACCAAAGATTGCAAATTTGTGGCACTTAAAACAGATTCTGATATGTGAGAGGAATCAGACTCGCGCCGCCAGATCAATAGTCCGCTTCAGAGCACTTCAAAGTGGTTGTGTGCATATCTACTGCATGCTAACGGTTTCCTGTTCAGACAGAATCACGTGCTCACCGAGCTACTCCAAAGGCGGTGAACTCTAAAAAATTATTCTGCCCGAAACTTTTCGGTCTCCATCAAGCGCATTTTGTTGCGACGATCCGCAAAGCAAAACTCTACCTTTTGACCTCAATCTTCTCATTCCATAATTCAAGATGGCGGCAGTATATAAGACAGTCAACAAGAAGAAGTCTCGGCAGCCTGCCGAAGATGACGAAATGGCAATGGAAATCGAAGAACTCCTCGCCGGAGCGGACGATACCAGCGATAGCGACGAGGACGAAGAGGAGCAGACTGCCGAAGCGGCCAAGAAGCAGCTCGCTGCTGGATTCATGCCCAAGACTCGGGTCCTCATGTTGACTTCAAGAGGCGTGACATACCGGTATGTGCATAGTCTTCCTCCTGCTGTCAAATTCATACATAAACTGATAATCACGATTTTTTAGCCATCGGCATTTGCTGTCGGATCTCTGCTCCTTGCTCCCACACACACACAAAGAAAGCAAATTAGATACGAAGAAGAAGACCGCCGGCTACAACCTACTCCTGAACTCGCTTGCGGATCTGCATTCCTGCAACGTCATTTTCTTCCTCGAAGCTCGCAAGCGTGGTCAAGATTTGTATCTGTGGCTCGCTCGTCCTCCTAACGGCCCTACGATTAAGTTCCACTTGACCAACCTGCATACAATGGGTGAACTGAATACCGGATTCAGCGGCAACTGCTTGAAGGGTGGTCGGGGTGTCGTCGTTTTCGATCGGTCTTTCGATGAACAGGGCCCCGTCATGAGTGAACCCGGCAACGAGTATAGAGGTTTGATCAGAGAAATGCTGCGTGGGGTTTTCTGCGTCCCCAAGCGCGGTGTCAAGGGACTGAAGCCTTTCATCGACCGTGTTATTGGTGTGTTTGGCGTGGATGGAAAGATTTGGATCAGAGTCTACGAGATCAGAGAGTCCGAGGCAGGAGGCAAGAAGGATCAGGATGATGAGACCGTCAAGCCTATCCCCAAGGGCAAGGACAGTTTGCCGGAAGTTTCTCTCGTGGAGGTCGGCCCCCGTTTCGTTCTTACACCAATCGTTATTCTGGAGGGCAGCTTTGGCGGTCCCGTCATTTACGAGAACAAGGAGTATGTGAGCCCGAACCAGGTCCGCAGTGAAGTCCGCTTGAGCAAGGCCGCTCGCTACGCGAAGCGTCGTGATGTCCAGACCAACCTGATCTCGAAACGGACCACACTGGGCTTGACGGAGGGCGAGAGGAAGCCTGATGCGCTCGACACCAAGAAGCTCTTTTCTTAGAATCACGGCGACTTCACTTATATTCACGCTGCTTTCTTGTCTTCTTTTCTTCCGTGCGCATTAGATTTGATATCCTGAGGGGATGTACATGTGATGCAAGGGGTACATTGTTTTGGTTCATACTAAGGCGTCCAGGTGTGAAAGATAATTCAAAAGTTCCACAAGATTCAATAATCTGCCTCACATGATGTGTTTGGAAAGGATGGCCAGGCCATATCATTATTTTGTCCTTGTAGCAACATATCAAGGGCGAAGCATCTGCGTAGTGTATACTCTCGAGCAGTGCGGTTAAAGCCTACATTCTAATCAACATTCTCGTCTAGTACCCCTGGTAGATACACATCATTATTCGGGATCCTGGACATCAATGAAGACAGCCAAGTAAGGGACGTAGATTAGATAAGCGGGGTATATATATGGACCGTTCACTGTTCTGTCCACGGCGTCTCCTCATCAACCATCATGGCAGCGTTTTTGCCATTCAGCCTTTCGTGGCTGCGGTGCTGTCAAATTTCTTCTTTCGTTATGTCTCTCACTATGTCTACGCTGGATCAATCTACTCTCAGTTCTGTTAGCCCCAAAGGCGGGGTCTGCACTTAGATATATATCCTTGTTGCGACGACAGCGTTGAGTCATTAAGACGACGACGGTGTCAGCCTCTGCGATTCCACCTACTACGCAGTCTATAACAAGGCTATCTAGAATATTCTTTCGACAGACTTCATAATAGGTTGGTTCCCAAGAGTCTTTGCTGTCGCCGAGTTGTGCTGACTTAGCGCTTGATACAAGACTATTGAATCTATCTTCACTATGTTAATCGACCATCTTGCGACGGAGCTTTTGCTCCATATTTTCCGTTCTTGCGACAGAGTCTCTGATGTCCTTAATTTGGCTGCAACCTGCCGGCGATTTCGGCGTGTCTTCAACCAATCCAACAAGCTACAAATACTCATTAGCATCGCGGAAGTCGAATTCGGGCCGCTCGAGGATGCAGTCCAACTCGTCACGCACAATGCAAGTCAGTCGGCGCACATCATGCGCAAATTGCCTATGTCCGAATCGCTTCTGAAACAGGTGGTTCAGGTCGGGCTCGTGGCTCGGAAATGGGAGGCCATCTACCCAGTCAAGAAATGGAAGGCTGATTTCGAAGATCGGCGCTCGCTCACTGATGATGAACGATTCCGCTTGCGTCGCGCGGTCTACCGCTTGTGGTTATATCACCGTGCGTTCCATACGTGCAACTTTGACCGTTTCTCCCGGAGCCTTCGCCATGTCGTCACCGAGCGCGCACAGCTCCTGCATAACTGGTCCACACTCGAATTGGCAGAAGTCGAGGACGTCCGCTTGATTATCACAGACATCGTGCAGAACCATATCTGCCCCAGTAATGGGACGATCCAGCGCAAGTTCCGTAAGCGATATCCAGAGAGCAATCATCAATTGTCATTCAATATCCATCTGAATTATCCGCCACCGAGTACTCATGGCGATTTGACCGGATCATCGGACAAGAAGTACCAGTCAATAGATCAGTATTTTTATTCCGCTCACCCTGCGAGTGCGAGAGAGTCACCGGCAAAATACAGGTCGCGATTCCGCAATGATTTCTTCCATGACCCCGGGTATGAAGGCTGGGGCGACGAGATCCCCCATTACTACGTCGTTCAGGACATGATGAAGCTTGACCCAGGGCAGGTTCTCTGGCTGCGTGAACATGCGCCTATGAAAGACCAAGTAGAAGCATTTATCCGATCCTTGGGTGACTGGTTTCGCGACAACGGAGAGACCTTCGGAGAGACACTTGAGTGGGTGATGAATGAGCGGGGCGATGACATTAAGGAATTCCGGGCTGCGATAGCAGATAGAGCGGTGGGAATCGTTTGTATTTTAGATGATTGAAATTGGGATTATCTCAGAGACTTGAAATGCGACTGCATAACTATCTACACAGTCTCAGCATGAGACTGCTCGCCCAAACAGGACACCCGAAATCCAGTAATAGTTAACACCGAGGCTAAAACAAAGTCAGAGTCTGGACTGTGGGCAACCTCTGACCGACTCGCAGATTAACAACCCCCCCCTGAGGCACCAAGACCCGGAAAAGTACCTCGCTAAACCTCTCAGACCTCAGTAGTCAGTTGTCAGTACTGTCTCACTCTGACGCTCCCCAAATATCAACGGGCCATGAGGCTAATCAACCCATGAAACCAGAGTCCACCAATAAGCTCTCTTGCAGCGGGGGATTAATGTGAACTAGGATCCTCCCTAGCTTGAAAGTTAAGCGTAAGGTAGGATCGCTTATTTCTGAGGCTATGGATGAGAGTCTCGTTCTCGTAGTTTGGACTGACTGTGGCGGATTCGATGGGATTACCAAAAAGTTCAGGAACAAGGATATCTATGTATGCCAGATCCTTTTCCACTTCCATATCGAATTCAAGGCGTTATCAAGCATATGCAAGTCGAAGCACAATTAATGTCATTATTAACTAGATGAAGCGTGTGGGGCACCGTCGATGTGGAAAGTGGAGCCTTAGGCCCACAAGAACGTCGATGGTCATTTACGTGAGCACTCAGCAGCCAGAACAGTCAACAGAAGGGTAGAGTTAGATAGATAAATTTATTGATTGATCATGGATAGATAGTCGCAACTATTTTTTTGTGGACCTGAATCGTCTGAAACCGAACTGTGAGCATATACTACTTATTGACGTTTAGCAAGAGAAAATCCAAACCCCCAATGGAGAGCAAGTCGCAGACAAGCACAAGAAAACCCCGACTAGAAAAGATGGATCAAGAAAGAAGCAGAAACGAGAGGATCGAGGATAAAAGAAGAATCGATTCCACCAGGGCAAATAAAGACAGGTGAAAAAAAAAAGAAGAAAAAAAGGGAATAAAGAAATGGTGGACGAAACAGTGTCCTGGGAGTAATCGCCTACAGTGCCCATGTCCCTGAATTGCCGTTCCCAACGTTCCTCTTGTGTATCATATCCGTAGGGGCTAAGTAACAGACAAAAAGAAAGATCAAGACCATTCAATTATCACATTGCAGAGTAAAAAGTCGTTGCGCCAGGCGTGTCATCCCTTGAAGTGGCAGAGCTTGCCGAAAATTTTAACAGCAACCCTGCTTCGACTCAGTATCCGGTGTCTTGCTGACTTCGATCGTGCGTCCGCTGCTCAGAGTAGCCTGCCCAGAGTCACCTCCCTCAATAATAGCCTTGCTGGAGACAATGCGGTAGATTTCTAAGGATATGTTAGTACTCGGAGGACAAAACCATAAGTATGTGAAGAAACGAACCTGTCAGGATGTTCTGGAAAGCAAGCTCAACGTTGCTTGCATCAAGGGCAGATGTCTCAATAAAAGAGAGGTTGTTCTCGCCTGTCGAGTTCAAAACATGTCAGCAACGCCTAGCTAAATCGTTGATTGAATTCGCAACATACTGGCAAACTGCTTGGCCTCATCTGTGGGCACAGCGCGAAGATGTCTCAAATCACTCTTGTTTCCGACAAGCATGATGACAATATTGGAGTCAGCATGGTCGCGGAGTTCCTTCAACCACCGGTTGACATTATCATAGGTCTGGTGTTTGCTGATATCGTATACAAGAAGGGCACCAACAGCACCGCGATAGTAGGCAGATGTGATGGCACGATAACGTTCCTGACCGGCAGTATCCCAGATCTGTGCCTTGATCGTCTTGGAGTCGACCTGGATAGAACGAGTTGCGAATTCGACACCGATGGTAGACTTGGAGTCCAGGTTGAATTCGTTGCGGGTGAAACGACTCAAAAGGTTAGACTTGCCAACACCGGAGTCACCGATAAGCACCACTACTCCAGCAAAGGAGGGAGATTAGTTGCAAGCGCTTGCGAAGGGAGCACCGTAGCGGAAAGGGATGAATAGTTGCGGCGACTGCGCGGGGAAAGTGGCAACATTACCTTTGAAGAGGAACTACCTCATATCGAAGTTAGTGATACACAGATCCTTGGCAAAAGAAGCAATTTCTCGAAGTACTCACGTCATATTCATCATTAGCCATGGTTGTGAGTATGGGAGCTAGAAAGCTCGAAGAGGGCTTTCAAATCGGGGATTTGACGTGGCTGAATGAGGAATTGCAAGGGAAACTTGAAGTCCTAAGAGAGCAGAAGTATGAGCTTAAGGGCAGAAAGAATTATTGACAGAGGAACTCAAGACTCAGCAGATAAAGAATCTGAGACAGTATACTCACAGTAAGATCCAAGAAATAAGGTGAGAAAGGAAGATAGGAGTTATCCTGATGCCTTTAGGGATGAGGCATCCTTGTTCTCCCTGACTGCTTTCCCGTGCTTGTTGCTAAGCCGAGTGGACACTGCCTGTTGCGGATTAGTGCTCCAGTCACGTGTTGATGGCTTTCTGCTTCACTACTAATTACTGCTGTGCTGTATCTGCCTGATATATCCATCCTGTCATTGAAGAGATAATAGAAGTCTTTTGATGAACTGACTAGGTGAAGCAAGGCGTATTAGCGAGGCCTGCAAGGGGAAGACTCATTGAGTTCCCATTTATTGTCATTGTTGCTGTTTGTGAAAGTCTTCATACAATATCTTCCCTCCGCGCACGCCCTCTTCACAATAGTCCCGACCAATCTATGTAAGGAAAGCCAATTTTCCATCAATCGTGAGAGTCACAGGTCATCATACAGCCGTTATTTTCACCTTGACAGGCTACTCGGATCAAATGAAAATCCGGGACTGAATACTTCCCTCACACTGGCGGCTACATCTTGCCTTGTTTCTTTCATCCCAGCTGACAGGAACCAATGCGAGTTTGCTAAAGATCATCTCCATCCAATGTCGATATGAGTGATGAGGATGATATCTCAATTACTTCGACAGCCCCCAGTGAACAGGAATCCGAGTATGAAGTGGAAACAATCCTTACAGAACTCGAATTTGATGATGGCATTAAGTATCTGGTGAAGTGGGCTAACTATCCCATCGAGAGATGCACTTGGGAGCCAGCCGACTCTTTCTGCGCTGACCAGACCCTGATTGATTGGAACAAGAAGAAAAAAGCGATTGCGGAAGGCAAACGTATGGAATTTGATCTTGACGGATTTGAGAAACATTTGGCTGCCCTTGAGGACGCCAGAGAGGATAGGAAGCGACGAAGGGCCACAAAGAGGAGAAGACTTGGCTTGGAAGAGCCTCAACAAAGCCCCTCTGCTGCGGAGAGACCCCTTATTGATATCGTACTAGCACCAGAAAGCTCTGGATATGCTGCAGTGTCCCAGAAAGGACCATCTGCCGATCAAGTGCCGCAGACACCTGCAAACGCAAGAAGTACCCAACCGAACCATCGATTGTTTCCTACAAAACAGCCTCCGCCCCCTGTATCATTTGGAACTGCTCCTGCCCCCATTCGCCCCCGGAGGATGAACAGCTCTGAGACACCAAAGTTGTTTAATCTGTCCACAAGGTGGAGGTATGAGAAGGCAAAAGCTGATGAGCCACCTCCTGATATGAATAAACTGGAACTCTTTCGACCCTCTGACTGGCCGATGAGAAGTGGGCTCACTGTGGCAAAGATAGGGCCTCACAAGGTCAATCCACCGACGTTGGCGAGTGAACCCAACACTGTCAGGCTGGGACCCCATAGTGTTAGCTCACCAAAACAAGGAGATTCAGGCCCAGCGAGACTAGGACCTCATAATGTGAGCTCGCCAAACTTGACTGAGCTGGGCTCCTCAAGATTAGGATCTCATGATGTTAGCTCTCCTAAGCAGTTTGATCCCAGTGCAGCAAGAATCGGCCTTCATGATGTCAGCTCTCCGAGGTCTCTACACCCTGCTTCGGAAATGCTTGGATCTCACAATGTCAGCTTTCTGAACGGAGCTGACGAAACAGCAGGGAAATTAGGAGAGCATGACGTCGGGTCGCCGATGGACCTTGATTCAGAAGGGGACGCTCAACCACAGGATGGTGGAAGTTATGCTTCAAGTTCGCCCCAACTCCGACACAGCCCACGGCACGAGTCGCACAGATCTTCTAACCTGGGCTTGAGACCTGATATATGGAGATCAGCTAAGCAAACCTCAGACGATCGGTCATCAACTCGTATCCAGGGTAATAACTGGAGACTGGACACCCAGTCTTCCAGCCGCCGCATTGAGCCCGAAGATCCCGTTATACGCCAACTTCCGTCAAGAACCCCTGGCCCCAAAGCAATTTATACCCGACGACACAATTATTTCTGGAATCCGGGAGAGATCATGGTTGATATGTTCTATGGCCCTGACAAGAAGGAAATTGGACCGGCCAGGCTTTGTGGACTCAGCCAGACCAGCAGGGCGAAGCTCATGACCTCAAAAAAGGCTCACCGCATCGAGGCTAGGTTTCAGCATGTTTGTAACATGGAAGAGCACGACATTCTATGTGCATCGGTGGTAAGTCATTTTCTGAGCGTTTCTCATAACCAATAACCCTCGATTAGTACTTATTCCTCCCTCATCTCCCTGGTGCCTTTCGTATACATAGCGAGCTTTCTGCGTCGATCACTGACGGTTTCCCAGCCATCTAACCAAAAGTATAGCACTGGGTGGATTGAAGGTTTCGATGACACTGAGCCGAGCATCTATAAAATCGGAGAAGAGCTTTGCCGCAATCAACTGGTCGCAATATTATACCCCGCGCATCGGAAGCAAAACACAATCCTTGCCTACTCCCCTGGATCAGATTTTGCGTTCCTTGATGGAAAAATGAGAACGCCTGCTGGTGTGTTTTTACATGTCGCGGTCAGAAACGAGTTGCCATCGTTTGATGTGATCACTGCTCGACGTGAGGAGGAACGAACCCAAGCCGAATCGCGCAAACTGGAATCGTTGACCCGCCCTGTTCGCCAGAACGCGCCAAATCTGGATCATCCTTCGAGCACCAATATTGAAGGCGACAGATCTCACCCCACACATATACCGTTGATCTCTGAAGCCACAAGTCTTGTGCGTGAACGCTCAAAACTCCAGTCCCAAATACCAAAAGGAGACTCAAGCAACACCAAACCTACCATCATTGAGAAACCAGCCGTGCCCAAAGAGTCTCTGGTGCAATCATATAGTCTAGAGGTGCAGGGAACCACTCACCCATCCCCGCAGGGATTGAACAATCGGGAACGAGTGCCACCAGTTCTTGATCCCATGACACAGGAATCCGAAACACATGTTTCCTCACATGAGCTGGAAAATGCGCAGCTAGTCGACGAGCCCTTCTTGGTGCAACCTCAGACACATCTAGCATCTGAACGTGAAGTTTCTCTGATTAGCGCACATGACACGGGCCTGACAGAATCCAATACAAAAGCAGAGAACTCGCGACCCCAGCTAAGTGAGGGACCCGTTGACTTGGACCTTTTTTTCAAAGAGAAACTTGGCATAACCTACGATGTTCTTGCCACTGTCAATGGCCAGGTAAAAGCTCTGCCCACCGATGTGTTCTACCTCATGTTTCCTCTTGGATCTGAGATAGTCCAATCCGAATGCAAACTTCTCGAGGCATTCTTAAAACAGCACAATGCTCTCACATACTCCAGCTATCATCCCAATGACTGGGAACGCTTTGCAAGGACGCTGAATACGGGGATTGTTCTGGTGAGTCGAAGATTGGAGTGACAATGTACGGCTTCATTGACTTATTGATAGGCTCATGAGAGCTTTATGGATTATCACGCGTTGCCGCATTTCAGGGACCTTACCCGCAAGCACTTCAACTTTTGGAGTGTTTCTCTGACCAAACCACTCCAATTTGCTAGTCGACCTTCCCACTTCCAGCGCCTGTTCCCACACGGTGGTGTGATCCTAATCACGGAAGATTTCATGGTTCGTGAGCCAGACGCGACACTCATCATACTGGCATGGTTCAGGGATTGGATTAAGCCAAAGTTTCCAGGGAACTGGAAGATTATGTTTCGTCCAGACGTGCTGAACTGGCTTCTTCAACAGCCCGAACCAAAAGATCCAAGCAAACACGGAGTGTACGTTGCACTTCTCATGAGCATGTCCCTTTCCTGCTTCTGACATTCCTAGATGGTGGGCCATGTATGCTTTGATAATCCAAATCAACTCTGTGGGCTTAGAAGGAATGCCTAGAGAGACCCTCAACGGCACCAGCGACGAACATAGTGAAAGTGTCGTGATCTCACCCCCTAATATTCCACTCTACGGGTCTCGTACCGAAGATGACGACCCAAATATTCCTAAAGGCCTTACACAAGAATATAGGAATACCGATCATCTGGCGGAATTCTTCGCGGGCTGGGCATTGGTCCACAACCATTGTTACCGGCGGTTTGTTATCGCCACGGCAATGAAGCCCCTCCCGAGATGGGAAGCGTGGGAGCATCTTGAAGTCAGGTACGGAGCCAAGGACTTCCTCACGAGAGCATTCAAAATCGACTACAAATCCATATGGAATAAACTGCGCTCCGCGCCTGAGAAGGCGGACCATGTCTCCGATCCGAAGTCCCCAGGCCAACAACAGCAGAACCACACACAACACCCACAACACCCTCAGCACCCCGCATACACACCGCGAACACCTGCAGCACACGGACCTCCTGCGAATGCAGTCGACGTTTCCAAGGTCACTGGGTTCTCACATACTCCATCCAGGCTCCGCTATCCCGAGCCATATTCGTGATATGGGGGTGTTTCTAACTGCGTTTTGCTACATATCTAGCTGGTGATCTATCCAGGGGGGTTAACTTGACCGGCGTTTTACCCGTCAGTGCCCATGTCATACTATGTATCATACATATCATTACATCAGGAGCCTAAAGGGGGAAAGGTACTTTCATAATATATGAAACGAGCATGAAGAGTGTGCGGCGCTATTTCCAAGGTCCCCAAACGTCGTACATACTCCCAGACAACTGAATCAATACATTTCTCACTGTTCAATGGATATTTATTGGTCATTGGGTATCCAGCATGTCGTAATTGTATATATCACCCATAGTTGCTGCGACACAAGTCATCAAGCTCTCTGGTTCAGAAACCAGCTGCTCGATTACGGTATTCCCGAAAATTCGAAGTATTCTGTTGATTGACCGGACTTTGCGCCTTGGCTTTCCTTTCTTTCTCACTCTTCTCTTGCCGAGTTTTCTCCTCCCACTTGCTTTCCTCCGCCGCGATCAAGGAGTGGAATCGACCACCTTGCCCGCGGGCAAGGTAGATGGGTTTCTCTTCGCGGGCAGCAACCGCCTCAGTAACAAGCACGAACTTCACGCTGGACCCTGGCGTCTCGAACATCGCGTCGCTGAGGATAGTCTCCATCTCTGTGCGGAGGGCACGGGCCCCCGTCCCCATTGTGAAAGCATTCGCTGCGACTCTGTGCAGGGCTGAGGATGTGAAGCGGAGCTCGATGCCGGAGAGGGAGAAGAGGGTTATGTATTGTGCTAGCAGTGAGTTGCGGGGTTCGGTAAGGATACGGACAAGCAGAGATTGTGATAGGGTCGAGAGAGCAGCGGTAACCGGTATGCGCCCGACTAGTTCGGGAATAAAGCCGTAGCTTTGGAGATCAGTTGGGTTGAGAAGATCTAGGGCGTTGAAGTAGGTTGGTTCGCTATCAGGCGATGTAGGCGAGGATGCTGTGAAGAAGGGGAGGTACTTTTTGTACAGAGCCTCCTCTTCGGATCCCGACAGGATTGGAACCGGTTCGTTGCTGGTGTGATGAGAAGGATCGCCGGGACGGTGAGAGGTTGAATTTGACTGAGAGCGAACGGGTTGACCGAATCCCATCGACCCGCGCGATATCCGATCCATGATGACTTTGTGCAACCCCACAAATGCACCTGAACAGATGAATAGAATATTATCCGTGCGCACGTTATAGACTTCCCCCTTTTGTGAAATGTTGCCCGTATTTGATTGCGAAAATGATGCGTTTCCGAGAGGGTTATTAGATGGATATGAGTTGGGGGCGCCACTCGTTCGAGGAGCGCCCTTCTCCTGCTTTGCTTGGACTTGGACTGTTGTGCCCTCAATGATCTTCAGGAGTGCTTGTTGTACCCCTTCACCACCGACGTCCTTCCCATGACTGACTTTTGCGGCAGCAATCTTGTCCACCTCGTCAAGCACGATGATTCCTCGCTCAGCTTGCTCAACATCGTAGTTGGCGGCAGCGAGCAGCCGGTGAACGCATACCTCAGCATCTTCACCGATATACCCTGCTTGCGTGAAGGGAGTACAGTCCGATATGCTAAACGGTACTGAGAGGACTCTCGCAAGCGTTTTAGCCATTAATGTCTTGCCGACACCGGAAGGCCCTAGTAAGAGAATATTGGATTTTTCTAAATGAAGTGCAGAGGAAGCGCCGAGGGCCGAGTCATCTGGAATAGATGCTATCGGCTTCGGGTGGGGTGGCGGATGAGCGGTGCGCTGTTGACCTAGAAACTCATCTTTCAGATTGTTATAATCATTGAACTATGAACCAAAGCATGCGCACTATTTGAGAACATACCCTCCGCAGGATGGTGCTCGATTGCTTCCCTCCGAGCCCGTCTTGCTAGTAACTCCGCATTCTCCTCGTCTCTGCGTTGAAGTTCTTGCACACGCTGATAATGATTGAAAACAGCGACACTGAGTATTTTCTTCGCCCGATCTTGTCCGACGACAAATTGATCCAGGTATTGCTTTAACGTCTTGGGGGTGATCCGAGGAGCTCCAAAGGCTGGAGTAGAGCCTAGGGGCCCAGCGGTCGGCAAACCCGGCTCATATACCCCGGTCCATGGTTGATTTGTGAAATCTGATCTATTAAACTGTGAAGAAGTAGGATAAAGTGTGGAAGAGGAGAAGCCACGATGCCCAAGGTAGGATTGGCAGATAGTAGTAGCTCGGAGTGCGTGGGTATGCTGTGCCCTTGCAGCACAGTTTAAACTACGAGCGCGAATAGGTGGTCGCAGCATCGCCAGGTGCCAGATAACCAAAGGGTTACCTGGGCGACTCTTCAAGTATGAACAGTTAGAGAGCAGACTGAAGTTGATGGGAAGTTGGGGAAGCACAGAGGATGACGCGGTTGAAGGCAGATAAGCTGATAGCTTTCCCCGCAGCACGTGAGCCTTATCGGCCGACGGTATCCGCCGGGCAAAGACTTCTTCTTGATAAGGCGGTATTGTCAACGGCAGGCAAGGGGATGCTGGATGATCTGGTTGGAAATGCTTAAGTCTCAGAGGCACAGAGGAAGTGATGCGAGGGATACTGGATCATCGGGTCAAGGAAGAAAGATATGCCTGGCATAGAGAGCTGGGTTGGCTTAGCGGTCAAGGCAAACGATGGAAAATGGTAAACCACTTTCTTTTTTATCCTGGAAGGGATGGTTGAATTTCATATGGTCCTCTGGGAATAAGACAAAGTGACAAAGTGTATCCTAACAGTCATAAGAGGCAATGCATTTTTCGAAGACAGAGAACGATCAGAGATTCTGTGAGGGCCCCCGAGGTATCCATCGACGATAGTAACGGGAGTTCCTATAAAACGTCCGTGCCTTGGATATCGGCACCTTCAAAACAAAGTACTTTATTTCCTGATAAACGGTGGTGTCGTCCTAGAGCTTTTCCATTGCGGCAGATGTCCGGAAAGCCCTGGAAGAGGAATCCTCCGCACTGGCCAAATATAGGTAGGAAATTGTGCGACTGTTCATGTCCCGCATGGAACAGAGCCTTTATCCTATATAATCAACCATAGAATCATCTCGAACCAACCGGATGGCAGCGATTTAATGTTGCACTTGTGCATCTCTCGTCACAGCAGGCATCTTCATGAATTGGTTTTAAAGGCTGGCTGTTGCTCTATGGTTTGAGAAATGAAGTTCCGTAACGCTGCCCAACGGTTCGATGTTGAGCCAGTTTCGTCCTTAGACTCTGCCTCTGCTGTTGCATTCGTTTGGATACTGGCCATCTGCGCCATGTTCTTCGCAAACCGATCCCGCTCAACTTTCTCCAGTTTATGCCTGCGCTTCATCGCACCTGGTTTATGCTTAAGTGTCTTCTGTTTGATGATGTTCACTTGATTGCTGGGATCGTTCATCTCCATTTCTGTCTCGGGTAAGGCATCGGCGAGTGATTCCAGGTTGGCAATGAGCTTCTTTGAAGCGCGCCGGCGCTTTGGAGCCTTCGAGGAGCTCTTCTCAATTTTTGATACAAAGCTGGCGTGTTTAATCGATCTCTTATCCCTTTTTGTGGTCCGAAAGTCGTCCTCGAATGCACTAGCTTTGGGGGATGGGATGCCCTTCCCGCTGGAGGGCTTCTTGGCGATTGTCGCTTTCTTGATTGAACGGATCGGAGCCTAAAAGAATTCTGGGTCAGTGCATCATATAGCCGCGATTTGCGACAAGAAAGCTCTTACCATTTTGATAGTGATATGCTTGGGAGAATACTGTTGCGACTGTCAAGTGCAGAAACGACACAGCCAAGAACTGATCAAATGCATTTTCTTTGCACTAGTCTTTATACAGGCTAGTCCCACCAGTATCTGATAACAGATAACGAGATTGTCAACCGCCTGGATGACTAACCCGGTGCGTGATTTTCCCCTTTTCAGTTGAGACAGACAACAGTTGACCCCGTTCGCCTTAGTCCTGTTCCTAATCATTATTACCTAGTTACCTAGTTACCTAGGTTATATCATTTGGTCTCCGGCGTCTTCGGTTTGCCCCCCAGTCTCAGGCTTAGGCACAGTGACGTACCTACTGCGCATCCTGACCGAAAAACTGATCGCCGTTCATTTATCTTAATTCCCAGTATTAAATTTCGATTGTTCTTTGCGCTCCCAGCCGCCGAGTCGGGACAAGACAGATCCACAATCACGGGTACCAAACCCGCATCTTCATCTCGGACTTATATCAGAGAGCCACTGAAGGGTTTCTGATTGAGCGATTTGCCATTTGTCTTGCAGCAGTGCGTGGATGCTGTCCCCTGTACGCTTGGTATCTCGTCGGATCTGCTTTCCTGAATCTCGTGCCACGGCCATCCTACCTCGGTCCCCGGTGTCTCAATTCCAATCCACTCGAATCATAAGAAAAATTTCGCCATTGCCTACGTACTCCAGGGGTTTAAATCCTCTTTTCGTCACTCCTGTTCGATTCTTCTCCGGTTGTCGCACTCGATCTACTGCCAACGTCACGAACGGAATACCAAAGATGGGCTCTCTCGCACCTTATCAGCGGAAGCACAAAGTCACTGTGGTGGGCTCGGGAAACTGGTAAGGATATTTGGATACTACAGGCTATCTGCGGCATATGTGCGAGCTGTGATACTGACCGTGGTGTTGAAATAGGGGCACTGCCATCGCTAAGATCATTGCCGAAAACACGGCTAGCAATGACGGCATTTTCGAGAAAGAAGTTCAGATGTGGGTTTTTGAAGAGAAAGTTGAGATACCCCAGACTTCACGTCACTACGATCCTTCGTCGCCCTTGTGTCAGGGCCCTCAGAACTTGACAGAGGTGATCAACAAGACCCATGAAAATGTCAAGTATCTACCCGGAATTGCTCTTCCCGAAAATCTACGCGCCAACCCCTCGTTGGTGGATGCTGTCAAGGACAGCACCATCCTTATCTTCAATCTACCTCATCAGTTCATCATCAAGACTTGCGAACAGATTAAGGGTAACATCTTGCCCTATGCCCGCGGTATTTCGTGCATCAAGGGTGTCGACGTGAATGAAGACGGTATTAGCCTGTTTTCCGAGACCATCGGCAAGACTTTAGGGATCTACTGCGGCGCGCTCTCAGGAGCGAACATTGCCAACGAGGTCGCCCAGGAGAAGTGGTCCGAGTCGAGCATTGCTTACGATCCCCCTCACATGGATTCCAAAGCCCCGTCTCCCACTCTTTCCCCTACTGCGTCCGATACGGATGTGGTTCATTTTGAGCACAAGGATGTCTCCGGCGAGTTCTCACAGGTTAAACTTCGGCCCCTTCCCTCTGAGTATCCTCCCGTCGACCATGATGTTTTGAAATCCCTCTTCCACCGCCCATACTTCCACATCAGCGTGGTTAGTGACGTTGCAGGCGTCTCCCTTGGCGGGGCTCTGAAAAACGTTGTCGCGCTCGCTGCAGGCTGGGTGGATGGCATGGGATGGGGTGATAACGCCAAAGCTGCCATTATGAGAGTCGGCCTGCTCGAGATGGTCAAGTTTGGCGTGAAGTTTTTCGGCGCCACGATTGACGCGAAAACCTTCACCGAAGAAAGTGCTGGAGTTGCCGATTTGATTACCAGCTGTAGCGGTGGACGCAATTTCCGATGCGCTAAGCTTAGCGTTCAGAGGAACCAGCCCATTGAAAAAATCGAGGAAACCGAGCTCAATGGCCAGAAGCTCCAGGGCACGTTGACTGCGGTTGAAGTGAACCGGTTCCTAAAAAAGCAGCGTCTGGAGGACGAGTTTCCCCTGTTTACTGCAGTTTATCGTCAGTACCCCCTTATCCTACATGCAGCGGTTTGGCCGTGGCAGATCACTAATCAATCCTTAGGTGTTCTTGAGGGCTCCATGTCTGTTGCTGATATTCCATCCTACATTGAGCGGTAAATATTGACCTTATGTCATTTTCCCCTTGTCCATTATCGAGTGGTGATTGACTGGATCTTCCTCTCCTCGTGATAGTCAACCGAACTCATCCTGCGTCGGTGGTGGCGCACAGGGTCCGGACGGCGTGAAGGGCGGTGGCGCCAGCCAGGCTGTCATGTCCAGGTTATAAGCGACTGCAACACTACCTATAGAAGAACATGGTACATATCTATTTTAATACCTTAACTACCTATTGATTTTGGGATTGTCGGGCTGGATGGAGAACAATTTGACACGGGGCATTTTCTGGCGCGGAGAGAACAACAGGGGAACAATTAATTACTAGTACTTCCTGTATAGAGCGCAATGAGGCACGGTCGCGTCTAATTGATTTTGCCTATATTCTTCCTCCATCTTTCATGTTGTTGACAGGATTCATTAAGGATAAATCATTCAATCTCAGTAGCCTGTTCTTCTGTTATGTGTCCTGTGTTCAGACCAGCTCACCAAGCATGCAGCATGGAGTCCTGTGGTTGTGCGCTGTTGTGTTCCAGACCATCTTCTTCCCCGCTGCCAGGAAATGGTTGGATGCATGATGTCACACTCACACGGTTCGCGGGGCGGCCAACAATGGTCCAGGCACAACAAAAACGTTGATAAGCCTTCGCACTGCTTTCTTTGTCCCTTAAGGCACATCTCATTTGCTTTCCTTTTTTTTTTTTTTTTTTTTTTTTGTCTTGTAGGTATCCTTCCCAATCTCACTGTGCTATTATTCCGTTGACGGGCGGATTCCTCGGGTATCTCAACTGAGACAGAATCACAAGTCCGCACGCTGACAAGCTCTCCTCCGGCAGTCCCATCGTCAGACGATTACTCGGTGAGCAGCATCCAAGCACGCACAATACAAAGCTAGCCACCGCAGTCTCGCATAAATTGCTCCCCCAAATCATCTGGAAGAATCAATGTCATCTCCTCGGCAGGTTTACCTGCTGCCTTTGAAAGACGATGGATCTCCTGATGTGCCTGGAGGATACATCTACCTCCCAGCACCCACTGAGCCTGCCTACCTGCTTCGCTTCGTGATTGAGGGAAGCAGTTCCATCTGCAGAGAAGGAACGCTATGGGTGAACATCCCTGAGAGCGGCAAGGAGTTTGATCGCTCGGTTTACCGAAGCTTTAGGTGGGAAGAACATTGTCCCCTATGAATGCAGTAATGCCTGTACGCTGACTAAAGCCCAGATTGAAGCCCGATTTCAACAAGAATATCCAAATAGATATCCCCGTGACTTTGCCTGGATCTTTTTCGTTCTATACCACCTTTTCTCCGCTGCCTGAATTCTCTGTTGACCCTGTTCCAACGCCCGAACCCACGAGAACACCCACTCACTACATCGATGTCGCACCGAGATTGACGCTCCATGGGAAAGATCTGCCTCTCAATGCCCTCTCGATATTCTCCGTACTTTCCAAATTCATGGGGAAATATCCCACGGATTGGGATAGACACTTGAATGGCATCAGTCAACGCAATTACAACATGGTGCATTTCACGCCCTTGATGAAACGCGGAGCTTCGAATTCCCCCTACAGCATTTACGATCAGTTGCATTTTGACGAGGGCTCATTCCCAAATGGCGAGGCAGATGTGGCAGAAATGGTCTCGAAGATGGAGAAGGAATATGGACTTCTATCATTGACCGATGTTGTCTGGAACCATACCGCGCATAACAGCAAGTGGCTGGAGGCACACCCGGAAGCCGGTTATAGTGTGGAGACTGCCCCGTGGCTCGAGGCAGCCCTCGAACTCGACACTGCTTTGTTGGAATTCGGCCGAGAGCTCAAGAAGCACGGTCTCCCTACTGAGTTCAAGTTTGAGGATGATCTGTTGAGAGTGATGACCGCACTGCGAGAGAAGGTCGTCAGTGGTATACAGCTCTGGCAGTACTATGTCGTGGACGTGAAAGCCGATACGAGAAAGATCGTGGAGCAGTGGCAAGCTGGCGATCCAACAGGCGCTGCAGCCAGCAAATATGCCCATGTGAAGGTCAATGAATTTGCCGACTTGTCTTTAAAGCAGCAAGCAGACCTGATCCGAAAGCACGCAATTCCTACTGCCAAGCAGGTATTGGGACGCTTTAGTCGCGCAGTCGACCCTGCGTTTGGCTTGTTAATTTTGAATGTCCTGCGCGGAAAGTTCGACTCGCTGAGCTCTGACATTGACAATCCCGAGAAGACTATATCAGCCATCCTTGATGAGGTCAACCTGCCTTTCTATGAGGAGTACAATGCAGATGTCGCGGAAATCATGAACCAACTTTTCAATCGTATCAAATACGTCAGAATCGATGACCATGGCCCGAAACTTGGTCCGGTCACAGAGGAGAACCCTCTCATCGAATCCTACTTCACCAGATTGCCTCTGAACGATGTCACCAAGAAGCACAGTCCCAAAGCACTAGCTCTCGTCAACAACGGCTGGATCTGGAACGCTGATGCCATGCGCGATAACGCCGGCCCTGGTTCGAAGGCGTACCTGCGTCGCGAGGTGATTGTCTGGGGCGATTGTGTGAAACTCAGATATGGATCCTCCCCCGACGACAATCCCTTTCTCTGGGAATATATGGCAAAGTACACCCGCCTCATGGCCAAATATTTCGCCGGTTTCCGCATTGACAACTGCCATTCTACACCGTTGGTGGTCGCAGAATACCTGCTGGACGAAGCCCGCAAAGTTCGACCCAATCTTACAGTCTTTGCCGAGCTTTTCACTGGCTCTGAAGAAGCCGATTATGTCTTCGTCAAGCGTCTTGGCATCAATTCTCTCATCCGTGAGGCCATGCAAGCATGGAGTACTGGAGAGTTAAGTCGCTTGGTCCACCGTCATGGTGGTCGTCCTATAGGAAGCTTCGACGTTGAGTTGCCTTCGGCAGGCAGCAGTCATGCGATTGCTTCAGCTGACGTTGACCAAAAAGAAAAGATTTCTCACATTCGGCCTTCCCCTGTTCAAGCACTATTCATGGATTGCACTCATGATAACGAAACCCCAGCGCAGAAACGGGATGCACGAGACACATTACCTAACGCTGCTCTGGTTGCATTGTGTGCTTCTGCTATTGGAAGTGTGATGGGCTATGATGAGATATACCCTAAACTTGTGGACCTTGTCCACGACAAGCGAGTCTATTTCTCTGAGTTCTCTGAATCCGCTGAGGTGAAGCGTGACTCTGTGACAGGAGGAATCGGAGGTGTCAAGAAACTCCTGAATGAGCTTCACACGATGATGGGAGTGGAGGGATATGATGAAACTCATATTCATCATGACGGAGAATACATAACCGTCCACCGAGTACATCCAAAGACGCGAAAGGGCATCTTCTTGATTGCGCACACTGCATTCCCTGGCCAGTGCAGCAATGCTATCTTGGCTCCAACTCATCTTGTTGGGACTCAAGCCAAACATATTGGAACCTGGCTGTTGGAAGTGGATGCGAGCGACAGCACCAAGGCGGAGACGCTGGCGGACAAGGAATACCTGCGAGGACTGCCGAGTCGGATTCACGAATTCGAGGGCACAAAGGCAGAGCAACAGGGCGATGATACCGTGATCTCCGTTCTCGATACTTTCGTTCCAGGATCAATTGCTCTGTACGAAACATCTATTCCTAAGGCTGAGCATGTGGCAGGATTGGAAAACCATCTCGGTCAGGGTGCAGATGAAGCCTTCGCGGACCTCGATCTGGTGGATCTCAATTTTGTCCTTTATCGATGCGATGCTGAGGAACGGGATTTAAGTGGGGGTCAAGACGGGGTGTACAACATCCCCAACTACGGTCCATTGGTTTATGCTGGACTTCAGGGCTGGTGGAGCGTCCTGGAAGATATCATCAAAAACAATGCACTTGGTCATCCTCTCTGCGATCATCTTCGGCAAGGTCAGTGGGCGCTCGATTTCATCGTGAATCGAATGGAAAAAGCGGCGAAGAAGGACGGCTATACCTCTCTTGAGAAGCCCGCAAAATGGCTGCAAGAGAAATTTGCAGCTGTGCGCGATCTTCCTAGTTTCCTGTTGCCAAGGTACTTCGGGATCATTGTCCAAGTTGCTTACAACGCTGCTTGGAAACGTGGCATCCAGCTGCTTAGCCCCGAGATCAAGCAGGGGCAAGAGTTCGTTCATCAACTGGGCATGGTCAGTGTTCAGCAAACCGGTTATGTCAAATCTGCATCCTTGTGGCCAACAAAGAGTGTTCCCAGCCTTGCAGCTGGTCTTCCACATTTCGCTGTGGATTGGGCGAGATGTTGGGGCCGCGATATTTTTATCTCTCTCAGAGGCCTCTTCCTTTGCACTGGTCGATTCGACGACGCCAAGGAGCATATCCTTGCGTTTGCTAGTGTTCTCAAGCACGGAATGATACCTAACCTCCTCAGTAGCGGTAAGCTGCCGCGGTACAATTCTCGCGACTCTGTATGGTTTTTCCTGCAAGCAATCCAGGACTACGCAGAAATGGCACCCAACGGCATCGAGATCCTGAATGAGAAGGTTGCGAGGCGCTTTCTGCCGTATGATGACACCTGGTTTCCTTTTGATGATCCTAGAGCATACTCGCAACAATCGACGGTCGCAGAGGTTATCCAAGAAGTGTTCCAGCGACATGCACACGGGATGTCATTCCGGGAATACAATGCAGGCCCGGAGCTCGATATGCAAATGAAACCCGAAGGCTTTCAGATTGACATCAAAGTGGATTGGGAAACTGGTATCATATTCGGCGGCAATCAGAACAACTGTGGAACCTGGCAAGACAAGATGGGAGAGAGCGAGAAAGCTGGAAACAAGGGCGTTCCTGGTACACCCCGAGACGGTGCTGCGATCGAAATCACTGGTCTTGCCTATAGTGCTTTGAAGTGGGTCACCGGCCTGCATGAACGGGGACTTTACCCTCACGGAAAGGTAGACCTCGGCGAGGGCACGTCCATCACTTTCAAGGATTGGGCTGCAAAGATCAAGGAGAACTTTGAGCGCTGCTACTATGTTCCAGAGAACCCCGAAGACGACAGCAAGTACGACGTCGATCCCAGCATCGTTAACCGCAGGGGCATTTACAAGGATCTCTATAAGTCAGGAAAGCCATACGAAGACTACCAGCTTCGTGGCAATTTCCCAATCGCCATGACAGTGTCTCCGGACCTTTTCACTCCCTCGAAAGCACTGGGTACCCTGGCTCTTGCTGACTCAGTGATCGTTGGACCTATGGGCGTTGCTACGCTGGACCCGTCCGACCTGAACTACCACCCCGATTACCACAACTCTGAGGATTCGACCAACTTCGCAACCTCCAAGGGTAGAAATTACCACCAAGGCCCTGAATGGGTCTGGCAGCGGGGCTTCTTCCTCCGTGCTTTCTTGCATTTTGATCTTGTCCGCAGACAAACGGCCGAGGAACGAACGGAGGCATACCAGCAAGTGACCCGACGCCTGGAGGGATGCAAACGTGCTTTGAGAGAGAGTCCATGGAGGGGTCTCACGGAGCTTACAAACAAGAACGGCGCTCACTGCGCGGACTCTGTAAGTCCTGGTCTTTGTTTAATTTGCTGTCGGAAGACAAAGCTAACAAGAATCTCGTCATAGTCACCCACACAGTCATGGTCGGCAGGATGCTTACTCGATCTCTATTATGATGCTTCCCGACATGCCTCGAAGCATTCTCAGACATAAGCAATTTCTTCGAGAATGGTTGGATAACAATAGTAGTTGTTTTTGGAAGGGAAGATGGACATATGGGCTATATGTTTTGAATGATGAGAATCCGCATTAAATACTACTCTACTAATCCTCTGAAACGGTTGCCCACTTGTAGCCTGTTGTTTGGTGAGAGCACGAACCAACAACAGCACCAGGGCCACTTTATGCAACACCAATTACATTACTTGGGAACTGGGAGTAGCTGAGTAAGCAGCGTGCACAACTCATGATTTCCACTAGCACTACTTTGGCGGTCGCCTTCGAGCTTAAGGAAAGAAAGAAGCCAAACTTAAATTGAAATCTCATGATCCTTGACACTTCATCACAGATATCAAAGATCCCTCTTTGCATCTCCCCAGCTAATTTGAACACGTCCGGAACCATTGTATCCCTACCGAGTCCGCAGGCCGCTCATCACACCCAATCCCGTCCCTGACGTCAGTTGTTTTTGTCCAAAACATCTTCCCGAGGTGACGCACACCACTCGTGTGCCATATGTCAAAAACGAGATAAAGGGACTCGATATCGATTGACAGCATCTTGAGGGGTATGTCTCTCACTGAGCCCGCCGCGACGGCTCTAGCAACAGTCGTAACTGCTGCTGCTGCTGCCCAGACCGGCGGTAACGAGCGGAAATGGACCGATCAGACCAAAAATCAGCGCGATACATACACCCAGCTTGTGATTAGTCTTACCCTTGGGCTGAGTGCTTTCATATCCTTCTGTGTATGTTCTTTTTTCTTTTCTTGTTGGGCGGGGGGATGGGATTGTTTCGGGGAGTGTATGTATGCTAACGGCGCAATGGGGCGATAGATTCTACGGCCGAAATGGAGAGAACTGTATGCCGCGCGAAGGCGACAGCGTTGCGCTGCGTCACAGTTACCGGAACTCCCTGACAGTTTCTTTGGATGGATACCGGTTCTCTTTGGGATAACGGAGGAGCAGGTGCTTGGTTCGGCGGGGTTAGATGCATTCGTTGTAAGTGTGGCTTTTCTTTTGAGATTAGCCATGTGGGTTGGATTGGTCTAACTGGAGAATGTCTGGATAGTTCCTTTCCTTCTTCAAGTACGCTATTCGGTTTCTTACAGCGGTTTTCATCTTCGCCGTCGCCATCATCGGTCCGATTCATTTCAAGTACACTGGCAAATATGGAGTACCGGGCTGGGACCATGACGACCCGGACGATGTTGTTGGTCTGAAAGAGAAGAAGAAGTTGATCTCGGACCCGAACTATCTATGGATGTATGTCATTTTTGCCTACATCTTTAGCGGCCTGGCAATCTATATGCTCGTCCAGGAGACGGACAAGATTATCAGCATTAGGCAAAAGTACCTTGGGAGTCAGACCAGTACGACAGACCGCACTATTCGTCTCTCCGGAATCCCTTCTGAGTTGGCTTCAGAGGAAAAGATCAAAGAGTTTATGGAAGGGCTCCGTGTCGGAAAAGTTGAGAACGTGACTTTGTGCCGTGATTGGCGCGAACTCGATCATCTCATTGACGAACGCTTGAAAATGCTACGGAACCTGGAATGGGCGTGGACGAAGCATGTCGGGTACAAGAGGCCTAAGCCTTCCGGGAGCTCTATTTCGCTGACGCGCCAGCAAGCGCGAGGTTCGAGCCTGTTGTTCGATGGAGATAGCGAACAGACTCAGCTGCTTTCCGAGAGTGACCGCGATCATGTCTCTAATTATTCGCAACAGCGCCCGACGATACGTCTCTGGTACGGGCCACTCAAATTGAGATACCGCAAGGTGGACGCCATTGATTATTATGAGGAAAAACTTCGGAGAATAGACGAGAGGATTCAGGTCGCTCGTGACAAGGAGTATCCAGCCACGGAGATGGCTTTTGTGACCATGGAATCTATCGCTGCTTCTCAAATGGTGGTCCAGGCTATCCTCGATCCACATCCTATGCAGTTGTTCGCTAGGCTGGCACCGTCCCCCGCGGACGTCGTCTGGAAGAACACGTATGTCCCTCGCTCGAGACGAATGATGCAATCATGGTTTATAACGGGAGTTATTGGCTTCCTGACTGTCTTCTGGTCGGTGCTCCTGGTTCCCGTTGCCTATCTTCTGGAGCTCGAGACCTTGCACAAGGTGTTCCCTCAGCTCGCCGAGGCACTTGCTCGAAACCCTATCCTAAGTTCGCTTGTCCAAACTGGTCTTCCAACTTTGGTCCTCTCGCTGTTGACTGTCGCGGTTCCTTATTTGTACAACTGTAGGTCTTGACCTCATCCGTTCGGCATATCTAACTTTTACTGACCATCTTTGCAGGGCTTTCAAACCAACAGGGTATGATGTCGCGGGGCGATGTCGAGCTGTCCGTCATATCCAAGAACTTTTTCTTCACGTTTTTCAATCTTTTCCTTGTCTTCACGGTCTTCGGTACCGCGACGACGTTCTACCAATTCTGGGAGACATTACGCGATGCCTTCAAGGATGCGACAGCCATTGCATTTGCGTTAGCGAAGTCCCTTGAGTCGTTCGCGCCATTTTATATCAATCTTATCATGCTGCAGGGCCTGGGACTGTTTCCCTTCCGGCTTCTGGAGTTTGGAAGTGTTGCGATGTACCCTATCAACTTCCTCAGTGCCAAAACGCCGCGTGATTATGCTGAGCTGTCAACACCCCCAACTTTCAGCTACGGCTATTCCATTCCGCAAACAATCCTCATTTTGATCATTTGTATGGTCTACAGCGTGTTTCCCAGTTCTTGGCTGATCTGCCTTTTTGGTCTGGTATATTTCACCATTGGCAAATTCATCTACAAGTACCAACTCCTGTACGCCATGGACCATCAGCAACACTCCACTGGGCGGGCATGGCCGATGATCTGCAGTCGTGTGTTTGTGGGTCTGATAGTCTTCCAGCTCGCTGTGATCGGTGTGCTTGCCTTGCGGAGAGCTATCACTCGCTCATTACTGCTTGTGCCTCTGTTGGGGATCACTCTATGGTTCAGCTACTTCTTCGCCCAACACTATGAACCCTTAATGAAGTTCATCGCTCTGAAGAGCATTGACCGTGACCGACCCGGCGGTGGAGACATCTCTCCTTCACCGTCATCGACCCTCTCGCCTCCTTCTGGCCTTGACCGTGACGCTCTCCCAATACAACTCGGCGGTCATGAACTTGGCTTGAGATTGAAGAAATATGTCAATCCAAGCCTCATTGTGCCACTCAACGACGCATGGCTCCCCGGTCGCTCTGCTGCGCGCGAGTTTCAGGGGGATTTTGAGGCGTTTCCAGCCCCTAACGACAACGGAGCTGCTGTCTGATTCATGCCGCGCTTCGGTGATATCCTATCCCACCACTCAGCAATTGCATTGCCCACATTCGTTTCTCCCGTTGCACATATCAATGTTATACTAATTGTAATACCCATCCTATCCAGTCAGCACTATCCCTACCCTGACGTTGCAAAGCATACCCTATTTTCATGACTTCATGATGAACGATCGCGATACCACCCTGTGAGATTATGGTTGTCTGGATGATTCCCCGGTGGCTCATCAGAATGCACTCGTTATCTATTGCCTCATTGTTTGAAATGTACTTCTTGTTTTCAGTCCACGCCATGCGACTGACACTCACCAACTCCATAGTTTAGACTGTCCTACTGCTCTGCCGCTTTCCTTTTGCCACAACGTGCTAGCGTTCTATCTCATAGACCTTGTTCACACAGTTTTCATTGTATTGTCGATTTCTCATCCGCCAAAGACTATGGTATCCTATGGAGTAGGGCCGTGTCCCGCTATTATCCCGAAGAATGAAAATAGGAATAGCCACGTGTATGAATAGAAGAATGTATTGTCTCAAGTTTTCCACCCATAACGCGTAGAAGTGAGGTGAGCAATTCAGTCAAGCCGACATCAGCATTCCTGTGAAAAAGGCACTACGAGGCCCATTTAAAAGAACTGAAACAGACGCAAGTCTTCTACAGGAGTTGGATGGAGAATGGACAAAGTCTTGTAGTTCGTAGGTACAGATGCGCCATCGTCGTCTTGAGCAAGAACAGGGAAGATGATCCGAACTTTCCGGAAACTTATCTATCATGGATTGGTGTTCTAGACCCTGAACTTGTGGAAGACTGAATGTAATGATGAGATGATGTGAAGTCAGAATCGTATGTTTGTTTGCAGAATAGTCTAGCGTTTATTTTTCCTCGATATGCCTTAGCTAGAGCTGCTATGTGTATTGCATGCCTGAAGTCCCAGGCATCGGCAAGCACGTGGACTGATGGCACAGACATTGAGGAAGGGAAGATGGGAAGATGTTGACTTGGACAAGATCCAAGCACAGTCAAGCTTGCTTGTTACAATCGGCCTTTGCTCCTTTAGCTTGATCTGTCATCTATCTATCCATTAAGTCCAGAACCCCACCAATATGTTCAAGTGATCAATCCGATGAAGCCAAATCTATGGTATCTATCTACCCTCTACGCCAGCTTCTTCTAGTCCAGCGTCTATCTTTCGACTCTCCAACACACCATGGCCAGAAGCCAGCTCCACCCATGCCGCGTGCAATCGTTGGCTCCATGCTCACATTCCTCGGCTACGCTCAACAGCTCACACTCATCGCATGGTATTTTGTGTCCATTGTCTGAGAGGTTGTCCTCTCAGGTTTTGTCTGACCCCTGAACCGATCATTGGAGGCTTCATCTATCCCAGCATACCAGAAAAACGAAACACTTCATCCTCTTATATGCTCGATTTTGCCTCTCAGATAAGCTGAGTGTACAAGGTTGTCAAATTTAGGATACAGGCTGAGATTCGCCTCCCATTCCCCGGAAGACCAGCTCGGGAAGCCAGCGGCTCTCTGGTTGGCCCATCTACTTACTGAGTTTGACGCTCGCCCAGCGTTTGTCCTGGGTCCACCCCCGGGAATCAGGATACGGTTCCATGAAACCCCTCGTCCCGTCGAACTTGCCTCTCTGCTTGTTCCAGCGAGCAGCAATCGGTGTCTATAATCAATTGGTCCGCACTAATTCGCATACCATGGAACAGATACCATCCCAAAAATCTTGGCCAAATCACACATACTTTTACATCTCGTTTCCGGATTGAGTAATCGACGCTGCGTCGATAGTCTTTGACAGTCTGACTTTACTACAACCGGGTGGATCATTACTAGTTCACTACGATTACTGCTCCACCCCTCCATACCTGGGTGGTTCAAGTCTAAAAAGCCGACAAAAATGCATTCTATGTGCCATTCGCTTATACCTCGTTGACATCTGGTATCGACGTCAGAACGGCTATGTCGGGGAGATATATATTCTCATCCATGGTACCGGGGGAGGCGAACAGTAGAATTCTGTTTTTACCATGTTTGCTGCGGTTTGTTGATTTTGCCTCTATTGATCTCTTTGAACCTCGAACTTTTCATCTCCAGAACAACTGCTTGACGACTTACTTGACGACTCTCCTATATTGTCTTCAAAGTATAGGATCCTGCGCTGTTTCTCTCAGTGACTATATTGTATCTTCCTTCGGGGCTTCCCTTGGGGCTATTTCTTCGAGTTTCAGTCTCCAAAACACTGTAGAAGGAAGTTGGTGAGACGAAGCGAAGAAGCCAATTCTATACGGCGAATTCGCCTTTTGAAACGTTTCCGTCTGGGGCATCACGCATATACCATGATTCCAGCTGCAGCTCCAGCAGCCGGGGTTACTTTGGTTTGTCAAATGTCTCCTGTTCCGGCAGCAAACATCACACCCCCAGAGATATTGTTACAAATATTCTATTTGCTCGGTCCACGAGATTTTGACAATGCCCGACGGACGTGCTCCCAGTGGATGCGTGTTAGTCTATGCGAAGATTTGTTGGAGGGAATGCTCAGGCGAGCAGGTTGGTGGGATGCCTGGCGACACGATTGCGAGATCTACGATACCAAATTCAACTTGAACAAGCAAAGCTTGGTTTGGAGAATGAGCAGACGTTTTGCCACAGAATGTCTCTTGTCGGGGCGAGAATCGAACGTGGAGAGAGCCGGTTTCATGACGACTGGAGTCATGGACTTCTCACGACTTTCTCAGGGACAGCCTACGGCGAAACACCGTGTGCCATTCTCTTTGGGAGGTGATGCTATCTCAGACACCTACGCCAGACCTCTCGCCACCTCTAAGTTCCATGTCAGTAACTGTTCCAACTACTTACTGGTAACCTGTGGCTGCATGATATATGTCTATCGATTATTCTCCCGATATTTCGGAAGTGATTTACCGCCAAAGCTTGAAGAATTGAAAGACTTCGACATTGCGCCTGTTTCGAGCATCACTTGCCCCGTTGAGGTGATTTCAGCTACCATTGATACGAGTACCCCCAAGATGGTTGTGGCAGCCCTGTTGCGCGAACGTCTAGGACTGGTTTGCGATCTAGTCGAGTCACGAAAGAGCTTACCCGACTTGGATATCCTCCAGAATACGCCGAGCAGGATGAGACGACTGGAGCCGACATCGATGCACTATTTCCGCAATATCTGCTCCCTCGAAGATCCTCCTCGCAGCGTATCGATTTGCCCAGGCCGACGATGTGTTGCTTTTGGCTCCCTTGCTGGCGTTGAGTTGCATTGGGTCGATGAAAAGACAAAACTAAATCAGAAGAAGCAGTTTCCAACGTCGCAACCGTCAGAAATTCTCCACTTTCTTCCCGATCGACCAGGGACCTCTCATGAACTGCGCATTATCTCCTCACTGGCTGGTCCAGGAATGCCAGGGTGCGAGTGCTACAAGAGACCACACAGCGAACAACGAGCACCTTGCCAGTTCCATCTTCTGACAGATGTCCAATCTTTCACTCGATGGATTCCTTCTAGCAATAGCACAAGTTTGAGCGTGGTCAGAGCAACCCATTGCCATCACTACAGAGCTATCCCAGTTAATGATGGGTTACATATTCTGTTTATCGAGCCACGAACAGGTTCGCTTTGCATCGGCTCGGATGCCCCGATCGGTGGACCGACAAGTTTGACAAGGGCTCTAGTTTGTGTTCCACCGTTTGAGAAGAACACTTTGGGCGTGTCTGAAGACAACATGATTCCCACTGTTTTCGCGTCTGGGTGGAACCTGGAGTGGGGTTTGCGCGTCGTGGCCGCCTATGGCGATAGAATCGTCATGTATTCTGTGCCACTCGATGTGTTTAACGTGATTCGAAAGGAGCGTGAACGACAGGGTGACGGCGTCATGGGTGACAGCGACCTGGCAAGAGACTGGTTCCTTGACCAGTCACGGCCTTCCAAGCGTCGAGATAGTCTCGTTCAGAACCAGAATGGTGACTGGGATTTCCTCCTCAGCGTCAGCTACCGGCCAACGGCGATGATGTGGCCTTTCAAGATATACGGAAAGGAGATCGCGCGAATGGAAAATGTGGTGGAACTAGGCCTTCAGACGTCTTTTGGAGGCGCCCGGGTCTGGGCATTCAGTGCCTCTGGTGAAACGAATATCATTGACATCGACACTTTCACATCACGCAGCCAGCGGCTCGCCGACATGTCTTGCAGGTCTACCTCCGTCGGCGTTGATGGTAGTATTGTATCGGCTCTATCAGTCAGCCGGACAGAATCTGGCTTGCTTTCAGCACAATCGTCGCGCAAGCGCAAGCCAACTGAAACCCGAGACGACTTTGGCGGGCAACAATCTGCCATCTGCCGCCTACCCAGGTTCTTGAACGATGGATACAACATCTCTGCGAAAGGTCTACCGCAAACCCTTCCTGCTGTCATTGGACGGCGCCCTTCCTTTGCTGCATGTATTGTGGATTTCAAGATCCCCGAGTTGGGGCCCCGCGAAGGAGCCTGGGTCGACAGGCCCCTACCTAGGGGATTTACTTCCTAGCAATATGTTCGATCTATCTCTTTCGTTTCATATGAATTAGCGTGGTTCTTATTGACTGGATGCTTTTTATATCAACTATTATTCATGTTCAACTGTGAGCTTTGAAAATTTGGCGTCTGCTTAATTCTTGCCTTGGATGTCTTTGGTCTTTGGCGATGTGACTGCAGTCGCCTGTTACGATTCACGAGTGCACCGATTACCCACTTTAGGATTATACTTTTGCATTTACACCATCATGATATATTCTCGAATCCTATCATAACTGACCCCCGATTTTCTCATACCCCCCAGATTCATGCTCAAGAGATCGACGTTCAATGTGGAGGTGGCGACACCAGTGGGTTGATCAGCCACGATTCTCTGCCACGCAGCCATTCACTAATTTGTCTCAATCCTGGCGCGAGAACCATCTTGCAATGTGTTTAATTTGCGTGCATAATGCTGCATCAATAGCGCCCAATCTCCACGGAGGCCAACTATTGATACATAAGGTCTGCTCAAATGACCTTGTGCTATAGCCAATCCTCGACGTCGTGAACATTGCGTGTCAAGATCCAAGCCGAATCAGGCTTAAGATTGGATCTAACATTAGTTCTGTGTAACTGTTGGTATGTCTTATTTTATGCAGTTCAAAGCCCCTTCTTTACCGCATTGTTGGTAACTGCATGCTGTGGAGTACCCAAGGCAGCGCATGCCGTCTTGAAAACTGCTACGGAGTATACAGTAAGATTTCCTAATACTCAGCATGCGACCCTGCAACCTATCCCCGCAGAAGCAAATGATAAAAACTCACTAAGTGACATCCCGATCCAAAACACATTCACAAAAACACAAAATGCTCCCAGAAACCACCCGGGGCGCGAACACGTCACCCTGAGACGGGATCCTCGAAGTAGCTCGTCCCCATAGTACGGCACCTCACCATACAGCTGGGGCAGCGAGGTGTCAACATGCAAGGGATGCCGCAAGATGTGAACGGAAGCAATCAGCCCGGCCAGCAGGAAGGAAAGCGGACCCCAACAGACCGCCGTGATGTGATGGTCTCCATGCACAAGATGAAGACGCAGGGGACGAAATGCCGCGGGTCCGAGAGGGCGTATTCCTTCCAGAGTTGGCCAAGGAGATCATGCTTGCTCATAATGGTGTCGAAGTCGTGGACACAGTAGCCGTTAAGGATGAAATAGATGCTGCCACTTCGTGTGATTGTGATTATATCTTGAGGCATGGTTGTAGAGGTATAAAGCTTACGCACGAAGACCCATTTTATGGCCCAGAGATTGCGATCTATGATGCGATAACTTGATGTCAGTCCCGCGAGGCAGGTCTTGCGAAGATGGAGACCAGACTCTGTGCAATTCTATCATTGGCGACATAGCCGATGGTTTCTGCGGCGGGTGGGTAGCACGGGTGAATGGATTTAGTTCACATGGTGGAGATTATGAATCTGATGGTCGACAAGATGCTGTATGCGAGAAAAAAAAGCTCTGGACCAGAGACTGTGAGATGATGTCGCCGGTGCAACAAGGATCAGGACACTAAAATGCGTCCGGGGATCTGACAACGGGTGAGGTATATCAAATAAGCTCTCTGACTTCACGAAGCAGCGTTGGTTGTTTCCCTCATCTGCTACCTCCCAACATCTCCTGGCCGACGATGCCAGTGCGCACAAATGCCAACTGACGACTAGTAAGGGATATAGCACCGTGTATAGGCTCATTCTCGCCGAAACAGGGACGTCCTCGACCTCGCCTACGGCATGGGCTTCTACTCCCGCCACTTCGCCAAAGCAGGCGCACGCAAAGTCCTCGGCATCGACATCTTCAATGCGATGGTCGCGAGCGTCGCGCCGCCAGGCCCTTGACGACGGCGTCTGCGACGTGGACTCTCCGAGTTCCACGTCGCAGATAAAAGCGAGCCACTGCGTCTGGGGCAGTTCGATCTCGCGTCCTCGCCGCGTGGCTGCTCAACTATGCGTGCGAAGTCGACGAATCGACTTGCAGACCATGTGGTAGAATCTGTTCGGCAGTCTCAAGCCTGGAGGACGCTGCGTTAGCATCGTGCCTGATACGAACCAGGTGCGGACGGCTCAGACTCCCGGGGACGAGAAACGGTTCGGTCAGAGCTCGAAGCTCCTCGATAGAGTGCCAAGGGGGGTTAGGGTGCGGACAACGCTGCATGCTACTACCCCCATGTCCTTTAATTGCTATGCCAGGGAGCTCGCGGTCCATGCGGAATGCGCTAGAGATGCTGGCTTTTCGGGCGTCCAGTGGATGCCACCGGTTGATCCGCACGTCTCGGGAGTGGACTTTGCCAGTTTTGTGGAGTCGCCGATTTTCCAGGTCTTCTCGGTGACTCGTACTAGTTGCGTGGCTTAGGATGCTTCATGGGTGGCCTTCTGTGGACGGTATTAGCGGGGGAGAGTGGCAGCTGTACTTAGAAATACTGGCTCAGACAAAGCAACAGTACTCAGAATGATCCTGATTATTTCAAGTGTCTTTCCTGCCAAATATCGTAATCCAGTTTGATGGAAGGGTGGTAAATCCTTCTGAAATGTGATTCATTCTCCATAAGGATGTAGGCACTGTAGGCCAATTCAATTAGATATGTCAAGTATATAAACCCCGAAACGAAATTTTGTGGACAGCGCTGGCATCAAGCATCACCTGCACCTATGCAGAACATGCTTTTATCTCGAGAGAAGAACACACAGGAAACACGGCGGGTCATAAACGCTGAAGTGGAAGTTCAGTTGACAGCAAGCTTCTCTTTCCGAGCACGTACGGCCTGCGCAAGGTTCTCGAGCACCGCTTCCGAATCCTCCCAGTGGATGCAGGCATCGGTGATACTGACACCGTACTTGAGGCCAGCCTTGCCCTCAGGAGGAACCTTCTGGTTGCCTGGACGGAGTTAGCACTGAGAACATGTGGCACATGATCATCAGGAAAATGTGGGCTTACCCTCGTTGATATTGCTCTCAATCATGACACCCATGATGGCACTCTCGCCAGCAGCGATCTGTTCCGCCAGAACGGCAGCGACCTTGGGCTGGTTCTTGTGGTTCTTTTGCGAGTTGCCGTGGCTGCAGTCGACCATGAGACGGGGCGTCAAACCCTGCGCGGACAGCTTGGTCTTGGCATCGGCAATGCTCTGAGCGTCGAAGTTGGGACCCTTCTTTCCGCCACGGAGGATGACGAAGCAGTCGGGATTGCCCACGGTACCGACGATGGAGACGACACCAGGCTTGGTGACAGAAAGGAAGTGGTGGGGGTGCTTGACGGAGCCAATGGCGTCGACTGCAACATCCAACGAGCCATCGGTTCCGTTCTTGAAACCGACCGGGAAGGACAGACCGGACGCCAGCTCGCGGTGAACCTGCGACTCGGTTGTCCGCGCGCCAACGGCGCCGACGGAGAGACAGTCGGCGAGGAACTGGGGAGAGATGGTATCCAGCATCTCACTGGCGATGGGCATGCCCTTGTTGGTCAGATCGACGAAGAGCTGGCGGGAGGTACGCAGACCCTTGTTGATCTTGAAGCTGTTATCGATATCGGGGTCGTTGATCAGGCCCTTCCATCCGACTGTGGTGCGGGGCTTCTCGAGGTAGGAGCGCATGACAATCAGCAGTTCATCCTTGTACTTCTCCTTCATCTTGAGAAGTCGATCGCAGTACTCGAGGGCCATTTCGGGGTCGTGAATCGAGCAGGGGCCGATAACGACTAGCAGACGGTGCTTGTCGTCTGTGCCGTGGACAATGGAAACAGCTTCTTGACGGCCTTCCAGGACCGTCTGTCTGGACTTCTCTGTCATAGCGATCTCATGTTGCAGGAGGTTGGGGGGTGTGAGAGGGTTGTATCCGCGAACTATGCAGGGCCAGTGTCAGGCAATTGGTAGTATTCGGAGAATCTGTCTGATGGGAACCTACTGCGCGAATCTTCGAGGTTGTCATGGTTCCCTACGTTAGGGTTCTCGATGAAGAACTGCGTAGCAAATGTGAGATTTCAATCCCGTGTCCGATTCACATAGATAGTCGGCCTAGCTGGACTCTACTTACAGACATGGCGGGTGGCGGGGTAAAGTATGTGTCTCACACGATGGGGGGGTTGACGATGCAGGGAGGGGCAGAAGGGATGAGGAAGAGAGGTCGTCCGGATCAACCGTTGACTTGGCAGGGAGGAATAGGTGGTTAGTGTGGGAAGATGAATTAAGAACCGATGGTCAAGACCAGCTTTAAACCATCCCCAGGTTTTTTTTTTTTTTTTCTGTGCTCTATGACTCAAAAATGCAAAAAGTCTCTTTGGCCTGGTCCTTGCAGTACATGATCAACTGCGATTTCGGCGACCGAGGTTGCTGGCACGTGATCATGGTCGGCCAATCGTGCCTGCGTGCCTGAGCAAGAAGGCATTGCATTCCTCGCATCACCATTGGTCTACTGTGTATGCTGTTGGAGACCTGAAGTTACACGGCATCAGCTGAGAAGTATGGAGTAGATAGTCATTTTTGATTCTAAGCCGGAATCACATTTGGCTGCAAACTGCATCCATCCTACAACACAAATCCGCTTCAAGTATCTCGGGATCTACCAGACCACTGGCGATAGTGGTGAGTACGTACTACAGTAGATAGAACCTCCCATATCACCATAGCAAACCCCACTTGTATCTTGCAGCTCTCAATCCGATTTTTTCTTCCCTGGCCCCTTAATTCATGCCTGGGCCTTTCGAGGTTGCCGATCTGCAGACTGGGACACATTCATGAGACCTGCAGGTGCTCTTCTCAAAATTAGGGCTTGAGTCTCCTTGGCCAGCGTTCTTCGTCAGACGTTGCTCGCTCTCCTGGAGACGATGCAGCAACTCTTGACAGAGGTCTGTGTGATGTTTTTTGATCGTCTTCATATGCTGTCTACACAATCTTATTCGTTCTTCTTGTCGTGCAAAGAGTTGATCTAGTACTTGGTAGTATTGCTGGCGGTATGCATCGAGGACTTTGCTGAAAGTTGCTCTCTCCCGGTCCAGCTCACGCAGTAGATTCTGGGTATCCAGTGAGCAACGAGACTTGAAGTATCTTCCCCGATCAGCAGACTTACTTCGTTTGTAACCAGGAGCACGTCGTGGGGTTTTTCTTGGAGTGACTGTATAGGCTTTTGCACATAGTCATGTTCAGGCAGTTCGCTCCATGAGCTCCTTTCATCGGATTCTGAACTTGAATGAGTGGGATACAAATTGCCCTCTGATGAAGACGGCGCCAGCTCATCTCTGTTTGTTTGCAAAGACTTCGGCTCCTTAGGTGGCGGCAAGGTTGGAAAATATAGTGTGAACACATCACCTGATGAAGTAATGATATGTCCTTTTGCGGCACATTTCTCAGATGGGGTCTTTTCTTTACCAAGGGGAACTTGATGACTTCCCGTTTCCCACTTTGTAGGCAGGGTGTCCCTGCGACAGGCTTCCAACTTATCATGGAAGCAGGAAATCTTAGGGCTGTCCTTAAAGCTTCCTTGCTCAACGACTTGATCCAGATCCGCCTCGCATCCTGATTCAATTACCTCTCGCTGTACACGACTTACTCCAATTTGCGTGGATTGTTCATATCCATGATTGAAATCAAAGGCTGTTTCATCAGGAGAATAGCCTCTAGTGATGTGCTGTAAGACGAGTCGGGGACTTCCATTCCTGTCTACTATTGTTTTTCTGGGCGTTGGATCCAAGGACGCTGTCACTCGAAAAACACTGTGATCAGTAGAATCTAGTGAATCGGCTTTCTGGCTTGCCGTCATGGCCTTCGATTCAGAATTTCGAGCCTGCTGGTGACTGATGTGTCTTCCTTCTGCAACCGACAGAACCCCGTCTCTCAGGCCTGTTACTCCTGGACGATGACATGCAATTTTGCTATTCTTCGTGATAGAGCTATTGTGGTTGCGGGAAATCTGCATGTCAGACTGGCCTTGAGGTACGCATTCTTTTATTAAACTGGGCTCGTCGTGCCAGCTTCTTTTCCTTGAGGGGTTGTCTGACTCGACATTAACGGAACGCCTTTTTCTGCTCTTATTATTTTCGATCATCCCAGTACTGCCCTGGCTTCTGCTTGGTTGATGTCCTTGGACTGCTCTGCCATCTGATGATATGATATTCACGTTGATCACTGGTGGAGCTGAAGCCTTGCAACGTGAATCATTGGGCGATAGCGTCTTTTTCGCATACGCTGCGGAGTTTGTATGTTGAGCTATCTCATCGTCTTGTCCCTTGTTGTCAGCATTTTCTTGTGATCCCTGCTCTTCATGCTCTATCTTTCCGTGGGCCGCGGGGCTGTTTCTCGCAGCATTTGGCACCAGGTGCCTGGAAGAGTGGGAGCTGCTGTCGTGAAAACCTGCAGCCAAATTCTGGCCAAAGGCTTTCCCTCCTGTTAGCTCTTTATCGCTTCTCAAAGCAGGTTTCATATTGCTTGCAATGCTCTCATTAGAATGCCCGTCTCTATTGCCCGAATAGTGTTCTCTTAACGACTTATATGCAAGCAGGTAGCCCATATCTTTCGCCTCGTCGGACAGGAAAGCAATGTTCATCTCAACTCCTGACACGTCAGTGTTTGCAACGAGACCATTGTCCGGCGCGTTGTTTGTCGAATTCTCTGGCTGAGACTTGTTTTCTTCTTCGGGCACAGCAATTTCAGTGGCGAGGCATTCTTCCAACCTTTTGCTTCCGTCCTGGCATTTCCTTCTATCTGTGGGACCTTTTATATCCTTCGGTCTCGAATTTTGTGCTAGATTCAGCCTCTCCGCTCCATACTGGGGACAATAATGCGCCTCTTTCCCGCCGTTCTTTGCCTGGGAACTCTTTCTGCGCTTCCTGGCTAATGTATCGGCCTTCGGTTTTCTTTTTGCGCCTACTTTCTTCTGGTTTCGATCAAAAAAAGACCTCTCTCCAGGCAAAGGTGAGGAAACCGAAGTAACCTCGGGATCTTTCTGGCTTGACGGCCCTTTCGCGTCGTCACTTGGTCGAAGGTCCTCGTCCCAGTCAATTGTCCCTCTGGAATGAGTGTATTTTTTCCTGGCTGAATTGCGCATTGGAAAGATCAAAGATTCCTGTGTGTCTGGCCCCAACGCTCTACCACTTGATTTGCTTGCTCTTATTTTCCGCCTTTGTTGCTTTTTGTCTTGCATGTTCAGGTTACCTTCTACAGATAGCTCTTTAGCATCTTTGCTGTTGAGGACTTCAATATGATGATCTTGCGATTTCAACAGTCCATCATCGGTTACTGTGACTGATTTTGTGTCAGTGGGTTTCCAGCCAGAGGGCTCCTTGTGCGAATGCATTGCTGACTCCTCAAAGTTATAGGCAGTCAACAGATTCTCGCCGTCGTTCTCAGATAGAGACTTTCGTCCACTTTCTATGGGAGGTTCTGAGGCGGTAGGTTGTTCGACCAATTCTTTTTCACTCGGCCTGTCACCCTTTGGAACCTGTGAACTTCCATCTAAGTGTGAGGCCCCTGCGTGAGGTACCGCTGTACCAGATCTGGAGTCATAACCGACTGTCCTGTCGCTCACGGGTTTATCGAGTCTGGTAATTGAGGCCGAGCTTCGCAAGAAATAGTGCTCTTTAGGCCCGCTTAGTAGATATTCGTGGTTGGAGGACTTCGCAGTTATTTCCTCCTCGCTATCGAGTGATATTACTATCGATGATGTCTTTCGAGTGAGTGAGGTGAGGGAGCTCAACTCGGTGCTCTGTCTGTTGAACTCCTTGCCAGCTATCTCTATCACTGTTTGAAGATCTGTCAAGTCATCGGGTGATGTTAGGCTGAGAGTCGACGCTCCCAATCCCTGCCTCTTTCCATTCAGTGACACTGAAGCCTCCGCATCAAAGTGTAAGATCAACTGTGATATTTCTCCGTTGGTGCTTTGCTTCAGTCTTCGTGCGTAGCGTAACGAAGATTGCACCGAGATAAGGAAGAATTGATAGCCCGCTGTTGACCGCCGTGTAATGATATGTATAAATGTCAATGTCTCTGTGCCAACTAGCGCAACTATAGTACCCTGTGCCAACACCTCGCAATTGTCCTTGCTCGATTGGACAAGTTGGCAGGAAGTGAGCAGAACAACCCCAACGCGCCTTCGTTCGCTTTCATAATACTGAAAGAAGAGAACCAGGTCTTCCGGATGAGCTTTGAGACAATTTACGAGTAAAGTATTGTGTTCCGTGTCAATTGAATGCCAGATACTGTCGATATCGGTCTTGGAGTGAGTCAGTATATGTAGGAGAATACCAGCGAAGAACCTTAGTACGGCATCAGGATCATCAAGGATAATAGAAACAGCTCTGTTATTTCCAAGGTCAGATAGAGTATGGGCCCCCCATGGAGACATTCCACGCACCGGGAAAGATCATGATCCTGGGTGTTAAAAACCACGCAGCTTGAATCACCAGACTCAGATATAACCTCAACAAGGAGTTTGCCCGCCTAGGATATCTTAGTGGTGTATTAGAGCATTGAGTAATCACGACATACTAGTGTCCGAAGCTGTTTATCGCGGTAGTCATCGACGAACATGCGATATAACGTCTGCACGAGCTTGCGTTGAACGGTCTGTGATTGATTCCGAAACCGGAGCAGTGACATCTCAGGCTCTTCATCTTCTGGACCTACAACATAGCTGGATTCGTTCTGCGGAAATCAGTTTCTCTGCGACAACCATCAAAGCACTAAGACACATAGGACCCTACCAGCAAGAGCTCCAGCCCACTTTTCTGTTCACTCTCCGCATCCAGGTTGAGGAGCAGGTAGGCTAGACAGCGAACAGAGTTTGTATTCAGCGATCGAACTATACTGGTCTCGAATTCGTGTAAGACGGCAGTGACTCGACGAAGATCCTGCGTGGAGATAGGCGTTTCAATTCGTAGTAAAGCATCAATGAGATAGCTGGGAACACTTCATGAAGTCAGCGCATTGGAGAGAGAGAAAAAACAAGCTAGTCTTGATCTAAGCACTTACAAACACTCTCTATCGTTCTTCTGTTTCGTAAAGATTCGCTCTAGTCTTGTAGCAAGTTCTGTGAGCTCAGCCAGTTGCTCGTCGCGTCGAACTATCTCTGATGACGAAGAAGGCATCTTGTATCCTGCAGCACCGCTCCGATGTCTGAAGCCTTGGTTCGATAGAAATGGACTTTGTATGGACGATGGAAAGAGCGTTGAGAAGAGAAGAAGACATAAGCCATCACATGACGGGACTGTCAGCCGAACGAGCATCTATGTGCGCTTGATCAAGGTAAAGGTCTTCAACAAATGACACTCAGTACGCCGGTATGCATTCAAGGGCTGTTTTGCTCTCTGATCGATCTCTTGGCCAGGTTCTTGACTTTGGTTTCCAGGTAAACATTCTCGAAAAGTGATTGGCATCTCATGATATTTGACTGTCCTGGCCTGATCCACAAGGCACCATCCTATGCGCAGATACCCATTATAGTCAGTCCACTGTGTGGGTGACCTGGACCCATTTCCTTGAAAACTGGGGCAGTTAACTATCAATTCAATTCAATTCAATTATCCATTCACGCATCTGTCAGCCTAACAGCTGAGTGGCGGAATGTCCCTAAGGGTAGCTGGGCTATCTACTATTAGAGGTATTCTGTAGTCATGTAAAGCAGAATATAAATCAGCTTTTAGTATAGTATTAGCCTACGTAGTTAAACCCTATTCTTAAAGTAGTTATATTACTATATTACTAACTTTATAAGTTCCTTAAAAAGAGAATACATTTATTCCCTATCTTTATAATATTAGATAATAATAAGGAGTTATTTTAGGTGTAGTATAGGTTACTCTAAAGTTTAGATTAATTTTAGGTTATTTATAAAATTTATATAGTAGTTAGTAAAGGCGTCATTAATATTAAAAAAATAAATTAAATATCTTATTAAATGTAGGAACTTAGTAGTATTATTAATAATTAATCTCTTACAACTAGGATCTACCCTAATAATATCTATTATTATTATTATATCTTTATCTTCTAGCCTATATTTATGAAATAGGCTAATACTAGTAAGACTGTCTAAGTCCTTTCTTTAATTATTCTAGTCTAACTAATTAGAAGCTAAGAATAATAAGACGGGATTAGATAATGTAGTCATAACTCATATACTAAAACTACTAGGGAGAACTATTACGTCACTATCTTATCTAGTTCTCCTAATTTCATCTAGTTCTTGATTCTTCTACTTTAACTTCTATTAGATAAAGAAATTTAAAGCTATTTAGAACCCCTTTTTCTTCCCTTTTTATCTTAAAAGATGGATTCATCATAGAATTCAGGCTATCTTACTACTAGCTAGCCTACCTACCTACCTATCTTCCTGAATCCTGCCTTTCACCCCTAAAGCTATCAAAATAGAAGCCTAAGATATATATTACTTACCTAATCAGTATATATGTTTAAGCCCTTACTTTAATATCTATTAGAGTTAATATTAAGATAGTTTAGATAACTCTTTAGCTCCCTTACTAGATAATTTAAACCTAGGTTAAAAAAGCTAAGGATTTGTAAGACCGGTATAATATCTGATAGAAGATAGTAATAGATCAGTGTGAAGGGATCATAAGGTTATATTATTATTAACAGGAGAACTAATTACTAGTCTATGGAATCTTGCTCTGCCAGTGAGGTTTTACACCAGGCTGTCATGTGCTAAGCCGGCCCTACTACTTGCCAGTATGCAGCCTTGGTGCCTTGCCCAGCTCATTTAGTAGAACTATTCTCCAGCACCGTCCCTAACAGGATTATAGCTATAATCTATAGATTAATTTATATATCTTTCCTAAATATATAGAAGATAAGAAGTATATAGGCTGCCCTAAGGAGATTACTAAAGCTACTAAAAAAGCTATCCTTAAATTAGGAAGAAAGGATTAAAAGAGATATAAAAAATTATCTAAAATACTTATATTTAAAGTTAGTATCTTTTATTCTTTTATTTTATATATCCTTAAGTAGTATAGCTTAAAAATAATTAAAATAATTACTAAACTAAATCTTATTAATAAGATAAAGTAGAAAAGACTTTTTTTTTACTTTATTTATATAGATTAAATTCTCAAAGATTAAAAGAATATAATATTTATAGATAAAATCTTAATTTTACTTAATTAATTATATAAAGCCCTAAAAATATAGTATATAAGCTAGAAAAAAGATAATTCTATAATTATATAATAATATTAGAAGAGAAGTAATAAATTTATAATATAAAGCATATTCTTCTATAATAAGAAGGGTCCTCTTTATATTTAGACTCTAAAGACTACTTAAGATAAGAGACATATTTAATATAAGATTAAAGCTTTAAACTAATAACTTAAGCCTATATAGAAGATAGAATAAGAAATTAATATAGCTCTAGTATATCTAAAGCTTTAGAATAGTAAGATATCTAGTTAGTAGTTATCTATCTAAATATAAATAAAATAAAAAGAATAGTTTACTTATATAGGATTTAAAGAGAGGGATTAACTAATGTGATATTAGTGAACACATATTAGTAGCAATATCTGGTGAGTATCTGGGTCAACCTTAGTGATCTAAGGTTAATAGTGAAATCTCTGTAATATCTATGATTATCTATTATATAAAGTAACTAGATAGTATAGATATAAATAAGAGTATCCTCTCTAATAATAAAGAGAGTAAGACCTAGCTTATCTCTCTTTTTATTCTTAATAAAATTATATAATTATAGTAATTCTATCTAGTAATATATCTAAATTTATAAGAATATAATTAATTTCTAAGAACTTTATAAAATCTAAAGTTTATCTTTAATAGATTTATACTACTCTTCTCTAAATAGTAACTACTAAATTATAATTAAGATAATAATTTAGTAAGTCTAGTTATTAGGAATGATGCCAGAGAATAGTTCCACTAAATAAGCTGGGTAAGGCACCAAGGCTGCACACTAGTGAATAGTAGGGCCAGCCCAGCATATGACAGCCCAGTGTAAAACCTTACTGGTAGAGGAAGATTCTATAGACTAGTAATTAGTTCTTCTATTAATAGTAATATAACTTTATAATCTCTTTATACTAATCTATTACTATCTTTTATTAGATATTATAGTCTTATAATTCTAATTACTTCCTAAAATCTAATTAGCCTACTAGCCTACTAGGATACTATTAGAATACTAAATATCTATAGCTAATCTACTCTAGGATCCTCCCTCTAGTAAATACTAAATTAAAGAACCTAATATAATAGAGAAATGCCTTAAATTACTAAGAAGGTTACTAAGATAATAGAAATAACTCTAGATAGTAAATAGAACCTAAGTCCTAAGTAGCTAGGTTAAGAAAGAAGATATTTAACTTCTCCTAGAAGAAGAATACTACTTAGAGCTAGAAATCTAGAGAATAGAAATCTAGTAATAGCTAAATAAGAAATAAGCCTAATTATAGGATTATACCCTAGAAAGTATTAGGGAAACCCTACTACTAGAGAGAATAACTCTAGTAGATAAAGATATACCTAAAGTAATAAAGAAAATAATTTATATAGAATAACTACAGAAATCTATAAATATAAAACTATTCTTAGTTATAATAATATAGAAGTATATTACCTTTATAAACTAGATATAGATATACTTTAAGGAGTATTCTAGCTAGTTTAAATCTAAAGATAATTAGATAGTAGTAGCCTTAGTCTAACTTATAAATAATTAATATAATAAATAATATATATATAAGGCTAAATTATCTAGACCCCTTTAGTAATCTAACTTTATAGACTTTTATATATACTTAGTTATAGCCCTAGAATACATATATAAGAAGGCTATAATCTAATTTTATAATACTACTTAAATACTATAGTGAAGTATATAAGAATTTATAACCTATCTAGATAGTATTTACTCTTAACTAGCTAAGCTAATACTAGACTTTTATTATAAAGATATCCTATACTTCTATATCTTCCTAATTATTTAAGCTAAAATAATAAGATTTTTTAATATACTAGAACTCCTAGAAGCTTATATCTCTTACCTAGCTATAATTAAGAATGGTATCCTAGAAAGATAAGAGATATTAAAAAAAAATAATTTAACTAGTTAAAGTAGGCTTTAAAGCTAGAATATTAATATCTATCTAAACTAGAAGACTATAGACCTAGATAGTAAGAATTCTAATAAATAAGTCTAACTAAGAATTACTAAAGGAGGGACTCTTTAAAGAGGAAGTTTTCTTACTCTTTTAAAAGAGATAAAGTAAATTAAGCTTATTAAAAATATAGATAACTTAACTACTAGATATATAAATATACTAAATCCTAGAAAAATAACTAGCTAAAAACTAGAGTATCCTATACTCTATATTATAGTAGTACTAAAAGTTAGAAAAAATTCTAATAATAATAAGGTACTTACCTACTAAATCATTATTATAGTTAAATAAAATTATTATATATATAGAACTCTAATTAATTATAGAGTAGAGAGAATCTTTATAGATTAATAATAAATAAAAGAATTCTTATTAAAGATTAAAGAACTCTTATAATTAATATAGGTTAATAATAGATACTCTATGACTTCCTATAATTAAAGAAGTATTATTATTAAAATTACTAATTCTATAGGAAATACTAAGCCCTAGGAACTAGTTATAGAAGCTATTAATATAGTTAAGTATAACCTAATCTTAGGGATAGACTGGCTAAAAGCTACTAATTTAGATATTAAGTAGAAAAAACTCTCTTAGTATTATTATAATAGAGAATCTAAGGAAAAAGAACCTAATATTAGGATAATATTAATAGTAGAGGCTATAAATAAATTAAAAAAAGGTATATTCCTATATACTATAGTTATTATTCTTAAAGGAATTAAAAAACCCTTAAGGTTACTAGTAATCTAGGAGGGCTTAAGATCTAAGGAGGTACTACTTCTAGAATAGAAAGAATACTAAGATATATTTAATATAGAGTAAGTAGAAATTATACTATAAAATACTATATATAATTATATAATAGAGCTTAAGAAGGGTAAATAACCTCTATATAAGCTACTATACTTATTATCCTAGGAAGAACTCCTAGTCCTTTAGAAATATAT